AGATTTTTAAAGATTAAAAAACTTAAATTTTAAAATAATTTATTATTATAATAAAAACCTATTAAATTCATTTATTTAAGACTTTAAATATAAAATATTAATTTAAAAATTTTATAATAATAATAAAAAATATATTATTAATATAAATTAACGTTATAATAAATTAAAAAAATAATAAAATAATTAATTAATCTTTAACCTTTAAAAATATTACGTTAATATTACAACGTTATTTAATTAATAACAAACGTTTATAAAAAAGATTTAACTTTATTAAAAATTTTTTCAAACTTATTTATTAAAAAAAGAAGGAAGATATAATTGATTTATTTAAAAAAGATAATTTTAAGTTTAAGAAATTTTTATAACTTTTTATTAATAAGAAATATAATTAAGGTAATTTAAATAAACATAAAAAAATTAATATCATTATTAATTTATTAATTAAATCTTATTTTAATTAATTTAAAAAAAAATATAAAACTTATAAAAGATTTTATACTTTAAAATAATATTTTTACGCCTTTTTAAAAAAGGCTTTTTATTATTTTAAATTTTATAAAAGTTTAAAAACTTTTATTAAAATAAATATAAAAAAATTATTAATAACTATTAAAATATAAACTATTAAAAAAAATAAAAAAAAGATTATTAATAAAATTAATAAAAATTAATTAAATAAATAAATTATTAATATTAACAAATTAAATAATTTTATAATTACTTAATTACATATAACTTTTTACATTAATTAATATCTTTTTAAAAATTTAATTATTTTAAATTTAAGAATTATAATATACATATTTAATAAAATTTTTAAATTTAAAAATTTTAAAATAACTTCCTTTAAAAATTACTTATATATAAATAAAAAATTTATAATTATATTAAAATATAATAACATTAATATAAAGATTTTATATAAAAAATTATATATTATATTAAAATTATTTAACATTACTTTTTATAAAAATTTTACTTATAACTTAATATTATTAAAAATATTACGAAAATAAAGTTATTAATAAGATAATAAAATTATTTACACCTTTTTAAAACAATTAAATAATATAATTATAAAAGAATTTATTAATTATCTTAATTAATTTATTTTTAAATATATCCCTTATAAAATCTTTAAAACTATATTTTTTACTTTATATAATATATTTAATATAATTACTTTATAATTACCTTTTTTAAATATAATAATTATTTAATACTTAAAATTAAATCATTTAAACCTTTAAACCTTTAAAAACCTTATAAATATAAATAAAAAAATAAGAATTAAAAAACTTATTATAATTAAATATAAGGTTTATAATATAATTAAAATTAAAAAATAAATTAATTAATACTTTAAAAAGCTTAATAAATTTCTTAAAATTTAATTAATATTTAATTTTTACTTTATTTTAAACATTAATAACGCCATAAACCTTATATTAATTATAAATAAATAAATAAATATAATTTTCAATTATTATTTCTTTAATAAAATTAAAAAAACTATTATCTTAATATTAAAAAATTTAATAAGTAAATTAAAAACGTAATATAACATTACATTTAAAATATAAAAATTTAATAAAGAAATTATTAAGGTAAAATCAACAGTAAAAAAATATCTTAAAAGTTTATATATAAAAGTTAAACCTTTAATTAATTATATATAAACATAAAACAAAATCGTTAAATACTTAAAAAGTATAATAAAGGATAAAATAAAAATTATAAAAACTTATTTAAAATTATTTATTTTTTTATAGCTTAAAATATATAAAATAATTATTTATTTATATAATAAAATTTTTTAATATATATATAATTAACGTATATTTTATAATCATTTTTATACTTTTATTATTATTAATTTAAATATTATAACATATAATTAAAAATTTTAATAAATATATTTAAAAATATATAATTATAAAATATACGTTTTAATAAAAAATATTTTTAAAAAAGTAAATTATTTAAAGAAATTAAACCTTAAAACTTAAATAAACTATTTAATTGGTTATATTTCCATAAATATATATTATATTTAAAACCTAATAATTAATATAATTATAAAAATAAAAAATATTATTTTTAATAAAAATATTTTATTTAATAATAATTTATAAAAATTAAAAGAAAAATTACATAATAATTTACTTAAATATATAATTAAAAATTATTATTATTAAATACTAAAATTTATTTAAAATTCTTTATAAAATAAATTTTTAATATTTAAGATAACAGTTAAAATTAAGTAATTAAAAAATGCGGATGTATTAAAACTTATTATTAAAATTATTAAAGAAAAAATTATAAAAAAAATAATATAATAAATATTTATATTAAAGATTAATTAACTTTAATATATAATAATTAAATTTATTATAATATTTATTTTAAACCCTTTTCCTTTAATAATTCTTTTTACAACTATAATATATATTAAAACGTTAAATATTTTTAATGTTTTATTATTAAAAAAAGATTAACTTACCCTTTAAATTTAATAAACTACTTTTTACGTTAATTAATTAAGAGATAAAAAGGATACTTTTAAAGGATATATAATTAATAAAATAAAAAAATAATAACTTTTTTATAAATAATTTTTTTAAACTAAAGGATAAAAGTTAAAAGAAAAAATAACGTTAATAATAAATTAAAATAAACCTTAAATAATATATAAGAAATTCTTATTTAAGGCTTTTAAAAAACTTTATAATATTTAAAGATATTATTTTAAAAAATATTAAAAAAAAATTAAAAAAATATACTTTAAAAACTACCGTTAAATAAATATTTAAAAAAAGATCTTAAAACGTAATTTCCGTTATAAAAATTAATAAATATTAAATTACATATAAATATATATTTATAAAATTAATAAATATAGTTATTTTTAAAAATATAAGGTAAAATTAATAATATAAAAAAATTAATAAACCTTTAATTTAAAAATCATATATATAATTACTTTAACTAAAAAATTATTTTAAACATTAATAATTATTATAATTAAATTTAACCTTAAATTAATTTAATATAACGTTATAAATACCTTTATAAATGTTAAATTTAAAAAAGATTTATTTATATATATATTTTTAAAATATTAAAAAAAAAAAAAAATATTATTATTATTTAAAACTTTATATAAATTATAAAAATCGCTTTTCCTTTAATAAAAAAACTTAATTTAAAATCTTAATAAATTAAAATTTACTTTAATATTATATAAATTATATATATTTATATAAAAAAACATATTATTTTTTATTTATATAAATAATATTATAATTTATTTCTTTACTTTTAAACATTAATAAATTAAAAAAGTAATTAATAACCTTAAATAAAAATATAAATTAATAAAAAGAAATAACCTTTAATAATTTCTTAATATTAAAATAATTTATAAATAAAAAAAATAATTAATATAATTAAATTAATTTTTATATTTTAATAAAATAGTTAATTTTATAAAAGATTTAATTAAAAAACTTATTATTTTTATATTAAAAAATAAATTATTATTATATAATAAAAAAACCTTAAATAAATTTATTTATTATTATTAATATAAAATAAGTTTTATTTTATATATTACAATAATTATTTAACTTAATATAATTTTTATTTATTTAAAATTATTAAAATTTAATTATAACTTTAAGTTAATACATTACGTAATAATTAATTAAATAATATAATACTTTATTAAAATAAAATTTTTTACGTTATAATTAAAAAATAATAATATTTTTAAAATAATTAATAACGCCTTATTTATTAATAATATCATTAATTAAAAAAATTTTTAAATTTATATAATAAAGTTATTTAAAAAAACAATAAATTAAAAAATTAATAAATAAAATATAATAATTACGTTTATAATTAAAATTAAATTATTAACTTTAATTAATATAATAAAAAAGATTATATTTATTATTAAACTTATATAAAAATTAAAAATTAAATTAAATAATTTTACCATTTTTATTAATTATAATAATAAATAAATTATTAAATTAATAAATAAAAATATTAAAACTTTTAAAATTAAATTAAAATATATAAATATATATAATTATTAATTACAATAAAAAGTTAAAAAGAAATATATTAACGTTAATTACATTAAATTTAAAGATATAATAATTAATAATTTAATTAAAATATTAAATAAAAATAAATTTAAAAAATTTTAAAAATAAATTAATTTAATAAATATTAAAAAATTATTAAATAAAAGGATAATTAAAACTTTAAATAAAAAAATTTAAAAAAAACGGAATATTTTAAATAAATAAAAAGATTTAATTAAAAAAAAATCGCTTTAAAATATTAAATTTATAGAATTAAATTAAAAAAATTATTTAAAATTATTTTAATTAAATTCGTTTAACAGCTTTATTTAAAAAAATATATTAAATTAATTAACCTTACGTGATTTAAGGATAGCTTAAATATTTATAATTTCTTATATTTTTATTTATATATTAGAGTTTTATACCTTAAATATATATACATTTTTACTCCTTAATTGAACTATTTGTATAGTTATAAGCGTTTACCTACTTTGTGACAGTTGTAATACTAGTGTAAATACTCCCATACTCGAATATACACTTATACATACATGCATCTAAAGAGGTATGTACATTAGGTATTTAAATATGTACTTACACGTGCACAGACCACTCATGTCATCCCGCGGGTCCAATTGCATCCAAGTTCGCCGTGTAGAACCTTACCTAACCTTCAAAACCAGCATCGCCGGCCACTCTCAAGATCCCGTCGCCCGAGAATTGAACCACCACCACCTACATCACGTACGTCCACCTGCCCACCTACTACCTCCCAACTTCCAACTTCCAACTTCCAATACTGCACCTCTAAATTCCACCATCGAATATTTCCCCCCAAGCATCTATCTAACTTAACTCCCACCCGCTAACAAACACACCACCAGACCAGACCAAATGTCGGCCCCAACACCAGCCTTCTTCGCCGGCCCCCTACGGTACTGCCGCTGGGCCGCCCGCGAGCGCCCCGCATACTTCTTCTCCGTCATCATCGGCGCCGTCGGCCCTCTAATGCTAGCCACCGTGCCCCCCGCCATGAAGCGCCTGGGTTACGAGCGCTCCCCGCCGATCCCCTTGACGTATCCCAGTACGTATTATCTACCTACCTACCTACCTACCTACCGAGACAGAGATGAAGATCAATATGAATATGGGGATGAGGATAGGGATGGGGATAGGAACATCGGGATAACAGGTGCTGATGAGAATAAATGCATGCTAACGAATACCCGCAGTTCCTACCGGTCCGCGAAAGACGCTAACCGGCTACGACGACTGAGCGCTATTATGTATGCATCAAGTATATCCGGAACATACCTACCTAGGAATAGGGAGGGTATAGGAGCAGGACCGCGGATCAAAAGGCGCATCTATATGTATATATCAATATCAAAACCGCACCCCAAGCGCCTCAAGTCGTCAAACCTCGGAGCAAAGTATGAAGACGGGGCTAGGCGGGATATCCTCAAGGGGGACGGGGACGGGGACGTATTAAATGCAGCTGCATGAAAGAAGAGTGCCCCCTCAAGCCTCACTATAATCAATCAATTAAGTTAAAAGTCATCATCTAGTTCAGTCCAGTTCAGTCCAGTTCAGTTCAGTTCATTTCATTTCCGCACGACCAGCGCCGTGTATTCATCTATTCGTTTACTCGTTGGTTATCTGCGTCTAGCCCGTCCCATCTAAGCGAACTATCCCCGTATCATCTATCCTGGAATTCGGGAATACGGGCTACGTAACAGAACAACCCTCCGCGCGCCGTATATCAAGAGTGCTAAAATCTCAAGCAAACGCCCGTCTATGCACCAATGCTCTGCGATCGCATCTTCCAGCGCACCGCGGATGGCCGCTTTCTTTGGGTCAGACTCTATCTTTCCCTTTGGATGAGATTCCATTCGTACTAGGTCATGTGTCAGCTCCAGTTGTGTTTCCATGTAGGCATATTGACTTACAACTCGTCCATCGTCGTCTCCGGTATACACCAGCTGCGGCATCGGGGTGATGCAGGTGATCGCGGCCTCCGTATTGGTCCCCGTCTCGCTGCGCGTATCAATGTGGTCCAGTCGTCTTACCAATTCCAACCCCCACTTGCCACCCTTGATGATCCGTTTCCAGATATTTACCCTACCTCTCCTATGTCCTGTAAAGATGAGATAGTTCTCTAACCACTCATTCCCCGACCCTTCGTAGAAAGAGCAGGAATATACGTAGTCATCGGGCTCGGAGCATACGTTCTGGTCGAGTATCAAGTCGCCATTGATTGTGTATAACGTCACATTCGGCCCTGAGCATAGCATTATCTCCCCAGATACGTCATTGATGCGAGCACACTCGACAGCTCGAGTGCTCGATAGCTTTCGCACAAACTCGAGACGATTCATATCCCAGAGGAACGCGTGTCCGTCTCCGGAAACCGTGACCAGCGTGCTAAAAGCCTTTGACACCGCAATTGTCGTGACCGGAGTCTTGTGTCCGAATAGTGAAGAACGATGCATGAGCTCCACGGGCTTACCTGAGGTAGTCTGTATGGTGAACACGGACACGACGCAATCCTCACCGGCAGTGATCAGCGTCTTCGAATCGGCCACGACGATGCATGATATTTGGCCTGTATGCAAATTTTCGCTAACGCCCGCACTCTTTCGATTCTCTGTGTGATAGAAACGCACACTGTTATCCGCAAATCCCCACTCGAGGTATTTGTCGAAGAAAGGGGGAAGGTTGAGGCGGAAGGGGGATGAGCATAGGAGCCGATCTAGTTTAGGCGAATATACTAGGGACGCGACCCTCTCGCGACTTTCGAGAAGAGGGTGAGGTATCCTGGCAAGAGAATGGCTGGCCGTATCCAGTCTCTTCACTGGAAATGAGACGTTCTCCCGTGGCGGATGGGGCTTGGTGAAGACCTGATGTGGTGTCTGTCCGAAATTATGGATAATACTTGTTGTAGCATGTCGTTCGTCTGAGTCCGTAATGTTATCAAGATCCTTGGCACCGTAGTAGGAGAGATAATGGAACACGTTCAAGTTTTCTACGGCCGCTTCGCCACGTTGCTTATGACCGAATACCAGGTCGATCCATAGATGAAGGTTTTGGCTCACGTAAGGACTCTCTAATGCCTCGCGATGTTTCGCAACGAATATCTTCGGATCACCTTTGGCCCATGGAGGCAACTCAACGTGGTTGACTCGGCCAGCAGAACCTTGCCGGTCGCCAAAGTTATATCCATTTACGTTCGTTAAAAAGTCTGGGAGGTAGAAGAACTCTGGTATTAGCTCTCGGACATCGGATCCGTTATCTTGCGACGCGGATTTCCACGATCCTTCGATCGAGAAGAAAAGTCGGTCCGCGTGGTCAAAGAAGCCACCTTGAAGAAGAATGAAGGATTGCACAAACGGAGGCAAACGGATCAAGTACGACGCAACGATCATGGCAGACGAGTAGTGCGTGCCGTAGTGGAAAGGCTTCTCGCCAATCTCAGCTAGACTGGTGTATCTAGTTTGGTAGTCAAGCTGCCGTCGTGGAGTCTGGGCGCCCATAGGCTTCGATAGATCTCGGAACGTGGCGGGATTATTCAAGTCTAATTCTTCGCTCGTGTAGTCTGCCAGGACCCAGGGAAACACTGGATATTGGGTTAAGTCATTAAATGTCCGACCTGCCATTGTATTCACGAGCATTAGATAATGGAAGTTAGATATTTCGCCTCGTTGCCATCGTCGCATGAGAGGATTCCAGGGAGAAGAGTTGAAGATGCTGCCGAATTTTGATCCAAACGATTGAGGGGACTCTTCGAAGACTTTGAGCGACTCTAGACGCCAGGCATCCTCTGGGTTGGGCAGCGAGTTAGCTCCCGCGGTGTGCGGAGTCTTGTTAGCGAGCTTGGAGAATATTTCGTCTCTCATCGCCGGATTCCTGGCAGTCAAAAGATAACTACGACCGTCGGTAAAGAAGACTTCGATGGCCACATCTCGGAATAAGAACCGGCGCTTCGATATACTTATGACATCGTGCCACTTCCAACTGCGGGAGTCTTGAGAGGCGCGGCTTACGGCCTGACGGTTTTCGCTAGACTTGGCACCGGTTATGATCTGAGAGAAAGGATCACGTTCTTCGGCGGGTGCTTCCCATACGTTTACTATCTCCCCATCCGCACACTGGAAGAAACTGTCCATCAAATAAAGAGCGTTCTTCCCAACTAAAAGAATACCCTCAAATGCTTCAAGACCATTGACGCGGGAGACGTTGTAAACTTGTTGAACGGTGTCGCCCTGCTGTAGGCGTCTCATCACTCTCCTATTCTTGTCTTCGAACCCGTCATCAGCATCGTTAGGATCGTTCGGGTCGTCAATCATCTCGAAGTCATCCTCGGGAATAGCTGTCTGTCCAGGTTTTGCTTCAACTTGAGTACCGGCCGGAGCGTCATCGGCGTCATCTTCAGTGACCTCGTCTTGACTGCTTATCTGCCCCCGGGGTATGGATGGAGGTGCAGGTTTTCTTGAAGCAGGAGTCGCAGCAGGAGGATCAACTGAATCTCCTTTAGAAGTAGAAGCTGTCGGTTGATCTATCGTTTTGCGTTTGGGTTGGTACTGGTCATGGTCGGTAGAAAAGTCTGGTAGAAGCCGGAGGCGCATACGATTCCGACCTTCTGTCCTGTCAAGTTTCCACTTGATAGGCTTAGGATCGTATAATACGGCTCCTGGCCGGTTAAGGTCCTTTTGCATCCGGGAAAATGAGGAGGAAAAGAAAATGACATCATCCTGTTGGTCCTGCATAAGGCGCTGATGCTTGAAATGCTCAGACGCGTAAATAGACTTCATCCAGGCAGAATTGGCCATGTCATGGCGTAGTAGGATATTGTCCCGTTCGACCATTTCAGAATGCCATCGTTTCAGAGTCTCTTTCCGCTTTGCCAATCGTGATTTAGCTGTTTCTGTCGTACGTTGGTTTTCCGTATTGACGAATTCTTCCCAGGCCCGCGAGAGACCCCCCAGAAATAACGCATCAAGTGAAGGCCGATGTTCATCAACCCAGTCGATGAATGCGTCTGTATCAAGTTCGGTAAGTTTCTGGAAGTCCGTTGCAAGCTGGGACTGGTCTGAGGCGGATGTCATGGATAATCGAAATAGCGATGCGCATTCGTTTGGTTTCTGCACGAGCATGATGCGCCAGATATTGACAGCAGCAAGTCGTACGGCTCGCCTCGTATCTACTAACTTAGTATAGAGTTGGTACCAGAAGAGCTTCATATAGTCATCATCGGGTGACAAGGACTCTAATACAACCATCTGCCAGTAGAGTATCTTCTCCATTGAAAAATTTGCCTCCATCTCGGTGGTTTGCGGATCGTCCATTTCCGAGAGTCTAAGTAGGACTAGTTTAAGAAACGAGCCTCGAATAGTCGTCACTGCTTGGCTGCATAGTCTTACAGTTTTCATTTTTGCAACGTCTGGCTTCTGGAGATATTCCAGTAACAGTCCCGCAAAGTTCAACATCGATTCGGTACCGTTCATAAACCACCCTTCGAATATTGCTTCAACCATGTGGAGACTGAACCTGGCCATGTTGGTGAGTACTTTCGGCTCGCTTAGAACTTTCCAATTAAGCTTGATCGCTGTTGATATATGAACGATCGTGCTTTTCAACACGTAGGACTCAAAGTATGCTTGGTGTTCTTGGAATCCAGGAGGTACCTTAAGGAATAAGCCGAATCCCGGAAATTCCTTTCTTACCAGTAGTTGGTCTACGAAGACGTTGATTACAAGCTCCAGGAGACCCTCGACTAACCCATGGCCAACATTTTGATCGGCAACTTTCTTCTTCGGAGACATAACATGAACGAGACGTGCCGGACTGGATTGGGTGGACTTCTGGGACGTGAGAAGTATGAAAGATGAGGCCTTCCGTAATTGACTTCCTCGATGAGTATGAGTAATTCTAGTAGAAGGTAGCGACGTGTCGGTCGCGCTAGACGTTCTAATTACGGGTGAAGCACTCGTTGTCCCGCCAATCGGGCGAATGATGACATCGCCGCCTTCGAAAGTAAGTGCTGAATCTCTAGAGTTGAGTTCTATCTCGGGATTGACCGGATCCGTGCTTACGATAGCCGGGTAGAGGGCAGACAGGAGCAGCCTCACGTATTCTGAGGATAGGGCAAAATCCTGGAAGTCCGCCGATCGAGTATGCAGGTCTGCCATGAACCGAATGACGCTCTGGAGTACCGCAGCGTTCCCGGCGTTACGTTCCGCTCGCGGTTCAAATATTTCTTAAAAGGCAATTAGTTGACATCCACGGCAATGAAGAGATACTCACCTCGTGATTCCAGCTCCTTTTGAAGTGACATTGATCGTGCTCGTAGTCTTGTCCCCAAACTTTCGTGTTTAGTTACGGCCGGGTTCGAATCCGGTGGGGGAGAAGCTGGATCCTCCTGGGCTTTAAGAATATCTTTCAGTGCGTGCTGGATCATGGCCGTGATGATTGACAACGCATCTGGGTTGGCGATTTTGCATTTCCCAAACGTTTCTAATAAACTGAAAAAGTCGAAATTCTTCTCAAAGTCTATTTCTGCGACATCATATCCAAAGAGGATGCTGAAGCAGATGGGCCAAAGAGTTGCAATATCCCACCACCGCTTGAGACGGTGAGCCATGATACAGAAACCCCCAGTCTTCCCCGAAAACTTATTAATATAGGCCGTCCCGTGCGTAACTAAAAGTCTAGCAAGTATCTTGCAGCCGTACGTTACGATTTCCGGGTCGTTTTCTGTGAGAAGATACAAAAGCCACTGGACCATCATCAGCTTGGATTTTTTATGCAGTGGCCGTGCGTCAAGTACCTTGTTTGTCACTGTCTTAGCGAACTTCCGAATAATTGCCAAGTTCCCCTTCTCGCATAGCAATTGGCTATACATATCTAAGAGACGTATGCCGACCTCTCTCTTCGTGAGCAACCGCACGTCATTCCCGCCCGCTCCGTTTACATGGACCAGCGGTCGTAATGGAATATTATGAGAAGGTCGACGATTAGCTGCTTTTGGAGTACGCGGAAGGGATCTCGAAGTGGGATGAAAAGCATAAGTAATGAACAGAGCGAGTGATTGATGAACCTCAGTGTTATAGTTGCATTTGACGAGGCATTTGATAGCGCTTATGAAATAGGGGAGTACAGCCTCCAGTAGAGGCTCCGACTTAATGGCATCGAGAAGCCTTTTCACAATTCCTAAAGCACGATGATGTTAGTGTAAATCAGGGCGCTTACTTAGATCCCAAGTAACTCACGCATTCGAAGTAGCCTGCGGTTGTTGTATTGATGATACTTGCTCATCACGGCGAAAGTCACGAACTGCTTATAATACAGCTCTTGGACAAGAGGTCCGCATTTTCTCCAACCATCAAAATCGACTAGGAGAATGCGATAGGCTAAGGGGTTTATGATCACCGATTCAAGAGAATCTCGGTGTTTATAACCGACAAATCCCAGTACGAGGCTGAGGATCTGGACGCATAATTTGTCCTTTTCGATATTCGAAATCGCCAGCTTCTCAGTCAGCCCCTCGCTTCCAGGTCCGCCAAAACCGAGCTTAGCTTTTAATAAAATTCCCAGGATCGCATAGCCCCCATCCTTCTCCATAGCTTCGCTATTTCGCCAACTCGAATTGATACACAGGAAGACCATCTCAATAGCACGTACTAGCGTTTCGGCCGAAGAAGCCCGCTCGATTAACTTTAACGCAAGTGGCGTGAAGCCCGCCAATTGCCAGAGGGCATCGTCAAAGAATTGGGGAGTTGCAACAATGGGATTTCCAGTCAACACTGCCACGCCATTCGAACGAAGAAGCGCATCGTTAATCGAAGGCAACGCCGTATTAATAGCTATACCCGTACCGTTTTTAAGCACCATTTGTACCAGAGTATGAGCAGGCCCTCGAGACAAAGAACGATATAGCTGTGACTCGCCAAAGTGTTCCTTTTCCCGGAAGATCGAAGATGGTAATACACTGAGGACAATTTTATGCTCTGGGACCACATAGCTGGCCTTATCCCTAATAACTTTCATGATATCAGAGTCATCTTTCCCAGTACTAACCAGGTCATTACGGAGGCCCAGGGCTGCGGATGCTGTGTAGGTTTGGAATCCGCCAAGGCAGTCCTGGAAGTTCCCTTGGTAATGAACTCCTAACCGACTGGGAACCGATAGAAAATCATCACTCAATACGTCATCGAAAAGATGGGCTGTACCAAGAGACCATCTTGAATGTATTAATCCTGTACCCAGGTGAGAAGAAAGTTCACGAGGGGTTCCTAAAAATGCCTGGACCGGCATGGCCTTGTTACTCGAAGAAGTAAACGATGCAAAACTCTCTGTGCTACCGTTGGATAACGGCGGTTGAGCAGGGTAAGAAGCTCGTATCTGCTCGACAAATTCACCATTCACATATAAGGAAGCCTTGCTGGGTGTCATTGTTTTAGGTCTTCGGTGGGCCACCACAATATGATACCATCTCCCTTGCTTGAACGTGAAGGTTCTAAACCTGACACTCGGCCGCTGTGAGGTAACTGAAGTTTGTAAAATGAAGTTATGGGTATCTTTTTCGAGATATGCGAGAACAAAACAGGTTTGAGTTGAGTCAAATGCTCCAAAAAGTGTGGTATGCGATTTCGGATCAAACTGATCGATCCGCACCCACGCAGCAAATGTATATCCAGCGGAAGACTGAGGGGGGAATGGACGCCCTAAACTTGGCAGTTCAATTGAAGAGTGCCCGTTCTGGGATAAATCGAATTGTATATATGGAGGGCCACCATATTGATGCATTACCTCTAAGCAGAAATCTGATGAGTCCAAGGAGGGATTAAGTAGCAATTCTTGTGCATCTACCAGCCGGTTCACACCAAAAGGCATTAGAGATCGACAAATAGATAGAACTGTCTCGCGCTCGACATCGTTAAGAGGAGAATTTCCGTCGAAAGCAAATTTTAAGAATCGAGACAAAACACCTGTCTCGTGAACTAGGCACAGGTTGATGTTGGAAACATCTAAAATCGAGGATAAGACCTTAAGTACCAGCAAGGAAGCCGTATTTTCCGGGACCTGCTTATCGCGTGGTAGAGACTCCCAGAAGTCCACGATAGTACGAATGACCTCGGGGTTTTGCAAAGTTGATTTGGGACCAACAGTTTTTTGGATCGCCGCCTCAATCGACGCCATATGGTCGCCTAGGCGAGCAACATCGTGAACCTCGCTCCTCGTGCCCTCTTCTCCAGTATCAGACTCGTCCGGCGCTACCAGAACCCAGGGCGCAGCATCATCTAGCGTGGCAGAGCAACATAGCTGATCCAGCGCGGCATCATTTACAGCCAAGGAGAAGAGCTTCCCAAATAGCTGGCAGCTTGTCCACAGATCTGAATCGCTACCTCCAAGGCCAATACTCGCTATAATTTGCTCCAAAGCATCCCAACCACCGCCCTCAACCCGCGTACGAAAATACCGTCGGTTACCGGGATGCGCGCGGAAGGCGGCAGCGAGAGCACTGAATACGACATCGAGGAGCTTAAAGAAACTTCTCTTCTCGTCATCATCTCGCGTTTGGAGGTTATAGAAGCCAGAGAAGGACCGCAGTACGTCGAGTAGGTGGTGAAAGCCACGAAGATGCCTGAAGTCGTCTTGGACGGAGCTGGGTGGGGCAGTTGCGGATAGATATTGTTGGATTTGACGTATCTGGACTAGTAAGGGCTCGAATTTCGGGTAGCCGTTGTTTGAAGGGGCGGAGATGATAGAGGATACGGCATCGAGGAGAGACTGGAGGACTTCGGTAGCTTTAGAGGTAGCTAGCGGTGTCGATGCGGAGGTGGACGATCGATAACGACCTGGGCGTGTGGACATGATAACGGTAACAAAGCGACTAAAGTTTGGTGGGATATGATGGTCATTTGTTTCTTCATATTATAGAAACTGAGCCTGCTACTGCTAGTACCCTGTTGGGGCCTAGGCTGCCGTTTACGCCAGAGAGCATCGAAGAATTAGAGGGGAAGTTCTCGCGACGGAGGTTTGGGAATACGGCAATGCGGCGGGTTTGACTTTGTGTAAGATTTTAGGTCTACTTGATCAGTTGTCGGCGTTGAGTAGGTAGTTAAAGGATCTGGGAGTGGCTTTGATAAACCCCAGAGATCCGCGCCAATGGGTTGAGGTTAATTGTTCTATGAATCCAAAGCTCTACTGCTAGGTTCAACTGCTATTAGCAGGGAGCCTTAGTTGCATTACGTGAGGCAGTATGTGTGTCAATATGTGTGGCGCCTGTACGTACAATTGAAAGCTTGGCGCTAAACAGCTTGGACGCTGACATAATCATTCAAGTACCCAGGTACCTGCCAGTATCGAAAGAGCACTGGTAAAATAGGGGTAATGGCACGGTTCGAAATGAAACCACTTAAGAGTTAGTTCATGGGTAGGTATCTAGGTATATATACCTACCTCCTACCTATTTATATATGACAAGAGCTAATGCAAAATAATTACTTAGCAGGAGAGTCAATCCCCTAAGGGCTGAGCCTTGAATTGGCACAATATCTATCCCCCTCAGAACTGTAGATTAATCATTGGTATAAGCAACGCTTTTCATACTGATACATTCTTACTTGACTAAATCTAGAAGCCCAAAGATCTCATGATAAATTCCCAAGCTACCTGATAGTCTTTGTCTGCTGGCGTCATAATCCGCAATAGCCAGGCCGTGTCCCGGCCCCCTTCCCAAAAGGCGTCGCACCTCGATTCCGCTTTAAGCCATTCCCAATCGCATGGGTACCATCCCGATTGGTGCCAGTCAATAATGGCGGCTACACGGGGTGGAGATTCTCCATCCCTCGGAAAGACGAGTATGTTACTCCTGTCTAGATCGCCGTGCGTAAATACTATCGGTCTGTCGTCCGCCAAGCCGGCAAGTTCGGGAAAGTCACGGCGCGGGTTCCAGTCCGGTTGCAGGCGGCAGGAGTAACGCGCAAAGAAATCATGAAATTGCGTTATGTCTTCGAACGGGCCGGCATGCGGATCACCTGCGTCGCTGAAGATAATGTCGCCTACCCCTTGGTGTCCGATATGGCCTTGAGCTGTCAGTATCCTATATTAGTTACGAAATATATGTGATCTTACCGACATAGTATGGTTCCGTCTCCTGACGGAGACTGCGCCATGCCTCCACGAAAGTGCGGAGCTGCTCGCAAATTATGTTTTGATCTTCTTGATTAAGTGATGGCCACACGTCTTCTAATGTGTCGGCGTTGACAAACTCCATGTAGATGAATGTCTCGCCGTCATCATGGCACCACCCGTACAATTCCGGTGTAGGCACTGCGTCTTTCATGTATTTGTTGAAATACCATAGGCACTGTGCTTCTGCTATTGTGATCGCTGAGCCATATTTGACGACAAGTCCCAGTTCTTCGAACAGGATCGGTGGAGGCCTTGGTGATCGTGCGCGAAAGCTATTGACTTCGATATCCTTTTCTCGGATCTCCTTTGGAGACGGAAGGTCATGCCCATGTTCCTTAAAAAACGAAGAATCGCGAAATATCATATTCCTTGCGCTGGGTAGTTCTGCCACATGTATTGTCCTGGGCGCTGTACCAGTGGTGGTAGCTGCGGCCATGTTTGAGGAGCCGAGCAAGGATTTAGAATCAATTAGTGCCGCGTTCTAAATTGCTAATTCGAGTAGGTAGTCGTTCTGGTTCAGACTTCAGACCTTAGTGAATAGGCAGCCTCTCGATACTCCCTTGAGTCCCTCGAGTTGGCTTAAAAGCTCACAGCCACACTTCTTCGCCACAAACAGGTGTACATGATTGATGTTGGTCTGGCTAGCGAAGTCTAGCCGGTAGGTATGTGGGAGCATCTAGCTTTATTAATGCCGTGGTAGTTTATTCACTCTTAAGATCGGAGTTTCTTCTTCATGCTTTTCGTCCAATGGCAACATAATTCCTGTTTGGACTAAATGCGAAGTCGCTTCTTTCACCCACCACTGACAATCTTTTACTTCTGTCCTCTTAGGAAGCACTCCAGTAGCGTTGTCGGCATCTCTGTTCACTTTATTAAGGCTAGGTCCCGGTGCTGGCACCTCCCTACAAGCCGCGTCAAATGCATTAACAACATTTTCTACGTCTCTCTGATCCTTCTCTTCGCTTAAGGTAACGGTTCCGTCTTTGTTTGGTAGGCTCAAATGTGTCTCTGACACCAGCCCGATAGGGAATGCATTAGGGTTCCTATCGTCTTCGCAAACATTATAGTTGCGGATATATTCATACTGAAACCCGTTGAGACGGTCGCCTGTTACATGAATGCGGTCACCAATATTGGACTGCTGATTGTCAGTGTCGACATAAGGTAGCCAGAACGACCAATGCGCAGCGAATAAACGAGAAGGATATACAAGGACATAAATAGTTCGAAGCATAGCGTATGTATCGTAACAGACGTATATAATAGGAGGTGAGTTTAAGGGGATAATACATAGGTACCTAGGTAATTACCTAAGGTAAACAAACATATTGAGGTTATGGGACAAACGACAGGACCAGCCACTTGTAATTTTGATTGGTTGAGATTCGGTAACTGCATGCCAGTACCATTCCCAAGCCAACCCCTTCAAAGAGCTCTACCATTACGTAATCTTATAGTACCTGACTCGCACGGCTATAATAAAGGCATGCTTCTAAGCTCCGACCTATGGCTAAGATAGGCTTTTTCCTATTTTCATATTCAAACTCATATTTAAACCATGCTCAAGACATATATCTAAACCAATACTTAACTCTAGTGTTTTCAAACTCTATAAAATGCCATTGCACTCTGGGAGCGTCAATAAGCATTCCCGCACGTAGATCATAGTTGATAGGTACATGTGCACTGTGCTATGCCATCAATTTGAACTTGTCTAGTTGTCTAGTAAATTTGCATTGATGACAAGTTGTCACCGTGGCGTCCCGATAGATAATACGGTGGGAGTGATAACAGGCGGTATCCGATTCATTGGAGTCAAGTGAGCATAGATGATGGAGGGAACAACAGTCAGTCTGTCAGTATGGATGTAGTAACCGGGTCATCTTGGCAAGTCGGTGGGGGAATGTTCCCCAGATGGCTGTCAGGATGGGTAACACTATGTGGATAAGGTTTCACATGTAAGAAGTTCGGCATACTTTCTAGTGTGGCATCAGGGCGTATCCTAATTTCTAATAATGCGGTCTGCACTTCAATAAATCCGACTTCAGCATGATGTGTAGTCTGAATGCTCCAGTCTCTAGAAAGGGGAAGAGGTTGAGTAGAGCAGGATAGCACGTGTCGATTCGCCAAGAAACCGTTTTGAGTCAAGTACACGCAGCTGATCCAAGGTGCCAGGCTGGTAAATTGAAGCTGCAGGGCTGGTGGATTGAGTGGTCGGTAAGAGCCTGTAGAGCTCGGATGCTGGAAACAGATTCCAAGCCAATTAGGCTTGTACCTTACTGCCCCTAGCTCGATTGTGTCATACCATCGTTATCTGAGGCGAATCTTACGAGCTAAGTCCCTAGGTTAAGCTATGTACATGCAATGGATGTAACTATTTTGTTACAAACAAAGTACCTAACCTACATAGTGTTCCAGGAATTCGTCTTAAAATCGATTGTTTGTTATGATGGGATAATATAGCCAAGTAATATGATACATTGATCGATTTAGGTAGTCTGATATCGCGTCCTCGTGAGCCGTTACATCTGTGGCAAATCTGTAGCACTTCACTTTCAGGGTCCAAAGCTGCATAAAGGTAGGGAATCCACGTATGCATGCTGATACCTACATACATCCAATGTATCTTACTTCGGCCGATAAGATAGGGGAGACAGCATTGAAGATGGTCATTCCTTATCACTGACCAATTGCCACGATAACTCAACAGATTCAAATTGCCTATACCTGTTTAGGTGCTCATCGACAACCGCGTGAGCCGGAACCGATTGGGATGGACCCTCTCCACTGCTGAATTGTATGTACATACGGTACCTACACTACCTGTATGTCCATACATCCTAGGAGGTGTTTTTTAACTCCGATTCCGGCAGTTACCTAGTTTCTCTATGGCTACCAAGGGCTAAGGTGTTCCCAATAAGAGTGTTTAGTAAAAATCACTTGCATCTTGAGCAAGTCGGAATTCAGCATCGAAGCAGGGGAAACACAAACTCCCGGTAGATGATGATTGAAGGATTGCTGTCCTCAGGTACGATAGGTATTCTTCAAGGTACATACAATATACCCACGACTCGGGGATTTCCACCAACAAGGGGGCCTAAACCTATTCAGGGTTGGTGTTAAGGTCAGCCTGCGCCGCTAGCCCCAGTGCGAGCTAGCATTTCCGCTCTTATCTGGTTGGCTTGACGGCTGTGTGCGTCACCTGCACCGCTCCAGGCTGGGGAAGGCAGCCATAACGTAGGTTGGTACACGGTCGGTACACGGTCGCAAGGTCGGTACCTTGTCACGTAAGCTCGTGCTTTGGCTTGTAGCAGTCGCCTTTATCTCTCCCGCCTTCGCTCGTCAAGAGCTTCCTTCTTTTCTTCCTTTTCCTTCATCTCCTACCTAATCATCCCATCTTCCCATCATCAACACAAAGTCATCTTATCTTTGTGTGAATACTACACCTACCGGGCACCATTGGCTTGGTCTCTCGGATTTTTCCTTATTTCTTTACCCTTCAAGTCGCAGGCAGACTTATTCACTGGTGCATTGTTATCGGTCCGCAAACATCCATCATCTATCAACAAATCATCAATATGAGGGGCTTCATCGCTCTCTCTCTTGCCTGCGCTGCAGCTGCAGCGCCCTCGTTCAGCTACGAGACTATTCACGATGGAGCAGCTCCCATCCTGTCCTCCGCTACCTCTGAAGAGGTTCCCAACTCATACATCATCAAGTTCAAGAGTCACGTTTCCGATTCTTCGGCCGCTGATCACCACTCGTGGGTTCAGAAGATCCACGGTGATAAAGAGGAAGAACGATTAGAGCTCCGCAAGCGTGGCCAAATCCCTCTAGTTGGTGATGCCGTTGACAGCTTCAAGGGGTTGAAACACACCTTGAAGATTGGCTCCGAGTTCCTCGGATACTCTGGCCACTTCGATGACTCAACTATCGAAGAGGTCCGAAGGCATCCTGATGTAAGTATCAATCTAACATTGCAATTTATGAGTCATTTGGAGTAGTCGTGCTAACTTAGGAACTATAGGTCGAATTCATCGAGAAAGACTCGGTTGTCTATGCTCTCGGTGCCGAAGAGCCGGACCTAGAGAAGAACGCCCCATGGGGTTTGGCACGAATCTCGCACCGTAAACAACTCTCCTTCGGTACATACAACAAGTATCTCTATGCCGCCGAGGGCGGTGAGGGTGTCGACGTTTACGTCATTGATACCGGTATCAACACTGAGCACGTCGACTTTGAAGGTCGTGCCTCTTGGGGCAAGACTATTCCTAGCGGCGATGAAGATGTTGATGGCAACGGTCACGGTACCCACTGTTCCGGTACTGTCGCTGGTAAGAAGTACGGTGTCGCCAAGAAGGCCAATGTGCACGCCGTCAAGGTTCTCCGATCTAACGGATCTGGTACTATGTCCGATGTCATGAAGGGTGTTGAGTGGGCTGCTGAAGCACACTTGGAGCAAGTTGCTAAGGCCAAGAAGGGCTCTCGCAAGGGCTTCAAGGGATCTACCGCCAACATGTCTCTAGGTGGGGGTAAATCTCCTTCCTTGGACCAGGCCGTAAATGCTGCTGTTTCCGCTGGTCTCCACTTCGCCGTCGCTGCCGGCAATGACAACGCCGACGCTTGCAAGTACTCTCCTGCTGCTGCTGATAAGGCCGTTACTGTCGGTGCCAGCGCTCTCGATGACAGCCGTGCATACTTCTCCAACTGGGGCAAGTGTGTCGATATCTTCGGACCGGGTCTGAGCATTCAGTCGACTTGGATTGGCAGCAAGACTGCTATCAACACTATCTCTGGCACATCCATGGCTTCGCCTCACATCGCTGGCCTCCTTGCCTACTTCCTCTCTTTGCAGCCTGGCAAGGACTCCGAGTACGGCCTCGCCGACATTACTCCTGAGAAGTTGAAGTCCAACATTGTCAGCATCGCCACCAAGGATGCTCTCTCTGACATCCCCAAGGACACCCCCAACCTGCTCGCCTGGAACGGTGGTGGTTACTCTAACTTCAGCAAGATCGTTGAGGAGGGTGGCTACACTGCCGAGACTCCCGCTGACAATACCATCAGCATTGAGGATCTCGAGAAGGCTATCGAGCACGACTTCAACGTTGTTTCCGGCACCGTCGTCAAGGGTGTCTCTTCTTTCTCCGGAAAGGCCGAGGAGCTTTCTCACAAGATCCACCAGGTCGTTGAGGAGGAGCTTAAGGAGTTTTTCGAGGAGCTCCGTGTATAAAGTAATGTAGCAATGTCGTCCTTAGTAGAGCTTGCATGCGCTAAATATTGGGCATGGGCAAGTATGGCATAGATCATTGAGGAGTAGTGTTTTTTGGGCATTCGGTCAACTCGGCCTATTTATATTTGTACACGCAGAAATGGTCTCGGTAGTATGGTTACGTCTTTATTAGGCTTGTCTCGTTATGGCCGGAATAGCAAATTTGTCATTACCTCTCACAATTCTTGAAGCGGTACATGTTTTGGTTAATTAAATTAATGTGTGATAAAGTAAACCGGGTTCTCTAAATGACATTCGTAGAATATCTATTTCTATCTCCAGACGCATCCAACAGTGGTCTCTCACTACGGCCTCGTGCATATTTTATATTCGGTTTTCCTTTCTAGATGCATGTAAGTTAATATACACAAATATTGACAGCAACCTATATGTTGTAATGATAAGCTAACGGGCGCCTACTCACATTTAATATAGTTAACTATTGTAACCAAAGAGTAGAAGGTATAAGGCACTTGCACGCCGTATAAGTGTGGCTCCTACGTTAAAGCAACATCCATCGCGTAAGGAAGGTGGGCTTTCCTCGAGGTCCTCGAGGTTATTACCCTCCTCCTTTATCGAGTCGAACGCGAAATGGCCTTTACTGATTCTATATTTTTATCTTCACATTCCCATCTTAGCACATACATCCATCGAACTTCAGCACTATCATCTCCGAACGAGATCTTCTACGTTGAAAAGGGTGACTTTTTGGTTAGTTTATATTTCAAAGGTTCAAAGGGGTTTCCGAATTAATCCAACTTCACGGTTGGATTGCCTGATCTTTTGGTTTCCGTATGTGGACGCCATTAACTACCGTCTTTAGATTCTATCCTCTGCCCTTATTATATCCAGATACTTTATTCTACCAGGGCTAGAATGCACCGTCGGAATAGCACAAAGTTCTATCACCTCGATCGTCGAAAATCGGCTTCCTCTGCGAAAAGCGTTCATCTAGAACATATCCGTCCTGAGACGGCTAAGCGCGATGCTCAGGCTGCTGCTTCGCAAGCATTTGCAAGAGCTAGGGAACGCTCGAGTACTACGGACACGGTTTTATGGCCACCGCCGCGGAACAGCGATCCGGCTAAGGCCACTGGGTCTAGCAGTATACACGATAGACGCAATAGTAACTCTCCCATCAAGCGCCAACAAAGTGTTCGTTTCGTACGAGAGGATACTACACGCGGTACACGAAGTAATACCGTAGTCGGAAGTATGACGCCAGCCTTCATAACCAGTACATCCCAAGGTAAGACTAATGGAAACAATATTGAGCCTCGACTGGCAAGCAGTGCCTCCGCGGCGGGGATGGTCTCTGCAGCCAAAGGCGCAGCAGGTGACTACATTAATGCACTCCTTACAGGCGAGGAGTATTATACGCCCGAAGACGACATTGCTTCCGTCCCTTCATCCTATCGAAAAATCCGAAAATCCAGGTCGATGTTCACCTGCTCTGAAGCCAGCATTGCTTCACGAGGCGACGATCAAAGCCCATCCTCCATAACAATAAATCAGCTCCCAACGATGTCTATAGGATCCTTAAATAGGGGTGTTGGTGAAAGCATGCCTACGACAAAACTCAAAGCACCCAAATCTATGTCTTTCTTAAGTGGTCGCTATGATCAGTCGATGTTATTCTCCAAGCGCCGTGGAAGCGTTCCTATGGGGCTATCTAGTAACGAAAGCGTTAAAACTCGGACCAATACGGATGTTGCCACGAAGTCGCAACCATCAGTATTCTCTCGTTCAAAGTCTATCAACGCTGACAAGTTTCTCAGAAAGAGTATGAGAGATGGGAGTAACGATACCCTACCAATAGATGGGAAAATTCCCAAAGAAGGCAGTCTAAGGAACCGCGCCCGGAAGGTCTCGAACAGCTTTAAGCACAAATTGAAAAGCTTCTTTAATTTGGGTAAAGGAGATACCGACGGAGCCGAGTTTCCCCCTCAACAAATTGAGGCTTCAAAATCTCATATCATGAGCCCTAATTCTCTGGGTTATACAGGATATGATGAGTTTCAGTTCGAGCCGCCAAGTGACGAAGCGGCGATATCACGCGTCCCTTCAGGAGTTCCGTCATTACATGCCGTCCCGTCATACCAGCAACTTCGTTCACGGCAAGGCAGCGTCGAGAGCCTAAGAAGCGAAAGAAGAGCCTCGGATGAAAGATCTCGCGTGACAAGTTGGTCGAATTCAGACGCCAACACACTTAACACGTTAAGCAGCCAGAAAAATGAATGGGACCGACAGCGTCTATCAGTTATAAAAGAAAATGGGATGCATGTCTCTTCATCATCAGCAAGACCTAATGCCAGTATCTACGGCATCAGTCCAGATACTAGCGTTCGTTCTAGTCAACCACCAATACCACCACAGCCAATAAGCATTGACAGTCAAAGAATCTACTCCGCGCTTATGAAAAGGCTTAATGATACAAATAAGCATTCACGAGGAAGTGGGACTCAAAGGCAAGAAAGTGTCGACGGTTTTGTTGATACGGATACTATACCTCCGAGAGGTAGTTCTCGGGATCATGACAAACCATTGTCTATCTCGCGAGCAACCATTCGCCACGTCATTTCCGACGAGTTCTCAGACCTATCTTCAGCTAGAGCAACTGGATCGAACTCGATTTCAAGTGGTTTAAGGCTTGACGCGAAGCTGGAAGAATCCCCTCCCCATTCTACTGGTAAATTGAACACGAAGAGACAGGAGCTTTCATCCTTTACATCGACAATTAAGAGAAATGAAACCAGCGGGTCACCCTCAGTACCACATGCCGATAAACTCTCACCTCAGGCGAGAACGTTGTCGACTCGTAGCTCGGCCTTCTTTGCCAGTCCTACGTGTCATCTATTCCGCACTCGAAGTCCATACAGGCGTGCACTCCAAGACTCGATGAAAGCCGAACCACAGAATACACAAACCAGGTCCCCAGAGTTTAATCCTTGGATGCGTTCACTGACGAACCTACCCATCAGATGCCCGAGCACATGCGAGTCTGAAGTGGATAAGAAAATGTATTACGCGGAAAGTGTGTACTCTTGTACAACAGACGAGCCATTGACTGGGCCGCCGAACAACAACGTATCTCAAAATATATTAGATAATTCGCTAAGGCATCCAACTACGCATGGAGATGCCACAATATTTGTCAGTCCTCCTGTCTACCGGCCTCCTCCGCCCCCGCCACCGCCTAAACAAAGGGTCACATCTTCGGCAAGTTCTGTGGAATGGAAAACGTGGCTTTCTGCTAACGTTTCGAAACTCGAGGGCACGCCTGGTCGTACGGACACAAATGTCATGGAATACGCCGTACCATCGACTCATCCATCAGGCCATATTCGCGAAGAAGCCCAGATAAATGATGAGGATGAACATGTTCCATTAGAAGTATATAAGCCTACACGCCCGGACAGCGCGCTGGCAGAAATCGAGAACAGTGCGAGAGCATCCCCCCAAACCCCACGACATGCTCCGAAGGATCCATCCCCAGTTTATGACTGCGGAAAAGAAAATGAGGTTCCGGAACGATCTACGATCCTTTCTAAAAGTGTATTACGTACCACGCCATCGTTAGCAAGTATGAAATCGGGTACCCATGAAGCAAATGCGTCTGTAAAGAAAGGTGTGTTCGATTCCAATCACCGGAAGTCTCTCAGACACACGCCCTCTCTCAATACCCTTGCGGGTAATTCTACTCCAACTTCAACTAGGAAATTGGTAAGAAGGCAGCCAGGATATAAGGTCCATGCTACGCCTACGACGAGCCCAGGACTTGGGTTAATAGTTGATAAAAGTTCAGGAAAGTATAGTGGATCAACTAATTCGAAGCGCATATTTGGCACAATGGCATTAAACAAAACGGAAAATGTCAGCCCAAAAGATGCCGTCGAGGCTAATGTTGACTCGTACGGTGTTCAAGGGTCTGGTATCATTGGCCCAGGGGCCGACGCGAAATCAGAGTCGATAGGAAGCAAGAAGATAGTTGATCTCTTCCTTAGTAACCGGCGCAAGCGCATAGCGAGCGGCGAAGATGGTGGTGTGTTCTCATAATAGACGTGTACAACAGTTATCGGTTGGGTAATATTGAGTTGGTTGTGAAAGGGGGACAGGGAATTAACTTGAAGCACAGCACTTGTGTACTACGGCTTTTTCGAGCATCTTAGGCATAAGGAGAAGGAGCTCACAGCATTATACGATACGGCTATAAAGAACAGACGTATCGATACGAGGAGTGTATAAAAACACCATACAAACCATCGCTTAGTATGAATGGGGAAATGGCTACTTACTTACGTCAAGAATTCCCGTTAGAGCAGCCATACGATTGTAATAGAAGCAAATTAGTTCTAGATACTGTTTTTGGGCGAGCTTGGTTATGCGAATTGCTTGAAAGTGGACATTTGTATGGTCGTATGAAGGCGTTTTCACGTCCTCATGGGTAATCCCTCGGGGAGAGGGTAGAGATGTTACCTCAACAGTCCATAGCTTAAAGAAGACCAAGATGTATATTGTTTCAAAGACGTGATGTCAAGCTAGTGATACAGATCATAAGTTCATAACGCGTGCTTTTCGACCTCCCTTTTCCAAGCCAGTTGTCAGGTAAACATTCAGAATCCGTAAATTCCGGCCACGTACCATTCCGTACACGTCCTATCCTACATCCTGCTAGGCTGCCATATCCTACACATCTTCAAGCTTAAGATCGACTCTTAACCAGTTCGCTCTGCGCCGTAGCAGTCGGGCCTCCCTTGACTCTCTGGCCCCCTGTAACCTGCTTTTCTCCCTCAGTGATATCGTGGAGATTCTGACTGTTTATAGGCTCATTAGCGTGACTCTGGGCCTGCGCCGTGGGACCCCCCTTTACGGGCTGGTCTTGGCCCGTCAGTTTCTTCTCCGCGCTGTGGATTGCGGATATGGTGTGCGAGTCCAGTTTTCCGGTGTGTTGCGGGGCGGGATTGGCCGTCTATATATAATAGGGGAAGTTAGTTATGGGCGGGGTGATACTTATATATACGGTTTGAGGTCCGGGCGAGAACTTACGGAGGAGGCAATGCTTTGAGCGTGGGCTGCGGGACCGCCTGATACGGGAACGCCACGGCCTGTTACTCTTTTCTCTCCCTGCGTGACGTCGGATACCACGTCGGAGGAGACGGGCTGGTTGGCGTGTTTTTGCGCTTGAGCCGTTGGACCGCCGGCCACAGGTCGGTCTTGACCCGTGAGTTCCTTCTCCCTGGCTGTGATTTCGGAGATGGACTGCGAGTTGAGAGCTCTGTTATTATTGGTCATGATGAGTATCTTTGGGACAGCTGGTCTAGAGCTCGCCGCGATGCGTGAGCTAATATTGGGTAGTCTAAAGATGTTGGTAGTTACGGATCGAGACATGATTTCGAGATTAGTTCGTATAAGTGGTTGTTGTGTAAGCGGGGGAAAGCTTTCCATGTAACTAACCACAAGGTTTAATATATATATATCTTTGGCAATTGTCATAGAGGGATGCTTTCGGGGGTTCCTTAGAAGGCTGGATTAGAGCTATATTTTTAGTCTATGATGATTTGAACGTCATATAAGACCAAACAACCCCATATCTGACCTCATGTGTTGATCTTGTCCGTTTGTACCTGCGGTGGCGGCGCCATCGAGCAAACCGGATACAACTCCGGTTCTGCTTTGACAGCTATAAGCACCTCTAGTTATCCAACACTATAGCTTTTCCATATATGTGAGACGTAACATTAGAAACAATTTCTGTCAAACCTAGCTCTTAGAGAGCAACTACAAGTATATATGGCTATACTCAGTATAGCCTGCTGAATGGGGAGTAGAGATGTGAGCTCTGATAGATGACGTCAAGCGCTGCTGTGGAACTTATTGCCAAGACTTTCTAGTTACTGTTTAAATGTTTATAGAAATGTTCGGTCAAGTTTATCTTATAAGAGATAGCCCGATCGTAGCTCATCTTGAGTAAAAAGAGTGTATGAGAATTATTAAGAGCTCCACTCCTTACTATATAGTATATATTATAGCGCTTCGGTGAAGTCGTATATTTTGTAGCATCGCTTTTTGAAGACTAGTTATAGGCATAGTCTTAGTATTCGATTATAATAGTTTCAAACGCAGCTTTCTACCTCGGTAGTGCAACTGCATATACCTCCATATCAGACCCAAGTGACTCTTCAGGCTAAAATCATACACATAAGATTCGCTGTTTCTCCCATTTACCCCAATGTCTTCGATGACAGAAATAGCTTCTCCCCGCAATATTCATCTCGTCCGCATATTGGGGTCGCATTGCTTATTTCCCATCTTAACCGCGACGGTCTAGAGAATCTAGACCGTTATACCGGTAGACCATATATAGCCACGTGGGGACGACCCTGAATTGGAGGTAGTCAGGGCTTAAATGGTTACGGAAACAATTTGTTTTTGAGCAATAATGGCTTTTAGGGTGGCGACGAGCGTTATCGCGCTCTTGACCGTGAAAAGTGTAGTTGCTAGGGACTTTCCTAACTGCCAATCTGGTCCTGTAAGTAGACGGAGAAACTCCTAACTAGATGGAAATTCCCATCATGGCCAGCCATCGTGAATCGCTAATATCCGTGAAGCTTGCTTCTAACCAAGTATGCAATACTACTCTTGACCCATGGTCGAGAGCGGCTGCTGTAAGAACACCAATATTATCGGAATAACCAAACAGACCATAACTGATGTCTCTATATAGCTTGTGGCCCAGTTCAGTCATGACGAGAAGATATCTAATTCCTGGGACAACTCGCCAGGAGTTTCGCGTCTTGGTGTACCCTCCTACGAATGGTGGAACGAGGCACTTCACGGTGTTGCCCGCTCTCGCGGAGTACAGTTCGCCAACTCGGGCAATTTCAGTTACGCGACATCGTTCCCTCAGCCTATAACCATGGGCGCAGCTTTCGATATGCCATTGATACGATCCGTGGCCGAAACCACGAGCACCGAGGCCCGCGCGTTCAGCAACGCCGGTCGGTGCGGTCTGAACTTCTGGACTCCTAATATTAACCCGTTCCGCGACCCCCGTTGGGGCCGAGGACAGGAAGTGCCTTCTGAAGATCCATACCATATGAGTCAATACGTGATGCAACTCATACCAGGGCTCCAAGGAGGCCTACACGGGAACCCCTTTTATAAGCTCGCAGCTACATGTAAACACTACGCTGGTTACGACATGGAGAACTGGAAGGGGAACCGGCGATACGCTTTCGACGCTAAGATCACTAACCAGGACTTACAGGACTACTACCTTGCTCCATTCCGTGCGTGCGTACGTGATGCGAACGCCCAGTCGGCCATGTGCAGTTATAATGCTGTAAACGGTATACCGACCTGTGCCGACCCCTGGCTACTAGAAGATGTATTGCGCGGCTTATACGGGTTTACTAGCGAGGACCGCTGGGTCACAGCCGATTGTGATGCCCTACAAAACGTCTGGACGGATCACCGCTACGGCTCCTCAGCTGCAGGTGCCGCCGCAGCGAGTTTGAATGCCGGCACGGATCTCGACTGCGGCCAATTTTGGCCTCAGAACTTGCCCTCAGCTTATAACTCTCGACTCTTCAACGACACTGTTCTCGACCGCTCGTTGATCCGGCGTTACGCGTCTATGGTTCGACTGGGCTGGTTCGACCCGCCGGCGCAGCAGCCGTATCGACAACTCGCATGGGACTCGGTAGCAAAGCCGGAGGCTAAGGCACTTGCCTTGCTGGCCGCGCAGGAGGGTATTGTGCTGTTGAAAAATAATGGTAGCGTACTGCCCCTAGCTCAGTCCATAAAGCGCGTGGCTGTCGTTGGACCCCTCGGAACCGCAACGACGCAAATGCAAGGGAACTACTACGGCATTGCGCAGAGCATCTCGACGGTAGTTTCGGCGTTTAAGGCCGCGGGATATGATACCTCTAACGCGCAGGGATGTGCCATCACAGGAACCTCTACATCTGGGTTCTCCGCAGCGCTGAATGCAGCCAAGGCAGCAGATGCGGTTGTATTCGTAGGCGGCATCGATACTAGCATCGAGGCTGAAGACCGTGATCGCGAACAGATTACGTGGCCAGGACAGCAAATAAATCTGATCAAACAGTTGGTAGCAGCCAATATCGACAAGCCGTTTGTAGTCGTGCAGATGGGAACTATGCTCGATAGTTCAGAGGTAAAAGCACAGACAGGCGTGGACTCGCTCTTGTGGGCTGGATACCCCGGACAAGACGGCGGCGCGGCGGTGGTTAGTATTTTGACTGGTGAGAAAGCGCCTGCGGGAAGGCTTCCGGTGACGCAGTACCCGGGAGACTATGTAAACCAGGTTCCAATGACAGATATGAACTTGCAGTCCGGTACTGGAAACCCCGGGTAAGTGGCCCCTTAATCCAATCATCTATCCATGATGTTCAGTGAGAGATTTTAATTAACAAATATCATAGACGGACTTACAAATGGTACACCAAAGAGCCCGTATTCCCCTTCGGCCACGGGCTTCACTATACCAGCTTCAACGTATCTCTACCCACCGACCTTCCCACCACATTCTCGACCGCAGACCTTACATCCAACATCTCATTCATAGAGACCGGCCCCGTCGCCTCAGGCAACTACCCCGACCTAGCACCATTCCTCTCGATCCCCGTGTCAGTAGCTAACACAGGAAACATCACGTCCGACTACGTCGCCCTCGCGTTCCTAAAGGGCGAGTACGGTCCCGAGCCATACCCGCTCAAGAGCCTGGTGGGCTTCACCCGGATCCACGACATCAAGCCCGGCGAGACGGGGACAGGAGCGCTAGACCTTAAGCTTGGCGCTATATCGCGTAGCGATAAGGATGGCAGTTTGACGCTCTGGCCGGCGAAGTATAAGCTAGTGCTTGATATCGACGATCGCGCAGCGTGGGATTTTGAGATCACGGGGGACCAGGTGGTGTTGGAGAAATTACCGCCGAAGAGGTCGTGAAGAAAAAGAAAAAAAGGGGGGATAGGGGAATTTGGGGGGGGGGGGGGTGCCACTTGTGATATATATATATAGTAAATAAGATCACAGTTTAGTAAATGTTCGCGAAAAAGCTGCATAGGTACATAAGTCAAAAAATCAGTGCTACAGATATCAAAGAGGAGTTGGCTCAATGGTCAGGACCAACAGTCAGTACGTATGGACCACCATACATGCTTGAAAAGAAGAGGGGTTCGAATCCCCATGATGGCAAAAGTTCCTGATGGTTTTCAGGTTGTATTCACACTTTTCGACACTTTATCTGCGAGAACTTGAAGGGTATAAGGTACGGCCCTTATCGCTTCCATGTGTGAATACAATTTGGGAATCTGAAGAACATCCTCCCATCATCAGGGCGGTGGGATGACCAAAATTTTTTATACTTTTTATTGTAGTATATACCATACCTAAGGTACTTTAGGTAGGTACCTACCTACGTATATTAATATTAGTGATAAACTGAGCTGGGCACCTATGTATATTATTTAAGAAGCTAATGAATCTAATTTCCTCAGTTAATCGACACGGCATAGTCGATATCCAACTTCCTTCCAGCGATCGTTGCCTACGCAAGGGTGGCACCAGAAGACATCATCTGGGTCTACGGCGCGCTTGATCTGGAGTAGACGGTCGTAGTTATCTCCCCAAAAACTTTGCCGCCAGTTTGGTTCTCCGGGGTTATTCTATATCTTTTATTAGCCACTATATTATTCGTAAGGAGGTAAGTGAAGTACCTCGTTCAAATAAGATCCCATTTCAGATGCTAGTTTTCTAAGTGGTTCCACTCTAGCATTAATTTCAACAAGGGCTTCCTCCTTGGCGGTCTGATTTAATGGTTGGAAACTTAAACCGGTTACTTGAGGTGATATAGAATGTTAGTCTTGGCTAAGAAGGATAGGGGTGAGATTAAGCTTGCCAGCATGGACGATAGTCTTCCTCCACGACGGATTCACAGAGTCGCTGCCTCCTCTCGGCTTGGCATTCTTAGTTCCCTGGCCGGCTACGAGGAAAACCTCTCCGTCGAAGACCTTAAAGGCCTCGCCTACGGCGGTTGCGTTCTTCGTCAAAGCTTCAGCGTCTAAGAGGTGAGAGCCGAGCCATTGATCGGTACCCGCGCTGCCCTGATCGTAATGGGTATTAAACCAGTCCTGTAGCTGGGCATATGTCTGGGGTATTACTGCCGGGGTTACTTCTGGCCAGGTCTTGTTCACATGCTCTATAATCGGGTTCCATACATCAAGCATGTCGCTTACATCCTGCGTATCTAGTAAGAGGAAGAAGCCGCCCATACCGGCCCCAGTTGTTGGGACGCCGGGGTACGAGAAGTTGCCCGAAACAATGCTGTACCCTGATATACCCTTGGAGTCTAGGTAAGGGTATTGAGAGAGCAAATACCCCGCCATCTCCGCAAAGTACGGCGCATCTACCTCAGGACTCAAGATGCTTACTGTGGCTGCCACAACTTTTGGCGAGGGATATGTGGTCAGTGTAACCGAAGTTATAACTCCGAAGGTTGAGCCACCTCCCTAGATTAAGCAATATAAGTTAGTACCTATGTTTGATGACATTGGCAAGGATAGACCTACGCCTCGCATGGCCCAAAATAAGTCCTGATTCTGGCACTCGTTCGCCACAACGATATCTCCCGCGGACGTCACGACTTCCATTTCCAGGATTTGGTCCGCACCAAGTCCATATCGAGGAGCGAGGATAGAATGTCCACCACCAGTCAGATATCCACCAACACTGACAGATTTGGCGTTACCACCAACTATGATCTGACCTATCTTGCCGAGCTCCTCGTAAAGGTTTGCAAGCTGAGATCCGGGTCCTACCGTTGCAGCCGTGCTGTTGAGAGTGAAGTCGCACCCTTGTGGCTGGAATGACGTGTGTGTTTCCAGGGTTTGCATATGGTGCGTCCATATCGAGAGGGCTCCTGGGGCTTGTGATCTGCCCTGGTAATCATGGCCGGTGCTCTTCACTATTATTCTAATGTTATATTTACGTGCTGTAATGAGATATTAGACGGTAAAGTTCGTCACTGCGGCTTACTAGGTTGATAGGTTTGCAAGAAACTTACCAAAATCTATACTCGACTTGACATCCTGAGCGGTTGTCGCGTTTACAACGTATGCAGGATATCCGTCAGGGCTGCACGGAGCATTTGGGTCGGGAAGGCAGGTGTCATTGTTGTACTGGTTCCACATGCTTGAGATCGGATCATTTTGGGAGAAGTCGTAGGTGAGCCATTCTTGAGCGATGATTGTGCACTGTTCGGCGTTGTAAGTAAGCTGTCCAGGATGGCAGACGGCTCCTGGAGGAGTCGCTTGGAGAAGCTTTCCTCCAGTAGATTGATTGAACTGGACCCAGGTTTCGGTGGAGGGCCACTCAGGAGAACCGGGGGCGGCCTTACAAGCTGCTGCCGGGTGTTGTCTGCCGGTTGTCCTTAGCTGCCCCGAGAAGGCATCGCTGTAGGCGAAGACGGACGTCAGAGCAAAAAGTCTCAACGAAGCTGCCATAGCGCTGTTAGTGAAACCTACGACTAATTCTTACGACTAATTGAAAGGTGATAATGAACTCACACAGCAGTTAATATGAGCGGATGTGACGAGCTTCATATATCAATTTGCAACTCCATTTTCAGCTCACCAACTCCCCAACTCCGGCTTCAGCTGACGTATGTTGTGGATAGGTGACCAACAGCTACGCTGTGCCGTATAGCAGTCCTATTCCGCATGAGGGTTGTTATTGGAGCTATGGTATATTTATGAGTTGTGGCTATGTAAACCCCTTGCCCCTTGTATGTTGTATTGGATGAAGCCCAGGCGCTGACCCCTTTTACATGTACTAAGTATCTAAACCGAGGACAGTAAGCTACCTACCTATGAATTGACTGGACTTCTTATTCAAACATAGGCGAAATGAATACGGAATAGAAGCTGATTTGTAATCAAGAATGAATTGGCGGCCCTCTTAAGCAGGTAGGCTTGAATTATGACCAGTATGATTGATGGCGTGGCTGAGCAGCAAGACAGACGAAATACCATTAACTCTCTCGTTCTCGCTCTCGTTAAACATGGAAAGCTCGGGGAGGTGGAGTAAGTTGTAGCGTAGGTAGGTAACTTATATCATATATCGATCTCTACGGAGTATCTCCGCGGGGTTTCAGACTCCTGCTTTATACCATTTACTCACCAGGTATAGTATCCCCATCATAATTAAACCCAACTAACTCTACTATACATCATAAATCTTTCTCGACTTAAGTAAACAATTTAGGAGATATTTCAGCGCCGGTTTCTCGCTTCAATTTCGGAGTTAGCAGCCATCTATGACGAGTCGCTATTCTTGCGCAGGCCGATTCACGTCGGTAGTATCAGAACTACCTTCTAAGCCGTCGCCCTTTTTCTTTTCCTCCAAGCCGAATTCTGTTTCTAGCTGTGTCCGTAACATTATCTCCTTCTCAAGGAAACAGAGCAGGAATCCCAGTAGCGCGAAAGCCAGAGAGACCTGCCATATCAACTGCAAGCTACGCGTGTAAACGTCAATAACACGGCCTCTCTGAGGTTCTGGGAAGCTTCGTATGAAGTCAGCATTAGCATACTCGTATGCATTCCCACCAGATAGCCGGACCTCTATCTGCGAGTCGTCGATGCGCCAAGATTCGGTTGCGAACTTCGCATTGAAGATAGCTGCAGGAATCGAAACACCCCATATTGAACCATAGGCACGCACGAACGCAAATGCGGCAGTAGCGGCAGCTGTATCGGACTCTGGAAGATCAGCTTGCACAGCCGGAAGGTTGGTGGACATCATAATACCAAGGCCGAAAGCCGCAATGATCTGAATAATGACCCATTCGGCGGTAGAAGTGTTTCGATTGAACCGTGAGAAGAGGCCAAAGCCTAAGGCTATCAGCGCAAAGGCGATGATGTGCAGCGGCCGGTATCTCCCGGTTTTCGTCAGGACAACACCAGCGATAGCCCCAGTGACTACCGACAGAAGAGCGGTAGGCAGTAGCGCAAGGCCAGATATAGTTGGCGACATCCCGAGGACTGCTTGGAAGTAGATGGGTAAAAAATACAAGACCCAAAACAAACAGATGAAGTTAATGAAGGCGATTATCAAAGCCGCAGCTGGTGTGCGACGTTTGAAGACTCGTTCCGGTAGTGTTGGATAATCCCTAACCCACGGCGCCCCTTCATATATGTGGAAAAGAACTAAGCCGAAGACACCTAGGAAAAGAGGTACGAGGATTTGATATGATTTCCATTCGTAGCGTGTTCCTCCCCACGAAAGGGCGATAAGAACAGAGACGACGCTCCCAATGAGAATAGCATTTCCCATGTAGTCAATTTTCTTGAGCCTCTCGACGATAGATGTCTCTTTATCATAATTCACTCGGAGGAAAAGTAGGTGCAATATTAGGGCCGCTCCGGACACTGGGAGGTTAATATAAAAAACCTGAATATAAAAGGACAGTTAGCAATGCTAGTCAGACTACCAAAGAGACTCAAAATAAACACTTACCCATCGCCAAGTAGTGCCATCAACAATAGCACCACCCACCAAAGGTCCAACGGCGGTTCCTAGAGAGAAGACGCCAAACACGATACCCATATACGCACCACGCTGACGCAGGGGAATAAGGTCAGACACAACCAATTCGATGAGGAGATTAACACCGCCGCCCCCTATTCCCTGAACCGCACGCCCAGCGATCATCATAGTAGCAGTATTTGCTCCGCCAGCGATCCCGCTACCGAGGGCGAAGAGGCTAACGACTGCTATCATCATCCACCGGCGGCCGAAGAGATCGCACATCTGGCCGATAAGGGGTAGAAATGCGGTACTATAGAATAATGAAAGTCTGAGTTAGCAAAAGACTAAAGACTTCATCATTCTCGAGGATACGAATAGGGGACGATTTACCTTGTCAGGAAATACGCATTGACAAACCAAACGTATAGGTCTCCGGCGTTGAGTTCACGGGCGATAAACGGGAGAGCTGTTGAGACTACGGTGGACTCGACGGCTGCTAGTAGAGTTGTGAAGCAGATAGCTGAGAACACTGCCCAGAAACGCCAGTCTCTCGGTAGAGTAGCCGGTGGACCGTCATTGTCATGGTTGACCGGAAGGTGGTCTCCAGGTAAAGAGTCCGGTTGGTCCTGCAAGGGCTCTCCTCTTAGACTTTCGCTTCCCATATCTTCAATAACACTCGGTGTATACAGAGTTCTCTATATAAAAGTTTGCAGATAGGATTAGTAGAGATAGGAGATCCGCTAAGATCCGAAGCAGACTTTATATGATATTATCAAAATTAGCTAGGGGTAGTCTTTGAACCCCCATAAGAAGATTTCTAAGAATTCTAACTTCCCCATGGTAATATTTGTTGTATTCTCCCCGCAACAGGGGAAATAAGTTCTCAAAGATGCTATGAAGGTTACTAATACAGCCGTTTTGAGGCCTGCCGGGGACTTCCTAATAAGGCAATTCGCCGACTGTGGGCCCCCCGGTGCGCCGGCCGTGATCCACATCTGCTTGTTCTTGCCGAATCTTTAATGTACACTAGAGGTTACCCCCCGGGGCAACACAAAAGCCTAAGGTTTACACCGCACTATGTTTCTATGCTATTTTTATTTTTATTACATATTGGCGACCTATCCCTTATTAAACTGGAAAGCACCCTTACGATAGACCGAATTTACTGCTATTATACGGCTGGACAATACTTCCAGTAGCTTCGAGACCCGAGTAATAAAGAAGCCTTAAACATATGCAGACCGATTCATTTCACCTTTTACTGCTTTTTATAAGGCAGGAAAATTATCTGTAAGGTAGCAAGGCATGTGTCCCAAATAGGAAATAAACCTTAGGCATACCTAAGGGACTCACGTGTGCAAATTCGCTCGTAAGAACCTTAGAACTTATACATCGTGAGGTCAGTTAAAACCCCAAGGATATGTGTAGTCTGGTTGGCTGCATTTCACACCGCTTTCCTGGGCAGTATTCCCCCAACATTTAGGTAGGTTCCTAGGTACCTAGACCTAACACACCTCATGGTAGGACACAAGTCTAAATCTCAGCCTCATCCCATGGTAAAGGATTCATATCAACATCAACCATCATGTCTTATATAACAGAACTCTGTCCCGCATGTCGCAGTGTCTTATGTCCCGAAAACGAAATACGGGACGAGGGGTATGCAACAGTTGAACTGAAGCCTGAAGCGTTCCAATCAGCCGTCAAACAAGGCTGCGCTATCTGCTCCATTATATGGAACAAAACCGAACAACAGGCAAAGACCTGGTTCCAAACTCTACCCGAGGCTTGCATTAAACTAGAGTTCGATTATTCCTCTATCGAACCAAAGGGAACCTCGCTTTTTGTTTATTATACTTATCCTACATCAGATTCATTCGATATCCTGTCCTTTCATATCATTCCAGCTGATGGTGTGCCTAGGATTGAGCCAAGTACTTCATCAACTAGCTCATTGACAGCAGCATACAATTGGTTCCAGGGTTGTTGTTCCACCCACACAAACTGTAATTCGAAAATATTTGCAAAGGCCGGGTGGTACCCAACTCGTCTCGTCGATATCGGTCATAAGGAAAGTTCTCATTGGAGGCTTCTGGTTGTCTCCGAAGACGGGATCTCTCCGCAGTCAGCTCCGTATATGACACTAAGCTATCGATGGGCACCAAACCCCAAGCCGATCCTCTTGGCTTCTAATATCGACGAATTCCGTCATGGTAAACCAATTAAAGATTTTCCCCAAACATTTAGAGATTTTATCGTCGTCGCACGAAGATTCTCTATTCGATATATCTGGATCGACGCACTTTGCATTATCCAAGACTCCAGGGGAGACTGGGAGATAGAAGCACCGACTATGAGATTTGTATACGCCAATTCTATATGTAATGTTGCGGCATCAGTATCAAACTCGCCCAACGAAGGGCTTTTCCGCTCACGGGATATAGACAAACTGAACGTGAGAATAGTGCCCTGTTCACTATACTCCGGCAAAGAAGAACCGTCTTATATTTATGAGGAATTCTGGGACGAGACTATTCCTGAAGCACCGCTTCATAAGCGAGGTTGGGTCCTCCAAGAATGTATACTTGCCTCCCGTGTCCTATATTTTGGAAAGAATCAGATCTTTTGGGAGTGTCTGACTAGACGGAAATGCGAGCTTCTCCCGAATGGTCTTCCTTTAGAGGAACCATCCAGGAGAGACTTGATAGACCTGTTACATCAGGCAGATACCTCTAACTCACGGAAGATGAGCGATGACCTAAGTGAACTCTGGATCCGGTATGTTAATGAATATTCTCGATGTACGTTGACAAACCCGTCGGATAAATTGGCTGCGATAGCAGGCATTGCCCAGTTATTCCAGGATTTCACGGGCGACGAATATATCGCTGGCCTGTGGAAGTCAAGACTAGTTGAGATGCTGAACTGGCGGGTTCTCATGCCGCGAGAACTTAAATCCCTGGACTATCGAGCGCCATCATGGTCCTGGGCTTCAACGGAAGGAGATTTAAATTTTGAAGTTCACTATGACGTTGAATTACCTGAACTAGTTGATGTCCCTTTGCCTGGACCATTTGATGTGCGCCTGCCTGAACTACTTGATGTCTGCGTTCGAGCGCGGGGTCCGCACAATATGACAGGCATCTTGGAAGGCTCTATTACGTTAAGAGCTAATATACTTGTAGTCACTTCTGGTGGTAATCAAGGCCATGATAGATACTCTGTATTCGACGATACTGGACGGTCCATTTGTCTCGAGTTTTACCCAGACAGACTAAATATCGACTTGCCAGAGGGAGATAAACTGACTTTAATGCATCTTCGTCCTAAATGGGGGTGGTTTTTGCACTATCTCGTTCTAGTGGAAGTTTTTGTTCCAGCTGGCTCAGAAGTTCAATATCGGCGTGTGGGATATGCTTTCCCCGAAAACGAGAAGTATGAAGAGGAATGTAAGGATGAGTATGACTATTTCATGAGCCGTAGTTCAGTTGAGAACATTACTATTGTGTAAGTTTAAATAATATTCCGGTTCAACCGCTATAAAAAATACTTACCTTAAGATAGATAAGTACAATCTAAGGATGACAATCCCTTCCACAATGAGTTCGAACCATGTCGATATATTACGGGTAGCAAAATATACGCATTCTAAAACTATTGGAATATCATTCCATACTAGTAGACGACTACCTACTCTAAGAGGACTTGTTTGTTTCTGTTTCAGACTATTTTGCTACAAGTATTCGGACGCTGAGGTATAATAATGTTTTCACTAAAGCGCTACCCAAACGCAAGGGACTGATTTTACCTATCAGTGCATAAACTAAGATGATGGGTGGTGCTCCTATCGGTATGGGGATATTGATAATGTATTCGGTGGGGGTGTATATATTTTAAGGAGATGCCGTCGCTGTTAAGTTGTGGTTGAATATCGGAATGAAGTGCCTGATTGACAATTATCCTGATATTATTATATCATAAGTTAGGTTGCACAATAGATTTCCTAAGATCTTCAAATAAACCGAACAACGCATTTTCCCTGGTTCGAATCGCGTTCCGTGCTAAATCCGGCACAATAACCAAGGACGTACCACCGAATGACTGGAAGTCACCTCTGTACCCAGGCGTCTGCTTAGGGAAAGTCGCCTCTGCAACTAGTACCTTCGCCCGCGCCATCATTGCATCCATAGAGTTGATAAGAAAAATCGACTGCGTCTCTGGCTTTGAGGACAAGGAGAACGAGCCTACGGTGAAGTCTGGCATTCTAAAAGGGTACTGGACGGCGTTGTTAGGCGGTTTATGCTCGATAGAGGCTTGTATGAGTCGGAGTATCCTGTCGTAAGTCTCGATCAAGCGGAGATAGCACGAGTACATGAGTAGTTCCGAGGAAGCGTCTAAAGAAAATGGGGGGAGCTTGTTTCCGATCGTATTCTCGGTAGTGATATTCTGAGGGGGTGGTAATCTCGAACAGATATGATTTATAATGTCTATAAATAATTGCGTTATGTGGAAAGTCTCCTCTATATCAAATTGTTTGGCCCCTGGTTGCGACGGGGCACTAATAGTATTGCTAATAGTATTGACTTCCGGGACCGCGTTCAAGTGGCGCATTAAGCGAATATTGAGGTTCGATAACCTTTCGAGTAAAGATATAAGATCCGGATTAGACTCCTCGGTGGTCGATGACCCCTCTCTCAAGTCTAGTCGGCCGGGATCCCACCTCATGGCTGCCGACGACGACGATTCAGGGGTATAATTTGGCAGGGTTAAAGGGTTTATAGCGAGATGCTGCTTATTAACCACGGCGTTTAAATCAGACACGTCGATATCCATCTGAGATGGTTCGGCATCAATTGGTAATTCTTGATCGCTAGCCTGAGTAGACGCAATCTGAGTTCGACGTCGTGATGTTGCCGGAGGGCTAGAAACACATTCAGCGTTAGCGCGGCTACAGCGCTGACACGGTTCATCGTCGTTATCCCTCAGGCATTTTGATTTAGATCTGTGGCATCTGTCACAAGCCCGTCTCAGCTGGTTTTGGCGGATAGGTTGAAAATGTATCATAGTGCCGTCTGTAGTGCCGCCTGCTAGGCATTAATTAATGTCTGTAAAATAGGTAGTGAATTATTGATGCATCCTTCATCTTATGACAGTGTTATGCATATACTGAGATTAAATATGCCGTTATCAGTCATAAGTATTAATAACGGCAACGTAAAGTGTTCCTTCAACCCCTATTCATTATACTAACATTTCAAACAACCACTAGACACTAAACCAACTTTAGATAGAGTTGAACACATGTCCAAGTCACTTTTAACCTTTGAACTCTTTCTCTTTCCCATCCAACCTTACCTTCGTCAGTGCGGCAGCAAGTCTGCACATTTGTTCCGGGTCCTCGGACACTTTCGTCCACAAGGCATGCACGTCATCCCCAATTCCAATCGCCCCCGCCGTTTTCAAGCTTCGTGGGTCTACAAAAGGCGCCAGGCAGGTCCAGATATGCTGTGCTGTATCAAAGAATATATTGATACCGACATCGCCTAGACCCTTGATGTTCTTGAGTTCTGCCCTAATCTTTGTCGGGTCCCCGGAAGTCAGTTTGAGAATCGTGTTCAGATCACCTTCTAAAGATGCGCATTGTTAATTATGATACGATCGTCTCTGAATATGACTTATATGTGACTCACCGTACTTATCCTCGATGAGTTGGGCGAGGTCTCCCATCATAGTTGCTGTCTTTTCTCTAAGTGTTTAGTTAGTAACTACTTGTCTTGATCGCGCAGTAGAATAGCAACCGTACCTGTAGTGCGTATAACCGCCTTCAGTCAGGACCTGGGTTCTTTCCTCCCAAGTACTTTTCTTCAAAACATCAAGCTTATGATATCCAGCCTTGATCACTAGATTGACAGTCTTAGAAGCCAATGCATGAGAGATTCTCGTCGAGGATAGCATTGCATTCAGTATCAACGCGAGGACAGTATCTGGAGTAGGTTTATCCGGATCAGATAAATCCGTCTGGCTGAGTGGTAGCTCTCCATACCGAGAGATCAACTCGCGAATCTTGGAATTTGATAGACTCTCTTCGTCTTCATTCCCCTTTGCCTCGATTCTATTATGAGATCCGGTTTTCTTCTGCTTTGTCTCTGGCTCCTGTGCTTGCGTAGTTGTTGTGGTTTTGCTATGGGACCGCTTTTCGCCAGAATTTGGCTCATGGGTCTTGTCCTGCGAGCGAGTTGTAACCATTGTCACTTGGGCTCTACCTAATTATAAGGGCATTTACTATATGAAACGTTTGATCTTAAAATATAATTATATAAGTTTATATTCAACTTCAATAATGATGTCATGAATTACTATTATATTTGGTTCCCCGCGCATCGTAGGATCCAAGGATTTGGTACCTAATTTATATCACATCACTATGATGGTATCAAAACCAAAGAAGACAAGGTGGGGCCGAAACTACCCCTATAATATTATATAGATGTTTATCATATTATTATTTATGATATGTTCATCATGTTTATCATATTCATCGTGATCAATACTGGCAGCATAAAGCAGCTTGCGGGATGAGCTATTATTATGTAGTATTGCAAGAGTGCCTAATAAATAAGGGCTTATACTTAGAGCTCCACGTCCAGCAAATCTATCAATCGTTTTAACGAACCCTATCACATGAGGGCTCATAGTCGATCGTCGTCGAGCATCCCTTACCCCAGCGCTTGTGTCCGCAGTGGTGACAGCCGTGCTTCCGAATATCCTGGTAATCCCACCATATATCGTTGCCAGACCTCACACAACTCGGGGGTCCTTGGATGAGGATTGCGCAACCGAAATCGGTACCTACGCCGTGACAAGTTCCAAGATGTGGTTTTCCGCTTCTTCAAGGACGGGTTAGCCAACGTTGCTTCGAATGTTGTAGTCATGGGTAAGCTAACTTACCCAACAGCTCCATAGTTGAGATCGTCATTTCTGATGATTTTGTAATTGACGCCTTCGTCGCAGTCTCGTACCTTTACAGTACTGCACATTATACTTCCCCGGCAATCGAATTCCGGCGAACCCGTCTTTTCCAGAGTACGGTTCTCATAGGCGAAGCTGATGTTGTTAGGGATTGCAGAGGCGTTGAGCGCGGCTACGAAGGCCGTCGAAACTAAGATGCTTAAACGCATATTTGTAGCGATAGGACTTGAGATCTTTTTAAAGTGTTTTCTGTGTTAAGATTATTCGTTGTGGTTGAATATGATTTTGAGAAGACGTAGGAACTAGAAGATGCGAACTTCGTGGCCTCTTTATATGATACCCTTTCCAAACTAGAGTTCATAAAGCTTGCGGTAGCCTCTATTGGCATATATAGGGTTAAATATATGACACGCCCTGGCATTTATAAGGTTCATAAAGACACTATTCTTGCGGAAGTTTAGTATCAGATCTTAAAGCAGGTGTTATCTAAGATTCGCAGGTTCCTATGGCTTGGTCCCTTTCCACCATCGAGGAACTCAAAAGGGACCTGACACTGACTATTATATTGAGTCCACAGTCAGGTCAAGAAGCTTCTTCAAGTTTATTAACCCACTCCTTCCAGACCGCACCAATATCATTCTTATAAATCCATGACATGTCTTTCCCACCATCCGTAATAATTTTATTCTTAACGCGCTCGTCAAACGTCGGGTTCCCTAACACCTTCAACTTTGCAGCACGTTTGTCGGCCTCAGATGAAAGGTGCGCGTACATCCGTGAGTAGTATGGCAATCTAATTGCGTCAAAGAGCGGTAGAGCTTTACTAGTATCATTCTTCCAGTACGCCAGAGCCTGCGCTAGGATCCAACCATCCTCCATCGCAAACCCTGCCCCAGACCCGAACGCGCCGGACAAAGCGTGCGACGAATCCCCAACAAGTACGATTTTGTTGTCCCACGCTGTTAGTTGAGCAAGCTCGGGGCCAGCGAAAGCAGCAAACTCTCGCCAGCCGCCAGAAGGAACGCGCGCAAGCGCTTCTCTTATCTCGGGGAGATACTCCTGCATTGTGTTAGCTAGGTACGGTTAGACGTAGTTAGACGACCGCTAATACCGTAAAATGCGACTCGACATGAGCATTCTCAACTGGAACACCCCAGCTTTTCTTATTTGCGCTATGGATTGCTGGATCTTGCCATGCCCTAGAAGCTATCTCCCATAAGCCTTCTCCAACAGGAGAAAAATAAACATGCGTAGTCGGCGTATGCCACCACCCGGTGATCTCAAAGCGAGGATCCAAGTCTTTCACATCGTCCCAGGGTAGAAGAGTCCTCCATATTGTCGTTCCTGTGAACTTGATTTCGTAATTCGGCCAAGCCGTATCGCGGACCACCTATTTATCTCCCTATAAGAGACCCTCTTTTTAGATTGGACGGTGAGAAGTATCTTACAGATCTAATGCCGTCGGCACCAACTACTAGATCGGCTGTTACAACACTGCTATCTTCAAAAAGCAGTTCAACACCCTCGTGGCCTTTATCAATTATGCGCGTCAATCTCTTGGAGAGATGTATTATGCCGGGTTTTACGTGCGCTAAGAGAGCCGACTGAAGCTTCGTCCGCTGGGTTCGAACCGGAGGTCTCTGATCAACATTCCTTGGCTTCTCACGGCGGTCGAGTTCTTCCCCAGAGCGTCCATTCCTTCCAAAGATTTAGTAGCGAGCGTTAAAGAGTATATTAGGACTTACATATTCAAAATTACCCATGTCGGGTGGCCACTAGTCAGTGTATCGGCGACACCAAGAAGCTCCAGCACGTTCCACGTATTCGAACCAATACTTATACCAGCACCTACTTCCCGCAACACTGTAGCCTGCTCATAAAGATTTACCGAGACATTGGGAATCTTAGAGAGGGCGATGGCGGTTGCGAGACCACCGGGACCGCCACCGATAATGGCTACACGTAAGTGGCGACTAGAAGAGTTCACAGTCATCTTAAAAATGAACAACTATCTTGGGAGACAAACGCCCATTACCATAGTCTTAGATATAGTCTTTTTACTATACAACTGCTCTATAAGCGACTTGTAGAGAATAATTACAAACTCTTACAAAGCAGTATAACGTCAACTATCACGTGAATGGCGTGCGAATGGTTTACTCATCTCCTAGAAGTTACTGATAAGACCGAGTTCATCAAGTGGCTTCATAGACGTACGACTTAGTGTATAGCTCGTTGGTTCAAGAGTGAAAGTTATACTGAGGGCTATCAAGACCATTCGGTTTTCGCCGGCTTGTGTGATAATCGTCATTACCCCTGTCTCGATATAAGCAACTCAGGCTAACCTTCAAATCCAACCCCAACTGTACGAAGCCAAGATGATTGGTCTTGGAAAATATCAAAGTTTTCTTGGCTTATGTTAAATAAAAACACTTACAATAGTTTTGTTAGCCAGCGATAAATACCGAGTCTATTGCGTCTACATATATCATGCTGGTACAAAACCCGAGGAATACGCCTTGACTTACTTAATGTTAGGTACCTACCTACGTAACACTATTCCGTATATTCCGTATATAGACTAAATTTACGAAATACTGAGCCGAAAGCATGATGTCTTGAGTTAATGATTTTGTTGATGTTCAGTATGGATGTAAACTACCTAATGATAAGAGCTGATGATTAAGAAGGTCGAGTAAAAATAGAACCCTGACGGTCATCATGATGGCTAGGTTAATAACTGGTCGCATGTACAAACCAGCTGATATCTCCGAATGGTGGATACCTAGGTACGTACGCCACCATGCTCTTGCGATTTTATTGGTCCGATCTAATTACAATTTACCAGACCAAATCGATAGTGACTTGATCCCCTGTAACGGCTGTAAGTTGCTGCTGCAACCTTGGATTCTGTACTTCGTAATCATCCTTAAAATAATTCGTAATTCGGCAACTTCGCAACAACTTACAACTTATCCACTGGCCATGAACGCGTTGAATCAGTTTTATATGCGCGCAAGTATTCGCCCAGAATGACTCTCAAACCTTTGAACACCGACGTTGAGAGGGATGGATCTTTTCTTTCCCCCGGACGCCACGACGATGATGTCTCATCGCTACATAGTCGAAGCGACCAGGATACTGATAGCGAAGATGACGAACTACTAGCTGCTGCACGAAATAGCAAGGAGTTGCGCGCACGCGATCGCATGGTACTAATGGAGGAGGAAGAACTAGATAAGCTAATAATCGATTCGAGGGCCCGAAAGGAACGCGAAAGGAGAGGGAGCAGTCTTCAGAGACGGGGCAGTAATATTGCGCTACCGAACCCAATACGCTTACTGAGAAGTTATAACAATACGCGATCGGCGAGTGCGATAGACGATAACGAGAGTTCGGTTGAAGATTTACACAGTCACAGTGAGAAACGGAAGAACAGACGAACACGAAGGAAGGAGAAGAAGCATCGTTTGCTCGAGGAAGCGCACAACGGTGAAGATGGACAGCTTATGTATGAGATGGAACAAGGGGGACTTAAAGATGGGAGCTCCACCGGTGATAGTAGCGAGCGAGAGGATAGCGACGAACTTGATCGCAAGCGCTTAATAGGAGTATCCGACGCCAAGGCGGCAAAGACGAGGAAGTGGAAGAAATGGCTACTCATACATGCTACTATCATAGTTGGTGTCGCATTTCTGACCCTCGTTATTTGGAAGCTTTCTATGAGCAAGAAAGGAGTTACTCCTCCTCCTCCTTCTCCTCAGTTGGTCAGCAATGGTACAGCTTTGTTCTTGCCAACTACCCTCATTATCAGCTTGGATGGGTTCCGGGCAGATTTCCTAACTCGGGGTCTAACGCCAAGGTTAAATGCTTTCATTAAAGAAGGCGTATCGCCGCTCTACATGACTCCCTCGTTCCCATCTGTGACGTTCCCTGTAAGTCGCCCTAATCAAGCCTTGGTCGTTGACTAATCGACTAATGCGCTCACAGAATCATTATACTCTTGCGACTGGCTTATACCCAGAATCCCATGGTGTAGTTGGCAACACATTCTGGGATCCGGCTTTGGAATCTGAATTCTACTATACGGACCCTGATAGGAGTCTTGACGCCAAATGGTGGGGTGGCGAGCCATTTTGGGTGACTGCTGAGGAGCAGGGTGTTCGCACGGCTGTGCATATGTGGCCGGGGAGTGAAGCTCACGTCCTAGGCAAGGATCCGAGCTTTTTGGACAAGTACAACGGTAAGGAGAAACTACCTAAAAAGGTCGACCGAATCCTCGAGTTTCTCGATAAGCCAGGCGTGGAAAACCCGGATGCGGATCCCGCGGATATAAGGCCGCAAATCATAGCTGCATATGTTCCTAATGTTGATGCTGATGGACATCGCTTTGGCCCTAACAGTACTGAGATACGGTCGACTATCAGCGAAGTTGATAAAATGCTTGATCAGCTCTTCCATGGGCTGGAGGCAAGGAATCTTACTGATATTGTGAATGTCATTATCGTCTCCGACCATGGCATGGCTACCACGGATGTTAGCCGGATGATACAAATTGAGGATCTAGTAGACCTAGATAAAGTCGAGCACCTCGACGGATGGCCCCTAGTTGGTATCAGGCCCAAGGATCCAGACGACCTGCAGCTGTTGTACGAACAAGCTGCCGAAAAGGCCAAGTCTAACCCTAACTTCGATGTGTACCTACGAGATAAGAACATGCCGGAGCGGTATCACTTCAGCAACAACGATCGCATCGCACCGCTGTGGATCGTCCCAAAGACCGGATGGGCGATTGTTAAGCGGGAAGAATTTGATATTAAGGAAGCAAAAGCGAAGAATCTTGTTTATCACCCCAAAGGTCTTCATGGTTATGATCACGAGCATCCTCTGATGAGAGCCATTTTCGTCGCCCGTGGGCCTGCTTTCCCGCACCAACCCCACAGCAAACTGGAGGTATTCCGTACGTCACCCCTCCCTTTATTTTTGTTTAATTGGGTACTAATTACGTGCAGAAAACATCAACGTGTACAATATCCTTTGTGACTCCATCGGCATGCAGGCCATGCCGAATAACGGGACAATACATCTGCCCCTGAAGATCGTCGGCCTTCACGACCCGGAGACGACCCTCGAGGAACCGGCTGATCCCGTTAAGCCTGAGACGGCCTCTGCTACCGAGGAAACTTCTACCGTAGATGTTGCGACGGAGGCAATGTCTATTCTCCCAGTAGAAACTAGCTCCGAGGTTGCCCAGCCCTCTGCAACGGTCGGTGTGGATCCCATACCAGAGCCCGTTGGTAATAAGCCACAGGAGCAAAGTCCTCCGTCGGATGCAGATAACAAGGACGAGAGCAACCATTCCTCCTGGTGGGAGAGTACTTGGGACTGGGTGAAGAATAAATTTGACGGACTAGTCGATGCGGTCAAGGGAATCGGTGAATAGTTTTGATCTTTCTCGAAGCCGCATACAAGTTTCGGGCCTTGTTAGTCTTTTATTTGAGCGCGTTTGTTATTTAGCGATAGATACATCCTATGCGCACGGGAGATATTCGCTTGGAAGGGCATTGGCGCTGGTGGCGTTTGATACCTAGTTTAAACCAGCGGGAGGATCTCCTCGGCTCAGGCTTTTGTTATTTTTTTTTTCCGGTACAAGCGTTGTCTAGAACTGTATTTACACGGAAACACTGTTATTGATTTTTAGTTTGAAATAGCATAATGTGTGAGGTGATATAATATGTAGTAATGCTGTCTGTAGTTGGCTGATAGGGGTACATATTAATTCCGCTTATTTGGGCGTTAAAGATTAAACTATACTTTGTTTAATACTGATGGTTATTTTACATTTCAAGCTGAATCATGCATAGAATGTTGGCCTCGTTATTATATTCTGATAGACATAAAGGTCACTAGGTACTTCCTTGATGCGCCCAATGCCCATTTCCCGGGTCTAGCCATTTCTATAGCATTGTTTAATGCCAATTGGTGGATTAAGCAAGCCAGTTACTTAACTATAGGCTATAGCTGATGTAGGATTGGACAAGGTGCCACTATTAGCCCTCTTCAAGATCCTCTAACATTCCAACAGACACACAAAAATTACTATGTAAGGTGTTGTTGCGGTCAGGAGGTGATGCACACTTATGCAGCCCATAGTGCAGATCAAGTGGGTCTTCAGCCGCAAAGCGCCACAGCTCTGCATCATTGGTCGTCTCCACCTCCTCCGAGGACCCTCAATTCAAAATTATTTACGTCATGGCCCCTCCGGTCCCTGGACCTCGAGCCCCACGTTGTACGAGGCTGACAGAGTTTTTCCCCATAGGTATGTACCTAGGTACCTATCATTATGATAGGTATCGCGATAAAATTTAGTTGATTCATCTATAAAACACAAATTCAAATTCATCCAAATATTCAAACCGTCGCGGACGGCAAACTCAATGGCGCGTAATTACTCCGCATAATCCTGGCACACGCCGATAGGCGCAATCGCACGATGAGAATTGGTCTTGGGGTACATTCATTTCTTAAGCCGCCGTAAATTATATACCAGGTACAATACATACCTCTACAATGGCAGCGCGCCTGAAAGCCGTCGGTGGATTCGTCCCACGCACCGTCTTCGAGGTCTCGCCCTCCATCACGCGCTCGTATTTCCTGGGCCACCACGCCGGCGCGCTCACCTCCATGCGCAAGGTGCTCTCCAACATCAACCTGATCCTCGAGTGTCGCGACAGCCGCGTGCCCCTCACCTCTGCGAATCCGCTCCTCGAGTCTGCGCTCGCCGGCCGCAGCCGCATCGTCGTGTACACGAAAGCGGACCTGTGCGCGCCTGCCTCCGCGAACCGCTGGATCGACAAGCAGAAAGAATTGCTGACGAAGTTCCACTCCGGCTCGCTTGGGATCGTCGCGGAAGAAGAAGAAAGAGAGGAGGGCGGATATGGGGGCACCGAGGTACTGTTCACGGACGCGGGCAGCCCGCGGTCGATTAAAAAGTTGATAGACGCGGTTAGAGAACGCGCCGTGGCGTCGGAGTCCCTAACGGGGTTGCGCGCGCTCGTCGTCGGCATGCCGAACGCAGGCAAGTCGTCGCTCCTCAACGCGTTACGCGCAGAGGGCATGCAGCTCCCGAAAGCGGCGCGAACAGGCGCGCAACCCGGCATCACGCGCAAGCTCGGCACAGCCGTCCGCATCATGGCCGAGGACACCGCCGCCGGGCTAGAAGGCGGCGTCTTCGTGCTCGACACCCCGGGTGTCTTCGTCCCCTACGTCACCGACGTCGAGGCCATGCTCAAGCTATCGCTAGTCGGCTGCGTCAAGGACGGGCTAGTTCCCGCCGAGACCGTCGCCGATTACCTGTTGTTCCGGCTGAACCTGCGGGACCCGGAAATGTACGGCGAGCTCAGCGCCCCGACGAACGATATTCGCGAGTTTCTTGATAACGTCGCCGTGCGCACGGGTAAGCTGCTGAAGGGCGGCGTGCCGAGCCAGGAGCAGGCTGCCGATTGGATCGTACAGCAGTGGCGCAAGGGCAATCTCGGCCGCTTTGGGCTCGATGATGTTAGCGAGGAGAGCTTGGCTGCTTTGAGGGCGAAGGCGTTGGCTGGTGGTGAGCAGCATTTGAGCATGAACCAGGCTAGGAAGAGGGAAAAGGAGGCGCGGAAGGCGAGGAATGCTGCCAAGAGGCAAGGTATGGAGGCAAGTTAACGAATCGGATGAGACACGAACTATATATACCTATATAGATTTAAAGGCAAATTATAGAACACGTGTATTAATCGAAGACATACGGAACCTAGGCATCTACGCCAGTGTATTGGTAAATACGTATCGTCATTGTACATAATGTACCCAAAATTTTACAGCAAGGAAATGCTATTGAGATATAGCAAGGTATCAGAGGGGGTATATTGTAGATACAACACCGCGCCTGTAAAATAGCAATAAAAAGTCCTACACCCTCTCCACGAACAGGTGCTCCGTGTCCCGAGACCTTGTCCCAAGTTCCTCAGAGCCCCTGACTCTCCCGATCAATCCATTTGAAGTTTTGTTAGTACAGCCAGAAAAGTAGAAGAAGTAGAACACCATTGATAAACCCCCTTTTAACCCACTGAAAAGAACGCCTTGTTTTCCCATTTGCCCAAGACAACGCCGAGCAATGCAGATATAAGCCTACCTAATGTGCTTGGAAGCTAACCCTAGAACGCCAAGTTGACTGCCGAATGAAGCCGGCAATAGCTTCAGGGCGCAAACTCTTGCTGCCACTTTACCAAATCCCGTGTCAATATGTCCATCATCTCGATACAAGACATATCCTTAAACTCCTTTAGCGAGGAGAGACCATGGCTGACTCCGTTAGTTACCGATCCGTTTGTAGTTATACCGACATTGTCGTGTTTTCTGCTGTCACCGTTTACCTTGGTTAAAGGTATTGTGGTGACGGATCCGTTGCTGGCGCTGTTCTGTTGTGTACAAGCTCCCGAGTCTGATAACGGCTCGCTTGCGAGCTCGACCTGCGTTCTTGTGATGTATTCTAGAATGTTATTGGCGCGCCTCTTCATATCCGTCATGGTAATCCTTGAATTCATGCCGCCCTTTGATTTGCTCTGCTTGCCGGTAGACTCGTGATTCGATTTTGTATGTGATGTGCTGTTTTCGTCGGCATTTCTTGTAATATCGCGCGACACCGACCTCGCCGGTGATTCGTCATGATCGCGATTATCACGGTCTTTAGTATATTGATTCCTGCCTTTCTTTTTCTGGTTGGTTGCCTTTTTCTTATGGGAATTTGTGGGAACCGGGGCCGCAGGTGGCGTGTCGGGAGGGGGCTGTGATGAAATCGGGGGATCTGGAGGTTGCGCGGATTCTGTTGCTCTATTTGCTGCTGCGCGAACTGCCAGAGGCATTTCTTCCGAGGGATCAGAGTCTAGATTTGGGGTTAGCTAGTCACGTCTTTAGCACTGCCGTTGGGATGTTACCATCAGCTCGGCGACGTTCAGCTCGGCCTTTTCGCTTATTGGCAGCCTCGACTCGTCTCCGCTCTTGTTCTTCACGGCGTTCGTCTCTTTCGGCCTTTTCACGCTGATTCCTTGCTGCGTTCCGAGATTTCTTTGATGATCCGTTTCGGATTGCCAGTTCATCTTCGGACTCTTCGGGGAGGGCAGATTGAAGCCTTTCAATTTTCGGGGAAGGGGATTTAGAAGTTGTTCGCTGTCGTTTAATACCCTCAACCTTCCTATGTACTTGTTAATTAAAGCACCAAGTCTTGCTCGTATTCCAGAGACGTACTCTTCACTATCATCTCTACTTCGCTTGGGACGTCTTGAGGGAGGTTCTGTGGTTTCGGGAATCGCATCTTCCTTGCTTGCTTCAATTGCTCGGCGTAGTTGTTCCTCTTCGTCATAAGCAGCATCCCGACTGTTCATAGTAGAACGCCGCTTCGATGTATGCGCAGCTGCTGAGGAGCGTGAGTTTTTCGTTGGATTGCTTTTAGGGGAAAGCGCACCATCTTTAGCTGTGGAGGTGGCTCGTGAAACAGCTCGTGAAGGTCGATGGATGGGAAGAAATATCGAATATTTTTGCCTGGGTGTCATAGTGTTAGTATGATGATGGCAATGGATTGGTGACAGGGAAGTCAATCTTGGAAGGGGGAAAGGGAGTTGGAGAGACCAAGATCGGCAGAGGCGCGACCGTCAGCACTCCGCCGCAGCTGAAGGGCCACCCAATGCGACTGTCCTCATGTCCTCAATTTGATTTTAGGGTTTGATGATGAGACTCACCCATTGCTTGCTGTAAATATCTTATGTAAGTCTTTTCGACATCTTTCGCAAAAGTATTGGACATCTTCGAGATTGGACTCTTCGGCAAAACCGACACAAGCACCATGCTGCCATGTGTTGCAGAACTCGCATTGTACATAAAAGCCAGCCATGTCGTCCGTAATTTCGATGGCGAAAATGCGGTCGTGATCAATTGTGTCTCTTGGATCATGCTTCGAGTTCTCGTCGAAGGGCGGTGGTCCTGGGTATTCATCATGACCGCAGATGCAACGTACGGCCTCATCGTCCTCTTGAACTTCGTCGCCAGCAGACGCCATATCGAGTAATTCTATCTTGGATTGCTTTTCTCGGTCGTCTTCTTTCCCGCGCGTACTCCGCCGACGGAGGATGGGGTCGTCGTTCGTTATAGCTGTTGAATCCTCGGGGGGTTCTGAAGATAGAGACCCACTACCAGTCGACTTTTGGGGTGAACCAGTTTTAGTGAAGGCCCTTGTGCTTCGCTCGGCACGGCCAGATGCACTGGACGCACTCGAGCTATTATGTGATTGTGATTGGGTTGTTCGCGCACGAGAAGAGCGTCTAGTCGGAGAAGTACCGGCCATCGCTTGTGGACGTAAAGTGTGGGCGACCGGGCGACAGGTCGGATTGGGATCGGGGAGTTTAATGTGGGAAACGGGTTAAACGCGATGAAGATTTAAGTAGATAATGGAATTGGGAAGTATTCTCTTTAGGTCTGAGCAAGGACTAGGTGAGATTATAGGTGATTGGGTCGCGACAAAGACTGGATGTGGTTGGAAGAGGGTGAGGAGACAAGAGTTGCTCCAGGGCGACCGCGAAGGAGCTCTTGAAGGAATTCTGGCTACGCGAAGTCAGAGGAAACAGGATAAGGACCTTGCAAATATACCGTCAGGTCTATCATGACTGAATTCGATATTCGTAAAAACTGCGTCAGTTTGCAAAGGTAAGAGTAATAGAGGGGGAGGAATGTGTGTTGGTTAAGGCGAACAAGAGGGTCACTTTTTTGGAGGAGGTAGGTAGTAGGTAGACTGGTAGAGCAACATTGTATTAGGTATTGTTCCTAGCTGGCCCTCGCTCGGGCGCGGGCAGACTCGCGCGACCAAGCGACTTTTAGCGACTTAGCGACTTAGCGACCATCCAGCAGGGGACCCGGCAGCTCCTCAGGTGCTATGGATGGTAAAGGGTTTTTTTTTTTCTTTTTCTTTTTCGGGTTAAGTTCTTAGCTTGGATCCCCAATTGATCCGGGCCCTCTTTCTCGTCGGCCTTCCATCGGTCCGTCCAATCCATTGGTGGTGACTGTACAGGTGAGCGCGGGGCACCGTACTCACATATTATTGTTCACACCGTATTTTGCCCGATTAGCATTAGATATGCATGCATGTGTCGATATTCCCATACGCATGCTTCGTACTTATGTACACGAAGGTGGGAGATTACCTCATCTCATACGTCGGAGGAAGATGAGTTATGTTAGGTAACCTCGTTTTGGTCGTGGCGATGCATTGTTCACATTGGTGCGCTCTGTGCCTTAGGTATGTATTGTACTGAAATATGAGATAGGTTGTAAGATACGTATGCATATATATAATATTGGTATTGGAAGATATTTCGATAAGTTTATGTTGGATGCATTTTGGCTTTTGGGTTCCGATGCTAGAAGAATGCGATTAGGTAGCGTTGATTGGAGATGGGGAAAGCGATAGGAGGGGGATAATGGACGTCACTTTAACTGATGTTCCTGGTGTGGCGGGCAATTTGCAAAAGAGGTGGGATTACCTATCTGTCTTGCTTGTGTCGGGACGAAGTGAAACACAGTATTTAGCAACTGTAAAGAGGCACTATTCATTATGTATTGTACAGTACCTACCTAGGTACATAGGTAGGTACATCTACCTGTGTTCCGACCAATCTGACTTGCCAACTGCACTTCAGTTCGAACTCTCTTAAAGTTCACTAAGATTACTGATGGGGTAATTTCAGGGTTGATTGGCCCTTGTACCTACGTATTTCGTGTATTTCGTACAGTACATCGATCCCTAAACCCTTTCGTGTGACAGTGTGGGCAGCCATCGCTCAGTCAATTACATATCGCCAGCACAACTGATCTCCCTACCTTGTAGGTACCTGCCACCTTACTCAACGTTGCCGAAACTTATTAGGGACTCCCACCTGATTCTTCCTCATAACAAAACCCCCAACACTGAACAAACATCTTTTTGCTCTTGCTTCTGCAACGTCTTTGCATAACCATTGTCACGGCATCAAGATTTCTACTTAGCTTGTACGAATCGGTCCTTATCGTAAATTCATTCTATCAAATCTTCCCCGCCAAAAGGGGGACCTTCTTGAATACGGAACACCACGGAGACTCGTCTTAGGTTGTATTGGTCATCTAAACCCACCACCTCGACCAGCTTCCGCGGACTGTTATTTATGTATGTTCATAAAAGCCCATTCGAGATATTCTGCTCTCTAAAAGCAGCGGCACGCTTGCCAGAGGCTCAGCGGCACTTTCTGGCTAGGGTCTAGTAGCCGGCTCCGATAGAATTGCCTACCATTTACTTAGAGGTCCGGTATTAATCTTACCATAAAAATATAGAAAGGAGAAGGTCGCTGCAACGAACGCAACCACGAAATTGTGTATCCGCCGTCTTTGAAACTGTCTCGATCGCTGTACGATAGCTTACCGCGCGAACCCTCTTCTCTTGCTCCAAGTAGACGACGAGTTGAGTAAAGTAGGAATACATTGGAGGAGACAGCTGGGCTGTCGGTGCTACAATTGTAATAGCGGGATGTAATGGGTACGTCGTTTCCCTGGTGAGGGACATCCGCCATAAAAAAAAGATGATTGCATAGAGCCGACACGCTTGTCCGCCTGGAAACCGGCTGGGCATGTTGATATGGTCTTAAAAACTGCCACCTGCTCTTCCGCGTCACACATCCGCGTCGCTGTTTAGGAAATGGCTAGAGACCCATATCTCGGCGAACCGATCCCTCTAACAAACCCCACGTCGCATTCAACATATGACCGTCAAGGACGCCCCTAAGTTTCTTTTACTATCATGTGTTTCTGCGTTGTATCTTCGTTGAAGGCCGTTTGGCTAACACTTTCGCGATTTGCTCGCGGAGCAGGGCCTTCAGAGAATATGTCTCCCGAATCTTCCGTACTATTTCCTGACCGGCCTATTCGACCTCTTCCGAAACGTCGGCTACGTGAACGACTTTCTCCAGACGTCGCCGATAGCATCCAATACCCCCCCGCACCTCAAACTTCGGCGCCCCTGTTTGTCTACCCGTATAATGCCAAGGATGATTTGTCGTTAGGAACCGAGCCTCTAAGTGTAGCACATCGAGAGAATGCTGCTGAATTAGGGCAAGAAGCCGGTCTCCGCAGAAACGGCCTGGGTAACGAAAATGATGGTCACTCACTGATTGGACAAGCTCGGAGAGCTTTCGTATCACGACCCCTCCACGATTCGCCAGGACATGCGACTCGTGCCCCTCTACGACAGGGTCAATCTCGACAACCAAATCCGCAGCCACCGCCTTCTACCGCGTCTTCTGCAGACGGCTACGAGTCCTTTGAGAACAGCAACAACAAGAAGAAGAGGAAGATTCCAACTGCTGGTGAGACGATTTTGAATGGGACTCACGTGTTGAATGATCTTGGAGCGCTAGGAGTATCATCGCCCGTAGCAACAGGCGATGAAGGATCTTTAGATATCTCTGGATCAGCTTCTGCAGCTTATTATCAATCCGGCGGTCTCGCAACGGGCGGGCAAGGAATTTCCGGTCCCGGCAGAGGTAGGTACGGCCGGGTACGCAATGGTAGGAGCCCATTAAGAACCCTGTCAGACCCGAATAGCAACTGGGGAAACCGGACCCCTAATAAACTTAGACCAGGTGGTTTACAATATTCATCGCCGCCTGCAGGTAAGCCTCATTTCGTTGAATTTCTTCACCTTTGATTTTCCCCGTCTAGCGAAAAGTCCACAAAATTTTCAAAAAAAAACCCCCCCTTTCTGGCAGCATTCTCTACACAACATAATACTATTCAAAAATAATTAATCGCTAACATGTCTTACTTCGTTATAGGCGAGAATTCTGGGATTATCTCCACCGCCATCGCTAGTGCAGAGAAGCTTCAGGTACCCCAAGGCCAAGAAAATATCAGTCTTTTACACCAAGAAATATCTACGAAGTCTAGTCCAACACCATCAGCGCAGTTTACCTTTACGTTTGATTCCCAAAACCCTGTTTCTTGGCCTGGCTCTGATCCAGCGCCGTCAAATATGGGGCCCTCAAACCATACGAACCAGTCTCATTCGGACTCCCGAGACTCGTACAATGGTCTTGGTGGTAGATCTCAAAATGGATCAGGCCCTCCCCCAAACAGGCCAGGAAGCATGCAGGGAGGAACTAACGCTGCAACCAACGAAGCAGGTAAAGGAGCAGCCCAAGGTAATGCGCCACCGAAGAAATCAAAGCGTCGCGGCAACTCCCTCTTGCAGGCGGCCAAACAACGCCGTAAAGAAACAGAATTCCAGAATTTTCACCACCCACCGGCCCTGGAGGATATCTGGATATGCGAATTCTGCGAGTACGAACGGATCTTTGGTCGTCCACCTGAAGCCTTAATTCGGCAATACGAGATCAAAGACCGCCGACGACGCCGGGAAGAAGCAGAGAGGCGCAGGTTATTGGAGAAGGCAAAAATGAAGTCGCGCAAAGGCAAGAAGGCGGGTAAAATGCCGGCGAAGAATAACTCCAGTGCCCCTGATCGCAACCTCGCGTCTACGGCCGGGCATGCTCCTCCTCCTCGACCTCATCTAAATGATCATGATGAAGATCAGAGCCTGCACCAAGGTCAGATCCACGAAGAAGATCAAGAAAATGGTTATGGTTCTGAGGGTCACTACGAAGAAGAGGGACTGGGTGTAGATATGCCTAGTCATCCACGAGCACGCGGTAATAAGGGCGGTGGAGGAGTGGATAGTCGTCATGAAGGCATCTACGTGAGCCAGTGACAAGCGTCCGACTCTTGCCTTCGATTGGTTGGACTGTTCGGTATCCCAGCATTGATAGTGTGTGTCACGGTCGCCTTCTCAACTCGTATTACATTTTCGAAACGCTTATTTCGCATCAGTTCTCTAGGGCCGCTAGCCTAGATACGTCACCTGCCTGGAGTTTGAACCCCAAGTGTCGTTTCTCACCTTACTATCGTTCGACTAGTATGTTTCCCGCAACCCGAGGCCGTCCGTCAACCGTGAAGTCTCGTTGTAGCGTTCCAATGCACCCTTTCCAACTTCGGAAGAATAGTAGTCACGCAGCGAAGTGTAAATCGTCCTTATGAGTTAGATCAAGCGAGTTTTCACGAGGTTAGCGTTTACGGTCGAAAATAGTTGTCAATACCTGTAGATCATCAAAAATGCACGTATCGTGCTATGATCAGTACCCCTTTTAAGTGCTGTCATTAGAAATGCCTCGGGGCGCATAGACCAAATAGATCATAAGAGACTATCGATCACATGCATCTTATTTTAGCTCGTTTCATGCTCTTGTTTCTTAGACATGGAATATGCTTGGCTTCTATGTAGGTAGTTCCAATGCCATACGTAGACCCATGTCTACCCATTAATATTTAAGCAAACTCAGGCAATAGTCTTGAGTACCTAAAGGGCAAGTAGGTAAGATGAATTAAAGGGGGCCAAACGTAGTGGAGCACGTGTGCGATGCTCCCATTTCACATCTATTGGGCTATATCGCTATATCTGTCTGACGCTTGGTAACGTCACCTGTGTGACATGGTGCTGTACCTACATAAGTATATGTGCAAGCCGATTTATTGACTCCCAACTGTGGCATCCTTTAGTAACCAATTCAGCAGAGATTTAAATATAAGGAACGTACCTCCCATCGAGAAAGCAACGCTAAACGATGGCTAATAAGGCATTTTTAAAATACTTATATTAATATTCTGTATAAGCACTAATAGTATATTTATGTACCTGATGACGTCATTTAAAGCCATATTAAAAGATTACATAAGACCTGCTATTTACATTTGTACTTGCGGTAATGCGCATTGGAAAAAATAGTTTATAGTTTACTGTGGTAATAACAAACGTTAAGGAATATAGCAGCCTGAAAAGGCATTTAGATACTTATCTATACATGTATAACGTGTACCTATAGAATTTTCGATTGGACTTTCTATGCCAATTAATACACATGAAAGTTACCCAGGCATAATTTAAGAATCGTTCACCCGGAACCAGTAGTATCAAAAAAGACGTGGCTCCATGCTTAGAAGTAAAATTTTGATTCGTCGGCTGTTGAGGCCAATGGCATGATGGGTATTAAGTTTGAGTCTTCTTTCCAGGGGTCTTGAGGGCTCCAGTATTAGCCACGAGTAGGTATGTATCCAGATACTCTTTATAGTTAGAATTTATTGCCGTAATATGGCTGTATGGCTTCTGGGTACATGTATGTAAGTGCCAGAGTGGAGTTTGATGCGTGGGAAGCAGCAGTAACCCCACGTAGATATTAGAATGACGGCACTGTACCTATTTCGTCTTAATTGAACAGCTAAGTGGATAGCGCATAGGGATCCGTAGTGTCCACTATGTATGCTAGGTACTTAGTGTAGTGTGGCTTAGGGTGCCCTTTCCCTTTGTGTCATCATCATACCTCGACTTCCTAGGATTCCCGTTCCTGAGAGCTTCTTAAAGTCTTTTTGTTCCAACGCGCCGGGAAAATCCATTTCAAGTTTCGCTTACTTCCCGCGTCTCTTCCAACACAAAGCCGGTTTTGAAAATTTAAGATTATGATCGCGGCTTCACACAGATCGGATCTATCTACGCATTAGTTAATAATTGTATTCCCATGCAGCCTTTATTATAGTCGATTCGGACCAGGCCTTGAGCCTGCGGGTCGCTCAGTCAAGATGTTCGGCTCGTCGCGAAGGCATCGGCCACCAAACCCTGTAAGTACCTCACCAGCCTGTCTCTAGTTCATCTCGAGTCGTCGCATTCCATTGTCTTAGGCCTCCAAATATCAATTACAATATTGCACGACTCGTGCTTCTTTATCCTCGGAGGCCGCTAGTGTATATGTCTCTCGGGTCTCTTCGTGGTTGGTTGATATGAAGGGGGTTTCCTCATTGGGTTGCATGGGACGATTTGGGACGATTCACTCATCATGACGACGTTCATAACTCATACCACCGTTTTTATTTCCACTTCCATTATACATCGCAAATGCTAATAGCTATTTTGAAATTCCATAGCCTCTGAATTCTAGAACCGCGGACCCAAACGCAGCATCGGCCGCCGCATCCGCCTTCATGTCTGCCTCAAACCACAAACGCAGCAGGTCACTCTCGTCGGCTGCTGCGGCTGCCGCGCTCCGAGCACGTCCTCATACACCTACGAACGTAGGCGAAGTTCAAACAAAAAGGACGATGCGTCGAAGCACTTCGATATCTTCAGCGGGAAGTGCCGCCGCAGCTGTCCATAGTTCGCGCCCAGCGGAGCTTAGAAGAACGAACAGCTCAAGCAGTATGGCAGAGCGTACATTTCGAAGTCCTTCGCCTCGTCGAGCTGGCTCGATACAAGCGACCGACGAATGCCCGCCGGTGCCCCAAATACCCCCAGATCATAAAAAGGTGTCACGCCAAGCTTCCACGAGTGTGGGAATGCAGACTTTCAAGACCGCATCGCAAAAATCGAAGCCGGGACAATCTTCCTGGTATACCGAACCATCAGGCGACCCAAGTAACGTAAGGACATCTGATCTACCGATGAAGACACGCAAACCCGAACCGTTAAAACCTCAGAATATCCCTTCTTCGTCGCAGAGGCCGGATAGCAGGAGTTCTTCGGTAAACTTTTCATACCCGACTGTTTTTCGAGCTCAGTCACCACCCGCATCTCCTACCTACACCCAGATGCCGCAATTTGCAAATCCCCCATCTCGCAGGCCCGCTTCCCCACCTAGGTCGAATAGAGCTTCTATATCCTCGATTACGAGCGGGAAGTCCGATTTGCCGATGGTATATGACCCAAATTCTAGGAGAATGATTCCAAGGCCAACGATAGATAATGACTTCTACATCAAAGAAACGGGGGAAAAGCGGTCCAAAAAGAATAGATATAGCGGAACTCGGAGAGAAAGCAATTACCTCGAGAAAGCGACAGGTGCAAGGACAAGAGAGACTGTCATAGATGCAGACGCGAGTGAACGTGATCCGCCAAAGGTAGAGGGGTTGCAGACATTGGGGGACCCTACAATTAAGGCTATTACTATAACACCAGGACCAGTACAACATCAGGAAGGGCCAGATAATAAGAACCAGTCACCAAGATTACAGGGTACAAACGTGTCGAGGAGCGAGAGCCCGCCTCTCCAGACAGCATCCAACTATCCGGGTCGAAGCTCACCAAATTTAGTGACAAAACCAGATGTTTCAGGCGAACCCGAGGATGTCTCTGACGAAGATGGTGCTACGGATCAACCATCTCGAAAGGTCCTGGAAGCGTTAGACGCAGTACCGACGAGACAGTCGATTTTTGGGAGACCTCAAAATCCACCGCTTTCAGGTGAATCAGCTCGAGTAGCTGTTGGGCAAAGTCGAACTGACAGATTTATGGAACAAGCCGACTCCTCCATTGAGCGTACGCCGGAAAATAAAACCATATCTGCGAAAAATAAACCAGTTGTAGAACTTTCTAGTAAGGAAAGTTATGCACGACGATCGAACTCAAATAGTCCAGCTCGACAAGCTCATTTCTCAACAACTCCATCAGATAATCTCGCAGTCCGGCACACTCCTTTGCCAAGATCGGCGTCGCCTATTAAGTCAGCTCTCAAACGTACTAGTTCAACATCGAGAGAAGTGTCTCCGTCGGAAAAAGGCTCAGATATTTCGAGATCTCGTGACGTGTCTCCATTACATGAGGAGACTACGACGCCTCGTAAAAAGTCGGTCCGCGTTAGTTTTGATGACCGAACTATGGCTACAGTGGTTGGGGAATCTGCAGGAGATATAGACGAGTCGGGCCCGCCAAGTTTGCAGCAAACCAAGCGGCCTTGGTACAGTAATATCGGGCGAAGTAAAAGGAAAGACTTTGCTCTCGAGGAGGACGAAATTATGGGGCCTCGGCCTGCGCTACCAAGCTTTGGAAGTGTTAGGGAGAGAAAGCCAAGGGAACCCGAAGAACGACCTCTTGTACGCCCACAAGAGTTGGTCCATCCATCTGACTTGCGCTCATCCGTCCCAAACATGCGTAGTGGCTCCGGAACTCCTGATGAGCCGTCATTAAGCCAGTCAAGTGATCAGGTTATAGGTTCGATTTTTGTTCGAGAACAAACGCCGCGGAACGCACCAAACATCTCAAGGTTTAGGGAACCATTGCCACCCGTCGTGACATCGGTGGAGGGAAGTGGTTATATCTCAGACAGCGTCAACAGTTCCGATTCCGACGACGAACTCCTCAATAGCGTCGGAGGGGCGAGTGATACAGAAGATTTTCCTAACACACAGATCACCCAACCGGATACCCAAGATAATTCTCAAAACAACTCTCAAAGCAACTCAACCATTCTTGAGAAAGGGCCTGTCAAATCAGAGGCAAGTGTACCAAATGAAATTCAACTTCCACCGCATGATATTCCCGAAATTGCTATAATACAACCCAGTCCGAAAGTTCCGGAGCAAGGCATATCCGCTGCAGGCGTGCTAGAAGAACCCTTCTTCGACGTCCCAGGCGGGTTCCCAGATGATGGATCAGACAAAACACGTCATATTCAGCCTTCGCCGCAAAGTTTTAATACTAAAGCTAATAACGATGCTTCCCCCTCCCCTATCTTCGAGCCCAAAGCAACGGTAGATCCTATCCAACCTGAAGTACTCCCTCAAACTACACTCGCTACAACAACTCTATTAGACGCAGCGGATAATGAGTCTACAGACGACTCTCCAAGTATTTACAGTGATGCATACGAAGATCCCTTGGATGCCGAGGGAGATGGTTTCTTGTCTTTGAATGCTGTTGTCGAGAAGCCTATCGACAAAATCTCCCCATCCCAATTGTCAGAGTTACCTGGTGATGCTCCACAAGGGCCTTATGAGAAATACCAACTCCCAACCGATAAGCAGGTTGGAGCCGCTGCTAACATCTTAGAACCGGTACGACATCAAGATGATTGGGAACAGGCAAAAGCATTTTGGCGTAGTTTAACAGCCGAGAAGAGGCTTCAGCTTGAGCGCGAGGCTATGGAAGAGGCCGGAGCTGAAGGGGACGAGGACGAGATTGAACGCCCTATTCGGAAGAACAGTGTTAAGAAAACAACTACTCAACAACGGACGGCAACTGGAGCGCGGCCTCAAACGTCGACACAGCCTGAAGATATCCCATCTGCCAACTCCGCAAAAGTTCCTGTAGTTCAGTCTAAATCCAAAGCTACCCAAGAATCCCCCCATCAGCCAGCGACATCATCACGGATGCGCATATCTCTACGTGGAGAAAAGCCCGGACAGGCCTCAGATGGCATGCGAAAAACAATGAGGTCTCGTGCTGGAGGACAAATCAACCAACCTTCTCGCCAGGCCATGCAGAATGAGAAATCCACGTCCGTCTCTACAAAACCAATTCGACAACAAGCACAACCTACTCAAGAGTTATCTCCTAAAAGAGCAAGCAGCTCTTTTCCTAGTGATAAACCTCCTCTACAACGCCGCGGGTCTGATGCTAGCGACAGCAGCTTTAAGCGTAACCGCGCCGCCCGTAATAGCGGGTTCAGCCTCCGCAGTTCCATGCGTCCGTCATCTGCCAATCCGACTCAAGACATAACTAGAAGCTCCGGACGGTTCAGCCTACGATCGCTCTCGCCAACCGGCTCTTCATTCCGGCAAAGTTTAGCTACTAATGTTACGAGTGGAGCACCGGCCCCTACGATGCGGCGTACTCTACGATCTAGTAGTGTCTCAAGTCAAGACAGGATCCTCTCATCTATCCATTTTCCCTCGTTTGGTCGGCCGAATAAGAACCCTACAACAAAGCGTTCCAAGAAATCTAGTCGCTTCGGTGACTCAAGTGATGAAGACGAAGGTGAAATTGCCGGCTTTCGCAGCCGTTTTGACGATTCGAGCGACGAAGAAAATGTTCGTCCCAGTACTTCAGCACAGGCAGGGCCTCTATCAAGAGGTACTCTTAGAGGATCTGCTACTGGTGCAGCTGGCTTTCGGAAATCCACGCCTGTGCCAGAAGTAGACGAGGATTCGCCGGCGTTACCCGACAGCGACGATGAGATGCCCAGTCCCATGCAGAGCCTGCGAAGTAAAGCACCCGTTGGCCGTGCTGGCTTAACCCGTTCAAATTCTGAAGCTCTAGGGACTACGACGCTGACACGATCACGATCCGGTCGTGGCGGGTTTGATGCTTCTGTGTCGACCCCTACTTCACCAAATAGGGAGAGGCGAAGCTCACTGATGGGAATATTGAGACGCAACAAGCGAGCCGATCCGGCAGGTAAAATTCAACGCTCCGGGCTTGTAGAGAGCGCAGCTAGGCGTGATACTAGGTTGGAGCGAAGTAGTGAGCAATTAAGAGACCTTCGAAGCGACTCTTCCAGTCTAAGACTCCAGAAGCGATCTTCTGTGAAAAGAAACGACAGCTGGCCCTTAGGTGAGCCATCTAGGAACGAGGGTATAAAGCGACCAAACTCGGCCGGCAATCTACCTAGTGGAAGTGGCACGGGGGGAGCCGCTCAGAGGCCCGAGCTGAATGGCAGACGAAGTACGAGCCTGGGACTTCCCACAGCATACCAGAACGAACGAGACGAGATGATTATTGACGGTGTAGAACATAAGAAGAAAAAGAAGTTCGGTGCACTACGCCGGATGTTTGGTCTAAACGATTAGAAAGCGTTTACTGCCGAGAAGAAGCAGCGTAGGGTGTTGGTGAAGAGAGGACGTCGAAGGGCGTCGTTACGGTGCGCCGGCTATCATTACGAATCGCGACTTTCTATTTGTTCACCAAAACCGCGGGAGTTTAGGAAAAGGGCAAAGGGCTCGGGAGCACATTTCGACGGCATAAATAGTTTCTAAGTTGATACCCGTTACGCGTGCGATTGGCATAAGCTTGCAGGTAGACTTGCCCAGCCCACGATACTAATAGGGCGAATGGTTTTGATTCTTTTGTATAAGATAGGGGAGCGTACACGCATATGCAGAGTCTCTTCGGAAATCACACATTTTTAGCGGGGTCGATACTCTTCGCGGGATTTTTTATCATTTTTTCAACGTCGAGTGTGTGATAGCAGCATCCACTGGGAGCTACTTGCAGGAATGCGCAGTCAGGCTAGAGAACGCGAAATGCGCAATGAAAACGAAGGGGGGTAGGAATCAATATATGTCTTATCAGATAATGTAATACAAGACTCGCTTAGCATACATGAATAGCCCTCTAGCTTGCAGGACAGGGGAATAAAGAGAAAAGAAACGTAATAATTTATTTGGCGCAATCTGTTTGCGGATACTGGGGGAGATTTGGAAGCTATCGTGAGACCAAGCTTACCTTAGGCTCGTGTGACAAAAGCCTCAAGGCCGGGGTAGGGCTCAACCCCCCGCGCTAGATTTATAGCTATGTGTGGGTGTAAGTGTGGGTGGTACATGATGTACTAACAATAAAAGATAAAAGAAATTAAAGACGGGACCCATTGCTGGGCGTGGGACTATGGGGAACAATATTTGCAACCATCGTGACCTCGGAACCTCGGAGGCGGAGGAGTGCGGCTCTATTATGAACCGAAAGTACCCCATGGACCCCTTGGGCCCTCTGGGATGGGCTGAGTAATATAATCCGGGTCAGGGTGACATTACTCAACAAAGAACAAAATCAAAATGACACGCGACGAATGAATCAGTAAGGTCAAAGAGAAAATGGTGTTATCATTGTGCATTTTGGATGCGCTATTAGCTGTTAGAAGTTCGAGAGGCTCAGAAACTAAACTCGAACAAGACTCGGATCTACAATCGACAAGGGCAGAAAAAGCCTTGTTGCGGTGACGATGGCAAGACTGACTGACAAGACGGAGAACTTCCCACAATCATAAGGTAAGGTAAGAAAATAAAAAATAATAAAAAAAGGAAAGGGAAAAAAGAGGTCATAAGGTAGGGTAAGTGTAAATACATTAGGTAGGTAGTTAGCGACAGCAAATCCCACGAACATGGACATGGCTCCGGCTTCCGATGGGGAGGATAGGATGTCGTACAATACGATATCGCTCACCTTTTTTTTTCTTCGCTACGTGTACGGCGTAGGCGGGTATTCCTGTTGGCTACCCATTCCCGGGGGCGTCCCTCCCACCGATGGGGGTTGCAATTTAGTATACGCTAGTTACTGCTTTAGCTTTGCTTCGCTTGCTTCGAAGTTCTGGGTATTTGCGGGGCCGCACTTCTGCGGTATCCTGGCAAAAAGCTTAAGAAGTAACTCGGGACGCAGAATGAATCTGGGCAACTGCCACATGTCGCATTGCATTGGCTGTTGTTGAGTTGTTTCCGATTGTTTGGAGTTTTTCTTTCGTGCTTCGGTGTACGTGGTACTTGTCTTATGTACAATACGTATATCCATGTACATAGGTACCTAGGTAATATGTACAAAACGTTAGGTACATATGTTAGGTACATTACTTACCATTTTACGTACATACATACATACATACATACATACATACATACAGTACACATGATGCGGGACGTACGTAGCCCTCTGCATAATACGAATGGGCAGACGACCTTTCAGCAGCTCATATCACCAGACTGCCAGATAGAACTATGAAGGAACAATAAAGGATCTGGTCTAGGCTCTAGCCAGACTACCTCGTCTGTCTTGACAAGTCTAGAATGGGCCTTACAGAGGCTAGTCTCCACCTAAACCACCTAAAAGTCACCTAAGCTTAATCGTACTACCCCTCCAACCCTCCACTAGTAGGGGGAACCGAAGGGGGGGAAAGAGAGGGGTGCTGGGGGGGTGCTACGGGGGTGCTACGGGGGAAGCTTGGACCTACATACATAGCTGCTACACAGTTGCATAGTACCTATAGCATGTACCCTATAGAACACCTCTAGTAGGATGTATGTACAAGAGGTACGTAGTACTACGCTATAAGATAGGTACCACATGTGCTAATAGCCAGTGGGGTATAGATCGTCAAAGGCTGGAGAAGGCGAAGAAGAGCTAAGGAAAAAAATAAAAATTGGAAAATGGAAAAAATTGTTAGTGAGCGTCCAAGGAAGATCGTGAGTTTTCCGGTCCCCTGACCTCCTGGGCGGCGGTTTAGTTTTTCCCACTCTCGTGTGTTCCCAGGCTCTTTACCAATAATTTTCCTGTCGGTCTGAACTTCTCCCTCCTTTTATCTCTCACATCCTCCTCTTAAAAACCCAAGGTGATTCCTCAATTGCAAGTGAATTGCTTCCAAAAAACATTGATTCTCTTTACACCCCAAAGCGGTATAGAGCTCTATTTGATAGTAGAAACCCGCATACGTCATTTTTACTGACAGTCTAATCCATTCGCCATTCGTCAACCCGTGCAAACTGAAGCTCAGTTTTACTCCTTCAGCAACTCAATTCTCGTCAATTCTCACCCACCGCTAATAACATCGACACATAAACAATATTCTCTTATTTCCTTCTCACCTCACCCTCTCTCTCCCTTCTTCGTATCCATACATCCTACTATCATATCGACAAGCTTAGTTTTTTTGTCCATCTGCCTAAACACCTCACATATCACACATCACATATCACACACAATGTTGTCACGAAACCTTCTCCGCGCGTCCGCACGAGCTGTCGGTGCCTCTGCCAGAGCTGCTGCTCCTCGATCAACCCTTCCTGCTGGCGCAGCTTACATCCACAACAACAACAATCCTCTCAACAAGGCAGACAACAAGGACAAGAAGACACCTACGCCTACTCCCGGTGCATTCGCCCGTACAGACGACAGCATCACCGTCGAGTACCCGGAGGAAGATGCTCTCCCCTCCTCTACCCCCGTTCAAGGCCGTGGTGGTTTCCACATGAAGCGAACCCTCGCCTCCTTCTCACTCGAGGGTAAGGTCGGTGTAGTTACTGGTGGCGCTCGTGGCCTCGGACTTGTCATGGGTCAAGGCATGGTTATTAGCGGTGCCAACCTGGCAATCGTCGATATGAACAGTGAGTTTGCTCCCTTTACTATTGCTTCACGCTCTTCAACCATTCCCAAACCTTCCAATTCGCAAATTCGCATTTTCGTTTTGGCTCTGCTTTGTTTTGCCTTCCCATCGCCCTCCCCGACTCGCGTTCTGCGTTCTGCGCTCCACTTCCTTCGCCGATTCCCACATGGCTCTGCAGATCTGCGGTGAGCTGTAACGGTGCGAAACGATTGCTGACAATTCATGTCCAACCAAACAGAGGAAGAAGCCGAACGCCAAGCTATCGAGCTGGTTGACGTGTTCCGCAAGGAGAACCCTGGCGCCACCAGAGTGCCCAAGGTCACCGCTCATTACGCCGATGTGTCGGATGCGGACTCGGTTCAGAAGTGCATTGACGAGGTTATCAAAGAGCACGGAAAGATCGACCACCTCGTCACCAGCGCCGGTTTCACCGAGAATTACAACGCTGTCGACTACCCTATTGACCGCATGCGCAAGCTGTGGAGCGTCAACGTGGATGGTACATATCTCTTCGCTATCACCGTTGCCAAGCACCTGATGGAGCGCAAGAGCCCCGGAAGCATGGTTTTCATCGGAAGTATGTCCGGTGCCATCGTGAACGTACCGCAGCCCCAGGCGTAAGTTGCTCCGCTATCCAATCCTTGTATTGTTAACAGGTTTAACGGTCGAGACTAACCGAATTTAATTTATTTTTAGTCCGTACAACAGCGCCAAGGCCGCCGTCCGGCATTTGGCCGCTTCTCTTGCCGTCGAGTGGGCCCACGCCGGCATCCGTGTGAACTGTATTTCCCCCGGTTATATGCTGACTGCTCTGTAAGTAACGCCGTCCATCATTTGATCCTCGCATACCGCGTATAACAGCGAAACAGCGGCTAACAAAAACTTGTAAATAGTACCGAGAAGATCCTGGACGATAAGCCAGACCTCAAGAAGCAGTGGACCTCACTCATCCCGCAGGGTAAGATGGGTCAACCCGTCGATCTTATGGGTCCCGTCGCATTCCTACTGTCGGATGCCAGCGCATACGTGACCGGCGCCGACATCCGCGTCGACGGTGGTTACACTCTTACTTAAGAGGTGAAACTACGTCCAAACTTCATCTTCGACGGGCTTTTTAGAGGGAATATATTGGGGCAAAAGGACATAGACAGTGATTTTTTCGATTCCAGGGAGTTGGGCGGGGATTTTGTTCTTCCAATAATAGAGGCTCCCTTTCGATCCTGCGAAGATAAAATCGGATCAGAGGGGCAACTCGTCCCACAGAAGAAGCCATGGTTGGCTCGTCCTCGCGGGATAGGATTGATGATGATGATGATTTGCGTGTCAAATGTCTCGAGGGTAGATGAAGACACGGAATCGCGCACGATTATTATTATTATTTTCGCGCTTCGTCGGTCAAGTCAGTATAGGAAAAATATATTGTGTGATGATGAATTCTTTCCTTCGCAAGTTGGATCTTATTAATGGTGAGAGAAAAGAAAAGTTAGAAAATAGAAATCCAACATGTTAATTAAGCCGAGAGGAAGAATTGAAAAAGGGAGATGGAGTTGTTGTTGTCGTTGGGCTCCTCTTTCCGACCAGTGAAAAGCGTTCCGGCGCATTTTCGTGCGGCTCAGGCTTCCCCTTCGTATTGTACCTCAGGTATTGTACGTAGTTGTGCTATCTTTAGGCTGTTGTTTATTTCAGGGGTAGTTACATACTATTTCCCGCCCGTCGAAATGGAATTGGCTTAATATATGCCATGCCGGTACTTGGGGCTAGATGGAATGGTTACCCGCACATACGTGCGATGGGGGGTGGTGTGGTTGGTGGGTTGGGTTACGTGGGGGGTGAGGAAATGGATTAGGGGCCCACTATCGCGGGGTGTTATGCCGAGGGAGGGAGGCTGAAGATACGAATGTTTGGACACAGGTACTTAATTAATCGAGAATTCTCGGTGAGAATGGGTACTGATGGTGTTGATATTTTAGATGTGTTTATTAAATATATGCAGGTACTATTTTATACATACTAATGGAACACAAGAGTGGTACATACGTATTAAGATGTAATTTAAAAGTATAAATGCATATAACTATTACATCTATTCGACTATACGCCGTATCTGCGAGCGTTTAATTATAGTACCCCACTAATTGATTATGCATATCAAAGGTATGAAATCATTTAGTTGATGCGAATATTAAAAATGAAAAGCAGTAGCTTATAACGGGGGCTGTCCCTTAAGAAGTTTAACTTCATATCCTTTTTTTCGCGTGTGAGGCACGTTGTTTTATACATACCGGATCTAGTCTTAACAATATGTAATACATAACAATCGTACACGGCATTCGCTCAAGCCGCGGCGGCATTAGGTAGCAGCAGTAGTCTGCAAGAACTCCATGTACCAGATCTTCAAGCCGCTGATGAGCGCGGCGAGCGCGAACGTGTCGCCGAGCACCCCCGCGGCTCCGCTCTCCAGGAACTGGAACTTGCAGAACTTATTCATGCTCAATTTGCCGTTGGGCGTCCACACCGCGACGATCTCCTTGCCGTCGCTTGCCGAAGCCCGCCCAGGCGCCGCCGCCGTCCCGCTTAGCCGCACCAGCTTCCATCCGTTCCCCCACCTGTCCAGCTCCTTGACCTCTTCCCCGCGCGTGCGCCGCCACTCGAAGCTTTCTTGTCGCAGGTCTTTCCCTATGCCCACTTCGACGGATAGTTCCTGCCATTGGCGGGTCCACGAGTGCTTTTGTATCATGCTGATGGTTTTCGCGGTCACCGCGGAGCCGGGCCCGGAGCTCGATTCGCCCGCCGATGTTGAGGGGCCGGCGGAGTCGGGGTCGGCGGCGGGGTCGGGGTCGGGGAATATCTGGATTATAGTGCGCTTGCCGCTGCTCCACCGGCTCTCGTGGCCCGCCGTCGCGATTATTGGGTCCGATTCATTCGGCCCCGAGTGCATCTCTAGTAGCGGCTTCGACGTCCACCCGCTGTGCATGGTTACCGCGTAGAGTGGTGTGTCGGCATGTTCGCCTAGGTGGAACGCACTTGATGTGAACTTCTTCTCGAAGTACGCATTAATGCACTGCGGGAATCTATTGCTTACGCCTGCGATCGCACCTCCGCCTGAGCTGCTACATCCGGGTACAGCTGCGTAGGACGGCGCTTGGCCATCGTGCGACGGGGGGTGCGCGACGGTGTCGACCGCGGTGTAAGGTGGTGGCGCTACATCTTCTTCTCCAACTTCTTTTGGGTTACCCATGTTGATGGTGATCGGTGATGTTATTTTTCCTAGGTGTAATAGAGAGTTTCTAGTCACTAACAAAACAAAAAGTTGTAAAGGTCGCAAAGAACATAAGAAAAGACGTTTTTAGGGGAAGGATTATAAGCTGATCGTCTATCTGCTTAACTGCATACAAGATGGTCGAGTCAACTCAGATGTGGGATAATAACATTAATGAAGCTGAATTCAGCTGAACCACAAAAGCAACACATTCTACTTAATATCTAACTGACTAACCTATTAAAGTAACAGAGTATTGCACAGGGATGTCTCCTCACTTAGAAGTTGTATTCGGCATTTCCGCAGACATTCTGACTCTGGGCGTTCTCGCTCCAGTTGTCGCCTGACTCGGGAATGACATCGAAGTTGATCCTCCATTGCGATCCGAATGGCGCCGCGGTAATGTAGTTAGCCCAATCTTTATGGTTGGTCATCCTACTGGCCCAGTCCTTGCCGATGGCGTCTGCAACTGCCTCGATGCCATTCTCGTTTGGCTGGATGCTCATGTCATACTTGTACGCTTTGTACGAGACCAAGAAGTCGTAACCAGACCCGCGTCGTTTCAGCGTACCATCCGCCGACCGGGAAGGGACTGAGAATCGAGCTACACCCGTCGGTAACGACCGTTCGAGAGGCGTTTTAGGTTACTCAAGCTTCGTACAGTTTCGTTGGAATAGACGGCGGCTTTTGAGCTCATCTTTAGCTTTCTCGTTTCCATAAAGGGGCAAGTCCTTGCGGTGTGCAACCCCCTCTGCGATCACAGTCACGACATCGGCAACAAGGTAGGCGAACCGCGAACAGTCGTGGTTGCCGGGAAGATGCGTACAGACGTCGTACGCCGTGAGGCCGCTGAGATGAATACTAAGTGAAGTGAGAGAGCCTTGGTATTTAATATGGTCACCTTGAAGCAGATAGAGGCGTCAGCTATATAGTCGCACCGCCGAAAATATCATCAGGATCGCTGTTAGTAACCATCAAAATTATCAATTCCTTCTCCTACAATTTCTCTTACTCAGTAACTAACAGCTAATCTTTTCCAATTTGGTAAAAGCATAAAGGCCGTTGGAAATATTATAGTTAGCTACGCTGTGTACCTAAATAGCCTGATCAACTATATTGTCTATTCTTAAACTTAAATACGTTGGCTATAGTAATTAAACTAGATTATTGCAGATGTTTTCCATAATATGTCAAGATCTTGAAGACTAGTACCTCAGATATTTATGCGATTTACAAAGAATTCGCCGGTACAGGATGTATCATAAGACTAATATTTATACAACCAACACCAACACCTCTCCAAACACGTGCACCACCTACTATTTTTACTTCTCTTCTGACGTCGTCGCTAGTATACTTGGATCTGACAAAGAGTCAATCGGATTGGAGTAGTAATCTTAACATCTATTTACATCGTGGTTAACAGATTTTATAGCCCCCCACCAGTTAAGTCTAAAGAATACTCGCTATATTCCGGTTTTAACATGCATTACTATCTTGTATTCCAACCTAATGCTTCATTCCTCTATCCAGTCCCAACTGAAGATGAGTTTTTGGACGTTTTAATTTGTCTTTTGTATAAGAAACTAGAGCTTCACACGGGTTTGAGGAGAGGTGCTCACATGATACCTACCTCAAGTAATTCACTTGAACAAATTTGAAACAGCCGCGGACTTAGCCTATACGTGAATACGTAAAAGTGTAAAAGGTAGGCATGTTTCGAAGGTATAAATATTTGCTATTGTGGGAAATCAGAACCTAAAGAGTGTCAGCCCCTATTTCTCCAGATATCCAACCATCCTACAGCTATAACTCTAGTTATACAAGACTAACTCCCATAAAAAACTAGAAACTCAACATATTCACCCAATTCCCCTTTATGAGAGATTGTGACCCCAGCAAACCTGGTTGGCAATATTGTCCCGACGATAGTGAAACGCATTTTGTAGCTTGTTTCATTGTCGAGGGAAAGTAGTTGAGTGTAAAGTGAATGAGACTTGAGATTTGTAAGTGCTGGTGATATTCTGTTGATGCGTGTTCTGATGATGCTGGGTTAAGGTTGGATCATTGCTGGCGAGACCGGGACCTCTTTATACTCTTCTCGCCGTCCAAACCTAGAGATATGACTTCTACCTTTTTGAAATATTTTGACAGCTGGTAACGTTGTCCTCCTGAAGATATTTCGAATCATGATACGTCACTAGCCAAAGCTCAGCGTCTGATATTGCCATCAGTCAATATTTGTCAAGGAGTGTAATCGAGCTTCGTACACATAGGCGCTGTTATTACAATTCCTTCAGGCTGTAAGAATAATAAAGGTTGACATAACTGATCAAAGCCCGGTTTACTAGCAACCAACAGCATACCTGTGATTTAGTATCATGCATGTAAGTACTCGCGGCGCAGCTTAATGGAACTGGGGGCGGCAGCTCCTGTAATCGTAGATCTCCTAACACCATGCTGATCATAGGCTATTCTAAGTTTCGAATAGTGCATAACACTAAGATTCGATTTTTTTTTTTTAATCACTATAGATGATAATACTTTAAAAAAGCAAAGTGTTCGTCGAGATATGAGGTGAGCCATGTGCTTGTAATGAACATCTGAGAGACCCTATTCTTATACTTACTTCTCGTTGCCAACAGCGACGTATGCAAAGGGTTGACTAAGTAAGTTTAAACTCTGAATATACCAGCGCTTCTTATATATATTTGATTAAGTCCCCCCAGACATATTTTCATAGCGTAGTATTTCGAGTCACCGCATAGTTACTACCCACTTGAACTCCCGAAACAAACAGGCTTATAATCTATTACATACGTGACAAGTTCACTATCGAAGGTGAGCTATATAATCTAAGTGTTAAAAATATGGGGGACTTTTCATTAGTATATTTTATGTATTATATGAGTACTCTCATTCAGTCGCTACACCAACCCAGTAGTTATATCATAGTGATATGTTTTCCAATATAGGGTTTTGCTTTGATGAAAAGGGGGAAGATGCTAAGACCAGTTGTTTTGATTTAGTTGCATGCTTATTATATTGTAACCTGGTTCTCTCTACGCTGGAATCCGACCTACTAGGCCAAGGATATCCGTACATGAAGCAATAGTAGTTTAGAAAGAGTCTAGATGATGAGCATTTTCTTTGTACTGACTGATATCAATTAGATATAGGGGTTAAGAGAAATCTTGGAATACCTAGGGGCATTTCAGACCGGGGACTCAATCAGCCCAATTCTAAATCCTTCCAAATCCAAAATTCTATTCTCATCAAATTATCTGCTTTACCTTAAATGAGACCAATTCTATGCTGACCCTAAATAGTAACGAGGTCTTTCGTATATAGAGTCTCATTCCAGAGACCCAGCCAATCAGAAAGCCACGAGGCATATATTTAAGGTAGGTGGCCGGATAGGTGTAGTCTGTGCGCGCCCGACGATATAAGGAATTCAAACGGTTAGAAATTGAAACTCAAATCGGCTTCACCGGAGACATGCAACAACGTCGCCGAGTACTAAAGAACCGAGGACTCTTGATGCCAATTGTCGAACCATCATCGAGCAGTTAGTAATGTGCAGTTATTCCCACCGATATACCCCTAGAATACCTACTCATGCGTTGCATTATGCGACGTGCGATCGATCGACCTCGAGTTACCGAGTATAGGTAGCCATACGTTGCCGTCTTACATATTTCTGTAAAGGTATTCTACATATGCATAAGCCTACTAGTTCCTGGAGCACATGCTGAGATGAGAGACTGGGGTAGCCCGGATATCGCAATGGTTGCGTCGTCTCGACTTTAAGACTGCCCCCCTTGAGCAGGGCGAACTCCAATAAACTCCATTGTAACCTCCCACGTGATAATGTGGAAATCCAGCTGGATGTCTCGAATCCTCCATTGACCAATGATGGATCTCTCTATAGCACTACTGCCGTATTTCGTGAATCTGACGTCGTTGCCCGCCGTGTATGCTGGTTCTTTTCTCTATATCTTTTATCCCGTCGCAAAACAAAGCGATGCCTCCCTACTTGATATGATGCTTCAGCTTCGTATGCACTTCCTGGCAGAGCTGCTACGCTAATCGATTGAAATTGTTATACCCAGCTAAGGTATCTGCTCGTCCTGAAAGTCTATCTGCATTTGCCAAGTAGCTAGTAGGGAACTTGACTTACATTACAGTTGGATCCGTTGAATCTTGCGGCTCTAGCTGATGGTGTGGGTGTGAAACGGTGAATAACTCGGCGTGTTTTTGCTGCGGGATTCTCCTCGAGCGCTGATATACGGGGTAACCCAGTCGTCTCCGTTCCTGACTTGAGATATCTGCCAGGCACAACCCGCTGAAAAGGAGGTATAAGAGCACACGCGGTTCTAGAGTAACGTGCTTAGATCGCGCGCTATGGATTTCCTGGGCCAGCAGAGACAACCTGGCGGGCCTGCTGATGACGATGTCGAGGCTCAGGGGGCTCGTCACTCAAATGGAGCCGATTATTCGAGCGGACAGCAAAGCGGCGAGCGTTCCGTTTCGGCTGCGCAAACTGGCAACGAGCACATCAAGTTTGGGGATGCTCGCCTGGACGCGCCGGCAAAAAGCTCCGACTTGAACGAATATGAAGCGCTTGACCGGTTCATCACGAACTTCGATGCGGAGCGCCGGGCTAGCCTCTCAACAAGTGCGAAGGGCGGGCCGCGCAAGAAGCCAAAATGGTGGCAGTTCTGGAAATCTCGCGAGGGCGAACCAGAGGCCGGGTCTGAGCATACCGACAGTGGCAAGCCGCCTGATTCATGGCTCGATACAGACATCCACACCGGTCTAACTACCGAGGAGGTGGAGGAGCGCCGGAGACGATACGGCTGGAACGAGCTGACGGCTGAAAAGGAAAATATGTTCGCCAAGTTTCTCGGTTATTTCCGAGGACCCATCCTTTATGGTGAGCAAGCTTGTCGCCCGTGCCGCTGTTCGTATGGGTATTCTGGAATGTGAACTTAACAGTCGGTCTAGTTATGGAACTCGCGGCTTTACTGGCCGTCGGCCTTGGCGACTGGATTGACTTTGGTGTCATCATCGGCATCCTCTGCCTTAACGCCTTTGTCGGCTTCTATCAGGAAAAACAAGCAGCTGACGTGGTGGCGAGCTTGAAGGGCGACATTGCTATGAAAGCGACTGTTGTACGCAACGGCAAGGAAGAGCAAATTCTAGCGAGAGAATTGGTCCCAGGTGATATTGTAAGTGTACCTGTTAGATATCGACGGTAACAATAAACGAACAACCCATAAGCTTACCACGCAATCTAAAATAGATAATCATACAAGAAGGGCAAACCGTCCCAGCAGATTGTCGGTTAATTTGCGACTACAACAGGCCTCAGGACTTCGAGCGGTTCAAAGAACTGAGGAACGAAGACAAGTTTAGCGAGGAGGAAGAAGCTAAGAACAACAAGAACAAAGACCAAGAGAATAATAATATCGAAGACGACGACGAACAACAGTTTATTCACTACGGCGACCCTCTCGTCGCCTGCGATCAGTCCGCCATCACCGGTGAATCCCTCGCCGTGGACAAATACATGGGCGATATCCTGTACTACACGACCGGCTGCAAGCGAGGAAAGGCATATGCTATCGTGACCACTACTGCCAAGCACTCCTTCGTCGGGCGGACCGCAGCTCTAGTCCAAGGAGCCAAAGACCAAGGCCATTTCAAAGCTGTCATGGATAGCATTGGAACGTCGTTATTAGTACTTGTTATGTTCTGGATTCTCGTCGCCTGGATCGGGGGCTTCTTCCACCACCTTCGCATCGCTACGCCAGACGTCCAGAACCTCCTGCATTACACGTTGGTGCTGCTGATCATTGGAGTTCCCGTCGGTCTTCCCGTGGTCACGACGACGACGCTTGCAGTGGGTGCGGCCTATCTAGCGAAGCAAAAGGCCATCGTCCAGAAGCTAACGGCGATCGAATCTTTAGCAGTAGGTAGCTCCTAACTATGCAAATATTATCACCAAGATGGTTGACAACTTGACTTACTTACTAAAATACGATATTAGGGCGTCAACGTGCTCTGCTCAGACAAGACCGGCACCCTGACGGCTAACAAGCTCAGTATCCGCGAGCCGTTCGTCGCCGAAGGACAAGACGTGAACTGGATGATGGCCGTCGCAGCACTAGCGAGCTCGCACAACATCGCCTCGCTCGACCCCATAGACAAGGTAACAATCACGACGCTCAAGCGCTATCCCAAAGCCCGCGAGATCCTGCGCCAAGGCTGGGTAACAGAGAAGTTCACGCCCTTCGACCCGGTCTCCAAGCGCATCACCACCGAGTGCCGCCTAGGCAACGACAAATACATCTTCGCCAAAGGAGCGCCGCGCGCCATCGTCGACCTCGCCGACGTCAGCGACGAAGTGCGCGCCATGTACAACCAAAAGGCGCGAGAGTTCGCCCTGCGGGGGTTCCGGTCGCTCGGCGTAGCGTACAAGAAGAACGACGAGCCCTGGGTCCTGCTCGGGCTGCTATCCATGTTCGACCCGCCGCGCGAGGACACGGCGCAGACGATCGTCGAGGCGGCGCACCTGGGCGTGCCGGTCAAGATGCTGACGGGCGACGCCATTGCGATCGCGAAGGAGACGTGCAAGATGCTGGGGCTGGGCACCAAGGTGTATAATTCCGAGAAGCTTATACATAGCGGCTTGACGGGGGCTGTCCAGCATGATCTCGTGCAGCGCGCTGATGGGTTCGCGGAGGTTTTCCCGGAGCACAAGTATCAGGTTGTTGAGATGTTGCAGCAGCGTGGCTCGCTAACGGCGATGACGGGTGATGGTGAGCTTTGCTTGTATTACCCCTTTCCCTTATTCGGACTCTGATACTAATCCCCCTATCTATCGTAGGTGTGAATGATGCGCCATCCTTGAAGAAGGCTGATTGTGGAATTGCCGTTGAGGGAGCATCCGAGGCTGCTCAGGCGGCGGCTGATATCGTCTTCCTGGCTCCAGGCCTCAGTACCATCATCCTGTCGATCAAGACTTCTCGCCAAGTATGTGTCCATCTCATGCTGTTGGTCAGCCATGCTAACTCATAGTCTCATACAGATCTTCCAAAGGATGAAAGCATACGTACAATACCGCATCGCACTATGTCTCCACCTCGAGATATACCTAACGACGTCAATGGTCATCATAAACGAGACCATCCGCCCGGATCTCATCGTGTTTATCGCGCTCTTCGCCGATCTGGCCACCGTCGCCGTCGCATACGACAACGCGCACGTGGAGCCGCGCCCCGTAGAATGGCAGCTGAAGAAGATCTGGGTCATCAGCGTCATCCTCGGATCCCTGCTGGCCGCCGGCACTTGGATTATGCGAGGCACCATGTTCCTGACCAGCGGGGGCGTGGTGCAGAACTTCGGCTCGATACAGGAGGTTCTATTCCTAGAAGTCGCACTGACCGAGAATTGGCTCATCTTCGTGACTCGCGGTGGCCAGACCTGGCCCTCGTGGCAGCTCGTCGGCGCCGTCCTAGGCGTCGATGCTATCGCCACTATCTTCGCCCTCTTCGGCTGGCTGTCGGGTAGCGGTGGCGGCGTCATGGAGACCACACCGCATACCTCCTTCGTCAACTCGCCCAACGGCTGGACCGACATCGTGACCGTCGTCGTAGTTTGGGCATACTCCATCGGCGTGATTATATTTATCGCCATCGTATACCTCGCACTCAACAGCTTCTCGTGGATCAACAACCTCGGGCGCACCGACCGCAACAAGAAGGACACGCTGATCGAGAACATCATCGGTCATATCAACAAGCTTGCTAGTAAGTTGGAGCCTTTACTCTGCTGCGGATTATGGCTAACCGAACCCCCCTAGTTGAGCACGAGCCGGATCCAAAGACCGGCCGCGACAAGTACTTCATCGTGGAGAAAACGGCCGCCGAGGAAGAAGACATATGATCGTGGGTACGTGGCAATATAAGCATGTATTTTAATTCTCTCTACTCTCTACATGTAGTTGAGAGGGGAAGGGGAAGTTTAAGATGACATACCATCCCAGTGTGTATATCGTCATAATGAATTAGTAAACAATACTATATAGTAGCTTTAAAGAAGGGAAAGCGGCGCCGCAGAGAATAATGCATACCTAGTTAAATGAAGATATAAAATATGTAATGTATGTATTCCTAGCTATACACAAACCCCCAACCCTTCGAAACTCGTCGCACAAGTCCCCGTCCCCGTGTCTGCGAACCCCCTGACAAATGCAATAGCCAAAACTTATAGGTAAAATATGCTAAAATGGGTACCCTTCTCCCTTTTATGAAAACGCCCATCTATCCGCGCGCCCAAGTCATGTATACCGAGGTCTAGTCGCACTGATATATATATGTATATATAGGTTATCGACTGTCTAATGACTGTCTAATCGAGAAAACCTCCGTCCCTCATCGCTGCTGCTACCTATAATGGGTCTCGCAGCACCAATCTTGATGCCGCGCCCCTCTTTCATCGAACCCTCCAAGCTGAGATTGCTAGCAGCACTATTGCGTCGGCGATTCCGCTTGATGTTCTGAGCTGAGGGACTAGGCGTTGCGGGGGTAGGTAGATCCCCCACACCGTCGTAATCGCCAGTCGAATACGGTCTATTAGGTGAAGTTAAGGGCGGCGTATTTTCATCGATAGTGGCGCTAGAATTAGGATGGATGTGAAGACCTGCCGTTGCGGTGTTGATGGGTTCTGCCGCTTCTAGACTGAAATCGGAACGATTCACGGGATCTTCACGCGCCTCGTGTTGTACACTCAATAGATGTTCTCCATTGGTCTGGTTTCCATTAGACGCAGAAGCCCCGTCGGATTCGAACGCGTCGCTGCTACGATGTGTGCTAACACCATTTAGTCTTCCATTTCTAGTAGTGGTAAGAATAAGATATAAATATCAACACTACGGGAAACTCACTGTTTAAAAGAATGAGAGGCTGTTAGACTGGCGCTACGCGCTCGTTGATAGCTTTCAAACTCTTCTAGCGAATGCTCTGCGCCCTTGAAATTCTCCAAGGCGTCAAATACGTGCTGAAAGACTTGAACGTCAACGTCACGAGCCCAGAGAAAGTCGAGGTGCTCATAGTGAGGAATTTCCGTTGCTACAGTCCTATTAGGTAACTCTCGCATCATCACCTTGATGTCAACCAGGGAGTCGCTCCCTCCATATACCAAGACAATGGGAGTCTTAATATTGCGGGTTGGATACTTGGCGACTTTCGTGTACTTGCTCGACGTGTGGATTGATAGATGTGTTTGCACATCGTCGTCGTACATTTGAAACGACTGATTCCTAATTATCTGGAACCAATGGACGACCGACTTGGTGCTGGTAAACGAATACAAGTGTGGATAAGCCGCGAGCTTCTGGCTAACCGATATGTTTTTGGTCTTCCAGCCGAACAGGAAAGACAAGCCCATGTCAATGAGCTTCATGAACAGAGGTGGGTACAGTATAGACTGCCACATCGTAGCAGACGAGAGAATGCAACGTCGGCCAAAGAGAAGGAAGAGGACCTGGGGCGAGGCTTTGATGAGAGCATCGACGATGCCATTATTCAAACCGGCAGGTGACATAGCCGGTGCCAATGCTATGAATACATTGACCTGCTCATTCAATTTAGGGTGCACCGCTAAGCTAGCAAAAGCTTGCGCGGTGCCCTGCGAGAAGCCAATGTAGGATAAGGACTGCTGCTTTGTGTTCTCTAGGATGTAGTTGATCGAGTCTGGGATATCATGAAAAGCGAACTCATCGATTGAGAAGTTCCAAAATTCGGGCGTAGTAGGGGGATACTTAATCGACTTTTTAGAGTACTTGTTCCCACGGTTGTTACCCAGCTAATATCCCATAGTTAGTATGTACAATTATATATATATATATAGAGAGAGAGAGAGAGAGAGAGAGATGTTACTGAACGTACCCAAACGTCGAAACCTCTTTCCACTAACACAAAGGGCAGAGACCTCTGGGCGTCGGTGAGGCAAACCCAAACTTCGCTATTCATGAGGAGGCCATGGTGAAGATAAACGACGCGCTTCTTCAGACTGGCGGGCCCGTCGTTGACTTTCATGTCTTCCTCGCCCTTCTTCCATGCAAGACGGTGTATTCCAAGTAGGTACCCATCTTTTGTTTGTAGCACATGTTCCTCGGCCGTGTAGCCGTACATGGCACAGAGGTCAACGAAATCGGAGGCATTTCGAACCGACGTCGAGATGGCTGGACGCAACGTGTTAGTGTGGGAGGATGTTAGGGATTGGAAGCAAGTCGTACATTTCCTTCTCTGCTCGGCTCTTTTCTGCGCCGGCGAGGTCAATCTATTAAATAACCGTCGCGAGGCTCGGTAGAAAAGATTCAACAACGAGGATGCTGTATTTAGAATGTTAGTATAGGAGAAGCAATAGATAGGATGGTATTTCCATACGTAACGCTAGCGTTAACACTCGGATCAGGGCCTCGAGCCCAACAAGAAAGAAGGAGCCCACGAGGGCAAAATATTCGGCGCTATATTACGCGATTAATATCGTCGAGATGCTCGTGTTCTTACTTATATAGAGATATTACTAACATGTCCAATCGACCAAGAAACGGTAAGGGCATTTTGGTTTCGATGTGTTTGGTATTCAAGTAGGGATAGAAGACGTTGGATGCCAGTTTAGCGCTGCGCTATCGCAATAAGCTGTTCATTTTCCTTCCGTCTAGCTAAGATACCATCCAAAAGTATTACCTCTACGAATGAGGAATTACGATTCTCGAGGGAGATTGGAGATTGGGCGATGTTATGGAAAAAGAAATAGCTGTCGCGGTGTAGGTAGGTCTTGGTGATGTCACATGCGAATATGCGAATAGGATTGCAGCAAGCTAAGCTCAAGAAAGACAGACAATTGACATTTCAATACCCATGAAGGTTAATATCTAAAAGTAGAAATAGATGGTAAGTTGATATTAAGGTTGTGATTTTTGAATAGGTAAACAGGTAAATAAATATTAGATTTCTTAGATTTGTTTAAAGTTCGAGAAGGCATAATATGTAATATTGAAATCATAATCAAGGTTCTTCATTTCATTTCAGACCCGTGGCGATGGAGCTCCTTCCCCTACGGTGTACTACTATTAGTTAGTGTACATTAGTACTTGGAGATTTCCTTGCTCTCCCCACTAATGATAACTTAAAAGGAATGAACGAACTCTGCCAACAACATGCCAGCAAGCTACCCCTGCATTCAAGTGCCTATGCTGATATGCTAATTCCCGATCTGTCCGCCGAGTTGTCCACCAATCGGCGTTATGGCATTTCTCTAAGCTCGGACCAACTTTACTTTTCGTGACTTTCGCGATATTACATAGAAACCATCCGATCCGATCTGGTGTGACCTGGTGGAAAATTGATTCCTCTACAGCTTCGCTCGCAGATCCCCCACGTCTGGTCAACATGCCAAGCTCATGTAAAGAAATAAGTATGTATGCGTGGACCTAACTACCCATAGCACCACTATACCACTATACCCTTCAGCCTGTGTGGACTCTGCTGACGGGCCACTGACTACAGGAGCCGCACTGGCGGAATGCCTGCAAGAGTCGGATTGCGTGATGGTACAGCGGCATACCGCAGCCGAATGTCTGCGCTCACCGCTGTCCGAGACCCTCCCGACGAAGTGCCAACAGCTGAAGAAGGGTTTCGGCGAGTGTAGGAGGGGCATGATCGATATGCGCAAGCGGTTCCGCGGGAACCAGCCCATCACCTTCAAGAGCCTCGAAACGTCCGAGCAGTCGGGAGAAGGATACCAGCTTTACGCCGGAAGATCCGCTTTCGCCGGCTCCGTCCGCAAGACCGACGGGAACGAGCCCGAGCCCAAGGACTGGCGAGAATTGGAGAATGAAAAGTACCGAAAAGAACAGGAGTCGCAAAAGAAATAAGATGAGATGTACCATACAAAAGATTGAGCGGATACCTATATCACATATCGCAGCAAGCATTGGACGGCGTTGGGGGTGGATTAGCATATCTGTGGGTGTCAAAACCGGTTGCTTATTATCTCTAAGTGTGGCTTGCAATGGGTTAACTCTACTCAAATGGTAGAATGCATATGGCGTGGTGTTGTCTCTCAGCCTTATACCCTACGATCCAAATCAAACGCCGAGTTTATCTTCAGTCTCTGGGTATCCTGGTCGGTTTTCTTTTTTTGCGACCAGCAGGTATTCACACGACGCTCTATGACCTGCTCGATATATCACACAAATATCCCTGATCCTAGATGACTTAGTCGATCATACGCTTCCGACGGTATCAAGCGACATCAAAAGTCAGACTTTAAACCCGTTTAAAATCCATCACATGTGTAATTACCTATTACCTAAGCGTCACGCCCCCCTTTATATATAATATATAATTGAGACAAGGGTCTGTTAGTGTAGATCGGCCTTGGCAAATAACCTCAAGACTCCATAACGAAATTTCCATCTATGATCTCCATGCTCATTTTCGCTCCTTCACACCGCGTAACGTCGTACATACATACATTGTATGACGATACGTGTAAAAATATCCATGGCTCTTTAGCTACGGTTGTTATGGTCTTGTCTAACTATTCTATCAGTAGACTGGCTCATTTGAACTCGCCTATATAGAATTGAATGTCTAACAGGTTATTTGCTATATTTGCTACGTACCCGTATTAGGCTTCTTATTCGGATGGACGTGAACTTATTATACATTCGTGAACCCTTACCTACACTGCTACACTAGGTGGCTATTCGACGACGTCATACTTAGTGCTATACTAAATCCTCAATGGGTCGTCCGGAACCTCCACTATCCCGGCCGCAGCGTCGACGTATAACTACCGCGAGCACCATCTTTACGATATTACTCACGATATTACTCATAACAATACTATGCTACACACGTTATAGCGAACAACTACTACCCATAGTACCAACAATAATGACGCAAGACGCCCAATCCCAATCTCAATCCCAATCTCAATCCCATGTCTCCCTCACGAAACCAACCCTCCTCGCCTCCTTACCTCCTTCCGCCCTACCTAAACCCCACGGCGGCTCCGACTCGCCCCGCCTGATCATGATCGGCGACGTCCACGGACAGCTCGACGCGCTGGACGCATTGCTCGCCAAAGTCGGATACTCGCGCGCGCGCGGCGACACGGTCGTCTTCACGGGGGACATGGTGAACAAGGGCCCGAACAGCGGGGGCGTAGTAGACCGCGCCGTGGAGATAGGCGCGTACAGCGTGCGCGGAAACCACGAGGACCGCGTGTTGCGGGCGTGGGCTGAAATGCAGCAGGCCGATGCGGATATGGATACAGATACAGATACGGACACGGAAGCGGAAGGGGACGCGGAGGCAGAAGGGAAGAAAAAGAAGGAGAAGAAGAAGAAACACGGGCATAAGCACAAACAACATAAGGGTAAGAAAGAAGACCGCAAGACGGCAAAGAGCCTCACGTCCGCCCAGCGCTCCTGGCTCGCCGCGCGGCCCGTCATCCTACGCGTCGGCACCATATCTCCGTATTACGGGGACGTAGTGGTCGTACACGGGGGTCTAGTCCCCGGCATAGCGCTCGAGAAGCAAGACCCGCAAGTAGTCATGAACATACGGACTCTCATCATGCCATCTTCTTCTTCTTTCTCCCCCGAATCCCTCATCGATTCGTCTACCGACTCCTCTTCGCACCACCCACACCTAAAGCCGAGCGAAGGCCGCGAAGGCCACCCTTGGTCCAAGGTATGGAACGCGTTGGAGAAAGCGAAACGGAAGAAGACGACGACGACAACCGTAGTCTACGGCCACGACGCCAAGACAGGCCTCAGCATACGGCGGTACGCGTTCGGACTCGATAGTAATTGTGCGCGAGGCGGGGAATTAACAGCGCTCGTATTCGAGCCGGCTTCACCATCCACCACCACCACCATTTCCAACCCCCTAAGCAGCGATAGCAACAGCAACAACGACAACAACTCAGACGAAGACGAAGGCCCGGAAATAGCAGCGTCCGAAAAGCTCGAGCAGGCCAAATACGGCGTAACGCACCGACTCGTCAGCGTCGCCTGTCGAGCTCGGTAGCAAATTTGAAGAAATAATACAGCGGGACGAGAACCAGGGCGAGGAAGAAGCCCAAGATAAGCAGGATGAGTAGGAGTAGGCCTATAATGGTGAAGAGGAAGGTGAATAGAGAGATCCAGAAGGCTATGGATAGAAAGCCCATTGCGTTTGTGGTTGGGTGGGTTTGGATTGGATTGGGTTGGATCCTTAGATCGGTAGCGTTTGCTTGTCGGGACTATTTGGCCAGAAGGATGACGATGGTAGTGGTGCAGTGGGCGGTGGGATGACCTCGTTGGATCATACCTAACATATGTTCCTGCATTAGGTATTCATAATGCATGGCGGTGGCGTTTCCGCGTTTGTTTACCAGTATACCAATTTGTATACTATACGTTACACCTATCTTCCTTACGCAGGTATCCAGAACCAGCAAAGTACCTAACCTAGGTAATAAAAAGATATTTCGACTAATCATATTTTCCAGTATTTCGTACGACATCATAGGTTAATTAAATGGCATTGGTTAAACCCTATATTTTGGTTCTCGACTATGGACTTCATAGTAGAAATCTGCCGGTCCTATATTCGCCAAGCAGATCCCTTATAACTGAACTTGTTATTACCCCGGAAACGAAAGAGGCCAAATTCATCAACTATGCATTCTAGAAACTCCTAACCAGCCGATTTCTCAATGCGCACTTGCCCTGTGCCTCCTTTTTTACCTGTCGGCGTCGTAATTTACGCCGAGATCTTGTTCTTGATGATGTCCTTGAGGGTGACGGCGTCGGCGGCGAACTTGCTAATACCCTCACGTAGCTTCTCGACGGCCATTTGCTCCTCGTTGAAGTCGAAGCGGAAGAGCGGTTCGTCGTTGATGTAGGTCCTCTTAGGGATGTCGAGCGAGGCGGCGCCAGAGGCGTCGAGCTTCTTAGGGACGGGAGCGGTCGAGTTGAGGAGCTCCTCGAGCAGGTTAGGCTATAAGGGTGTTAGAGTTATCATATCTAGGTGTATATATCTAGGTGTATGATCAAAAATCAGTCACTTACAGAGATGGTCAGGTAGTCACAGCCAGCAAGTTCGACGATCTCGCCGGTGTTTCGGAAAGAGGCACCCATAACAACGGTCTTATAGCCGAACTTCTTGTAGTAGTTGAAGATAGACTGGACGGACTTGACACCGGGGTCCTCCTCCTTGGAGTACTCCTTCTTCGTCGTGGCCTTGTACCAGTCAAGGATACGGCCGACGAAGGGGGAGATGAGGAAAGCGCCAGCCTCGGCAGCAGCAATAGCCTGGACGAGCGAGAACATGAGGGTCAGGTTGCAGTTGATGCCGTGGTCGCGTTGCAGGATTTCGGCAGCCTTGATACCTTCCCACGTCGACGCAATCTTGATCAGAACGCGGTCCTTGGAGATACCTTGCTCCTTGTATAGCTATATAATACGTGTTAGTATAATTGTCCAACATCAATTGTTTATCAGCGTTCATTAGACACATACGTCGATAATGTGTAGGGCCTTCTCAACCGAAGCCTTAGTGTCGAAGGAGAAGCGGGCGTCGACCTCAGTCGAGACCTTGCCGGGGATAATCTTTAAGATTTCCTTGCCGAACTCAACTAAGAGTCGGTCAAGAGCATCGTCAACTTGGCTGTCGATATCACCACCCTTTGCCTTGGCATTTGCTACGGCGGCATCGATCAATTTGGCGTATTCGGCCTTCTTAGACGCGGCGAGGATGAGAGAGGGGTTGGTGGTAGCATCTTGCGGCTTGTACTTTCCGATAGCTAGATGTTGTTGTTAGTATTGCTTCAAGAAGGATAAAGCTATGTCGCCGGCTTGACCCGCCCGCAATTGTCGCAAGTTGGGTTGATTATGCGGGATATACTAACTTGCAAAGTCACCTAATACGTCAGTTAGCGCCATCGCGTCTTTATTTAGGGGTAGACTTAATGTAGCTTACCAGAGTCGCAGACGACAACCTAATTGACGAGAACATGTACAAGTTAGCCAATTGCTAGCTATGAAGCGTGAAAACACGAGATTTGTGTTCCGCGCTCACGGAAGCAGTGTTGCAGATGAGCTAGGAAATCCTCCATCTCGAACATTAAAAACTCACGATGGAGGGGTAAAGTTGATTGAGGGGTAAACTAGACTTACCGTGCCGGTGCTCTTCAACTGATCTAGGGAGTTAGACATTTTGTATTAGTGTTACTAGAAACTCCGAGTTAAGATATATGCGACGAGGCGATCGTATTTTAAGCAACGCAAATAGAGTTGGTTGCAGATGTAGTTGTAATTGTAGTTGTTTGAAGATGGGACGGTAGGTTCAATTATTGTTGGGGGGCAGTCGGGATATCCCTATTACTTATTTGCCCGCGATGGCGATGGTGGGGCATTATCAATGAGAACAAGCGTCATATGCCCACAGTACTATGCACTACCTAAGACGTAAGCTACATCTATACTAGGTTGCATGTAGCCGTCCGTACCTATAAAATTATCAAAGCACCTGATTTTTTGTAGACTTTTCTTTCCTCTTCGACAGGTTCGATCTAAGCTCTTTCTTACTCCCCTGCTCCCGTACCTAAACTTAACCCTCCGACCCCTCCGGCCGCTCCATTTCGGCCCATTCATCCAATAGGTCGCGCTCGCCTTACCGTCAGCCACCAACCCACTTATAAGTACCTACGTCTTAGGACATCAAAGGGCCGTTGTAAATACATGGCATGGCCTATCCATGCTAGCAGTGTAAATTATAATTAAAAATCTCCTCTATGTAAAGAAAGTTGATAACCACTCTTCCTGACAAAGCAATCGCCTTCGGTCGTTTGCCCGATGGTATTTAATCATTGGTCATTGGTCCCTCGCTGATAATAACAAGTACCGACCTATGTACAATAAGTCCACCCGCTCATGGAGCGTCCAAGTTACGTATGTATTACTGTGAGCCTCAGATAGTCTCATACATTAGCTAGGGCCCTTACTCAGCCAACCATATCGACATATCGACATCGTTGCCTCCTCCACGTGGGGTCTTGATCCGCTATTGGGACGTCCCACATTCTCACCGTTTTGCTTCTCTCCGCCAAGACAGACTTCACGACAAATAGTGCCTCATATATGTTGGAGGTCTCTTTGACCATTAACCCGTCTATCCTATTGGTTTTATGGTAATTCTTCTTTTGTTGCTAGTGCCGTTGTTGCTACCAACCCTATCAACTATACGTTACGTATCTTCACTTAACTACTATATAATGATGAGGGTAGTTTCTTAAAGCCGTTGCCTTATAAAGTGAACGGGAAAAATAACCCCCTTGCCAAGGACCTGGCAGTACATCCGTTAATTTATAAGATGACCGATCTTCGGCGCTCACCGGTTTTTATATGCCTCACGTATAAAGTAATAATCAAATGAAAAGTTAAGAAAATTCTAACTAAGCGATAGTAAACGACTACAAAAATTGACACGTAGCAAAAGTACTTAACCATCAGATCTATTAAATGTCGAGGCGGGCATAAAACCAGCCCAAACCGAGACCTGATATTTGTAGGAGGAACAAAGCGTCTGAACAACAATTCGCATTTATTATCCCTAAGAATAGGACATGCTCTTTTAAAACCTTATATCTACACGCTCGTGTGATGATGCTTTTACTTGGCTAGACTATACGTGCTATTGCTTCATATTCTACGATGCAGCTTTTTTTTTTTGTCTTCCCCATGCCATGCAAATATGCTGAAGAGACCCCATACTGACTCAAGAAAACCAGTCCAACCTAAAGACGGGAAAGGGGAAAGGTTGTATTATTTAGTCCTCGGTAATATCACCATACTCCCACATGCCCAAGCGGTCCGCCTTGGCCTGGGACTCAACCTCGCGTAGCTTCTTCAGTACTTCCTCGGAAGCGCGTCCGCGTTCCCATGCCTTCAGCTTCTTGGGGACAAGCGCGTGACCATTTGCCACGATGTCCTTGTTAATGGAGTCTGTAAAGGTGCTGCTCGGCTTCTTCTCGTCGAACAGAGTGATATAACTCAAACCTTCCTTCTGATCCACGAAGTCGAAGCTGGCCACTAATTTTCGTCCGTCTGTGGCCTCGGCAATGTAGTTTAGCGCGTCGTTAAAGTAGTCGGGGGCAGTAGGCAGTTGGATGAACGAGAGTGCGGCGTCAGTAGCTTGTGCCTTGAGTTTCTGCGTCGAGAACTGCGGCTGGTCCAGTGCTCGGAGGCTAGACCAGGGGATCTTTTCGCTGTTGCCATAATCAATATAGACGACTTCGGCAACTTTAGCAGTCCTGTCATTCGACCGCACTCGTGCACGATACCATTGGCCATCAGCTGTAAACTTAGCCGCCACGAGGTCGCCAGTCTTTGGGGGGTTGGCAAGGGGCTTATTGTTCTTGGAGTCAATGTGGAACTTTGCGAACTCGCTCATTAGAATTTCTAGAGCGGAAGTTCCCTTTCCGACCTCTTGAATCTTGATCCTCCCGTTTGCATCAATGTTGGTGACGACTATCTCCCGGTAATCGGAAGCTTGCTTATCCGTAGGCGCAGCGTCATTTGAAGCTTCTACATTAGTAGTCTCTTCTTCAACATCTTCGTCTTGTGACGGATCCCAGTCCTGCCAAATGCCTTTACGGCCTTCCTTTGCACGCTTCTCGGCAGCTAGAAGCTCAGTGGCATTACCGGCTTTCTCCGCTGAGTATCTGTGGACAGATGCAAGGCCCTCCTCTACTAACACCTTGGCAAAACTCTCGCGGTTGACGTAGAGGTCGCCAATGAACCCACCAACTTTGTCAATGTCATGAACATCGATTTCGCAGTCACGCTGGTTACACCGGCGGTTGGCAAGATCTAATGCTTCCTGCCCAAAGGGTTCGCCCTTCTCTTGAGGTAAACGAGGTGCTCGAGGAGCACGAACGCCAGCAAGTACCATAGTGAGCTTGACCCCTTCTCGAGGAATGAGGATGGTGAACCTTGAGCCAGCTTTGCAGAAATCAACTATCGCAGGTACCTTCTTTTGACGTTGAAGGGTTGAAAGCTGAATCTTGGCTTTCTGGACAGACTCCGAAACATCGACATACGTCCTAGCTTTTGATGCCTTTCCAGACCACATACCCTTCTTCTCCTCTTTCGCCTTTTCTTGAGCCGCAAGTAACTCATCGTAGTTCGGTGCTCTATCAGTGTCATCCTTACGGTGTCGAATCACGGAACACCAGCCATCTTGAACCAGTTGAAGGTTGATATTCTTGCCTTTCTCGGTGACAGTAGCTACATCACGTGCCTCGAAATCGTCGCTAGCAGGCCGATGTCCGTCGATAGATACTTGTACGTGTTTACCAATTAGTTTCTTTCGAAGGTATTCCTTTGCCTCGTCTCTGAAAGGGGCTTCGGAAGGCTCGTTGGCTCTGGGCCCCCGAACACTGCTAAGGTTGATTCGCTTCTCAGCGCCGTTCTTAGTACGAACAAATATCGCGTCCGCTCCTTGGATTTTCGAGACAATCATATCGGATGAGCTACCACCCTCGGCCTTGGCTACGTGGTCCTTGTGGAGGCGTAATTTGGCCGCCTGGGCCTTCTTTTCGGCTGCTCTCAAAGTCGCCATCTTCGGACCGAGTAAGGTAGAGTGGAAGTCATTGCATCTTGCAAGTCCATCGGCAAGCAAAAATTCCGCGATACTGCCACGAGGGTGCAAGATGGAGGCAATGAGTTGTCCTTGCGGGCTGGTACCAGCTATTTCGACCTTGACGTCGCGCTGAAGAAGTCTTTGTTCGACGTATTGTCGCGCTTCGTTTCCGAACTCTTCCGCGGGTTGGGTCTGGCCAGTCGACTGGTTAACCCTCTCTGTAGAGGGTGCACGGATACCGGCAACAAGCGTCATAACCTGCAAGTGCTTCTTGTCGGACAGCTTTAGGCGCACAAGCAGGCGATCACCGCTTAGAACGCGCTCGACAACCCCGTCGATACTTTTGCCCTTCCATTCGTCGATGTCAAGGCCGTTGATATCGTTTTGGACTTCGATGATTCCGCCAATGCCTTCCCAAAGCCCCTTCCCCTCGGCCTTGGCTTCTGCTTCTAGGGAACGAAGGGTTTCAAGTCGTTGCAGAACTTCTTCAGACTCTTCTTTACGGCCTGCATCTTCTCTGACCTTAAGCCAGCCAGCCTTGACCAATTCGTCTGGCAGTGTAGTCCCATCTTTGAGCTGGGCAACACCGTATTCTCTTCCAGACGTAGGGATGGTATAGAGAATGGAACATTGAACAACCTTGCCAACGGCTAGTTTCCTCAAGTAATCCCGGGACTGGAAGGCGAAGGGTTCGTCGCCATCTCTCTTAAGATGAGGTCCGGTGACGAAGGCCAAGGAAAAAATGCGCTCCGCATTCGGGTTACTCTGGCTAGTTAGCACTAGAGTGTCGCCGCTCAAGACCGATTTTACGTTAGCAAAGAATTGTTTCGCCATTTTGCTAGCGAGGAGATGGTTGAGTTAATGAAGGATAAGAGTGGGAGGGAAAGGATTCCAGGGAATTCCTGCAATCTGTCTAAATAGTCAGTAAATAGTTGAATACTTCTCAGAGGCAACACTAGTTGCGTGAATATAAAAAGGGTGAAGAAATGGTCATGACAGTGTATATAATATAATGTTACATGTTCCAGTCTAGAGTGACTAAGGATAGTGACTAAGGATTCATGAGCCCCCAGTCACGGCTGTCTATAAAGCCACGTAGTTATATTAACAGTCCCAGTCATCATCATGTGGAGTTGCAGTTTTGTACTTATAAGTACTGAACTGCAAACATTCATAATCGTCGACGAAGCTAATTGAAGACTTATAAGAAAGAACAGAGAGTAACCCAATTTCGTGATAAGTGGCATCTCACTAAGACTTTAGTAGACCACGTGTTCGAAGTTACATGTTCATGCATGCTGGCTGCTGGCTGCTGGCAACTGTCATAACTTGGAGTGAAACGGGAAAGGGCATAAAGATCTGAGATTGTACACTGCTGGCTGCTGGCATGGGCACCGCCATTCTCGCTTGATTGGCATCGAAGGTGTAATGTTAGAATTAGGGGCAAGGGATGGAACATTGAAGCTTGTGCTGATGAGGTACGGAATACATAATTCGAAAGTTGAATTCAAGAAGGGACTTCATTGGACTTACCCAAGTGTGGGAGGTAAATATGCCTCAAGCCTCAAATTTTAAGTTAAGTAAATAGAGTTAGAACATTCGGGGTCGAGTATGACTAGGTAGGTAAGAAGAAGCCCAATGCATTCAGAAAGTGTTGACTTTAAGCTCAAAATGCATCTGTCGTGTGCGCTTTGGATTTTGACAACTTTCATCAAATTTGTGGGGAAGGCCAAGTACACAGTAAGTTCTAACTCGTCGAAAGCTGAAGGACCAGTCGAGGCCAAGTCCAGGGGTAAATGGGCAGATGGGGGGTGTTTCCCCCTAAGCGAAAAGATCGCTGGCAGCTGGCGGGGGGTAAAGATATATCGGTCTTTCCCCATTTGCCCCTCCTTTGTTTAAGATACATATGAGCGGGGTACTTACTATTTAAATTTCAATCTCGATGCGTTTTGTTAAGACTAACCTATAGACAAATGAGGTGGGAAAGTATAGGATATCAAAAAGTATTTGGAAACAGCAGGCGTAGTGTAGAGTACGATGGATGAATTGAATGAGCTTGGATCAGGGGTTCAACTAGTTCATTATTCCCTAAATAGTACCAAGCTATCTACCTCCATAGCAGTCAAGGATATGGAGGGGTATACAAGCTGCTTTAGTAGCTCAGATACACGATCTATATTTATAGATGCACGCAATCAAGGTGGTCGAAGTAGGTACTGTTATAAGTCTACGACTAGTTAAGGAGGCTGCATAAACGAATATATGTCAATGGCTTAGATTTTTATTTCCAATTGGTAAAGATTGTATTCTTTTTTAAAACCTATGATCGACTATAAATCGTTCACTCATTCAACCATACTGAATTTCGTCACTAGGCTTCATACCATTTGGCACATGTTTAGTTCGAGATACCAATGACACCTAGCAAGAATTGTGTTAGTCGCATTGTCAATTGCGAGAAGTAACATATAATAACTTACCGCAAGCGGGTCGGGGACCAGCGTTACCAGTCTTAAGGGACTCCTCGTTACCTCCCTTGCCAAGGTCATCAGTGCCACCGTGGAACACAACAGTTCGCTACGCCCGGAATTAGCATGTGCAATGATATAACGTAAAAAATGGTATGTTACTTACGCCAATGATGCTCTCGGGGCCGATCAGCTTAACAAGAGAGTCCTCGACAGAGCCCTTGGCGTTACCTTGAGCGTCAGTCACAACATTGCCCAGGTCACCAACGTGACGATTCTCGTCGGTTCGGTCGCCATGAGTCTTGCCGTGGGGGTTGACTATTATTGAAAATCAGCTATTTCATTTCTACTTAGACCCTTCAATGTCCGCTAAGAGAATAGCATCACGTACAGTGAGGGCCCGCAGAGGTGCAACCGTTGGTGTTATCACCGAAGGTGTGGATGTGGAAGCCACGCTTGGCGTTGGGGTCGTGGCCGGTGACGTCCCATGAGATGATGGTAGGGGAAGACTCGGAGGCCTGTTCGAAGGTGACGGTTCCGGTGATCTTGGAGTCACCACGGACGACAGCGACTAAAGTTGTAGATTCTTGTCAGCAATGACTCGGACCGTTGTATAGGGCTGAACTAAAAACGGCACGCGGTAGGGGTTTCCGCAGGGAAATCTAGTAAAGGAGAACTCGTATGATCCCAATGGTTGGGTTCGGCCTAGCAGACTGCCTCCCATTGTGTCCAACAAGGTGTCCATTCATCTCAGCCTTGGTGTACGGCAGGGACTACTAGTTGACGAAATGCGCGCAATCGTGCTCATGCAGCCATCCTGAATCCGGAAATGATGGATTTGATGGATTTGATAGTAGTTTAAATAACGGAGACTCTTCCACGTACCGGCTTTGACCATTTTGACTACTTTTGTTTTGGTTTTCGATTGTTTAAGGCTAGAATTCCAATAATTCCAATACAAGCGATGATGATTGTCGATTTTTAGGAGAGGGGGAAAGAAGAGGGGGGAGCTTCTCACGGTCTAATTTGTACTGAAGAGGAGAGGGGATTTCGGAAAGCCACTCATGAGCCGGCTATCCTTACCTTTCCATCCACCACTATAAGGTACTTTACTATGAGGTACATACTAACAAGGGCAGGACCTTACATAAACAGTTTCACTAATCCGTACGTACGAAAATAACCTTACCGTCTTCTATTCGAGTAGCGCAAAGCACGCTATCTCGAGAGCTACATAAAAGGTAAGTACATACCTCATACTGCTCTTACATAGGTACGTTATGTACTGGTAAGGTGGGGGGTTTTCTCATAGCGTGCTATGCATAGAAAGGTTGCCCCCGCTTCGCGTCATTGGCGTCATATTTTGCTGTGTGATGCTTACAAATGATATCATTTTCCGTTAAAAAGCTCGGTCTGTCGGACTTTATGCAACTCACACTAGGTAAGTCGCAATCCCGTTCGTTACGAGTTACATATCTCAGACCCACTTGTCTATACTTATAAAACATAAAAATTAATACAAGTCTTAAGCCTCCAATCGTTGTACAGAACATCTTTGCTTTATGGTAAAGACATCGAGGAGTACTTATGGGCGCCTCTATTCGTCCTACCCTCAGAAATAATAGTCTCTTCGAACGCGCGGATCATTCCATCGTAGAGCCTGTCTATATCTTCAGGAGAGTCGTTAGTCCCCGTCCATATTACCCCATCGCATAGGGGAAATAAAATTTGGCGTAGACTTTCGGCGAGCGGCTTGAGAGAGTGGAATACGGGAGTAAATTCCTCCAAAATATCCCGAAAGCTATCCTGCTCCATGTCAAGAGACTTTTGTACCGCTAAATCGTACCAGTCTCCATTGCTCCATTGTCGAAGCTTGTCTCTGGGGGATTATCCGCGTGGTTCGTTATGATCGTCCACAGGAAGACATAGAGGAAAGACTCTAGGTCGTGCCGATAGGTATGACATTCGCTCTTCAGCACGCCAATAGCCATAAATGGTCTGGTGCCGGTAATTCCTAGCTCTGTTTCTGATCTTTCCGAGAGTTCTATTGCGGAATCGAGATCTATCAGGACGCCCTTCGGCTTTCCTTCATCTTGGCCATCCAGAATGATCATATTCCCCGGTGAGATATCTCGGTGAAGAATCTTGGCGTCGTAATAGAGTGATCGATGACATTTGATAGCATCACAAAACACTTGAAGCAACTCTAATAGAGATTGAAAAGTGTGAAGGGGTCTGCCGACGGGAGAAGTAACGAGGCAGGCAAGAATACGATTTTGAAAAAAGTTGTCGGTTTCTTCTGTACATTCGACAAGCCCGTCAGCATTATAAGTAACGTCCGGTCGTCGCTCTTCTATACTTCTATGTCTCTCGCGAAAGTGCGCCCTAGTAAATTTTCTGTGTGTCCCCCACCGGAGGCCTCGACGCAGATATGCTGTACTTTCGAATTCTTTGTAATAATCAAGGGACACGGCACCCCAGGCGCATTTATTCTGGGCCAGCTTTAGAAGCTCATCCTCCGGACGCTCCCTAGCCCAACGCCATTTGAATTTCAAGACATGATTCCATCGATTCGAATCAAGCCTTCTAGCCCGGTAGCAAGTTGTGCCGGTGCCAATAAGGCCTTCACGGAACGCGATGGGTTTCCTAAAGGCTCAAGGACAATGTAGCTGCCGGCCTTATCCGACTCAATCATGTCGAGTTTCCCCAAGTCCTGGTCCGTCATATGCTGGTGACTGAGAACAATAAAGAGAAACTGGATAAAATCTTTCTGAACATCGGATACGTCGCTACAATATAACCCAGATCGATCAAAAACCCAAAGTTCGATCAGCGAACCGCGTATATAAAAGCCATGTAAGAAGAGCCGCGTAGGCTGATTGGCGAATACCTGGTGTGCGGACCGGCAAAGACGCAATAGACCATCCTGATAACAAACGCAACCACAGTGGTAAAACTGGCCAATAACCTGGACAAGGTTCCATCTCATCTGCACGTTAGAGGTCGACGAAGTGGGCATGATCAAGAGAAGGCGTGCACCTTCGTCAGCACTCTCTTGTTTAGGTGCTACATTGTCGCTAGATATATGCCACGAGCCTCGAGCACCGTCAGACTCCCGAGATACATAATAGTTAGAAAACCATTGTAGGAAAGTGTCGGGTGTCGGTGCAGTTGATGGAACAGCACAGCGACCAGTAACTCTTCCGGCTATCTGGATTTCCAATAAAGCATCTTGATGGACATATTGAAATTTGCCGAAGTATTTCTTGATAAATCCGCTCATAGGGCCATGCATACGGGCACCTATATTGTCTAGGATTTGGTCGTCCGTCACTGAAGTTGGTGAAGCTGGCGGATGATTTGCCGCTAATTGATCCTCCATAACCAATACCAATGTCGTATAAGGATTCTATTTCAGCACTCAGTGCCACACGACATCAATAGGTGTTGATGGTATAAAATGAATGCATACCTTAAGGCCATCTGATATAACAATCAAACATCTTGGCGGCTGAGCTGGTTATTCGTTGGGTTTTAGCAAAAACATCCCTTACTTAAGTCCAGTTAAGTGATATTTGGACTTGGTATATCTTGACGTGAGTTTCATCTCGGATCCCATCAATTATTTCTCTATCCTTTAAGTCCTTTGAGTTGCCAACTTTGATTACACAATTATTGCCCCTCTCAGTACTCGTCCTATAGCAATCCCATGGCCGCCCTCATCAATACCTTCTTACTTCCTAGTATTTACAACACTTTGCCTTTAATTAGCCAGGTTACTGACGATCCTTGGGAAAGATACCAAACGGCGGTCTTGGCAATGCAACTAACAGTACCATTTGTACGACCCGAGCCAGCAGTCCTACCCATCATTGAGGCTCTGCATGGAGTAGAGATCCGGCTACGTTTGACAACTATACCCTGGTTAGCTCTCTGCAGGCTACGAAGTCATATCCCACATGACTCGACCTACATATCCAAACCGCCGATCCCCCATAAGATCGCGATCATCATTAAAAGCAAGGTAAATCGAAGTCTAAGTTCTAAATTCGGGTCCCTAAAAGCCGCAAGAAAAAATATGCCAAGAGAAGTCTAGACGTACCTTTCGCAAGCAACTACCGAAAACGTGAGTCGTCGGAGTTGTTACTGCAGAGCATGGGTTGGATTCGGGAAACGTCCGTACGTGGGGGCCGTAACTAGAACATATGACTATAAATTCGCTGCGAAAGGTCTCCGTTACACGCCGACCTTCTCTAGAAGCCGTCAGCTGGACTCTACCCGAACAAGTCTTCTTAGATCCAGAGCTACTCAAAGGATCTTACCGATTTTCGGCGTTAATTAGGACGTGACATCGAGATCTATGGGAATCAGCGGTTATCGTGCCGATCCGCTCTTTAGCGAGTCTAGACCCATGATCCTTCCCCGGAGTCATCCGTATTAGATTACGTCTCGGTACTCTATTCTTACCCAATAGGGATACGTTCTCATTCAGAAGGGTCGTGAAAACTCCATACTTTGAAATAATTATCACGTTTAACGGTTTGCTTAAGGCTCATCAGTTCTGCCCAGAGAGGGCAGTTTGGCCGAGTACGATACGCCAATAATCGCGATGGCACTTTCAGAATAGACCCGTGAAACGAATGTATATTGATAGAATATAAAAACAAATAAATAATGATATATGTCGTGTTTTGGCTGATATCGATACTGCAGTCATATATAATAAATTTAAGATATATGGCACAGTCCGTCCTATAGTCCCCCGAGGGATTGTTGCTTATGCGAATCCACCGTGAGCAAAATAAGTATATACCCAGGTACCACCTATATTGTCATTTATTCACGATAAAATCCATACCAAGAAATATCGCGTTATCGGAAGGTAGAAGTAGCTAGGAAATTTGAGGGGAAAGAATGTTCAGAAATAGAAGGAAAGCAAAAGGAAACATGTAATTCAAAGAAGATGGGTTAGGAGTAAAGCTTTAGTATAGGTGTAAATGCACCCAACTTTAGTCGTACTTGTAATGAAAAGGAAAAGTAAAAGAGAAAGGGCATGTAATAAGGCTAGTAGATAGCTCCAGTTCCTATCAGTGGTCAAAACATAAGACTGCGTCCATTCTGTGACCCATCAAGGAAGCGACACTGGGAAATATAACGTATCATCGTAGTTTTTGAAGTCTGTCGTATAAATATCCATGGTAGGGCTTCATCCATCGGACATGAAAGAGTAGTCCGCGTGTCGTATTGCTCCAACCATGCTTCGAGAGAACCATATTTCCTATGGTCTCAAACGTGTTGTTCTTGTCGTACAGGGCGTCGGGATTTGAAGAGAGTGGAATGTCGTTCTGGCTGTATAATCCAGAGGAAATGTAATAGGACGTAGAAATAAGAAATCGATTCTTGTAACGATCGTAGGTTGAACAAAGGAAGTCGTGAGTATTGATTAGCCGAGCCCGAGATCAAGAAGTTTATGATTCTAGAGTTTCAGAGCTATGAACCCTAGAAACTGATGGCTATAATGCCATTGTAACGTAGATAAGTATTTGAGAGGCAGCCAGAGCCTGACGGCTGAGCACTGGGACCGAGGGGTATTCAGATCCGGTATCCACTATCAAGGGGATAGATGAGTCTCCGTCTCTGGCGCTACTCCCAGTACATCAGTGCTTCTCCCTGCAGAAGCGATATCGGGTTGATAAAAGAGCTGAATTCATATTCGCCGCTGGTGCTTTCCGGGGTGACAAGTTCAGTGGCTATGTCAGGAGAAGAACTATGATCTTGCTGTAGCTCTTGTCGCAGTTCTTGCGCCAACTCTTCCCGCAGCTCTACATATAGTTCTTCCCGTAGCTCTTGCTTCAACTCTTGTCTCAAGAGGTTTGCATGTTCATCAACGTCTACGGATCCCAATTAATTTAAGTAATATGACGGCAGTGGTGACTTACATGGAGATGGATACGGAGGGTTAGCAGTTGGATAGATGGTCTCGTAGATTCTAAACCACTTTTGCTCCTCCGACAAGTTTCGCAGGTCTCCCCGACTTCGTAGCCTCTCTACCCTCGACCCATTGTAGTTAATTGCGAGTCTAGAAGGGGTATACATAGTAGTTTCACAGGGCTCAATAGCTCGGACGTGCTCATCGAGCTCTCGTTTCTGGCGGAAAGCCTTGTTACAACGTGGACATTGAAAGACAAGATGTTTTCGGTAGATGTGTTCCCTGTTAAGCTGTAAGAACCACAGTAGGTGCGTAGGGTTAAGGCTTGACGTACTTTACGCGAGACGTGTTTTCAAAGCCACCACGCTCATGGCAATTGCGAAGAGAATCGGGAAATGCTTTAGCAAATGGACAAGCAAATCGTCGGCTTGCACCTTTAGAACGGGCTAGTTTCTTCCCTCGTCTAGGTGTACCCCGATCATCGTCATCGTCATTGCCATTCCCATGAGGCTTTTTTCTCTGTCTCTGCCTCCTTGGATTTGAAGAAGACATAGGTAATACAGCGTCTGCAGTGAAATTCAACAGCAAAGGAAGGAAAGAATTTAGTAAAGATGAGATAGATGTAAAACAAGAAACATTCCCAATCCGAAAATATCATGACGTGTAATTTAGAGAGGGGCAAGACAACTACATATTTCTAAAAGGTGATTACTACCACCTTGCGGCTCTTCTTTATGCGCTTGCGAAAAGAATATACGGCGTTAAGCAAACGTAGCTACTTGAAGGATCGATATATGTGCGTGTGTGCATGGGCGCGTACATGCAGGCCACCCACTCGCGGGGCAGATATAATCGTTCCGCCAGTACGATTAACGAAAAACAACCCGTACGCAAGCTACCTACCTACCTTGTAGGTAGATAGCTACATGCAGTCATCCTGGCTTCATGCGGGCTGCATAAGTACGTTGTCGGGCCTGATACCTAGATAGGAGGTTTTCGGCACTCTTAAGAATGATTCCAACCCCCATTCTTGAATTCTTACGTCACAGTAATCCAGTGCCATCAATCGCGGTCCTATTTTTCGAGTTAATCATCGGCCCAATAACGTACGAGGACATAGTAAAATAGAAAATGGAAAGTGGCGGTAAACAAAGTGAAATATAAACTGCATTATGAGATGCGTCTAGGAAATCACAACTCCAGCATCCAGAAGACGCGACCTCTAGCATCCAAGATCCGTATAGAAGAACTTAGGGCTCTCCTTCTTCACGGAATGGATCACCCCATAGGGTAGTTGTATTTCAAACCAACAAAGCGAGTCCTTTAGATATATTAGCATGCTGTATCCAACGTAATTATAGTATGCAGGGTCCTATCCTACAAAGAAGGTTGCAGGTTTCATGAACATCTGCCACAACTAGATCAGCGAGTTCGACGAGTCAATTAATAGCTTGACCTGACTTGGACCTGGCTTGACCTAACCTAGGTAGATACATTTTATGGAATATCTATCCAAGTCAGGTAGAAAATATTTTTATTTGCTTAGCAAACAGGTAAAAACGAGGGTATTCATATATACCTTTCAGGGGTTAGATTTAGGGTAGGAAATTTATGTGGCTGGTGTGGCTTTATATGTAAGGGCTCCCAGGTTAGTCCCACGATAGGTACGGCCAGGTAAGCCTCATTTTTCAATATATTTGACCTGACTCGGACAAGGTCAAGTCTTTACGGTTATTTGGCCTGACCTGACTCATCGAACTCACTGATTTACCACAACTAGGTCAAACGAAGGTATGTACTATAGACGTGCAATTAAATAGTCCACTATGACATATGACACATGTATTCATGTATAGTCATGATATCTGAAAGATGAAGTCTGAGCCTAGAGCTGAATGCGCCTCTCTGTCTTACATTATAAGCATGGATAAGTCGTGAAAGGATTAGGTACGCAAGAGTCGGAAGTTCACAAGGCACCAAGGCTATAAGGCTATAGGCTAATACCAAAACGTCCCACAGCTTTTGGGGAATTCGGAGAAAGTCTGGGGTAGATTAGCTGTAATTAGCATGTGAAGAAAACCCTAAATTCCAATTCCTTATTACGGCATGATGCCTCGGTCGATAAGCTGTGGGGTCTGACATCAGCGTAATGTTTTAGCGGACGCGAGCAGAGTCACGGCATCCGAGGTCCAATTACTTTTTGCTAGTATAATCATAAACTCCGGATCCATTCCTTCTACATTCTCTTTCTCAACTGTATATTTAATTTTATAGAATATCTCAACCCTTTAACCAGTCTGGATATCTGATATCACATTAAAAATCACTAATTACCAACAACACCATAGTTAGATCCTAAACAACAACAATACCAACAACACAAAAGTAACAATGGGTGGTAAGTACTTCGTCGAGTCCTAAGCACAATCACCTGCAGCTGACAGAACGTCCCTAACAATCGCAGCCTTCGAAAGATTATCGCAGATCTCAGGCCAGATCTCTGGCTCCAAGTCGGCGCGTGAGAAGCTGCTCGAGAAGAACCCAGACGACGTAAGCTTTCTCCTCCCATACAATACCCACAGCCGATCTTCGCGCCTCCAGCCGGTCCGCATTCCCAACAAGCTAACAACTCCGGGAAACAGATCGTAGTGACAGCATGTCTCCGAACGGCGTTCGCGAAAGGCGGCAAGGGCGGATTCAAGGACACACAAGCGGCTGATCTGATGGCGGGAGCCCTGAAGGGACTCTTGGAGCGATCTCAGATCGACCCGTCGCTGGTAGAGGATGTGTGCGTGGGCGAGGTGCTTGCGCCTGGTGGCGGCGCCACCGAGATGCGTGCCGCAGCTCTTGTTGCCGGCATCCCCGAGACTGCCGCCGTCCGAACCGTCAACCGTCAGTGTTCGTCGGGTCTACAGGCTTGTGTTGATGTCGCCAACCAAATCCGCACTGGTATGATCGAGGTCGGTATCGGTGCTGGTGTCGAGAGCATGAGCTTGCATTACGGGTAGGTCACTCTTTTTTTCCTTCCCCCAATACTCCCCTTACCAAGTATCAACTATCGCTGGATCCTTATAGCTGATAAAATCCTCCTCCAAAAGCCCCCAAGCCGTAAGCGAGTTCTCCGAGCTCCTCGAGTCCCATCCCGAGGCCGCCAACTGCAAGGTTCCCATGGGTGTCCTCTCCGAAGACATGGCCCAAGACCTCAAGATCTCGCGCGCCAGCCAAGACGCCTTTGCCGCCAACTCTTACCAGAAGGCCTTCGAGGCGCAGCAAGCAGGTCTCTTCGACGAGGAAATCCACCCACTGACCGTACAATACACCGACCCCAAGAGTGGCGAGACCAAGACCGTCACCGTCAAAAAAGACGAGGGCATACGCCCCGGCATCACCGTCGAATCCCTCGGCAAGATCCGCCCCGCCTTCGCCGAAAACGGCTCCATCCACGCAGGTAACGCATCGCAAATCAGCGACGGCGCCGCGGCCGTCCTGTTGATGCGCCGATCGACAGCAGAGCGTCTCGGCCAGACCGTCCTCGGCAAGTTCGTCGCGGCCAGCGTCGCCGGCGTCAAGCCGCTGCTCATGGGTATCGGACCCTGGAAGGCCATCCCCAAGGCCCTCTCGCTAGCCGGCGGCCTGACCGTCGACGACATCGACATCTTCGAGATCAACGAGGCTTTCGCCAGCCAGTGCCTCTGGTGCGCCAACGAGCTGAAGATCCCCGCTGAGAAGATCAACCCTAAGGGTGGCGCTATTGCCTTTGGTCACCCTCTCGGCTGCACTGGTGCTCGCCAGGTGAGCACCCTGCTGTACGAGCTTCGACGCCGTGGCCAGAAGATTGGCGTCACGAGTATGTGCGTTGGTACGGGTATGGGTATGGCTGCCGTCTGGGTTGCCGAGTAAGGGTTGTTACATGTTTTAAATCGGTTCAAGTTCGTGTATAATGCCGTAGTAGGTATACCACGGTGCATATTGTAGGAACATCATATCATCATGGGTCTTGGGAGGGCCGTTGCACGTAGGAAGTCATGTACGAAGCACATGATAGGAACGGTCGTTGAAGGAGGCAAAATAGCAATGTGTACAATGTATATATATAGGGGCGTTTAGTATATTATATCATCATCTATATCGTATATGAAATTACAAGCTTCGTTACCATCCCATCTCTATCAAATAAATGTCAATAATTAATATAATTCAGTCGCATAGCATATTTTTAAATCCACTGTTATCGCTTCTCTCGTCTACGCCTATGCCGGAACAGATCTCGGCAGAATGTAGACGGCCCCAGATCATCTAATATGATGGATGCCAACGGGCTTTTCTCGCACTACGAGAATCCATCGATGTGGCTACCCAGCCCTCTTTCCTTTGCTAGTCGTATAACCTCAAATCCGACTACGAGATCCATGAGCCCCAATCCTACGCTCTTATAAATAACATTGCCAGCCGAAAGCCAACGCGCCAAGTGGTGGTCATGCCCCGCTTGCTGCTGCTGTTTTTGCCGCTGTTCGTCCGCAGTCCCCTGGCTCGAACCTCGCCGATGGTGGTGGAAAGGCAAGGAGTAGCAGCTGCTGCTCCTCCGACTCGGGCTACGCGACGAGGATCGCTTACCTCCGCTGCCCGACGCCGAGTTACCCGATTCGGACCCGAAAACGGTTGACATGGCCGACCCGGATGATGTGAGGCCCAACCTTTCGGAAAACTCATTGATAGAGGAAGCTTCGGTTGAGCTCTGTGATATAAGCGCTTCCTCTTCTTCCTTTGCCAGTCTATGAATCATGGCCAGCTCGCCTAGTCTAGGTTTAATTAGTTAGCGCTATGTTCTTGAACCGTTAAGCAATATCCTACGAGACTTACTCAACGAGTTGCGTAGGCTCTAAGCCTGCTTCAATGATCTCGCCCGCCTCCTTCAGTGCCCCATCCAGAGTATCCACAATGATGACACCGCCTTCTGTTGCGTGTTTATGATAATGATATCCGACTGTACGTGTCTTGACAGCCTGGAGTAGCAGCTCTCGAGGCAGCTCACGCATCTCCTTTGTATAGCTCCCTATCGCAACAACCAGCCTACCTTTTCTTCGACCTTCGTGACTTGTCAGTATGCTGGCGTCGAATAAATCTTCGGTGCTTGGCGTGCAACAGTAGATCACATCGGCCGCCCTCAAGTGATCTTTCAGCAGTCTATCATAGTCCACGTAGGTCGAAGTTAGGACGCTAAACTGCGCCTGCTCCCACCCCTCGCGCTGCTTGATATCCTGAGATATGCCACATATCTTCTTAAACGTAGCCCTGGCGCTCTCGCTGAACGTTTTATTGATAATGTATACTTGGCGAATGGTATCGCCCCGCAACATCAACGCTAGGCGCATATGCCAGTAAGCTTGTAATCCCGAACCAAACACAACAAGGGTTCGGACCGAAGCGCGCTTTGCAAGGAGACAAGAGGAAGCAAGGGCGGTGCGGAAAGCGGTAAGGGTCTTCGCGTGTAGGAAGCCTATAGGAGGACCCTGGGGAGAGTAGAGGGTCACCGAGCCGGTAGGTCGGATGAGAGGCAGTGCCGTATCTACCGATTTATCTGTTGATGGTGACGACAAAGTAACAACTATGATTGGGTTAGCCAAGATAGATTCAGATCGCCAATGTCTTGGCTGTAAAACCGACCTTTTACTGCATGGCCAAGTCTACTAATCGAAGGCATGAAAAGCGTAGTCGTGCCAGTGGTATTAGAATGTACCGATACACGCTCGGGTTGGTGAACGATTCCATCCTTTATGGACTGTGTACCGGTTGAGTACTCGTGAAGAGCATTTCTGAGCGTGTCGATCAGTTCTTGAGCTTCGTCGTGGTTAAGGCTCTCTAGCAAGCCGTTAATTTGATCGTCCGAAAGAACTGTTAAAGACATGGCTGTCGACTTCGGAGTTAACGTGTAAGTAAACGTAAACACGTTCCTGTAACATTTAGAGTTGATCACTAAGCTATTGATGCTTTCAATAGACTTGGCTCTGGGCTACACGAAGGGAATTCTATATAAGGAATCTCGAGGTTGGATGCTTGAGAGTCCAAGTGGGAGAGAGGAGATAGCCGACGCTCGGCAGCCGAGTTGAAGGCTTGGCTGAGCGGACATGCACACATAATTGATCTTCCATAATACACACGTAAAAGATTACCTAGGTTCTTTTTTAGAATGCCATGGATCTTGGCGTTGACCCATTCCTTTCATGAAATATATCCGAGAAAGGATAAAAGGATATGAAATAAATAGTATGGTGTGATGTGTAGATGGTTGTTATTGGTTCTGATGAAATACTAAGTTGAATACTAAGTTGGAGGTGCCATACCTGTATCATACCGTACTTGGGCGTTATACTTGTGGCTGTTATGGCTTCTAATGTAGCTGTGTAGCTGTTATATTAGTGTAGAGCTAGCCTGTAGCTACCCCGCTATTGTAACATCATTAGAGCCCTCTAGTGACGTACATGTAGGGAATCTATAGGGAATCTATAGGAAATCTAGAGGGGTCAGCTTGGCGACCAAACAGTACATCCTATATGTACTTAGATGGCGTTATGTAAATTGCAGGTGCACAAGCGAAGAAAGAATTGATTTAAACTGAGAAAACCCGCCGGAACGGTGAAGATAAATTAACCAACAACCAACCAACCAATAATCCAGCTAAACCCAGACTCGGGATTAAAGCACATGATAATCATACGATACAAGATGTAAGGCATATAAATCCTCATTGACCAATGAACACCAATCCCCATCATAGAAAGCGGCTCAATCGCACGCTGTTTCGCAATTTCGCAATATTCCAATATTCCAAATAACGTAAACGTACGGAAAACCCGTCGCCAGACTTTTCGAAACTTTGGTCCTTGGACACATCTCCGTTTCTCGAACGCCATCCGCCAAAATGACCCTTTCTGTAAGCAGGGATCCTTAAGATCAACCTCGCTATCGCTAGTAAACCCATATTCGCTACCCATATTCGCTCTCCGTTAGATGACATTTCCCTCCTATGCTCTTCTGATGCCAAGACAAGACAAGACCAAACACACACGCACACACACATACATACACATACACACATCCCAGTGTATAAACGCCCCTAACTTGTACCTGACCGCTTGACCTAACCGCTTGCTTCCGTCCGTTCCGTTTCGTTCCGTTCAGAGAGCTTGCATGCTGCTCTCGCCGTCCGTCCTAAAAACTAGCATTGCATGCTTGCCCCTAACGATGTCCGAGTCTCCATTAACGCCTGATAGCCCGTGATGTCCCCCCTTGCCCTTGCCCGTACCGATGCCTAGGTCGCGGATGCGGCCCGTGCCGATGTCAAAAAAGGTGCCGTGGACCTGCAAGCCCCTTTCGGCGATGGCGTCCTGAATCGATGCATTGGCCATGAGCACGTTGATGCCGGCCTCGACGTTGAGCTCCGCGATGCGCACTGCACGCTTCTTGTCGTCTGTGATGCTCTCCAGCTCCTCCTTATGCGCGTTGCGCACAGCCTTGAGAGGCATTAACCAAATATCCAGCACGCCGCCGACACGGTTGTCGCCAAGCGCAGCTGCGGCCCCGCCACACGACGAGTGTCCGCAAAGCACCACGTGCTTCACCTTGAGGTGCACAACTGCATACTCGATGACAGCTGCCGTGTTGATGTCGGTCGGCGAAATGATGTTGGCGATGTTACGATGCACGAATACATCGCCTGGCTGCAAGCCTAGAATCGTCGTCTCCGGGCAGCGCGAGTCAGAGCAACCTAACCAAACTGTTGCACCACGTTTAACCGCGTTAGCCTTCCTAACTCTTAACTCTTTCAGTGCCCAAGGTTAAATACCCAAGGTTAAATTGCCATGTCCGATGCGAGATCTCCGCATTGCATAAAGCATAAACCGCGGCGCAGCAGGCTCTGGGATTCAGGATGATGACCAAGACCGTACTAATTAATGTTCTGTTGAGTGGGTCTTTGCTCATCTCGCATCTCGCATCTCAACAAAGGTGTATACATTGCGCCAAGAAGAAATGGGTTAAAACTTACGGATTGCTGGCGATTGTCCCGATGCCAATTTAGGGAAGAAGTCGGGGTTCTGATGACCTTTGTAGCCAGCCCAGGCTTGGTTAGAACTCAGCGCGTAGGTAAAAGCATCTTCTGCGGCCATGGTAAGCGAGCGTTCCCCCCAAAGTTACCTCGCCAATCTCGAATCTCGGGGATCTCAAAAATAAATTTAAGCGTATTTTTGGGTGTATGAGATGCCGGCGTCCACCCCTGTGGATCCAGATCTGGGATTTACTAACCCCTTTTCTTGGCGGGGGAGGAGATAAGCAGCGAGTAGAAGAGGAATAACAACACGTACGCGGAGGAGCAGGCATCTCGAAGCTACGAAGCTGGATGCGGCCTTTTATATATGTGAGGTTCGGGGATATGATGTAGGGTATGTAGGTATGATGACTACAGCGCGGCACCCAAGATCCCAGCCGGTTCCAACGGTACCAACTGTACCAACTGAAGGCGGGATGTAGGGATGCAGGATATGAGCGAATTAGGAAGTCCCAAGCCCAATCAGATATGGCGCTCGCCCACTCTGTCCACACCTCTAGGAGGATCCTATCCAGTGTGCTTGATGCTTGATGACTTTGACCGAGGTTCTGGCTTCCGTCTGGTCTCGCTCTAATCGCGCTCGACCGTATCGGTATTCACTCGGAGGCGGCCGTGATCGTACGGAGGTGTAAATCACGCGACGGGCTGGTATTACTGGCTAAGTATGTGGATAGCGGTGATGGTGCAACTCGGCTCTTTGGACGGATAATCCCTCATGAAGTGGATTCAGCTGGAAAGTTTATTTGGAAAGGAGTAAACAAAGCCTGAGGGTAGGGAACACGTAGGCGTATAAAAAGAGCCGAGTGGAATCAAGAGAGAGAAGAGTCTCAGGATACTAACAAGGGCTTGTCAAACTTAGCGTCAGCAAGCGATGATCCATGAGGCTTTATTTAATAGTGTATCACGCTGGAACTATCGAGAGGAGATCAACAGGTAGCATCGCTAAGTCCGGAGTCCGGGGTAAAACAGCAATCTCAACTAATCTCAACTACTTAATCTTAGATAGATACACTAGGTGGCCGTCTAACCATCCCAAGCATAAAATAACACCCCCAATCTGCCCAATCTTCCCAATCTTGCCAATCTTCCTGATGACCGGTCGCCCAGACCTTCCAAACCAAGGTTCGAAAGCTTCGCCCTTCGCGGTGCTACCAAACCATGTAGATCTATTATAGACAAGCGCCCGTGGGATAAGCATACTTAGTCCTGGGTACCTAACATAAGCAAGGTAAGCATGAAACGGGGATCGCAGGCGTTGAGGCGGCGCACGGGATTTTGGGATAGGCGCGGCATGGATCTATGTAGATTACGGATATTGGAGCTAAAAGCTGGTTTCCCGTGGATTGCCAAGACGTAGGTATGGTATTACATGCTTGCGCTGCTGTGTTGTGCGCTGGTACCTCCGAGAAGGCCAATGGCCAATAGCCAATCTGCTTGCAACGTGCTTTCGTCGGACCCCCCTCCCCTCCCCTTCCCCCTGCCTGGGAACAAGGGCCTTGCTGCGCGGCTTCGCGGCATGAGAGGAGATAGGTATTGTACAATACGTAGAAGAAAGCGGTGAGGGCCTAGAAGGAAGGGGGGGTTGTCAAACGAATAGGTAACCTGGTACTATGGTATGCTCTATCTACATCTTGGCTTGCTCAGATGCTGGTTCGGTTGCTATGCGTTTGTAAGTTGTGACTAGATACTCGTTTGCTTTGAGTACAATACAAACCTAACCTAAAGACCTACTAACTTGCCCATGTGACCCTAGTCGCCCAGTTACATCAATGTAAAGAGAGGTCCTTTTCCATTCACTATCTACCTTAGGTAACCTTTTTATCACTGTGACTGAGAAAATTACTTCATGTACTAAGGTCACAACGGAGGGTGGGTTGTCCTAGGTCCTGGCAAACCTGGTACGATACTTTTTAGTTTATATATTGTTCTCCGCACGTGACGTTACCGTCCATATGGCTCCTCCTCTTTGACAAGCTTCCCCTCCCTAACACTTACAACCGTGAAGAAATTACATTAGAGAGAAGACTAGGACATGGGATGCACATTGGTAAAAGCAAGTGTTTTTCGTAAGAGATAAATAGGATAATTTATTAAAGTATGTTATAAAGTTGCTAGTTATTTCGAAACTATATTTGGTCATCTCTACTCTAGGTACTTTTGAGCCTTATCTCTACCCTCGTTTAGCGACCATAATAGGTACCTATGATATCAATGTAGTGTAAGCCGCTTACCTGTTAAGCCCTCCCTATCTCCGAGATCTACTTGGCGGTCAGCTTGTGCTAGGCTACGTAATCCGTATTAATATCAAATAAGTTCAGGATTAATTCATATTGGCGGTACTATGGGTTTCTTTCTTGTTTCTTGTAATTCAAATACTTGAGTCGCAATAAGACAATCAATTCTATTCAATATCTATCTCGATATCTATCACGATAACCCTCTCCTCAACAAAAGCTTATTAATAGCTGCTGTTTGGTGGCTGTGACGCCTCAATTAAAACGGTTATATTAATATACGCTTGCCAAGACCCTGGACCCTGGAACCAAAACGCCTGTCAGCTTCCAATCAAGAGCCTCATAAGTCTTAAATACATCTATCAGTCATGTGCCGACACCACGTACCTCACTGGGCACTTACCTATGTATGTACCTATGTACCTAGTTTATTAACCTGGGTTTAAGACGCCTTGGTTTTTCTTGGCATCATTCATATCAATTTTATATTTCTCATATGGTCTTGCGTTCGCTAACAAGCCAAGCATTTCTAGCATCTTATGTAAAACCTAAACCGTATCTCGCCCTGTCAAGAGACAACTTGTATTTAAATCACACAATGCACGACCTTCAACGTCGACGGCCGGCAATAATCTCAATATCTAGGTACATATACACTAGTTGCCTAGGCCACGTTCCCCAGGGTGACTGGGGTCATCTTCGCTGTCGACGCTACAGATAACGAGCATTTTACTACCAAGCTCAAAGCCGAGCTAAACACGCCCCTATCCCGGGGAAGCTATTCGCCGCTCCCCCTATTTTTTTGTTCTAACAACAACAACAAGACCCGGGTTGATCACGACGACATCCATACCTGTCTGTCGCCGAGGATAAGAATCGTAGCTAACTCGGCATTCACCCGCGGTTCCACTCTGTCTCTGTCTAGTGTAGCCGACCTACATATATGAAGCTTGTTATGTGTTGTACATATAGCCCAAGAGGCAAGGACCAGCAGTGGGTTCCACTAACTAGCTGGCACGATATCTTCAAGGTCTTCACCGACGGGTTTAAGTAGGGCATTTCTCGGTGAGATGGATTTCGAGTGACTACCTAACCTACTGACGAGACTCCTTAGCCGAGATAGGTCGTGAAATACCTAGGTTACCTAACTCTAAGAACAGCCGCACTAACGACACACCAACGACGACAAGTCCCGAAGATGCCGGTGGGGAATTAGAATATACATAGCATTTGGCAGCATCGCAGATCCTATGCCACAATACATGTTTGATCCTATCCCAAAACATTCTGACCTAGATCCAATGCACATGTCTCGTCTTGGCATATCCAACATCTTAAGATGCTGCATTACAGGCCATAGCATGGGATAGGACATAGTGTTTCAGTGCATACTAGTAGTATATCCCCAATGCAACGAGCTAAGTGATATAAATAGCTCTATCTCCTATATCAAGCTACGCACGGGTGGCAGCACTTGGCTCTACTTCAAATCAACTGAATAATGCCAATGCAAGCCCGGTGCAAGTATCCGTATTCCAAACAGACGTGTGCCATCGCAGCCAAGATAGAATCAAACGATAAACCAAAACCAATACTTAGAAACTGATATACGAGACCAAACATGTCCGCGCCGCGTAAGCTCCAATATGGATGTGAGGCTTAGGTACAGACCCAGCACTCAGGAACGTTTTCTGTATCAATACCTAGTCTGAGCCAAGAGCGCGGGAAAATGCGACGCTACGAAGATATTTGCTTGGCACCCTTGGCTCGGCTCGACTGTCCTCATGCGGTAATCTCCCACTATACCAAGCGTACGAACTAATCCGGGTCCAAGACATTCACCTTTTTGGAAGATATAACAGCCAAGTCTTGGCTCGAACGGTTAGGATATTACGGGAAAATAGCAAGCATAGACCCTTACGAAAATGCATCGATCGTTCATTTGTCACATTGGTCGTCGGCGAAACTCTGCAGATGGAGTCTAGATAGGCTTTATGCAAATCCATGTGGTTGGTATTCCCTTTTACCTCCTCCAACGCCGGAACTGTGCAAATATAGAAATCATGATCCCGTGACCAGCCCTAACGCTTAGACCTTGATGGCCGAGTCCAAAGCCTTCTTCTTCTTCTCGATGCGCTTGTTGGCCTTGGCACCCATGATACCACCACCCCACTGTCGTCGAGCGTTCTCGGATCCGGCAAGGTAACCGTCCTTGATAGCGCTCACGAGCTTAGAGAGCTCGTTCTTGTCCTCAGATCGGACCTCGGTGATGGCGAGGACGGCAGCGGTCTAAAATCTAATTAGTCAAACACATCTAGTACGATATCGGTGAGTGATGCATACCTTCTTGTGGACAACAGTTCCGAGGCGGGCCTTGCCCTTGATGATGGCGTAGGGGACGCCCATCTTTCGGCAGAGAGCAGGTAGGAAGATGACAAGCTCGATAGGGTCGACATCGTTGGGGATCAGGACGAGAGAAGCCTTCTTGTTCTCGATCAGGCCAACAACGTGGTTCAGACCGTACTTGACGGAGTAGGGCTTCTTGCTGACATCCTCCTTCTTCTTGCCCTCCTTGATGGCGGTAGCCTCCTTGACCAATCGCTCCTTCTTCTCGGCCTTAGACTCGGGTCGGTACTTGTTAAGGAGCTTGAAAGCCTGGGCGGCAGTGTTGCGGTCCAGAACGTGCTGGAACTGGGAGATAGCTGGGGGAACCTTCAAGCGGAGGTTGATGATCTTCCTTTGGCGCTGGAGACGGACATACTCGGGCCACTTCACCATACGGGAGAGGTTGCGCTTGGGCTGGATGTCCTGGCCGATGCCATAGTTGCGCGGTCGCTTCTCGATGAGGGGGTTCTAATTGACATGTCAGCATCACTTTCAGGCTCTTCGATAGAGCAAATTATGGTAGGGAATTCTACTCACCTTGGGTGCCTTCTTGGAACCTGCCTTGGAAGCGAAGGGGGCCGGGGCGGCCTTCTTACCGGACTTGGGAGGCTGTCATTGAGAAGAAAGACATCAGCAAATGTGTTCCATTGACTGTAGTCTTTCTTGAACTCTAGAGAGATAATCGCGAATGGTATTTCACATTGCGCGAAGATCTCAAGCCAGTTCCTCACCTGCGTCCGAAGACAACAGGCGGAAATTAAGCAACTCGACAAGCGAGTGCCATTGAATTATTTGGCTGAGTGCAAAAGCACAGCAGTCTCGGACGTCAGGAGCTTACCATATTAATGATTTGGTCGTGTGGTCGGCGTTGGGTGAAAGGTTGCGACCGAAATGAGAGGTGTGAAGAGTAAAAGAAATCTCGTGTAAAGTTGCGAGCTTGGAAAAACCAGAAAAAGTTGTGCGTAGGGTTTCGCAGTGGGGCCGGATGGTAAAATATCGGAAAATTAGCCCCGAGTAACTAAACTCAGATTAGCCTAGTGCATATTGCCCCTCTACAAGTCTCTAGCATGAGACAGGGTAGCGCGGTGCTAAGTGGGGTTATTTAACCCAGTATGGCTAATAGGTAACTTTGCATACAAATTTATATGTAAGAGTACAAAACGTTAATGGAAATGATAACTGAATGACTACTATGTAGGTAGTTATTCAGTTGTTAACTATCTCCATTGACATTTTGTACTATTATATATAAATTTGTATGCAAAGCTACCTACTAGCCATACTGGGTTAAATAACCCCACTTAGCACCGCGCTACCCTGTCTCATGCTAGAGACTTATATCGGCTTTCGTGTTACGCTCTCCGTCTACGTCTACCGTGTCCAGCCTAACTCCAACTAGGTTCGGCCCCAACGGTGATCCCCGCCCTCCGAACGGATTTCATTCGTCATCCGTTCGTCGAGACGTTGGAAAACGTCATTATATAGTAGTTCACTCCTGTTATTATACCTCAATTCTGCATATGTGGATTTGGCATGTGCGAATGAGCGCTTTATGTGGTAATCTTGAATGGATATGGAAGTTTTCTTGTTTCTCACACTTATTTATATCTTGGCGTTTGGCCTTGGCCCTTTATTACTCTTATTTTACTATTAGCGACTTATTATTCTAATAAAATTTTGACGTCTTATACCACGTCTACGATGCCAGAAAACAGCAAAAACAAGTTCTCGTACCTCCCGCTGAGCACGAGCGGCCCAATAGAATGCGCTGTGACCGGAACTGTCTTATTAAACACACCATACTTCAACCGTGGCTCAGCACATACGCCTGAAGAGAGGCGCGAGTTCGATCTGACTGGCTTGCTACCTCCTGCCGTTCAAACCCTCGAACAGCAAAAAGAGCGCGCATACCAGCAGTACATCACTAGACAAGATGACTTGGCCAAGAACGTGTTCTTGACATCCTTGAAGGAGCAGAACTTAGTCCTGTATTTTAAGGTAAAATTATTTTGCGGCTTATCCCGGTCTTAGTACTTGGTTGTTTCTATAAGCCCTCATAAATTATACCTAATCACTATGCTAATGACTTATAGCTTATACAAGATCACATAAAAGAGATGTTCAGTATTATATATACACCAACAGAAGGCGATGCAATTCAGAACTACTCCCGCTTGTTCCGACGACCCGGGGGCTGTTTCCTGAATATCAATGATATTAACAGGGTTCACTATGACTTAGCTCAGTGGGGAAAACCCGAAGATATTGACTACATCGTTGTCACAGGTACGTGTTCGGAATCAGCGACTGCTATGTAAGTGTGATATTGATACATGTTAAACTAGATGGCGAGGAGATTCTTGGCATAGGAGACCAAGGCGTAGGCGGGATTCTTATCTCGGTCGCGAAGCTCGTCCTCACTACTCTCTGCGGTGGCATTCATCCTAACCGAGCCTTGCCCGTCGTGCTGGACTGTGGGACAGACAACAAGAACCTTCTAAACGACGATTTATATCTCGGTCTACGCCAGAACCGGGTACGAGGCGAGAAGTACGACAAATTCGTTGAGGAATTTGTTCAATCCGCTCGCAAACTGTTCCCTCGCGCTTATATCCACTTTGAAGACTTCGGCTTGGCGAATGGTGAGTGATCTTACATATGAGGAATTGGTATTGGACTAACGCGTAGATCTAGCTCGTCGTATTTTGGACCATTATAAGCATGAAATCCCCTGCTTCAATGATGATGTCCAAGGCACCGGCTGTGTGACCCTGGCTGCCATCATGGCTGGACTACATGTCAGCAAGCAAAAACTTCGGGATGTCAGGATGGTCATCTTTGGCGCTGGATCCGCTGGTGTAGGCATTGCTGATCAAGTCCGCGATATTATCGCTACCGAGAAGGGGATTAGCAAGGAAGAGGCTGCGAAGCAAATCTGGCTAATTGACAAGCCCGGCCTCCTTACCACCAAAACCGAGACCAGCTACAGTCAAAAGGGCTACGCTAAAGACGAATCAGAATGGGAGGGCAAAGAACACTCCCTACTATCCGTCATCAAAGAAGTCCACCCCAACGTCCTCGTCGGGACATCCACCGTCCCCAAGGCCTTCACCGAACAAGTCGTCAAAGAAATGGCCAAAGGAGTCGAGCGCCCCGTCATCCTCCCCTTATCCAACCCCACTAGACTCCACGAAGCCGTCCCCGAGGATATCCTTAGGTGGACCAACGGCAAGGCCCTAGTAGCCACCGGCTCGCCTTTCCCACCCGTAAAAGGCCCCTGGGGTAAGAACGGCGAGGAAATCGAAATCGAAGTCGCAGAGTGCAACAACTCGGTCGTATTCCCCGGCATCGGCCTCGGCGCCGTGCTCTCCCGCGCGTCCAAAATCACGAATAACATGCTCAACGCGGCCGTCCACGGCGTCGCGGAGTTGAGTCCCGCGCTGAAGGACGATACCGCGCCCTTGTTGCCCGGGGTAGATAATGTGCGGGCTGTGAGCGTGCGCGTTGCGAGGGGCGTTATTCTTGCGGCGTTGGATGCTGGCGTTGCGAGGGAGGTGGGGATACCGACTGATGAAGGGGAATTAGAGGAGTGGATTAGGGAGCAGATGTGGAATCCGGTGTATCGCCCACTGAAGCGCGTTGATCCGGAAGGCGCTAGCAGAGCGGCGAAGGCGGAGTTGAAGGTTGTGGGCAGTTTGGGGAAGATCAAGATTGAGGTTGCTCCGCAGTGAGCTATGTTATGTAGTATTCTTACCCGGGGGTCTCGAGGGGTTTATGTATATGGTGACGAGGTGGATACAGGATCATTGCGAAGATATTATATTATCTAGGGACCGTGAGGTAGATCGACCACTATCTATGGTTACATATATATACCACGAGGCTTGTGAATATACGCCGCTGCCAGGGTATCAGAATAAATCTATCTATCTCAACTAACCGGGTGTTTTGATTAGGGCTCGTGGGGTACAGATTATGTCTCACCTACCGTAACTGACAGGATATAGGGGCACTGCCGATATTTATTAACCTTAGAAATAGACTTTAAGGTATTATGGTATATAATAAGAAGACTATTCCAACCACGGGCTGTATACGTTTGATTAGAAAGTTCGTGAGATTATACTACGTAATAAATATCAAGTTAACCTACCCATGTAATTCGCATCACTATACAGACATAGCCCAGCTATAAATACACATGACACCCGAGACAACCCCTTAAAGTCGACGTCATAATATATTACCATATCTCTTCATATATAGTCAATAAAGAGAAGGCTAGCATAATCCCAAATTCGACAAGAAATCGAATACTAGATTTAACCCGGCTAACTCCATAGAAAGCAGCACTAGACAATGGACCGCAAAGCGAGCAGCTGATTACCTACCTACATACCTCTTCCTTGCTGCCCAGTCCCATCCCCTTTCCGCAAGCTAAGACTCGTCTTATCTTATCCCATCATCAGATAAGCCCAGCCCTAGCCGCCTCACCCCCACCCTCCCGAAGCAGCTCCTCAACCTTCTGCTTCCCCTTTCCGAGGCCCCCCTCGCCAACACCCATCCGACGAGCCACATACCGCTGGGCCACAACTCCGATACTCAAGCTCAACGTCTCCTCGACCCACTCGGCAACCCATTCGCGCGGATCTACGCCACCGCTCTCTACAATCTCCCGGATCTCGTCTGGTACGTTGATGCCCTCTGTACCTAGCTGTTGCTCGCTCTCGCCGCTGGCAGGCGTCAAGGGTGCCGGCGCATCCAACCAACGGATCCATTTGGCCGGGATGTACTGGCTTACGGTGCTGTACACGATATCGTGGATTGGGTCGAGGACGTAGACTGCGAAGCAGATGTGAGGGTCTGCGCTGCTGTCGTCGGCTACAGCGCTGGGTTCCTTCTCTGCCTCACCAGCTGTGCTACCAGCGAAGAGGGCGGGGTCTGCGTCTACGATGATAGGTTGGACAGCAAGGAAGATGTCACTAGTTCGCACGGGATTTTCCTCGCTTACGGGCTCCAAGGCACGTTTCTGCGCCTCGTTAACGCCACCACTAGCCGCGAAGTAGTCGTGGGAATAACTCTCCGCACTGACGCGGCAGAGCTTGGTCCCCTCGATTATACCTTTCACGGCACCTAGGTCGCGAGGTGAGTCGACTTGCCTCCACCAGGGACCGTCGCGCCAGCCGGCGGAGTTGGAAGAACTCTTGTAGAAGGCGTCTGAGGATCGTCGAGCGGTATTCTCATGGCCGCGTTGGATGACGAGCAGGTCGCCGCCCTCAACTTGCGACATGACCCGGCTGAAGACCTCATGAATAAGAGGGTCAAGCGATGGGTAACCAACGATATCGTGGGTGATGTGGATAAGTAGACGCTCGTGAGAGGAGATGGGCGGGGCAAGAGTGTGCAAAATGTTGGCGAAGGTAGGCAAAGCGTGCTGGCGGATACCGTCGCCTATAAGCAAGATTGTTAGCTCAATAGACTCTTATGCATATTTTTTTTTTTTTTTCAATGCGTAGGAATCGCATTCAAATACGTACCTAGACCTCTCAGAGCTCCAACGTTTCCTTTAACCTGATCAGCCCATTTCTTGGCTTCCTCATTCTGCTGGATCTCCTTGTATGCAGCCTCGGCTTGCTTAATGGCTGCATTTGCTGTAGCGCTGGCCGTGGCAAAAATTCCACCCCACCAACCACCGCCAGCAGCTGGTGCTGTCTCCTCGACTGACCCCTTCTTCTCAGCATCCTGGAGATCAGAGCTGGTGGCACTAGGGGTAAAGCTTGCGTGGAGGGAGCGAGTGCTATCGACGGATTTGCGTGCGACGTTGGCTGGCTTGTCTTCGGATTGTCGAGAGGCACCGGGCGGAGGTGTTGCTGTATTAGTTCGTTTAACAGGTGCCTTGGTAGATGTCTCTTTGACGCGAGGCGTATGGGGTCGGGCGGGTTCTTCGCCAAGCTCGTCCTCCAGCTCGGCAAGTCCAGGTATGTCTTTCTTGAGCTTCTCGCCTCGAGTCTTAGAGGGGGCCGGCTTAGATTTACTAGCAGGCTTCTTAACTACGCTCTCGTCGATTCCTTCGAAGAGCTCATTCAATCCATCATCGGCAGACGCCTTTGACCGCCTTGCTGCCATGTTGGGGTAGTTATCGTAGTGGGGTGAGATGCCTTTATTAGAGAGGGATCGCTAGGTAGTACTTGCGATCGAGAGAAAACAAATAGAGGATATCTGAGCCTCTGAGGGTTTCTGCGCTAAGGAATAGGTTACGAAAGAGCTATTGCGATCCTAACTAGATGTACACTGGAATTGACTATGATTCGCTGCGGCCTTGTACATATGTGTATGTATGCAGGACCGCGGGGAACCAATAGCTTGAGCGGATTCGACTGCAAGTGTTTATAGGATACTCGACGGTAAATGTAACAAACACTATTTCAACAACTGAGAAGAAATACTATGTCGACTATTTCTGTAGAGGTTGAATCGGACACTACTTTTAATAATAAGGGATGGGGGGGAAATGGACAGTTCAATATGGCATGTGATGGCATATGTTATGTGATATTGTGATATGTAGTAAGTTGTAACTATGCCCGGTATTAGTATCACCAGTCGATGAAAGGGTTTCGGTTTCGGGAAAGAAGACGGGACACGGAAAGCTTTGACCAAGTTTCATCAGGAACTGTCGTCACTAAATGGGGTAGGTAGGCGGACCAGTGGCAGCAACACACGAACCATTATTGGATCTACATTATGTACAGTACCTAGCGTATGTACCTTGTATATATGTTAGGTACCTAACCTATATGGGTACCTGGGTGCTTGCTTAATTGATGTACATTACGTGATCTCCCGCAGCTTTGACAGGGAAGTTGCAAGGGCCTCTGATCTAAAAGTAGCCAAGAAAGGAACTTTGGCGAATTCATGTTATCCCATTGGTCAAAATTGGGAAGGTACTTTTAGTAAAATCCATCAAGTGGGATAAGTATTGTGGCTAGTACATCCAAATCGGGATCTCATCTGTGGCTTTGACAGTCGAACCTCGAGAAATTAGCAGTGCACCTAATAATAAGGTTGGCAGCAGTCGTATCAACAGAGCAACTAGACGACGAGCATTCGATATTCGATACAACGGTTGAATCAAGTATTATTTTTTTTCTTCTTGATTCGATCTTTTAAAGTTTGATCGTTCTGATTCCCCCAGGCAACAACTTCAGATCTTTGGCAGGTGCGTACTGACCGCCTAAAGTTTATGTACTGATTTCCAACCTAACCATCACCATCAAATTCGTTCGTTCTTTCCTATAAAGTCAGCTCCTTTCCTTTCATCAACCTTTTTTTCTCACCACGTCTCTCTTACACAACGCACTCTCTACTCACTACTCACTGCACATCTGCAATCGTACCAACTACATTTACTGACAACCATTTCAGCATTCAGCATTCAGCATACCATCAAGTTATTCTTTAGAAAACCTTGATCCAACCTCTTTTTCATTCAATCCATTTCCATCCATTCAATCTTGACTATTGCACCTATTTCAAGTTTTATCGGCGGCGGGCTGCTGTCCTTGCGTCTCAACGGGTTGCGAAGAAATATTATTTCCACTAACAGGAAACTCTATTTCCAGTCGGCGGTTTATTTTATATCATACTTTCTTCTCTTTTTGTTGGTTTGGGAAGGCGCGCTTCAGCCATCAACATACTGAGCCTTTCCCCACTTACATAATCTCCGACCCAAAACTTCTTTCACCTTTAATAATTCATACACGTACCTTAGGTACTTCACTTACACATATTACACATACAACACTTCCAACATACCTCCAAACCCGCGATAAATCTCGACTATAGAGATTTTACAATGGACCCCTCTAACGGTTCTCGCGGAAGAGGCCGGAAGAGTTTTACTTTTACAAGTCCCTTTGCCGCTACTTCATCACCTCATAACTCATCTGAGCAGCCTATGCAACAACCTTCATCCGCAGCATCTTCTTTTTCTTTTACTGCAGAGACCCCGAGCCCTTCCGCTTCTAGGGAAAAGCGAATTCGCGCTCGCAACATCGACAGTTCCGGCACTATGCCAGAAGATTCCGCAAGCAAAGGAGGACGCTCCTTGAGAAAACGTCCTCGTGTTGACTATACATTTGACCAGCTTGATGACATTGAGAGCCACAATGCAAAATCTACACCCAACGCCACTCGCACATTGAAGAGACGGAAGACTGACTTCGTTCCCAATGGGAATGAGACGAACGAAGATGCTGAAGCTCGCACTAGCAGACGAGCTTCCGAGCAGCCTCAGCCATCATCATCTCGCAAACGTAACACTGGAAAGTCTACAGCAGAGCCTCAGACTTATGTACCAGAACAGCAGATGGATGATGTCGAAGTACGAGACACCATTGAAGTTGGTGGACATCATAGCGGAGAGTCGGATGAGTCGATGCTTAGACGCACTAGCACTGGCTCTGGCTCTGGCTCTGGCTCCTCGAATAATGGGACCAAGGCTCCCATTCCTAACATTTCCGTTGATATGTCTATTTCTTCGGAATCCTCACAATCATCGAAGCCGTCGGAGACCTCAGTGCCTTCGGTGCCTTCAGAACCCTCACAGCCTTCGCAACTTTCACTATATACCGCCTCGGGCGAGAGCCACACTGATCTCCAAAAAGCTCAACCCGAAACTATGGCCGGAAACGAAGGTGAATCCCGAGAGCAAGAAGACGAGGCGGAGGATGATGAGATGCCTGACATAGATGACAATCAAACCGAACCCGACTTACTCGACCATCTCACTCCATATATCAGTGGCTCTTTCGTTTACTACCCGGACTACCAGGATGATGAGCTCGAGCTGCCGGAAGCCGAGGCAGAGCCCGAGATTGATGCTGAAGCTGAAGCGAACCCTGGTACTTCAGTCAATGCTGAGGCAGATCCTGAAGCTAGTCTAGAACCCGACGTGGCTAACGAAGACGGCCCAGAAGTCGTCGCTGCTGAAGAAGCGGTTGTTGAGGACACTCCAGCCGACACTGCCGCAAATTCTCCCGCTGCTGAATTAGAGTCATCTGGTACACAACCAGCAGATATGAAACAATTCCGGTTCAAGCAGACTAGAGAGGCATCTGAATTCACCGATCTGTTCAAAGACATCAAGTCTTTGTCTCCCAAAGAGCTCTATCGAAGAGTCGAAATTACGAACAAGGCTCTTGAGGCATGGCAGGAAGAGTTCAAGGAGCTGCGAAAGTGGACAGATGATTATGATAATTCAATTCGCAACCACAAAGAAGAGGAAGCCTTCAATCGTCGCTTCAAGGCCGCTATTGCAAGAGACCCTAGCGCAAACCCCATTCAAAAAGACTTTGTCGTCAAGGGCGTTAGAGCCAGGGACACGACAGATCCAGAAATCGCCTATGCCCGACAGCAAGACAGAATCATGGCCAGCGTCTACGGATTCGAATATGATCCCAGAGCAGATAAAGTAGGCAAACAAGACCCCATTGCGCAACGAACTGGCTTGGGTCGCCACGGGCGTCTTCGCGAGAGACCCAAACAGACTGCCAAGGCAGCCGAGGCCGAAGATCCCAATATTATTCAGGGAAAGCGAACAAGAAAGCCACCCGAGAGGTTCAACGAAGGTGAAGCCACTAGCAGAGGCTCTACCCCGGTTCCAGCTCAACGCCGAGGACGTCGTGGCGCATTGGCACAAGAGAACGGCGAGCCTCAATCTCAGGCTCAGAATACTAGCGTACCGAGCGTAGCACCCGAGCCGGCCGAGAAAGAACCGCCTAAGAAGAAAGGAAAAGGCGGCAGACCTCGTAAGAACCCACTCCCGGCACCGGAAGCTCAACCTACTCCGGCCCCAGAACCAGAGCATGAAGAGCCCAATCCCGAACCCCAGCCGGTTAGCGACTCACGACCCAAGGTGCAACCAAAGACACTATCCAAGTCGCAAGCTAAGCCCGGTCCCAAGGCTAAGCCTGTTGCAGAACCTACGCCACAGCTCGATACGGAATCCAAACCAGAATTAGCGCCCTCGCTTAAGAGAGGAAATGAGGAGGCGGCTGTAGAGGAAGAACAGCCTCGCAAGCGTAAGCGCAAGGCCCCTGCAAATGCTACAGCAGTTGTAGAACGGGAGGAAGAAGAAAATGTGCCTAATGGTGTAGAGCCTCTAACACCCTCAAAGCCGGCTCGTCGCACGAACTCCCGAAAATCCGATATTCCATCCGGATCCTTCAAGACTGCAACTCCCAAGACAGTTACTTCTACGAGTCATCAAGCCGAGGAGCCTCGTCCTCCTACTGCATCATCTACTGCAACAGCTGAGACAGTGGCGTCTACAAGTAACTACCAGCTCCGCGAGAAACGCCAAAGAAAGTTCACTAATGATATCAACGATGATGACTTCATTGAAGAACCTAAACCCAAGCGTGCTAAACGCGCCCCAAAGAAAACACAGACCAAGGTCGAAGATCTCACACCTGCTCCGGAACCAGCTCCTGTCCAGCAAACAGAGCAGAAGGCTCCTCCCGCACCTAAACCGCCTACCAAGATCAAGTTCAAGGTAAAGAACCAGCATCCCGCCCCCGTACCCGCTCTCAGCACACCACCGCTAGTTCCTTCGAACTTAGCACCAGTTCACACCGACCATACTACCAACGGGAATTCTAATGGCGACAACGGTAGCAATGGGTTTGCTGAGTCTAACACACCCGACGGAGAGATTGGTGCGGACCCCAACAAGGACTACAATTCTATGACTAAGTCTGAAAAGATGTCCTATTCTATGAAAGGTATGCTTGAGTTCCTCGTATACTACCCCATACATATTCCATACATGCGGAATACTAACATTTAATAGCTCGATGGGCATCTGGCTCTATGAACACAGCCGTGGCCAAGCGCCGTGCAACGCTTGCCGCCAAGAAGCAGAGCGCCAAGCCGCCTGCGGGAGCTAATCCTACGGTTCCCAACCAAGCAGGAACGCCCACCTCTGGATCTACGCCAGGTGGCGACGAAGACGATGATGCCACTGCCCTAAGGCAGTAATTATCACCACCCCCTTATTGCGACGTCAGGGCAATGTTAAGCAACATATGCGACATCGCTACAGAAGATTATTCTAGCCATTGCTTTTTGCTCTTGCTTGTCACCATTTCCAACCAATATGCGCCATCATAAAAAACTGGACCACCAGATAGAAAAGTATTATACGGCGGTGGTGGGAAGTTTAGATACTTGGACTAAACTCTCCCAGCCACGCCGTATAGGGCGACGGGGTCAGTAAATCTCAACTGCCCCGTCGGCCCGCAGACGGAGGGTGGGGAGGGTTGTTGGATAATTGAACCACACCCACCCAGCCCTCGGACACCCCCTGGGGATGGGACGGAGGTGTACCTAGACAAGCCTCACTTAGGCCGCCTCCGTCCACATTCTAACCCCATGGCGGATGGATGAACGGGGTGCTGGATACTTGGACCAGCCCCCTACTTATCCATTCACCCATCTTCCATGGATGATGTAGAGAGGAGTTCGGATACTTGGACCGGCTCCTATTCTACTCATCCATGAAGGTGGTGTGTAGATGATGAGTGGACTGGCGTTGGATAATTGGACCAATTCCAAGGCCACTCATTCATCTCCTATCTCTGGGTGAATAGGCCGTCGGATACTTGAACCGACTCCTGGTTAGCCCATGGATAGGTAGAGGGATGGATAGCCTGGGAGCCAGACACTTAGCTGGTCCCAGGTCCTCCCATCTCTCTGCACATCACAGCCTGGGTGGAAGGTTGTTTGGATACTTGGACCAAACTTTCCTTCGCCCGGGCTCATCCCTGGGGGGTGTCCAAAACAGAAGGCGGGAGGAGGTTTATGGGATAGAAAATAAGGGAAGGACACTTTGTACATAACGAGTATATATGGCATTTGGGCCTAAGGGCGAAGCGTTGTCATTACTTTGCATAGGTGGGTGGATGGGACGTTTTGATACCTGGACTAATTCCTATCCACCCCACCCACGGAGCGAGCATTATTGTACGCATAGGAACGGATAGGATAGAAGGAGGTCTATACATAAAATGGAGGGGAAATGAAAGATACCATTGCCGTCAATTTTGGAAGTCAGTAGCGTATATATGTGATTATGTGATATGAATATGTACACGTAAATGGGGGTCGTGATACTGCTATTGGTGTACTCCACGTAAATGTGAAGCTGGAGGTGAATAAGTTATCTATACTTACTCAGTTATTTACTCTGGTTATTCACTTTCTAACTGGTCTACAGCATACCTACTCGGGACTACACAACTAACCTTAAGCGAGGAAATATTTAGGCCTAAGAATTAGGTAGATATAGCATAGCTCTTTCAGCCCTACCCCCAATCTTCCATGAAAGCCGGCGGTCTAGTCTTATGTTAGACGAATAGACTCATTCAATAAGTACTACGTTGAAAAATACAGGCTTGGTTATGTAAGCTCAGATATCCGGGAATATATGAATGAGAGACCATTGATTACCATTATCATCATCGGACGTGGCGTGTAGTGTCAGTCGAGATGAACTAATGGCTGGTTACAATCATCAGAATCGAGTCACAGAGCAGTAATCACACACGAGAATGGGGAACCGAACTATGAATTGTCCAGGATGCAGTTTCTTTTGGTTTGGTATGTCTCCTTTACGCCCCGAAGCCGAAATGCAAAGTGACCAGTCCTACCACCCGACACGCGACATAGGCCTCCATCTCAAATCCTCTCACCAGCAGTCGTGAGAGCGGCCGGTCGTGGTTGGTGTCTTTCTTCTTTCAATATCAATGAATCAATCAATCAGTCGTGATGACATATCGTCAATAAGGAAGGTAGGTAGGTTAGGTGGTGTGAATCATCTCTCCTCCGCCTCTCACCCAATGCTCCGCATGAAACGAAACGCTCGCCTTTTACATCACTACACCGGAGTTGCTGGCAATACGCTAGGTAGACAGGTTAGAATTTGCGGGGTTGGGGGGATGTAGGGTAGTAGGACTTACGGGCCATAACTCGGCAGCCTCCTTTCCGACGGGGCCGGTGATGGCGGAGCCCTTCATCTCACCCTTGGGGTTGACGATCTGGGAGGTAATACGTTAGTCGTATGCTCTGTATGATACGTGAATCCAAATACGCAGTCTCCCATCCATCTGTGCTTAACCGCGTAGAATTCCAGCACGGATTTGGTTGCCGCATATTTGGTGTATAGAGAGGGCCAAACTTACGACACCAGCGTTGTCCTCGAAGTACAGGAAGACACCGTCGGTTCGCTTCCAGGGCTTGGACTGTCGGACGATGACGGCGGGGTGGACCTTCTTTCGGAGCTCGGGCTTTCCCTTCTTGACGGTGGCCATGACCATGTCGCCAACACCGCCGGCGGGCAGTCGGTTTAGGCGGGCACCGATACCCTTGACGGAGATGATGTACAGGTTTCGGGCGCCGGAGTTGTCGGCGCAGTTCATGATAGCACCGCTGTTCCGCGTGTTAGTCTCGAATTGGGTTTGCGGGAGAGGGACAAGAGTTCCTGTACTTACACAGGCAGACCGAGGGTCATCTTAAGCTTGCCACCGGGGGCACCACGCCTATGAAGCGAAAGGTTAGCATTTTTGCTTCAGAGCTTCGTTGTCGAATATGGAATCCCATCGTCGCCTCTGTAACTTGTTCCACGGCAATTCGACTATATCGGAGCTTGCACTTCAACATCTAGTTCCATCGGCGTCTTGTGGTTCGAATTTTCGCCAGCACGGACTCTTCTACCTCCTCCTCTTTTTCGTGCAAATTATTCTTCCCAAATTCGCCTTTCCTTTCTCTTCACAATTCCCCCCACCAAATCTTCAATCCGTCTTCCCATTTTACCCCACCAACGGATTCCGCTACAAATCGAGAAATTCGGGTTCGAATGAGATAAAAAACTTACGAGATCTTGGCCATTGCGACTGATTTATTCGGAGGTTCTTTACGGTCGGGGTGTGGTGTTGACGGTGGTCGAAGTTGGTGGTCGTTGTCACGGGAGAAAAAAAAAGGTGGTCAACAGCTCCAAATTTCTTGGTGGTAGTTTCCAACTGCGCAAACCTGGAAATGTGCGGCTTGGAGAAAAAAACCCTAGGGACCCACCAAAGTTCGGGAAGCGATTTCCGTAAAAGGAAGCTGAATCACGTGATACTTGTGGATTGTCGTAAAGGGATCCTTGTACTTTTAACATGGCTCGTGCGTCTCTGCTATTTACACTCTATTCCGTAACACTCACTGGCCGACTTACAATATGACAATCTTGCAAACGCGTAATCAAATTGGATATCATCAGCTTAAAACTAACTACACCCCAAATGCCAATATACCAAATATCCAATACAGGGACATGTCATCCCCCATCTTATGGACATGTGCAGCAGTTGCCCGTGTTGGGCTAAAATCTACACCATTCTTCCAATCTTGAAGTTTCCCCAGTCACTCTTTCACATACATCGATGGGTCTCAGTCGTATATCAAGCTAAAACTTGGCATGTTGCACTATATTGATCTGCTAATCGGCCTAATATCTCCATAGATAACTCTCTGAGTAGCAATATTAACGCAACTAGTGGTCGGATCTTTCAGACCAGGGCTTCACGGCCTCTAGCAGCTTCTCATGCACTGTTGCATCTCCAGCATGCTTCAGTGCCTCTTGATAAACATCATCGCCGATCCTTTGCATGAAAAGAAGGAACGATGCCCACGCGAAGTCGGCGAAGCCCACAGTCTTCCCCTCGAAGAAAGGGCCGTCGCCGTTCTCTTTCAGTAGGGCGGTGACCTTCTCCAGAGCAGGTTGCGCAGCTTTCCACGCTTTCTCACCGCCTTCCTTCTCCGCTACCTCCTCCAATGTCGCGCCAAACTGCTCTTCGCGAGTTCGGCGGAAGTACCCCTTGCTAGCATCGTTCAATAGCCTGTTATAAACCCCCGGAGCGTAGACGCCCCTGAGAGGTGTCAGGACCTCCTTGAGGAGTTCCTTCACTTTTGGCAGATAAGGGGAGTCCAGATGGATGCTTGGCTCTGGATACTTCTTCTCGAGCACTTCGGCGATTGTGAAGGAGTCAGTTACCCAAGTCCCGTCGGGTAAGATGATCGTCGGGATGGTGTAGACATCCGCCTTTGGGAGGCTATGAATTAACTGTTAGTGAATTCAGGTTGACTTTTACATAGATGATCTAGGGGAGAGTCAATCAAGTGACCAACCCCTTCGCTTAATTCTAGGAATAAGGGGTAACGACGACGACTCATCAAAATTTGAACATCACTTGAATTCTAACGAGCTCATCCGCAAAAATACATGAAACATCCGGATTGAGGGTAGACTCACTGGTCTTGGAATTTTCCCTTGATGTCTGGGTATTCAACCTATCAATGCGTTAACTTCACATATGAAAGTATCTTCAAATCTTGGTAAAGCTTACCCATTCCGTCTTATAGGGGAGGTTCTTGTAGTTCAAGACGAACCGAGCTGTGTCCCTTCTTTAGAAATTATATCCCATCTCCGAACATATGATGTCACCTACTTTTCCACGGGTTGTACGACCACGTCTTGTTTGGCGGCTTAGACGGTAAGTCGAAGAACACGATCTCCTGGTTAGCCATTGCGAAGGAATCGATAATGAAAATATCTGATCAGTAATACTTAGAGTTGCAAAGGGGAATCTTCGCCAGATATACCTAATAACTAGTTAAATAGAGAAGTGAAAGTTTAAGTTGGAAGGTCCAGTATCTTTATGTTGGACTATAGGTATTGAGATGACAAAACACTAAAAGTCTCCGATTCATGCATGAACTCGCCGACCAATGCATGATGCCCCGCATTTGCTACTTCACATGCGCGCCCTTTGGCGTATAGTCGGTTTATTTAGGTAATTTTCATGAGTACTATGTCATGTTTCATTGGGCTATACTAATTGAGTATTAGAGATTCCCTCTTACGTGCTTCTTGCTCATCGCCCCCACCCTCCCCCCTTTTCTCAATACCTCAAACCAACTCTCCGGAAATGCGGTTTATTCGATATACGTACCAAATCCCACATAAATAGCTATCTTACCATTAACAGCATGCACCATAAACCATTGCTACTTAAATTCTATTGGGGATCAGGAATGGCTCCTATCTGATACCTTGGATCTTGGTGAATATATTGGCCGCAAGCTAGTAACGGGGCGCTAGCTTACAAATGATTTGGCGTTTCTTTGCAAGAATTCGATAAGCGCTCTTACCATCCATCAATTAATTATTCGCTTGCGTAATAGATATACATACAAGGTGTAACAGCTGGCAATGCAGCTATTTCTATATATGGAGGAACTAAGTATGGCTCTAACCATAGGTAGGCTAAGAATATTATGACTAAGATTAGTATAGTTATTGTCAATTCGCAACTCAACTCTAGATCTAGGACTGGTTTACCACGGCTTGTGTCGTGAATGCGAGATTACTGTATTTAAGCTTATAGTACGTGGGTTGTTGCTTGGGTACCTGTTAATATTATTCTACTAATATCATTAATGCTCTCGTTATTCACCATTTTTATTGCCAAGTCCTAACCCCAATAGTTGTAGTTCATGGAACTAATCGTATCAGACCGCAGTATCCTATCTAACTTTTTGCTGTAGTTCTTTATGTCGTCATGTGATCATAAAGATTTCACGAGAAAGGGGTTTTGTCGCATATATTAAGTAATGACATTTATGTGATTACAAGATACCCTTTTTATAAGATCTCGTGGGTCTACGGACGCTTCTAGAATCTAGATCCCACCAAGAAACTTACGTCGGGATTCTAGATGAGGCATCTAGAACAAAAGATACTTTCAATATGTATAACTACAGACTCCCTATAGCTAGGTAGCTTAGAGTTCCTTAGTGAGTATCGAAGTTGTCCCCTTGCTTCTTGTTCCGCCTCATGACAGTTTACCTCCTACAGACGTACCTGAATTACGTATATACTAGCTTATGCCCGAGGGCATTCTTGGAAACTTCTCGCGTGGTTATCGCATGATAAATAAATCTATTGGGCTACCTAAAGCCACTGGTATGCACCCTTGTAACTCCGTGCAGGAATGCTAGTGGTCTTAGTGCATGTCGTCTAGGTTGAGCGACAACATGCTACCCTTTCCCCCTAGATATATATTTTCAAATAAACCTTCTTTGCCTAAGATATCGAATAAGATGTTGTCTCGTATCCGTGTTCATGTATGCAGATAATCTGGTATTTGTGACTTTGAACCCTTCAACAATATTGGCCGACATTCATATAAGCTGGTAAAGCTGTGAATTAAATAGTTCTCTACATATAATTCTCTACATATAACTAAGAGCCTATTCTCTAGCAACAATGGCTAATGCCGATATGAGGGCAAGGCATGAATACGTCATACTAGAAACAGTGAATTCTGACACAACGGAAAGCGCTATGCCTAGTTTGTTATTAGTCCAAGGCAAGCTGACCAATGGCAATTTACCTTTTGATTCTTTGCAGTAAGTCCCCTTTTACCCTGCTGAACTACGGATTATGTAATGAGAGAAATTACCTAGATTTGTCACCATTCCTAGCAGGTCTAGAATAAAGGCTAGGTAAATATTACCATATAAAAATTCGTATATCAACAGCTATGAGATTTAGGAATCGTACATTCTATGTAAGTAGATATTGGACGGAGTAAATGTGGTCTAAGCTTAAGAGGGAAATTTCCCATTGAATTTAGCTCGTCATTGGCTCCGTATGTACCCTAGGTTACGGACCCGTACTTTGCAGCTTGTTCGGGTTAGTATACTACCTAGGTGCACGCCGCCTTGCACCAACCTTATCGATAGTTACATGTATTCGGCATGATAGGTGCGTTTCTCGAGATCTTCGCCCGACATTAATACTTTCCCATCTCAACCCATTCTTCTTATTCTATCTTGGTTAACCCACGATCAACAATGGCGCACGCAGCCCCCGTTGATATTTGGAGCGGTAATGGCATCGCCTTGGGAGCTCCTTCTCCCAAGAAGGTTGCTTATTTCTATGATTCTGACATTGGAAATTTCGCCTATGTATCCGGCCATCCAATGAAACCCCATCGCATTCGGTTGGCGCACAGCTTGATTATGAATTATGGTGTGTACAAGAAGATGGAGATTTACGTGAGTAATAATAAGACTTGTCGCTTCAGCAAGTAAGATAACTGACATCCCAAAGCGTGCGAAACCGGCAACGCGACTCGAGATGACCCAATTCCATACAGACGAGTACATAGATTTCTTACAGCGAGTCACCCCCGAGAATATGGACAATTTCCAACGAGAACAAGGCAAATACAACGTTGGAGATGATTGTCCGGTATTCGACGGACTATTTGAATTCTGTGGCATTAGTGCTGGTGGCAGCATGGAGGGTGCCGCCCGCCTCAACCGTCAAAAGTGCGATATCGCAGTGAACTGGGCGGGTGGCCTCCATCACGCAAAGAAGTCTGAGGCTAGTGGCTTCTGCTATGTCAACGGTACGAATTATCTTTTATGTCTTACTGATTTTAATACCCCTCTCCCTTGGGCTGTGCTAATACGGTTACTGAGTAGATATCGTTCTCGGAATTCTCGAACTCTTACGATTTAATAAGCGCGTCCTATATATCGATATCGATGTACACCATGGCGACGGCGTTGAGGAAGCATTTTATACCACGGACAGAGTTATGACGGTTTCTTTTCATAAGTACGGCGAATACTTCCCTGGAACGGGCGAGCTGAGAGATATTGGTATCGGCCAGGGTCGTTACTACGCGACTAATTTTCCTCTTCGCGATGGCATAGATGATTCCTCATACAAGTCCATCTTCGAACCCGTCATATCAGCCGTCATGGAATACTATAATCCGGATGCGGTCGTTCTTCAATGTGGCGGAGACAGTTTGTCGGGTGACCGTCTCGGTTGTTTCAACCTGAGCATGGATGGACATGCTAACTGCGTAAAGTTCGTCAAGAGCTTCAATCGACCAACTCTGGTACTTGGTGGTGGTGGTTACACGATGCGCAACGTTGCCCGTACCTGGGCCTTTGAGACTGGTCTCCTTGTTGATGCTCAGATGGATCGAACTCTACCATTTAATGAATATTACGATGTAAGGTTATGGTCCTTCTTACTGCTACTTCGAGCGCTAACCTTGAATTTAGTATTACGGGCCCGACTATTCGCTTGATGTGCGTGCCTCCAACATGGAGAACGCCAATAGCCCCGAGTACCTAGAAAAGATAAAAAATCAGCTAATCGAAAATCTTCGACGTACCGCTCATGTCCCATCTGTCCAGATGCAGGACGTTCCCCGTCATTCGATGGGAGCGATGTCTGATGAGGAAGAAGCTGAGCTTGCTGACCTCGATGAGGATGAAAATAAAGATGTTCGCATGAGTCAGCGCCAGTGGGAACAACGCATAGAGCGGGACAACGAATACGAGGAAAGCGATAATGAGGACTATGAAAAAGCGATCGGGGTTCATCGAAACGGAAATACGCGACGACCATTCATCGACTATCGTAATTCAGATGTTGAAGCTGAGAGCGGCGCCGCGACGCCCGCCAACGGCTCTATTGAACATGTCATCAAATCTAAAGAGACAGATGACATTGTTATGGAAGATATAGTAGAAAAGGAACCTGAGGTCGAAGCAAATACTCGCGATAACTCCCAGCCAGAGGAAAAGGATGCTGAAAACGAAAGCAAGACCACCAGTATTGCTGATCAGGAAGAAGCACCAAAAGAATCCCAGGGAGTCTCCAAGTCCGATAAAGACGGTAGCGAAAGCGAAAAGACAGCCGCCGCCGAAAATGAGTCTGCCAACGAAAATGTCGAGACATCTAAGGAGACTGACGAGATGATGCGGGATGCTGGTGAAGACAAAACACCAGCAGAAGAGGCTGAAAAGGCACCCAGCGCGGCACCAGAGGCCAAGAGCACACCAGAAGCCGAAAAAGTTGATCAAGATGGTGATATTGATATGGATGCCCCCGTTGCCGCCGCCGCCCCTGAGCCAAAACAAGAGGACGGAGCAGACGCCAAGGACCAGCCCGCAGAAAAGGCTGATGCTGCATCACCTAGTTCTGCGGAACCCGCCAGTAAAGACAAGGACAAGGAAAAGGATGCGAGCTCCTAAAAAAGATGGAAACACTAATTTTGATACCCATGTTTTGAATCTTCTCGCCCTTCCAAGTCTTTAAAGCAACCAATGTACAGGGGATGGGCGGGACGGAATAGGGGATGGTGTTCATCGGGTTCTTCTTCAGATCATTGTAGACTAGCCGAGCGAACGGCGTTCAGGTTTTCCGGCAGCATCAGCGGCAGAGGGACGGCCGCCTTGCGTTAAGTTGGCGGGCTCGCTCTTTAGTTAGTATCTTCTGCTTAGCGCCTTGTGATTTTATGTGATGGTTTTATGTTATGTCGTGATAAAGGTGATCCGTTATTGTGTTGAAGTTACCGTAATTAATTTGACCAGACAATATTATTACGTTTATGAAAAACTACGTGGGTCCTAGCCTAGTGTATACGTACAGTCGAGTCTCGCCATAACGAATCTACTTTATAACGAATTCACTTTATAACGAATCTATATCGTGTTTTATTGAATTTTGTATGGGATTTAACGAATTTTTTTATATAACGAATTCGTTAATTTCGGAGATGAGTCACCACCTAATTCGTTATGAAAAATAAAAGCTAAATTTATTTTAACTTAAATTTAATACTATTTCGGCTAATACATTCTTTAACTTTTATGTCTGTGCTTCTTATTTTTAGTGCTTGTACGGTCCGTGCGCCCTGTATTCCATAACGAATTTACTCTATAACGAATGCATATCGATGTTTTTTAAAATTCGTTATAGCGAGACTCGACTATAATAAGTTTTGTTTTTAAGCAGTAGACTTTTCATTTTTGAAAAGGGGTTGGGATGTACCCGGTATAGAAAAAAGGGGTGAATTAAGTGGGTCTGAAAAGGGGGCCAAATTTACCACCTTCGTAGTGTATACGACGATATATAGGTAGTCGTCTTTTCTAGGTATTAGAGCTTCGATACTTCAAGAGGGAAAACAAAGGTTCTATTATCACCACTTGCCGAGGTAAAGACATCTGGGTAGGATAAAAGTTAACCGTAAAGTACGTCTAAATCTACGTCATCGTCACGCTCATCACCTTCATCCATATCTATCATCTCCCCCTTTCTCCTGAAATACTTGCGCACGTAACCAGTCGCCATAGCATCCGTCACAAGCAGCTTAAATATCAACTTGGGCCTCTTCCCTCTCTGCCGGCGTCTTTGGGACTTGGAATACTCCTCGAGCGACGAGAAGAGCCTCTCGGTATCGTGCCGCAGCTTGCCCGTCTCGTAGAGCGAGATGGAGTCTATGAAGCAGAATACCATCATCGCCTTCTTCCTCCCGTCGAGCTGCTTCAGCAGACGCAGGAATAACTGGCATGTTTTGACGAAGCTCTGCTCCTCGCGGATCCCGCGCAGCCATTTCTCGTCGAGGAAACTTAGGTCGAAAGCGGATGCCAGCTCGGCGTGGGTAAGCAGTTGGCCGCAGAGGCTGCGCGCGATGTCGAATGCGCCGGCGGGGTGGTCCCGACGCGCTCGCTGCAGGCTGCAGAAGTAGTGCAGGCATATGATTCCCGTGCGGGCTTTCCGGAGGTATTCCATGGGGATGCGCGCGCAGAGGTAGGAGAGGGCGGAGAGGGTGCTGCTATCGTCGTCGAGGCCGCCGTGGATGAGGAGCTTCGTCGCTTTGCTGCTGTCTTCTCGTAGCCAGGTTTGGAATTCTTCTCGCTTGGTCAAGGCGGATAGTTGGCGCATCTCCGAGCTGTCGATGTTGCTTGGCGATGCGGCGTCCTCGAAGTCTTGGATTACTCGGCTTTGGTCGTGGAGTAGGTACTGCGTTGCTACGGTAGCGGGAGAGGGTCCTGGGTAGGTAGGTAGAATTATGTTAGTATGTATATGGTGTTGTGGTTTAGGTGGGTGGTTTGATCGCGTACCGTCGTTTGCCTTGCACGGCACATTTTCTTTTAAAGAAGTTCCCTTTCTGCGGTAGGGTATATTATCTGCCGAATCCGGTGAAGCAGCTGAGTTGAGAAACGCCTTGAGGGTTCGAAGGACGTATAAACCGAGGTCTCCGCTGTGGTATGTATTAAGGTCGTCTGCCCTGACTGGGTTCTTTAATGTCTTGGATTTTATGTTCATTTCGAATAGACTTTTCTTGAGTTCGTCCGTCTGATGTGTTATGTCTTGTTTCTGACTTTCTTTTTATATATAATTAGTTGTCCATATAAAAACAATCGTTAGGGTATGTATAAGGTATCCATACTATTTAATTTGTTGCCTCTCCAGGCATACTCGAGTAATATTTGGAGTAGTTTTACTAAGACTTCAAACGTTTGAACGGTCTCCTCATGAAGAGACCTGCTAAGTGTGCGAGATGCGCAAAGAGCCAGATAGTCTTCGGCGTGATAAAACATCTGTGCTAGTTCGTCTAGGCATCTAAGAATAGCGGACTCGATTTCAACACCACCTATAGTAGCCTATAACTATGTAAGTTAAATACAGCTAGAGAATCGAGGCAGATATTTTAAAACTCAACACTTACCGAGATCAAACAGCCGAATGCATCTAACGATATCAATATTAGAAGGCAACCTTAGATCTAATTATATAGAATCTTACCGCTCAAGCAGCATGTTTTATTCTGATTCCTAAGTAAGCTAACCCAATAGCAGTAAGGATAAATATGCTTCTTAAGATCAAGGAGAAGAAGTGAGGTGCTCCTTCGTGTTGTATAGACATCTCTCGACTGAGAAATTGCACACGCTAAACTTGCCCGGACCCAAGTCACCGAATCCTCTAATGACTTATGTGGGAGAGTCGGCGTATTGTCCTTGCCTATCTCTGGCTCTAACACTTGCACCTGGAATTTTCGAATAGACCTATTAAGAGTATCTACCGCCGGTGATGTATCATCCCATAACGAAGCACTGAGTAATTAGCCTTTGCGTAATGTAGGTGCCTAAGGCGATAGAATGACATACATATGCTCCGTCAGACGATCGGCCTGTTCAACGCGGACGTGGCTCCCGACACGATCATCGTATTCGATGTCGTCGCTTTGGGCGAGGATAATAGCCCTCAGTAGTAATTGATCGATAAATGAGGCGGCAGGGTCTGCTGGTACCATGCGACGCTCATAGATGCTCTTGTCATATTGATTGTTAATTATCACACTTGTTTGTTGATTCTGGTTGATTTCGTGGTCCTTTCTTTGATCAATGTGTTGATTGTCGACAGAAACGTCGCCTTGGGCCGCATTGACTGCTTTTCCATTTATTTGTAGTTTTCGGCCCTCGACCTCCATTGCGACATTTACCTTAATATCGTCCCAACTCGACTTTCTAGCCCATAGAAAATGAATATTGTTCTATAAAGTAAGAGAATAGTGATACGGCTGGTGACAATGCCGATCTCTGTGGCTTACAAGGTATGTTAGGTAGTAAGGTAGGCAAAGTAATACTATAGTCTCGTATACAGTGCGATCCCCCCCGTAATGCATTGCCCTGTCAGCCTGTATGTACACTCGAAATCCCTGCCGACTTGGGCGCCTCCCTAGTATAATTGGTAGGCTGGATGTAAGCTGCAGTAAATATCGCGCCACTGATGCGGCTCTCTCAGCTCAGCAGCTCAGAAAGTCCAGTTCAGGTAGTCTATTAAAGGGAGGTGGGGTCCTCGGTTTCCTACAGCCTCGATTGCTATATGTACATGTAGATTACCCAAGATACCTATTAATACTTCGGACCGACTGGAAATAAATGGAAGGACTTGTCATGAAAACCCGTAGCCTTATCCTTTGCGGAATTATAACGATACCCTAAAATTATACTTTGAGGCACAGGCAGCTTGGAAAGAGTTTTTGATCTAATTCCACGGAGATTCCCCCAGAGCCTTACATGGGTCCCTCCACGATATCACCTATAACGTAAACAATTTGAATGGCGGCAACTATAGATGATTCGTCGTCTAATACCTCATCATTTCTCACGAACGCCGACGCCAACTCATCACACAACTCCACCATGGCAACAGATATAGATGATAACCATGATAATGAAGGGTTATCCAACGACCCTGGGATAGAGGAGGTAAACGGGAAAGACGTAGACCACGATATGAGGGAGAATGGTGGCCGAGAAGAAGAGAACGCAAAGAAGAAATCTGATCTCGCCGCTGAACTATCCGAGGATGACAAGATAAGTGATAGGAGATGGAGAATGATCCTATATAACGAATCCTATCATGATCCCGAGGCACTTCAAGAGAGACGTAAAAAGGCCAATCAAAGGCTAGCACAATCTCAATCATACCTCAACCTAGTGGAAGATCGCATACTACACCTTGAAAAGACAATTCGAAAGATCCTTAAGGAGCCAGAACCACAATTAGATGAGCAAGCACCAGTGTCAATTCCACCAAGTACTGGCGTAATTAACGAGCTAACCTGGTCGGAGTACGGCGTGAGAGCTGATCTCGACCCGAAAGCTAGCACGAATACTTGGCAGCACGTAGCAGAGCTTGATCCAACACCGAAGCCAGTGATTGAGGTGCTAATAGAAGAGCCGAGATATGATATAATTCGAAAGACCGAGAAGATCCAACTTCCAGGTCAGCAAAACCCCCAAGGGAAATTACCGGGCGTTGAAATGCCGAGTCAACATGACTTTATACCAAGCGCAGCAAGTAGGGAAAAGCCGGGGACGCCTTATCGTATCCGAATTAGATCACCAATCCTGTTAAGAGTGCTCAAAGAAGCGACGGGGCTTGAGACAGTTGTTGGCCAGCACCGGCACAAACTCGTATTCTTCAAACCATTCAAACTCCTAGTTGAGTATACTGATAAATTACGGGATCATCTTCAACGAATTAGTAGTAAAGCTACCCGTACGCAGACTCGCCCAACTTTCGATGGAGCCGTAGACTAACACTACAAGCAGCGTCTGGCGGATATCATGGTGTCCCTAACGAGACAGAGACGGAAGAGGCACAAGCCCATCTTAGCCTCTTGTGCGAAATGATACGTAAATACCTACAGCCCAAGGTTAATCTACGACATCGATTAAGTCCTATCGGACAAATGGTTTGTTTCGAAGATCTCTGGTACATATTCAAAACCGGAGATGAAGTACGAACGACGGGTAAGAGCCAAGTTCAGCTGTAAGAGACACCAAATCTCGTTATTCGATACCTTAAACGATATACTGACATTAGAGTAGATACCGCATACTTAAAGTAACAGGTGGTCGAGATATTTTAAACCCGTGGAAAGAGCCTCCTACCAACCATGCGTCGATCAAGTTGAAAGAAGCGGGCTATTCTACCGGGTCACTCATCATAGAGTGCTTCTATATGCACTTTGACGGCAAGCAGTATGGACCTGTCAACCAAACATTCCAGATGCCTAAATTTGATGGTGCAAGGGAGATTACATCGCTCCCGGTCATCCCTCTCGAAATTGAAGCTGATAGTAAGAACCTCCGAAATGAACTACTGGAAAGGGGGAAGAAATTTGCAGAGCTATCAAACCCGGCCAAGACGGCGCACAAACTATACAAGGGCCTGACCCTTGACAAACGCCCAGAGCAGGTATGGCGATACTATGGCACCATGCAACCCAGTGAACTTCTAACAGCAGTATCCAGGTTGAGTCTGAGGTTATTATTGACTTTAAGCTCTCGTTCGTTGAACAGCCAGAGAACAAGCCCGAGATAGGGGTCGAGAACCTTGCGGATGATGATCCTCGAGAGCTGAAAGATATCCACCCCTATTGTGCGATGTGTGATGCGGTAGGATGCTGTGGAAACGACGTAATCTACGACGATTTTGAAGTTGACGAAAAGGATCGCAACGAGTTTAGGAACCAAAAACGATCTATTCTTAACTCGACGTGGCTTGTAGACCAACTAACAGACGACCAACTAGTATTGCTACCTCCCAAGGTCTTTGGCTTTGTCCTCCATACGAGAAGATGGGCAACGTTTGATATCGATCTTCTCCGCGAAGTCGAGTATAAGAACGGCTGGAAAAATCTCGTTATTGACGACCCCATCAAGGACACTATTCTCGCATTGGTCGAGTATCACCAAAAGCCCCACAGTCAAGAACCCCAGGGTGAGGGTATGCTATCACCAATAGACCTGGTTCAAGGAAAAGGCAAGGGCCTCACCATCCTCCTTCATGGCGAACCTGGTGTTGGCAAGACCAGTACTGCCGAGTGCGTGGCTGATCATACCAAGCGTCCGCTATTCCCAGTCACATGTGGCGATATAGGGGACAATGCGCAGCTTGTGGAGACGAATCTTGAGAGGAACTTCCAGCTAGCCCATAAATGGGGTTGCGTACTTCTCCTAGACGAAGCTGAGTAAGGAGGCGTGCCCCATGCGACTTAGAAAGAAGTTTACTAAGTGAGATACAGTATATTTCTGAGTAGACGCACAAACCACGATATTACACGAAATGCTATTGTTTCGGGTGAGTGTTTATCTGCCGATATTCGTTATGTCATATACTAAGAACGGAATAACAAAACAGTCTTCTTACGAACATTGGAGTATTATAGCGTTAGCAACCCATTGTGTAATGAGTATCAGCAAAGAAGCGCTAACACATGGGTAACAGGGTATTCTCTTCCTCACTACTAATAGAGTCGGGACTATTGACAGAGCATTCAAATCTCGTATACACCTTTCTCTTTATTATCCAAAGCTAAATCGAGAGAGAACCTTGCAAATCTGGGAGAACAACCTGGACAGGCTAAAAGACGAGTTTGAGAGCGAAAAGAGAGAATTTAAATTCCCGAAAAAGGAGATACTCAAGTACGCAGAGAAGCAATTCAAGAGGTTGAAGAAGTTGCAGCTGCGTCCTTGGAACGGACGGTGAGTTAAGCCGTAATAATACTAGGTATATCATTATCTAACCTGGCTTTCTCTCCAGGCAAATCAGAAACGCTTTCCAAACCGCTATCGCCATTGCCAACTACGAAGCTAGGACTCAGGGGAAGCCTCTGGAAATTAGAAAAGAACACTTCGCCAAAGTCGCGGAGAGAGCCATCGAGTTCGATAGCTACCTCAAAGAGCTTAGCTTGGGGAAAGACGACTCCCAACTAGCCCGGGACGGAATCCTCAGACTGGACAATTGGCCGGGCTACCCAGTTGTAACGCGTCGCGCGGACCCGATCTATGCGTACGAGAAAAGCAACAACAAGAGGAAAAAGACAAGCAAAAGGCTAGAGTCTGAGGAAGATAGTTCGGAAGACTTCCCCTATGAAAATTCCAGCGATGATGACGACGACGGTGACGACTCCGACGGCGAGAGCGGTGATGACGACTCCGGGGATGATAGTAGTGATGAGGTGAGAAAACCTAAAAATAAGTCGAAGAGGAAGAAGAGGTCATCGGATGAAGATGATTCAAGCGGGGAGGATCTGAAGCCCAGGAAAAAAAAGTCGAAGAAGAGGAAGAGGTGAACTTGCATCACCTAACTCCGAGACTCTTCTGATGTAAGATTACGATATAGTGATGTGGTGATTCTACCCCCCCTTTGGAGATATATAAGGACTTATAGATGGGCACTTTCATTAATTGAATTACACTCCCTGACTACCAGCGACTCGAATATCATGATTCCGCCCTGGGTATTTGCCTTCTCTGCGTAGGGGCGACATGGATCTAATATAAAATTGAGGAACTAGGGATCTAGAAAGTCACCAAGTATAGCATAGGTATACCAACCTTCTATCTTCCGGATTACGCACCCCTACCAAGTCCTATTTCTCAAGATGGGATTTTCTCCGCAGAAACACTATTCCCGAATCGTAAATAAATAGCTTGTAATGGTGTTTCAGCTACCAAAGCCTGGGATGCATGCACCTCTAGATAGCGAATAGCATAGACGGATAGATGTGATAGGTCAGGGATTCCGGTGCAGATTTGGGGGCTGAATGCTAACGAGGGTAACATACGGCGAAGCCACATGTGTATATCTGCAACAACGTGCTCGACACGGTGGAATTGGTAGGTAGGTTAGGTACCTAGATGAAAAATACAAGATGCGCTATTTACTAGGTACTTGTCCTTCCCCCCGCTAAGCCACGCTTTTTGAAATTCGTCACTAGTCTTGGATCGGTAGGTAGGTAGCCTGCATGAGATCTCCCTCGGTGTATCCTCTTCAGAAGTTGACTGTCTGGTTCTGGATGTTGATGTCGTCAGCTGCAACGTTTACAGCCCGGCCTAGGATATTGATAATCTTGGTTCCCTGTGAATGGTGGAACAGTTAGCAGAGACATTCCACACCGAATTCTCACACTTCCGCTGAGCCTCGTTAAGTAGATAGGTAGGGAGGTATGTTAGGCATGTGATTTACCTGGTGAGATTCGCTGCCCGTAGGCATCATGATCTTTCGAATAGCGGCTACTACCACGCCGTAGCCCTCGTCTTTCTGGGTTTTGAATTTACAGATGCCGATGTGGTCGGCGCGGATAGGGGTTGCGTCGCCACAGCCTGGAAGCTGGGCGGACTCGGGCTCGACGATCTAACAAAGCGACCTGTTACTTCGAGAGAACTGATTGAAATACAGAAAGTTGCCTAAGAGACACGAACCTGCGTCGAGCCAAACCCAATCTTCGTCTTCAAAATCTCGTAGAAAAAGAACGCTTCGATCCTATCTAAGGGGTTCTTAGAAGCTCGACGTTTGTTAAGGACCTCCGGGAAAGCCCTAGTGAGCTCGTCCAAGCGCTCCGAGTCGACGCCGAGGAGCTTCAACGTGTGCTCTTGGGTGTTGACCCCGAAAACCTGCAGGATCCGCCGAGCGGCTTCGGCTTTCCGCGCCGATGGAGAACCCCTGAACGGCGTCCCGAGGAATATCATGCCCCGGGTGTTCTTGGCGATGGCCTCGGCGCTCGACGCCTCGGCGCGCTGGTCGCCGTGGACGAGGACCTGCGCTGCGACCAGGCCGCCGAGGCTGTGGGCAATGAAGATGATAGGGCGGTTGTCCTGGATCGTAAGCTAAAAGGAACCCTAGGTAAGTTAGATCTTGGATACGCATACCGTGCCGGTGCTCGAACGCTCAGCGGCAAGCTTAGAGCAGAGATCATTAGCGTCGCTGTGGATTTCCGTGTTCGCGACCCGGGTGGGGTCTTTCTGAGCAATGCTAGTGTCGTAGCCGAAGAGGAAGATACGGCTTTCGGGGACATCCAGGGGGAGTAAGTCTTTTGGCCATAGCACTCCGTCCTTAGTCCAAGTCTTCTCTATGTCACCTCGTAGCCCGTGTAAGAGCACGATACTAGTATGCTAAGTCAGTAAAGACTCGAGGATTATAAAAGTCTTAACACTCCGTACTCAACTTTGGCCTCCCCCGAGTCGTGTACTTGGAACAGACCGTATGTAGACATTGTGGAGCTTGGTCGCTGGAAGCTCCGAAGTAAATGTTTGACGGGTGATGTTGAGGACATTGGGAAATATAGCCACCTGGTAAGAACGTGGGCTTATAATGGGTAGACTACCTCGAGCTTGTCGCCAGGCAGGCTGTGTGTACCCCTGTCTAGCCTATCAAACGCCATGGTGGTGAGGTAAAGGAGGGTTGGGATTATGAAGTAAGCGGAGATTTATTGTGTTATCAGGTAAGTGAATGGAACCCAACCAAGCTGCCCAGGAGCTGTAGGCCGCTCGAATCATATCAGCTCAGCCGTGTAGTGCAACGTACGTGATCGCCCCGAGCCCAAGGATAACTAACACCCGCGAATGTTTAGGTATACAGAGGTATATAAGGTATATAAACTACCTCTACGATTACAACTTGGCGATTCTAATTTATGCTTAGGTAAATAAATAATAACAAAGCGAATCAAAACCCATAAGATCGTAGTCTCGACATTCCCATATACTCAGTGCATAGCCTCGTTAGTTGACATGTGCTTTTCCCGTAAGTGTTGATCGGTTGATGCTCTTGACCGAACTGGGCAACGAAGCGACGTTGGGATTGGCTCCGATGACGACGGCACTAAGATTTAGCGCTTACAGGGTACATGCGCCTAACCGAGGCTGATGAAGGCTGAAAATAAATGGGCACATGGGGTGAATTACGTAAGGAAGGACAGTACCTAAGTACCTAAGGTACCTCTCAGGAACATTCATGAAATTACTAAAAGTCACGTGGTAGAATCTATACCTGGCCCGAGCTCCCTTATCGATCAAGACCAGAGCTGATAGCTGATAGCTTTTAGCTTTTAGCGTTGGGTGCTTAGGTAATTAGTGTACGTTATGCAGGCAGACCCGGGCTTCGTCAACGCCTTGCATTTTGATTGTGAGCTTCCATCATTATCTAAAGCTTGCTTCTCAAATAATTCTACCAACATTCGACGTTACCGCGTAATATCACACACACTATACTCGATTTTACCACTTGGTACACCTTAAACAATTAACTTACTGCAATTGACACTTCGATAGCGCCCACATACCAAGATGGACCGGTTGAACAGAATGCTTGCCGGTGCCAGCGGCATGGGACTCGGCGCCGCTCCGGGAACGGTAAGAAGCTTAGTTCTCGACGATACAAGTCCTCTAGATAACCTGGACGGGTACTAATATACCATCTAAATAGGATAACCAAAACCTAATCGACAACTCCGAGACCGTATACATTTCTTCCCTTGCGCTACTCAAGATGTTACGACACGGACGAGCAGGTGTGCCCATGGAAGTCATGGGACTTATGCTAGGAGAATTCGTCGACGATTTCACAGTACGGGTGGTGGATGTCTTCGCTATGCCCCAGAGTGGTACCGGCGTCAGTGTCGAAGCTGTCGACCCGGTATTCCAGCAGAAGATGATGGACATGTTGACGCAAACCGGACGGTAAGATGGTCCTGTCTACCTCTCTTCGTATAATCTTACTAATATTGCTGTGCAGACCTGAGTCGGTCGTTGGATGGTACCATTCTCACCCCGGATTCGGATGTTGGCTTTCCTCGGTCGACATCAACACCCAGCAAAGTTTCGAGCAGTTAACGCCGAGAGCCGTCGCCGTCGTCGTCGATCCCATACAGTCAGTCAAAGGAAAGGTTGTCATCGATGCTTTCCGCCTCATCAACCCACAATCTCTGATGCTCGGTCAGGAGCCGAGACAGAGTACTTCCAACTTGGGTCACCTCAATAAGCCCTCTATCCAAGCGCTTATTCACGGACTCAACCGACACTACTACTCCATAGGCATCAACTACCGCAAGACCGCGCTAGAGGAGAACATGCTCATGAATCTACACAAGCACGTATGGACCGAGGCACTGCAGATGGAGGACTTCAGACACGAGGACGAGCAGAACAAGGACCGCTTCAAGACACTGGTGACCTTAGCCGAGGGCTACGAGAAGAGAGTCAAGGAGGAGACCGAGTTGACCAAGGACCAGCTCAAGACGCGCTACGTCGGCAAGCTGGACCCCAAGAAGCATCTCGAGGACGTTGGACAGAAACTTATCGAGGATAACATCGTTTCCGTGTCGAGGCAGATGATCGACAAAGAAGCCACGATGCCCAAAAAGGATACGGCGGCCAATGGCCAATCGAATGGGGAGGATCATATGGACGTCGAGGACGAGGAATTGTAAATGTTGCATTCTCGAGAGAACAAAACAAATTTAATTACAAATCTGAGGTCTCGATCCTCAGCAGTGTATCATAGGCGTTGGAAGGCCTAGAGGGCCCGGTCTAGGGAGCCCCGATAATGAACGGCTCGTTTCACGGCTCGGTCTTGCATATGTGCTAGCGAGGTATCATGAACAAGGGAATATTTCCGCCCCATGCTAATACCATCTTAGTTTGTTTTCCGCTGCGAAGAGTTTCGACTTCCGTATGGCTACGTAGTGTTGACTTTGTCTTTTAGGGTTATACGTCTACACATTGTCTACGTCTTGTCCTTGTCCTTGTTAAGCATTAAGCATTAAGCATTAAGCATTGTTACGAATAATAACAATGTTCCTACTCCAAAGGTTCATTCTTCAACGTTAGGATTGTTCTTCCTCAAATGAGCCAGTCCGTCTTTGAAGACCGGGTTATGGAAAGCGGCATTAGTGGATTTACAAAGACGTCGCCTATGATCAAAGACATTGTTGAGAAGTTATATATAAACTAGCCCGCGCCCTCCAATTCCGTATGCGTGTAATTTCTAGTCGTCGAATAAAAGCACTAATCAGTCGTCTCGTTTCTCCCTACGTTAGCATAGCGTATGTATCTGGTTTACTGACAACTAACTACGACGGCGATCGAAACTATAACTACTTCCCGCAGTGAGTACCTAACCTAATCCCACGCCAGTCGAGTGAGAGCCATGCCTTCTAATACGGATAGATTTTCCTTGGACCTGATCCGCTGCTGTATGCCTTGCCTACTACGGCCGGAGATGTCTCGTCCAACCACTCCGACGGACCCCACGTACCTTCGCAACCGGTACAATGCCCAGGTAAGAGAGAACTTAAACTTAGACCATGGTCAGCGCCCGCTTCCGCTTCACCTCCCAGCTACACTCGAGAACGAACAAACCAACATCCCGCTCCAGTCCACCCACCCCGCCCCCGCTCCAACACAACCACAGCTCCCCCGCCCTCCTCTCCCAACACACGCACGCCCTCGTCCCGGCTTACTACGCCAACGCTTCCCCACCACCGCCAACGGCGAGGACCCCCGCGCGAGCTGGAGCACGTCTCCCCTCGACGCGGCGGAGCTAGCGCAGGTCTTCAGCACCATCGCCGCGGCGCTCGAACACGTGCCGTACGCGATCTGCGGGCTGGGCGCGCTCGCGGACCACGGGTTTGCGGCGCGCCGCGTCGCGCGCGTGAGTATCCTGTGCTCGGCGCACGCCAAGGATAACGTGCGCGCGTGGCTCGCGGCTAGCGGGTACGATGTGTTTGCGGACTCGGTGGGGGTGCCGGTTAAAGGTAATGGGAACAGGGGAGGGGGTGCGGGGAGGAAGGTGTGTCGCGTGCGCATCAAGTACCTCGACGAGGGGTTCGAGAGGCTTGAGAAGGTGCGGTCTAGGGTGAGCGGTGCGTGGGTGCTGGGGTTGGCTAGTCAGTTGGATCATGCGGCGGCGGGGTATGTGGATTATCTGAGGAGGAGGGAGAGCAGGAGGAGGGAGGAGGGGAAGGGGAAGGAGAAGGAGAAGGAAGATGATGGGAGTAGTGATGATAATAATGATGATGGTGATGATGATGATGATGCGAGGAAGGAGGATCTGGCGCTGGAGACGATTGCTGGTGATATCTTTTGGATGTTAGATAAGGCGGCGCGTACGAATCATGTTTTGGATCCGAGATTACTATCTACGTTACTTGGCCAGGATTTTTGGATCCCGTTTACAGATCGCTATGTCAATGCCAGGCCTGAGATGGCGCGCGCAGGCATCGACGTAGCGGCTGTGCTGGCGACCCATCGCGCGGAGCAGGCTGTTAAGGAACACGACGACATGCTACGGTCCTACGGCGTAGATCCCCAATTCGAATTGGTAGGTATTACCGAAGACGGCGTAGTAACGCAACAACCGCGTGTGTTCGAAGGTATGCACACCCTACAGGGCAACGCCCAGCCTACCTCTCTTCCGGAGAAGAAGAAAAAGCAGGTTAAGTTCCTAGACGGACTACGGCGAAGCTCGAGTAAGTCCAACGGCGAGGGCTCGTCGATAAAGGAAAGTATTTCCCGCAGGATCGGCTTGGCGCGCAGACATACTTCGAAGTCTACGTCGGGTGATGTACCAGAAGACGCGTTGCGGCCGAAGAGACTTAGCGAGATCGCGAGGTCCTTTTCGACGAGTGGGATATGAATGGGTGAGTAAAGTACCGATGTATGTACTGCATACACCGTTGAATTGGGTTTCCTTCGTGGACTACGTGTTAGTCGGGTAGGTGAGTAAGAAAATGTACCTCTAGTAAGGTATACAAGAGGTATCGTACTTGGGCTCTGAGCTTTGATTTCTCCGTTGCGTACGCCTAGGTTAGGCAGTTTATTTGGATAGGAATAATATTGGATTCTCAACTTTCTCTATCTTTAGTTCATGAAGAACTAATCTCTAGTAGATCGTGCGTGATGATGTTCGAATTGAACCATCATGGCAAAGGGGGAAGAATACGCATCAGGCGAGTGACTGTATACGTCCCCCGGGATATAAGTCCGCATATATCAAGCTCTAGATTCCAGTCCTATATACTCTTCAACCAAGACCCCGTTGGATGACTTGAAGAGAGTCCTCGGAGAGGTTTTCTAGCCCCTCTCGGTGCTACATCCAGAAAGTTTTTGGTTTGGGGTCTTGAGGATGCTCCGGGCTTGGAATGAATATGATTCCTAGGTCGAACCATTCGGTTACTAGGGTATAGTCATGCTCCGAACGCCGAGGAAGAAGAAAATATCGAAGAGAAAACAGAACCTCGCTTAGAAGTGACTTTTACCACTTAACCACACAATCCATGCTGGCTTCCGGGTTGCTGAAATAAATAACCTAAACTTTGGTTATTCCACGTCGAGCCATATAGCATGCAGGTACAACGTAACATAGCGTTGACTACCTTTGTACCTATGTCCGGAACCCCAGAAAAGGACATGAAAAGAGGGGTAGCGTATGGCAGCATATGGCAGTTATGTACGAGCGATCATGCCGAAAACTTAGCTGATTCTCCTGTAGCCACACGTCAAGTTACATTAAGCAACCTTATTTGACGGAAAGCCTTGGAAAGCATCGCTCCGACCCCTTTCCAGATAGTCAACGAGACCTAGAGGGAAGTTGATGCCGACGGTTTCCGTTCTCACATGGGGGCTCACGACATCAAGTATGGAGAAAAGATACGGTTAGCCTAATAACATTACTGAAACATGCAACAGGCATGCATATACAAACCGGCTAGCTTAGCTAGTCTCAAAACAAGAAAGACTAAATATTTGATAGGAGGGGATGGATGATACTCACATGTCCTTAGGGCGGGACGAGTTCTGTGTCTTTGATTACCTACCTAGGTAATACGCCGAGGATTTTTGTTTGCCATTTCTGTTCTTAATTTTCCTCTATCGGGTCCACGGCTAGACTACGTCAGTGATAGAAAGAAACTCCCAATGGATAGGAGTAGAGAATCGTAGTAAATAAAATCACATACCTACCTCAAATATACCTCCCAGATATTTAGTAGTTGACTCCACAGGATGGATACAAAACCACTAATTGAGAGACAACCTTGAGCATCATCTACCTCATATTAGCTCGCACTATATTCTTTTACCCCCCACTTCTTCTCATTTTATATACGTATCTAGGTCGGACTGCCCCTTTGAAGGCGTCTTTTCCAGAACTTTATGTTGCGTGGAGACGCATCTTCACCTTTGAAGATGGTGACTATGTCGCAACCCTTACACGCGTTGCGGCTCAGCGCTTCGAGGTTCGTCTGGCATACGACTTCAGTCCAACCCTAGATCCTGGTCTTCGACTATTCTGTCCCGCTCGAGATGCTACAGCGCTTATATTTGTGCCTAACTTTAGATATCATAGTAAGAGCCGCTAAGCAGCTGTCTCCGGAAGTCAATTGCTGTCTAAAGCGAAGATGCTTTCCGGCACGGTCTTGATTCGGGATGTCGGATACAGGCCAAGGCACGCCGATCCCTTCAATGCTGTGAAGTGAATATATATACGGCGATTTGGATATAATGGCAGATGAAATGTTCGGGGAAACTGAGCAAGACATGTTCGAATATATATTCCGGATCCCAGGATATCTTCGGGGTTTTGTTCCTCAAGAGTCGCCCCGTCCTTACCTTACACGCATCTCAGGATCAGCCACCGGAAGTTTCCACCAGCCCACCATGGGAATTTGCCCAGAAGAAGAGTCGATTTACTATCGATTCGAGGCCGCATTCTCTCGCGACTCGTATGGTACCTTATTGTATTGCACGGGTCCGCAAGAAGCCCGAATCAGGCGACACTGGCATATCATACGCGCCGACCTTCGTACTTGGAATGACGCAGTTAGCGTAGAAAAGACACCCTATTATTGCGCTGAGCTGGATGACGACTTACGGGGCTTGCAATTGTATGAGCTATATCAAACTTCGAATGGGTCTTTTACCGGAATCATCATTGATAAAATAGTGAACCCTACGGATGCTAAGAGAGAGTTTGAAGTCTTCTTCAATCGTTTGCTCCTTCGCCAGGCCGATTTTGCCATTACCGATCAGGCTGGTCCGGGCCCTATTAATATTTATACCGAGTTGGTTACGGTGAAAATTGTGTCCCTGTTTGACACATACCTTCGATATCACGTTAAAGATGATAAGTGGTGTATCTCCGGACGAGTTTACTTTGCGGAGCGCGTTCGCCATTTTACTTCCCAGGGTCGGAAACTCGAATTTTGTCTGCCTGGCTTCCCCTGTAAATCGACCAACACAGATAAGGTCACGGGTAAAGACCCAGATCATGGCGAGCAGCTGGCCTTAGAACATCTTCACGACTTTATCGGAGCTATCGAGACAATCTATAGCGCAGGTGCGAAGCTCTGGATAATTAGCGACGGACATGTTTTCAGCGACTGCAGTATGTGTCATCTTTGCCCCTGGCTCTAGTAAGTTGTACTGATCGTGCACAGTTGGTGTCGATGATAAAGATGTGGACGCATATAGTCAGAAGTTGATTAAGATGAATCGAGAAATCGGTTTTAAAAAGGGTAATATAGATAGAGTAGGTTTCAAATCTCTTATCGACCTCTTCGAGATGGGGAAATACAATAGCCCGTCAAAGCTTGCGAAGATTTCCAACTTCGATATTCCGCCCATCAATCACTATGTCCAGACGCAAATAACCGTGGAAGCCGAACTTTGCCGACGTCTCTTAATGGCTGGATGCCAAGCGCAGAAGGACGCGCTCCGAATTAAGATTGAGTCTCGAGAGGCCGGGGTCCTAGCATTAGATCGTGGTTTTTCGCGGTTCATGCTTGAGGATCTGGAGCTCCATCCATTTACGCGAACAATGAGCCGCTCAAAGCAGAAGAAGCTTTCGTCCAAAGTAGCATTTGAGATAATGACGGTAAAGCCCTTTTCCCTATCCAAACGCTATCCTCGAGTTGTGTACAGTAGCAAAAACCAACTAACGGCAACAATTATAGAGAAACCAAGCATACTCAAATCTTGTGGAACTACTTTTCCCCAACCACATTCGGTTGTCGATCCACGCGTAAGTTACCCAGGCCTAACCTGAGACATTGTCGCACCCGTCTTGATGGGACGAAGCTGACGATACGTACCCCTTAGACACAACAATACTGGACCCAAGTTCGGTGTCCAGCTTTTTGACCCAAAATTGGTCAGAGTAGTTGAATCACTCTCGCCGGACAGCGACTCCATGACTTCCCCTGACCTATTGCACATTCCTACTCCTTGGCATAACTGCGTGGTGAAGGTAGCTGGCAGTGAGGTTTTGTATGTGACTAAGGCTAAGGTAGTACGGGAATCCCTCGCCTCTGGGGAAATGACAGGAGAGTTAGCCGCACAAGATAATGGAACCGACATCGGCGGCCCAGTATATTTCGATCTGTGTGCTACCGGTCAGGGCGGAGCCGACGGCCGAAAGCGAAAGGCGTCGAAGGGGGAAAAGAAGCCCAGAGGAGGTTGCACATCGTAAGTGACAAAAGTTACTTTTCCTAAGGAGGTATCGAAGAAGACTAACCTAACTCTCAAGACCACATAATTCAACATCTCATGAGTGCGATAGCGATTACGTCTTCGTGTAAGTCTGTGCCAAGACACTGCGGACACCATCGTACATGTTCTAGGCAGTATAGATAATTGTATAGTGTACCTGATAATTGGTATCAAATTGTAAAAGACCAATTAAAGTGCTTCAGCAGCCGAGCAGGATTTGACCTAACTTAACGATAAGAAAGACAAACGAAGCGACAAGCGAACATGTACAATATTTGCTCTCTTGTGCGACCAGTTATTGATTTATTGATAGGTTAGGTAGGTGCCCAATAGGCGCGTAAGCAGAACGCCGCAAAGGTTGTAGTTGCCTACCTCCTTATACTGTACAACATCGTAAGGTGGCAGGTGGGCCTTACCCTTACGGCCATAATTTGCTCAAATATGCTCTCAGCCCAAGAATAGGTACCTATAGCAGCTATTTTGTGTGCCAAGGTACTAGCAGTTTAGAACTACTGATTTTCAGGATCGAATTATTATAGCTCATACGGTGGCACAACAAGGGTGATTACATATAAATTCCTTCAACAGTCAGTGTATCAGATTAGGACATCGAAAGCTATGGTAACCATAAATAATTAAGGTTAGACCCGACGGCTCTCCTGTCAACTCTCTTCCCGTTGTTACTGCCGGGCCGCCCTTGACTCAAGCTTTTTCTGCCAGCAGGTCTTTGCTTTTTTTTTCTCCTTTTTTTTCTACCCTTACGTGCAATTACAAACAGGTAGCAACTTTTATGCTTGCTCGAGTTATATCTACGCAGTCCTTAGACTCTAAGTAGAAGTCTCAACTCGTCCGATTAACATCTACCTATTTGTATTGAATTCTAACCTGTGGCGCAATTCCCACACTCTAGCCAAGATGGATATGGGATCAATGACGACTTCTAGCACGATGAATATGGCAACCCCGACTATGGCTGCTGCTACATCATCGTCGAGTACTGCCACGATGGATATGGATATGGGCATGGGGGGAGGCTGTAAGATCAACGTAAGTGATTTTTTATCTATATAATTCACTATTTAGACTTTAAACGGCAAGGTCTAACTAATATGATAAGATGCTCTGGAACTGGTACACAGTCGATGCCTGCTTCATTTCTTCCTCTTGGCACATTACATCAAAGGGGATGTTTGCAGGCTCTTGCATTGGTGTCATCCTGCTTGGTATCTTACTCGAGTTCCTACGCCGTTCGGTTAAAGAATATGATAACTACCTTGTCCGCAAGAGTGCTAGTCATGGCCTCGTTGTTCCTGTTGTTAGCAATGATAGCAACGAGGATGGTCGCACTTCACCCAAGCCCAGCCAGACACCTACTGGAGTGGCACCCTTGATCAATCCCACAGCGGGGAATGGTTATAGACCTACACTGATTGAGCAGGCTATCCGTGCCTTCATTCACACTGCTCAGTTTGTCGTGGCTTACTTCCTCATGCTGTAGGTATTCTAATTTCATTCTCTGTATTACCTATCAGAAAACATTAGAAGGGATTAGCATGGCTAACTGTATTCTACCAGGCTCGCCATGTATTACAATGGTTACATCATCATCTGCATCTTCATTGGTGCTTACATTGGCAGCTTCATCTTCCAGTGGGAGAAGCTTGGCGGGTAAGTGTTTTAATAAACCCCATGAGTACTATGCCTTCTTTCGGCTCTAACCGTTATATTAGTGGACAGCAAACAAGCGCTGCAAATGAAGCTACTGTATGCTGCGGTTAGGACATGAATTAACAAGACAAATTCCGAATGGGGGGGCTAGATTGATTTCATAAGGGTTAGGTGAATCAAGCCAAATAGGAGAATTTGTTTTGAATGATCACACGATATACCACTTTGCATTACACTGACGGCTAGGATAGAATAATTTAATCCCAAGACTGTAGAATGAAAATTTGCAACTGTGCTCCTTCTTGGAAGATTAGTCGACGCGAGGCTATATTTCAATTCGCGCCATCCGTGATACTTCAAGGAATTAGGCCTCCTAACTATGAACTCCATGTAATGAGAAAATGTTCGATCATACTGAGCTAATCACTAATGTTTTTGAACTTGACCTTCAATTTAATATATTAGCGTTTATATAGTGGTTGAGAAGTTGGACAGGATTACTACGTTCAACCAGAAATATTGGTTGTCTACTTTGATACACTGATACTTATGCACCCGAATGGCTTGTATTTGCATTTCAGGGTGTCCCGATGAGAGAATACCTACCAATTGTCCCGCTCTCCTCCTAATCAACTCGTCCTCGCTCCCATTATCGTAGGTCCTGCTCATTCTGTGGGTTGGACGCGTAGCCATCATACCTATTGAAAGCAGGTTTAACAAAAAAGGGGAATATTTGCTCACTAGCGGCGTGCTTAATAAGGAGGTGTACCTATGTACCTAATATCGGCTTGGGTTTTCTTATGGTCCGAGCTTGCCTTTCATGATATCACGTGATAGATGGAGACTAGCCTCACTTTTCCTTCTAACAACTTGAAACTTTGGAATGAACAAACTCCATTTTTCTTCAGCTAATCAAAAACACTTTCTCATATCGTATTTGCCTCCGAACAATTATTTTCTGTATATCATTGCTTTCTAACCTTCAAAATGGCTGCTGCTAAAGACAGCTTTCTTGATCTGGAAAGGCATCGGCAGAAGCTAGAGGAAAATGTCACGAGGCTTTCTAATGCGCTTGACCACTGGAAACAGTGGAAGAAAGAATACGAAGCGCTGCGAGCCGATGTAAAGTCGTTACCGTCAGCAGCTAGTCGGAAGGAGCTGAAAAGCATCCGGGGAAAGTTCAAGGGCGAGTTATTGAATGAGAAAGAGCTCGTTGACATCTTCGGGCGTGACGACTCGAAGAAGGTCGAGCAGATCATTAGTACGCTCACTAATCGGTTGGATTATGTCTCTAAGAATATCGACACGCTTGGCAAGCAGCATGAAGAGGCAGAAAATAGACTTGCTGCCGTCACAATTGTCGCAAACCCAGACGCAACTGATGAAGATGGACTACCAATTACCGAGATATTAGAGGAGCTGGACGATGACGACAATATTGTGTCATATAGCCTACGCACCGCAGGAGATAGTCAACCCCAAATTCTCGAAGCTCTTCGGAAGGCTGGAATTTCTGATTTTTCACCTACTGATCCTACCCCACTGCCCGAGGCCTCACAAAAGACGCAGGATGATCAGTCAACAACCTCGAATGGCGAATCGAGTACGTCAAACCAGCAATCCAAGGAACCCCAGGTGAATGATTCGCCAAAGGATGCTCCAGATGCGCTAAATGGTTCGCAGGTGAAGGAGAAAGCGAAAGTAAAATCAGCATCTAGGAAGAAGAGCGTGGCATTTAGCGAAGACACAAAATTTGGAGAAGAGCTGGAGCAGTCGGAAACTGCCAAGAGACTGGAAGAGATCCTGCAAAAAGCTAAGGATCAGCAGAGCATAATATCAGACCCCATCCTCCCTGCCGACGAATCTATGGAGGATGCCGCACTGAGAGAAGATATGATTCGTTATAACAAAGAGACGATGGAGTTTGAGATGGCTCCCATTGTTGCTGAGCTGCAACTAGAAGAAGGGTCCACGGGCGACGATACAGATAACTATAGTGACTATGAAGAAGAAGAAGATGACGATGAAGATGAGTGGGGTAAGACCAAGCTCGCTGTTGACGATGACTGGAAACGGCGGATGCTGGAACTTAAGGAGCGGCTGAGCGACTATTCCTTTAGCAAGAACCAGGCAGCAGATGACGAGGAAGGTATGGTAGAAGAAGGTATTGGCCGCATAAGCATCAAACGTCGGAACCAAGATGCTTTGGACGGTGATGTCGAAAGTCAACCAATCGTTCCACCCAAAGTCGAAGATCAGTCATCAGAACAAGACAACAAAAAAAGCGTTAGATTTGCCCAGAGCCTTGATATAGCCGAAGCGCCAGTGCCAGCTCCGGAGCGCGTGTCCCAAGCACAATCTAAGCAGCACGAGGTGGACCCATTATCCGAAGTTGTCATGGAGCGCAGCAGTAGCAGCAGCAGCAGCAGGACAACGCAATCGGCAGCAGCACCAAGCAAGAAAGTATCCCGATTCCGGAAGGCGAGAAATAATGGGACCCATATAAATGCAACTCCGGTTGCTCTGGGCGGTACCCCTATCATGCCAGACACTCCCGACGTGGTTGGACCTACCCCCTCAGGACCAGAAAATCAGACCCTGGCGACTTCTGTCTTGGAGCATGAGCCATCTTCGGAAGTGAGGGAGCCGGACGAATTCGACGCTAATATGCTACAAAAGCAGGCTACCGAAGAATACTACAAGATGCGCAACAAGCTCATCTATCAACAGGGCGGGTTCATGAAGGAAGATGAAAGTCCTATCCAGCCACTTGATGAAGAGCAGGGCGGACCAAAGCGGATGAGTCGCTTTAAGGCGGCGAGGCTGGCTAAATCTTAACGAGGACCGAAAAAGACTTTACGTAAACTCGACCTAAGTAATATGCCTGGGTTTCGGCTCGTTCTGCGAATGCGGGTTACATTTGACCTGCAAAGAGACTTTCGTTGTTACAGATGTTTACCACATCAGATAAGTCTCGCAGGAGATCGATTACCTTGGCAATTGGCATGTAGACGACACGCACTTGGTCAGTAGGTAGCATCAATGCATCACCATGTTACGGCCAATGTGTCCTAAGACTCACAGCGAGTATAAGAAATCAACAAGAGGCTGTCGACAAGAGGTAGGTTCATACCATGTGCCTAACGTAAGTGGTTTTTGATATTTCTGTTTTCTATTTTTCTTAAACCGCGGACAGCCGCGACGGAACGCTTATTAATCTGACAATTGATGCGTAGCGGCTATCATCTGCTATGTCATTACTAGCGATTCCAAGATCGAACTAGAACAGGGCTCTCTGACGCCATTACCCGTGGTCTTGTTTTGCCTCTTCTGTGGTTTTGGCGATTCGTTTCACCCAGTACATTACATTGCTCTCATAACACTTGCTTCGTGTATATACAGACGTAATTAATAAAATGCACTTTTATTCCAAAGCCTTTCCGTGCTCTTGACGCTTCGTGTGACCTTATAACCATGTGCAGCAAGGAAGTCCTCGCTGTATTTCCCAACTGCGCTCTGCCATAACTTGGTAACAGGGAGTAAATATCTTTCTTAATTTACCTTGGCGTTGCTAAAGTCGAGCTCGGGATGCTGGGCCTGGAACTTCTTAAGGATGTCGGCCTTCTTCTGCTCGTCGGAGGAAGGCAGGCCCATCTCCTTCTGGCGCTGGTCGTACATCATCTTCTCGACCATGCCGCGGGTCTCGCCGTCGAGGTCACTCAGCTTGGAGTTATCGGGCTGGATCTTGGTCACGTCGATCTTGGGCGCCGTGGTCACGACGTGCGCCCACCATTCCATCTTGTTCGCCTTGTCGAGGTGCACCTCGATCGTCTTGGTCCCGTCCGGCGACGACGTGAGCGTCCACGTCGATTCTTCGGTTAGGATTGTGTGCGGGAGGTCGCCCTGGGGAGGGGAGGGGTGGGGTTAGTACGGGTATAATAAGTGAGTGTATGTATTGTGGTTTGTAGCCTTGGTAGGTAGAGGTAGGTATGTATGTATATACGCACATCGATGATGAGGTCTTGGCCCTTGATGCCGACCTTGAGCGTTTGCTTCTTCAGCTCAACAACTAGATCTCGGGCCTTGAGGTTTCCGGGAACGGTGATGCTGATATCGAGGTCGGCGATGGTTTGGTTCCATTTGTAGGGCAGGGCTGCTTGTTCCTCGGCTTCCTTGGCGCGGGCAGCGGCTTCTTGCTCGGGAGTGGGATCTATAATGTAGGATAGAGTGTTAGTTATTTATTTGTAGCCGATAGTGCTGTTTTGCGTCTAAGGCATGCGCGTACCGTTGTCTGCCATTGTTTATTATAATTTCGCAATGTTGTTTGTCTGGCGTTTGTCTGGCGTTTGCGTAGTTGTAAGCTGAAGCTCAGGAAGAGAATCAGTCGGAAGGCTAGCGAAGACGTAGAAGCTAAGGTCCATAATTGAAAGCTTCGATGGAGGGGCAATTGTTTAACCTGGCAGCCCTGGGTTATGTAGTGGGGCATATACCCCTGCTGCTTCTATAGGAACTCTAGACCAATGGAAAACAAGCAAGTAAATTTAGCTTCCTGCAGCCCGTACGGATTACACATGTGTACATTACCTAACGTAATGTCTTTTATTAATGTCGTAAAGTGAAGGTGAAATCAAACTTGAGAACTTCTTTTATGTAGGTAAGTTGCATTCATTCTTTCTTCTACCACAACACACGACACGTCCTACCGCCGTCTTGGTGATTATCCCTTACAGGAAATATTAGACAACACTTTACCGTAATTAATTACAAACCTACCCCTCATAAGACCAAATTCGACCCAAATGAATGACCACCATTCAACCAGGCTTTCTCTTACCCATCCACCGCTCTAGCCGTCCTTCTTACTCGTATTTAACCTACCTCGCAGGACGAGATACTTAACGTCGAATACTAGGTACATTAGCAGTCCTGCATACAATAGAAGCTCCGTATACACTCGCAAAAAAAGCAATCATGTCTCGACAGCACATATCCACCGCCACCGCGCTTCCCATACAATCGCTCGACCATATCCCAGATCAAAAATGCCCGGTGTGCAGTCGCATACGGTATCTGAATACAGAAATGGAATTCTTAATTAACCCAGAGTGTTATCACCCAATGTGCATTAACTGCGTCAATAATATCTTCGGCAAAGGGCCCGCGCAATGCCCCGTGGCCACCTGCACCAAGACCTTACGCCAGCGCGGCTTCCGCTCGGCATTTTTTAAGGACCTTAAGATCGAACGTGAAGTTGATCTGCGCCGTCGCGTCCAGGCTGTTTTCAATATGACCCAGGACGACTTCGTCTCGCTCCGCGATTACAACGATTACCTACAACAGGTCGAGGACCTAACTTTCGACTTGGTTAATGGAGACGAGACAGAGAAGCAGAATGCAGAGCAGAAGCTGCTCGCGTACGAGCAGAAACACAAGGATGAAATCGAGAAGAACAAGAAGAAAGGCCGCGAAGCAGATTCCCAGCGCAAACAGCGCGAAGCCGCCGAAGCGGAAGCGGCGCGCCAACGCAGGCTCGAAGACCAGCGGGAAGAAGAGCGCGCCCGTGCCGAAGAAGCCTCCATAAACACCGAAGTCATGGAAGCCCTCGAACGAGGCGAACCCGGCACCGCCAAAGAAATCCAAGCGCGTATCATCGCGCAGAAGCGCGCGCGCGTCGCCGAGATCGCAGGCTCCAACTTCCCCAGCCTGCTCAACGCATCCGACACACCCGCCTCCAAATCCACCGACACGCTCCTCTCGATCCGGGGTCTCAAAGATAAATCCAAGCGCGACGAGGACGCGGATTACTACCTGCGGCCGTACGACGCGTTTGCGGGCCTGGATCTCAACCCCACGCGGTACGAGCTGCGCGAGCGCTACGATAACCCATGGCTCGAGGACGCGCGCAGCCGCGACGACCACCGCGTCCCCGGATATAGCACGCACGAATACGAGGCGCGCGCCATGTTCGATGCGTTTGCGGGGTTGGGCGTGTTTGTAGCGGAGGAGAAGGCGGATGCGCAGAAGGCGGTTGGGACGGTGGGTGCGGAGGAGGCGGCGAGGACGGGGAGGACGACAGGGGTGAAGGTTGAGGAGGATGTTTTTGCTTAGACGGGTGGGTGGCGGGGGGGTTAGTTGAGAGGGTATAAAAAACAGCAATACCTAGAAGATATTACGTTTGCCCTCCCAACCCAATCTACCTATGTAATTGATCCAATCTGATTACGATTAGGTACTTAGGAATATTTAAGAAATTTCAATGTTCAATGATGGTCCGTGCATAGTATTTCCGCGGCCAAATGGTGTTTTTGGCCGCGGAAATAATCCGTACCAATTTATACCAATCTAATAGGGCGAAGGCGAGGGCTAGAGCTAATTTTTCAAAAAAGAAAAAAGTCACGATTGGCCTGTGCGCAACATAAGTTAGGATTCGAAATTCTATAGCCCCATTAGTATTAACGCGCTTTAAAGTAATATTCGCTTTAACTACTAGTAAATATGTATATGCATTATAACTGTTCCGAATGTTTCGGGCGTTAACATTCGTTATAGCATTGGCCGTAATACACGGTAAGGCTTAAGATATAACATTAAGTGTTAGTATTGTTGTTGCATTCAATCTATGAAGATTCAATTCAATGTTAGCATTGTTGTTGCGCGGGGTGGACGAAGATTGAGTATTAGCTATGTAGTACACTTGAAGGGCAATTTCTACATGTAGAAAGAAGATGCGCGGTGGCCTACCTACCTATGCTGCGGTGGTGGTTAGCCACGGTATTAGTTGCAGCATTTTGGTGATGTGTTATCCCGCGTTTCTATGTAGGTAAATAATAAAGTTGGAGAGTTAGGGCAAGTATATTGTTAGCTTTAAGTTGTAAGTATTTTAAATGTTGCCAAAAGATAGTAAGTCATTGTAAACAATCTTTCAAGAAACCTAACCTAGACACTTTTTGCAAAATTCCATCAACACCACGCCGTGACGTACCGATGTAATAACACGCGCCATGCGTCTCATGGCGCAAGTGGGCGCAACTTGCTTGTTTAACGAATCCAAGCATAAAGCAATGAGATAAGTATCAGATATTATACGCTTGGTAAACGTTATACATAAGGTGGATGTCAAGATAGATGGAATCGAACTACTGATGCCTGTCTTCTCTTTTCTTATGTAAGAGGGTGTTACGCGCCTTTTTGTATGGTGTACTTCGTATCTACCCCCGAATCTACCCCCGAATCTAACCTACATACCTAACCCACATATACCCTGACATTATGTATTAGGTATATACATGTATTACCTTATGTGCATACCTCTTCGTAGAGAGCTACCCCGCGGCTGCCCCGCTAACATCCAATACCCCTTAAGCCAACTTTACGATTCTACTGGCTTTACATCAAAGCTCTTTTTATACATGGCGGTACACTCCACGGAGCCGGTGTAAGATACATACAAACGTATCCGACATCGAAAATGGTTTTTGACGCCGGGGGTGTTTACCCGTTCGAAATGAAAGATCTGATATTTCTCGGATTTGATCAGGATGGGTTTAAGAGCCTTATATCGTCCCATAAAGGCATTACAAGCGACCGAAACAAGCTTCTTACGTCGTTGGAAGGAGCTCGTATGTAAAAGGGTGCATTCCGTGCTGAATGGAAATTCGCACCAGCAGGCGCCATGTCGATACCCGTGGCGTTTCGAGTTTCGGGCCCATTCGAAGTTCTTATCCAAGGTACAAGAGGCCGAAGAAGCGTGGACGACATTTTTGGATCGAGATGTCAACGTTTTAGATATGTCATCATCAGGACTGGTCAATAGCATGGAAGGGATCCCTCAATATGCCTTTTTCACAATCAAGTCTACGAAATACTTTCAGTTCTATGGACAAAGGTATATATGGATGGAAGACACTAGGAATAAATAGGTGCACCTTGTAAAAGTATAGAAGATGCCTGATCATCATACCGCTAGGTATACCAAAAGTAGATTGTCAAGATTTTGGGCGAGATATTTAGAATAAAGGACATACCTGGTGTTTATAGCCATAGGCTTCCATAGTTTGAATGGAATTCCTCGTGGAACAACAAAGCTGGTTGCATGCTATTCGATTCCACCTTGTGACGTGGGTCATTAACAATTCGAAAGACTTCTAATGCTATCCTAACCTATAAGGACTGTACTGTGACATATCCAATAAGTGTCTTCCATCTTGAAGAATGAAGTATATATTTTCTCATGACACCTTTGTATGTTACGCTACGCTAATGACTTGTTTTCGCAATTTCATTTTATACACTATATTACCCATTGCCACGGTCAAGAGTTACGTAGTCGTCTGGCTCTGCCAGACACCTACATGACTTAGTACCTAAGTCAGGTATCTCAAATGTGTGTATATATTCAGGCCTTGCAGCAAGCTACAAAGCCCTTGATGTTCTTGTTCTTTAGAACATCATCTTCTTCCTTATTAACATTTTTGTCTCGTGACACCCACGAAACGGCTGCGGATCGACGTAAAGTGAGTTGTAATCATTTAACATGTAAGTTTAGGCGGGTTAAATATAATAAACCCGACGAAAATAAGCAGCGCAGTAGTTATCAACGTAACGGCAAAGTTTCCTTTAAAACAAACACGGTTTGTTATTAACCTCTTTTAAATACTGCGTATTAATAATACTTAATATAATACTTAGTATTAATAATCCGTCGGTTTAAAATTAAATAATTAAAATTAAGGATTGGTATTAGTATTAGTAGTAGTAGGGTTAGGGTTAGTGTTAGTGTTAGGGTTAGGGCTAGCAGGGGTATTAGCAGGGGTATAAGTACATAAGAGGTTTAAAAGATTAACGGTACTTGTGCTGGCTACGTATACTCGCCTGTCCTTTAAGGTGCGACGGGTGAGTATACGTAGCTAGCACAAGTAAGCGTTACGTATGTCCTCAAGTGCGAGGGAGACACGGTGGGTACCTTATACTAGGGTATGTTCAATCAGAATTCATAATAGCTGTTTTGGATCAATCAAGTTACTCGGATTTTAGGGGGTTGACCTGCCGTGTCTCCCTCGCACTTGAGGATATACTGTTTAACAATTATAGCGTTTAACTACATCCTTATACACATGCTAAAACCTAGCATAAAAGTGGGGAAACGTGGAATCCAAATATAGGCTTCATTTTGTTATGTAATAATGCTACTGAAGCGTGACATTTTTCCAAAGGGGAGATTTTGATACATATACTACGTTGCGGTATTATTGAAATTTGATTATATACCTAACTATATCTTCGCCATCCGCGACTACATACTAATATCTATCTTTCGTCTGCTAATTCGAATTGCGAGGTTTGACTAGGTAAAAGTATCTTCAAGTGCTGGACGTTCTTTCACGAGAACCGGCAGCGCAGCGGTATGCTAGCTATTACGCAATAACCTATTATTAAACGTAATTGAAGTCAACAAGACATGAATAATACAGGCGCATGAAGTAACGTCGAGTCCGCCAATGCTTGCTTGCTCGCAGTTCCACTTAACCGACCAACCCTTGGGAGAGTGATGGTGATAGTATTTCCCATCGAGGCAACGCCTGATTTTGCTTCTTTTCTTTTACAGGAACCCTCCCATGGATATCCGATGAAGCCTGTTGACTTTCTTGCACGCCTCTGCTAGCTTCATCTGGTAAAGTTCTTTCTCTCTTTCCTCCAGTCTTGTCCTACGCTAAAGGGGAAATTATGAAATCCTAGAATAACGCCTTGCTCTATGCGTCCAGTGATAAGTTAGAGAACGTCCCGAGACGCGATTTCGCCATCGTCTTCTTTCTCTCCTAGCTGGCAAACTCTCTCCTACATACATCACGCTAGTCGTCTTCCTACTGCTGCCAAGGCGTCTGGGTAGTAGGTCGAGGGAACACCGGCATAGCCTCGAGCTGATCTAGACCCCCGCCTATGGGCTGTTGTCCGTGTTGCCAGCCCATTCCGGTCTGGTGGTTCACAAAAGCTCCTTGCCGGAACGGGTTCGTACTTCCTGTAGGCTGCGGCATAAGACCGGCGCTCGTCTGAGGCCTTTGCGGCTGAGTCTGAGGCTGGCTCTGAGGTTGGATTTGTGGCTGCCCAAAGTTCCTGGCGAATGGATTGGTGCCCGTGGCTGTTGTTTGAATGGGAGGGGCCTGGGCCTGAACCGGAGGTTGCGACTGGAAAGGAGAGCTGGAGGGAGGATTAGAAAAGGGGGTGGCAGGTTGAGGGGAAGATCTGGCAAAAGGATTCGTATTTTGCCGTGTAAGACCGCCAGCCTGAAGTTGGGGGCTAGTCGGTGCGCCAAAGGAATTATTAGGCGCTCCAGTTGGGTTGGCCATTAACATAGACGCTCTGAAAGGATTAGTTATCTGCTGGCCAGGTTGAAGCCCTGTCTGCATAGGTGGGGATAAAGTCCCAGGCTGGAAAGAAGGCGTAGAATTCTGGGGTATGGGAGGAAGACTGCCTGGCGCGAAGGATTGCGGTGTATACCCGCCGAAACCAGCACCGGTGAAGCTCGGCTGTATCTGGTTTGGCACTTGTTGTTGCTGGGAGAAAGCGCCAACATTCTGTTGTTGGAAAGGGGTATTATTAGCTGGGAAGCCAGTCTGCTGAGGTATAAAACCATTGTCTTGGAGCTGACCGGTTGGTTGTACGGCGAAGGGAGCGTTCGAAGGCCAAGGATTCCCCGTAGACATAGGAAGGTTTGCCTGGGTGATAGGCGGCTGAGGGTTCGACTGTACTGCCATTGTGGTTTGGTTCTGCTCGATCGAGTCGAAGAAATCGATTAAATCCGGATCCGGTCCTTTCGTTGCCTGTGGCGGCTTGGATAAAGTTGCGGATGGTCCATTCGACTTTGCGGTAGCGGCCTTAGAGTCTGCAGTACCTTTATCGGCTTTTGAAGACAGACCAGATCCCCCTTTCTTCTTAGCCTCGAGCTCGGCCAGGTATTGCCTTCGATGAATTTCGAAATCAGGATCCTTCAAATATTCTTCTAGTTGCCGTCGAAGATTGATAGGAGCATGCTTCAGCTTGGGAACCTCGACTCGAGTATGAGGCTCCCATTGTCGCGCTACAGCAAGATATTGTACAACGTAGTCTGTTTGTTTAGTGAAGTTCTGGTAAATTGCCAAAGCCCTCTCTGCATCTGGCTTTGACATTTCAAAAAAGTGCCCTGGTTTCTATTTAGTCTCCTCGACGTATGTCGCTCGTAGATAGCTCGAACCTACCTAAAATGTTGATCATAGCTTGGTTCAACACCTGGAACAGCGCTAATAAGTCCAGCACCAAAAGTCGGAACACAGTAATCGTAATTTCGTTTTCGGGATCCTCAAGAACCTGCCGGAACGTCAGAATGAGTGTCGCTCCTATATTAGGGAACAATCGCATAGCATACATCACACTTCAGCAGAGCAGTAAGCTGATGCTGGACCGCCTCGGTTTCCCGGAGTAGTCCCTTGTCAACCGAGAGCTTCTCAAGTCGCGTTTCTTTAGCTCGGACCCAATCTATTCTCGTATCTCTGTATGCGCGTACGCGTTCTGCGAGGTAGCCGGCATAGTGTCGTATATTTCGCCCCTGAATTTGCGCTACCATATACATCAGAGATATTTCCTCGAGATCATCGGGGCGCATAGGCCGGGGTTATTTGTTAACTCACCATCGGTGAAGGAGCCGATCGCTAGCTGGCCTCGATGCTTCGCAAGATACGCTAATGTGGCATCCGGCGACCCTTCTCTGATCATCAAATGGATTGTTATCAAGCTCTTGAGTACTACGGTCCATGTCGAATCCCGCAATCGGAACTGTAATGCCCGAAAAACTTCTCCCACTCCCGCTTCTCCGGCATGTGTAGCGACAAGGATATGCTCGATATATTTGGTTTTCGGAGGAGCGGCCTACTCAGCGACGTTGTCAGGGGTTAGATTTGCTTGGCTCTACATGCCGGGCGAGGCACAGACTGACCTTGATCTTGGTTGCACCCTTCACGGATTTCTCAAAAGAACTAGACATGATGGCTATGACGGCAAAGACCGAGCGAGGCTGCAGCTATTTAGATGTCTGTTTGTCGGGCGTCTTACTTTTCGGTCAAGTATTAGCCGATTTTATCGATATCGTTACCCACGACGAGTCAGAACGGGAGCGCCGAGAATTAGTCGTAAGAGTATTTTCAGTGTTGGACAGAGGCGACAATCATGATCGGAGGTGCGACGTCGGAATTGATCAGGTTCGTGGCAGAGCAAATTGAGAAGATGGATGGACTAAAGTAGACTCAAGTTTCGTGGACATTGACGGGGGTTGGCTTTGTTACGGCTGTTCCATTTCGGACGGAGAGGGTTGTTGTTCCATACGACTACTAATACATTTAAATATCTAATTTGCGAATGATTGACTCTTGAGTTATTATGTTAATGTCGTTGCTGTTTTGGTCGGAAGTTTCCCGTCCTATAGATTAGAGGTTAGAGTTAGAGGCTTTGGAGAAATGGGAGTTTAGAAAAGAGACCAGCCAGAAACCAGCTGCACGTTTGGGAAACGTCGGTCGGGATATCGGGCTCCTAATCTAATTTTAAGGTTTGGTCCATGTCATCTCTTACCCACTCATATCCATGTATCGATAACTATTTGCATGTACCTATAAGTACCTACCTATGTACCTAGGTAGCCACTGTATTATGTACCTAATATGGTAGCTATATCTAATTCTACGCAACTTGGTCAAGAATACAGCTATATCCATATACAGCTATATCCATACGTTCATCTGCATGTAATACTCTTTAGTTAGTCTGCAACAAATTCCTTTATTCTTTGCGGGGTGCCTATCAAGGCGTTGGTACCTAAGCATACACGGTTTTGTGGAAACACAGAACCAAGTACGTGGACCTTGGGACTTCCAAGGTTCGGATTTAACTCTGGAACGAACCAAATGTCAGTCTACCTGCCCAGCTATGAGGTCATAGGATTCCCAGTAAAAGACAATGCCTGGCTCTAGAGTATTGAGAGATACAATTGGTACTTCTTATATTAATGATCTTGGCAGTTGAGCGGTAAGAGTTGTGAATGTGTACATAGTAGAAGCGTTGTCTACGTTGTGTCTGCCTCCTATTCACATTGATAGATAGTCACATCCTAGGACACATGCTGCTATAACATCAAATTCCGCTAGAACATGAACAAAAATCACCTAGAGCGTTCAAAGGAAACGCAGAGCATATTTTAGTTATATATTATGAATCTGTACAACAAGGCAAGGTATACTAAGACATGCTAACAAATAAGATAAAGTTACATTAAATCAAAGAAAAGGGTAAACAGGGAAATTAGAGCCTTCCAGACTACCAAATAGTAATCAGAGTTGCTTTTTCGCGTCCGATGTAAACAAGGTCGAGGTGTGTCGAACGCTCATTTCATGATTCCAACCTTTCGCGACAACAGAACCACTTAAGCCCCAAAGGGGAGAGTTCTGAAGCTTTGAAAGGAGGAAGACATCATATGGTACACGCAGCTTTCATCATCTGTGATAATAAAGGTTAGTTATTTGTTCAATAGGGCGGGAACACAATGTTTCGTCGAAGAACTCACTTTTATTTGAATTGGAAGGATGAAGAAGAAAGGAAAAGAAAAGTTCAAAATTTTCGGCAGACGCTTTCCTAGAAAATGGAATTTTGCGCCGGGGCGGAGCCGCAATTATCCGCTTAGCTTTCAGACAAGCTAGGAGGTACGAAGGTCCGGGCTAAAAGTCTTGCACATGTGGAGATCCCTAGCACCGTATTCGAACGTCATCCCTTTTTATTGATACTGTATCAGCCGCCTGCTAAGATAAAATTTGGATAGTGGCCCATACGCTGAGTTTAGGTGGCTTACCACTGTATTTATAGCGGCATTAGCCACTATAGCTTGGGTAATACCGTGCGGTCCTTTTTCTACTCACACGTGGTTTGCTAAGACCAGATGTGCAAGACTTTTGGCCCGGACCTTCGTACTCAAGTATCTTAGGTGCATATGAATGGTGGGCTGGTGGGGCTGGTGGGGCTTTCCTTAGGCACAGAATACGTAGGTACATCTAATTTTTATTTTACATTCAACATGTTAACTTCACATACCATTGGAATGGTATGTTATCAGAACCCTTCCTCTCATCAAGACCAAAATAGAAATAGTCGGATGAGGGATCCATGGTTCGAATTCTCTCAAGTTATTTGCGGAGGACTACCCTAAGATGCATTCCAAGCATCAAAGGGCAGTCCCTGCCACGTCAATTCCAACCCATCTTCCAACTGGAGCACACAAGAACCCTTCATGATGAGATATCTAAACCCACCGGCTCTGAATCCACAGCTACCGAATCTACCGAATCTACCGAATCTGAGTCTATAGTATCTAAGCCCACGGAATCTGAGCATGCGGAATCTCAAGATGGCGAAAGTATACCGGTTGATCCTAGTGAAAAATGGGAGGCTTATAATAAAAATTGTAAGATAAAATAGCACAGACTCATTCCGAATAAATTGTCGCTAATACATATAAAAGTTATAAATCTTGGAAATGACGAGAAATACGAGAAAAAATACAAAGCTACGCCTGTTATAGGTTACCGAACTGGCAACGATGTGACCGTTCATGGATTTATTAGCAAACGAAGGGATGTGAGCTCAAACTTGAGCTTCTGCGAGTTAACTAACGCACTCGATCACCATTCTCGGAAAAGAATTCAGATTGTTTCCAGCTGGAACGAGGACGGCTCACAGCAGTTCCTGGCTCACCAAGACCTTATGACCATACCAGCCTACAGTCCAGTTGTTGTGAGCGGAACCCTTCAAGAGCCCCCCAATACCACGAACAATACCACGAACAAACCCGGGTCGCCCCGGAAGTGGGATCTTAAACTTCGATCTATACACTGTCTAAATCCATTTCCAAAGGATATCATCGTCTCCAAGGATGCCGTGTGGCCACCTCACCAACGTCATCTACAGCTGCGTTTCGATCCTCTCCTACATGATAGGTTACTACTACGGAGCAGTCTGCAGGCCACCATCTCAAAATATCTTAAATCTAAAAGCTTTATCCATATAGAGACACCTCTTCTCTTCAAGCCTACTCCAGAAGGCGCCCGGGAATTCCTAGTCCCAACGAGGCGGGAGGGTTATGCGTACGCGCTACCGCAAAGTCCACAGCAGTACAAACAGATACTCATGGCCAGTGGCGTTACGAGATATTATCAATTCGCCAAATGCTTCCGTGACGAGGACCATCGCGCCGATAGGCAACCCGAATTCACTCAACTCGATATAGAGATGGCCTTTGCCGGCGGCGCTGATGTGGTGAAGCTTGTTTCGAATCTCGTGGCTAGGGTGTTTCAATCTCTCAGTGAAAAATGGACACCAACTGAGATCAACGGCATCCGACATCCAGTATACGTCGGTCCTGACAAAACTCTGATGAAAAAAGGGCCAAATAAGGATGAAAACACAAATAAGGATGAAAACAAGAGCAAAGGGGCCAATAAGTATAAAAACAAGAAAAACAAGAGCAAAGGGGAAGACCAAAAATCACCAGAATCACCAGAAGCAGGAGATGGGGTAACTCGCTTTCCTAGAGTTGAATATAGCGACATCGCTTTCATGACATACTCTAAGGCAATGATGCACCATGGTACCGACAAGCCCGATCTGCGCATTAGCGCACCGTATGTGACAAGCGTAGGTCAAACCTCCTAACAGGAATTCCCGTTTATTTACAAAGAGACAGATTCGCGGTACGAAACATCTTGACTTACCTCAAGAATTTATCGAAAAAATTACAAGCTTAGAAGACCCATACGTCGAGATGATCAAGGTTCGCCTAGGTGTGTCGCCTCGTCGCGCCGGAGAGTTCATCCGGAAATTCATGGACTCTCTACCCAACAATAATACAATCAAGCTAAGTCCTGAAAGTACACCGGCTGTACTGGTCTATGACTCTAGCAAGCCGCTCAACGGTCTGTCGGCCCTTGGACATGAATCTGCTAGTAAGCTTGAGGAATTTACGGCATCGAAAGAGAGTCTTTACTATGAATGCAAGGACGGAGACATCATCATCTTCCACGCACGAAAAAACGAGGTGTTCCATGGAAGTTCTACCGACCTAGGCAGGCTTCGAAAGGCGCTATACGATGCTGCTGTACAGCAAGGTTTCATCCCCAAAGACAATTCGTTCAAAGTAGTCTGGGTGACTGAATTCCCCCTTTTTACACCGAACGGGGACAATGCGGATCCAGGCCAAGGCGGCACCGCGGGATTCTCTTCGACTCACCACCCGTTCACGGCCCCGCTTACCGCCAAAGACTTCTTTTCCGCCAAGTCCAACCCTCTCGAGGCGAAGGCCGACCATTACGACCTCGTGATCAATGGCGTGGAGGTCGGCGGTGGAAGCCGCCGTATCCACGTCGCCAAGCACCAGGAATTCATCATGCGCGACGTCCTGAAGATGACGGACGAGAAGGTAGCCGAGTTCTCTCACCTCCTCGAGGTACTAAGAGCGGGGTGTCCGCCCCATGCCGGGTTCGCATTCGGTTTCGACCGTTTCCTGGCTGTGCTGTGCGATGTCCCGTCCATCAGGGATGTTATTGCGTTCCCTAAGACGAACAACGGTGAGGACTTGATGGTTGGTAGCCCGGCCAAGGTTACGCCGGAGCAGCGGAAGATGTATCATTTGTTCCAAGAGACAGAGGCAGAGGCAGAAGTAGAAGCAGAAGTGGAAGCAGAAGCAGAGCCGGAGCTGGCGCCAGAGTCGGAGCCGGAATCAAAGTCAGAGCCAGAGAAGGACCAGGAGCTAAATGCATAGGCGCGTCAAGCTCTGTTGCGACACCAAGTGTACATGTACTTTAAGAAGCTAGGCCTCTAAATTGTATAAATCTTCTCTCACTTCACCCTCCCGAGGCTCCTTCATATAATGACTATTAAGCTCCAATACTTGATATCTACTTGGTTGGTAATTATGGTCTGGTAGCTATTACGAGTGAAATGATATGTTAAAGAGCCGCCTTGCTGCTGTATTCACTAATATTCCTATCCATCCATCCATCCAGACTTGCGCGATGAAAAGAGCGGTATCGTATCAGTTATTCGATCCTCCCCCTTTCTTTCATAGATCAATCTTCCGGACATAAACTAAGATTCCCCCATCCCCCACACCCAACTATCAACACCCAACTATAGTAACTCTCGTTGTCAGATCATTCCATACTATCACATCAACAACCACTCAAATCAATTGCATCTAATCCCCAGTCTCAGCATTTACATCGGCATCCGCAGACACAACCGTCCCGTCCTCACGTAATAGCACATCTCCATCATCATCCTCCTCCTCCTCCTCCTCCTCCTCATCCGGAAGGATATAACTCCCATTGATAGGCTTAGCATGACGAGTGCGCTCGCTGATGATGTTGGAGGTGTCAATGGCCTCCCGTTCCTCTTTGCCTTTTTTCGTTGTTAGTTATCGTGTCTAGAGTAAGTAGGGTTATAGGTACGTAGGTACTCCCCGGGAGTCCGAGGCTAGACGGGTTGGGTTGGATGAGGGAGGGGCTTTGGGGGGGAAGGGGTAGAGATAAGGGGTAAGTAAGTAAGAGTAAGGGCGGGAAAACATACCGAGCTTCACATCGTAATCAGCTACGATCTCGTCGGCGGGACTCTCCGTCTCTGTAATGTCCTGGTCTGATTGCTCGGAAACCGGGCTTTCGCCCTCGCGCTTGGGCTTGGGGTGCATGGGGAGCGAGGCGTTACTGGTGGGAGTGGAGGTCTGGTTCTCGTGGGATGACATGGTTGATTGGGTGAACTGGTATAGTTTTGTGTGTATTGAGTGAGTCTGGTGTTGTTGGATGTCCTTGTGGTAGCTAACTAGACACACCTACTCTTGAAGGGCGACCGGGTCCCATTCTTATACTCGACAACGCTCTCCCTTTCTCTCCAGACGAGGGCTATAGCATACTTCATATTACACACCTCGCCGTCGTCATACTCGTCATAGTACCTAAACCCCCCTCTCCCCACCACCACTACCACCCGATCGACGCTATCATATCAGGTACCTAATGCATCACAGCCCCCAATCCAGCAGCGTTCACGAATTCACAAGCGTCCACCGTGTATGAGGTAGGTACGCAGACAGCTATAATCCACCCTCAATGACGCCCGCCATTCACACCCGGCCCAAGAGAGAGGGTCGACGCGTCTAGAAGCTGAAACGGAAACACGGGACTGACCGGGTACCAAAATTTTGCTTTTTTTTCGGCCTCCCATCACATCAGCTATGTATGTGACTTATCACTATCACCGCTGTAAGCGTAACTACATACCGGAGCTGAAGTGTGATTAACGACCTATGCATGCAGTTATGATGAGATGCGATCTCAGCTCCCGAGAGGCATGTATGTAATGGGGGATGAAGAATACGACTAAAACAGGAAAATGCAACATATCTCGGATGCGAGGCTATTCCAACCGACGCCACCTACGGTCGTAATCATGATTCGATTCGATCTGATCTGATCTGATCTGATCTGGTAGCTCCGATACGCCCCTGCAGCTTATATAGGCTATAGTTTCCGTTCCAGTTTAGGTAGTCCCCAAGGCCAAAAATAGCTATCTAACATCTCAACTCATCTTGTGAAATTCGACATACTTATTCAACCATATTCATTCACTTGCATTCACAACTCAAATCAACAGCCCCCCGACTGCGCCGACTGGAAATATGACGTTAGCCATGTTATTCTAATAATTACTAGGTATCACTATAACTGCCTCTTTTCTTTCCAACCAATGAAGGGTATCAATATGTATCATGCAGTCTCATCTTCACCCGAAAGACCCGTTAACCCTAACCTAGAAACGCGACGGACCACCACCACCTCCAACTTCCTTGCTGCTGTCCGTCTGTAGGCTCTCTTCCAAAGCCCGCCTTAGCTCCTCATCTTCATCGTCGGTGTCTTCGTAGTTGGCGTATTTCCCCTTGCCCCTGGCTTTGCGATATTGGTCCTCTGCCAGACTTTGTTTCTTAACGAATTCCATTACGATGTCTTCTTCCGACTTCAATGCTAATTCCTCCCTGTGAGCCCTCTCGGATTCTTCGAGAGCGCGCCTCAGCTCTTCATCATCATCGCCATTATTTCCTTGGCTTTGCTCCACCTGAGAAGCTTCAATAGCTTTTCTAAGCTCCTCGTCGTCAGTAAGCCCACCCTTATTCTCATGATCTGCCTCTGAAGCCTTAAGTGCCATCTTATAATTTTCTTCATCTTGGTCTTCTACGCTCTTATCCGTCTGTGACCTCTGAAGTACCCGCTTAAAATCGTCGTCTTCGCTATCCTCCAGGTCGTGTCTCTGAACTCCACTTCCATGCTGTTCGATCATGCTCAGTTGAACGGCTCGTTCGATTAATGCCTGATATTCCTCGTCGGTGATTTCCATCGAATCCTCAGATTCCCGGGGTGGTAGCGACGGTCCGGATAAGGGGTGTTTGATATCTTCCGGATACGGACGTTTAATATCGGTAAAGTATCCAGAGTCTTGCGTGCTAGAAGCCCGAGAATTGGTCGAGGCCAATGAGCCTATAGTTGTTGATCTGGTTCGTAATGCCCTGACACTCGACCGAATCGCTTGTTCGACTCGGGCATCTTCGTTTGCGTCTCCAGTTGATGTCTCCCGCACTGCAATCACAATGGCTCGTTCAAACTCCTCTTCCTCGTTATGTGTGTTACCTGTACCAGAAACTGAACGAACCTTCTCATCAATAAACGTACCGCCTGTAGCCGCCGATTCCGCTTGGTTTTGCTTCCATGAATTCTTTTGATCCTGTAGCTTCCTCTGGTCTTCGCTGGTAAGACTTCTTCTTTGTAGCCATCCCATTCTCTGCGGCTCATTATTGGCAATTTGATCCGTAATAGCTGTTCCATGCGTCGGTGCAGCAGGGGTGATTTCCTTGGTCTTTCCTTTCTCCTTCTGCTTCCAGGTGTAGAATCCCTTCATCTGCTCTTTTTTAGCAAGCCAGCGAACTTCGATGTCTTCACGTTCCTCGGGCGATGCTTCGTTAAAGTCGTATTGGCCTTGGGAAATACGGGAGGCGACAATGTATTTATGAGCATTCTGAGCGAACAGAGACCTGATTTCGGCATGGACACCCTGCATGGTGTAGGCAGGAATGGACCAAAAGGCTAGAAGAGCTGTGAGCGTGCTCTTAAGTCGTACTAAATTAGACGGGAGAGTAGCTTACCTGCTGCGGGCTTTAACATAAGGCCGCCGATTCCCTTACCAAAACCCTTGAGCAGTCCAATACCGCCGTCTTTCTCCGCGCCTCTAATGGGTTGGGTTACTAACCCAGTAATCCCGTCGAAAATGCCGAAACCGAATTCCTTGCCGGCGACCTTGAGACCACTAGCGAAACTAGTAACTTTCTCCGCGGGACGAACGGTATCATCGTTATACAAAGTTGGCGCATTCCTGAAACCCCTCGCAAGACCTAGGCAAAAGTTCATAGGAGACTTCATACCAGTTGCCACGATATTGTTGATGCTTTTGCCAGCATGAAGGGCCCTCTCTAGAGAATCGCTCGTGGTAGGTGATCCTACTTTTGAAGTCGAGCTATTTCGTTGATGACCGGGACTTTGCACCGGTTCGGAAGGCGATCTTGAATGTCCTGAGGTAGCTGACATTGTAGGCGCTAAATTAGGTGAACTGTTAGCCTCTGGTTGCATGGCGATCGGATGCATGCCGAGCGGGTGAACGGCGGGCGCATTAGACTGTGTATTGGTTACATCCGAGAGCGGCAACGTCGTAGTCGAACCCGCTTGATCAGCAAGATTCAGTGTACTGCTACTAGCCCCTTTCGATGTAATCGTAGCTAAATCGCTGCTTTTCCCTGCTGACTTCGTTTCTGATGCTTTTCCTCCTTTGAATACACCTCGAGGAACGTCTACCGCAGACATGGCAATGGTGCCCATGTCTCCCAGTAGCGCCGATGCGCATGCCGAAATGGGGTCCGTTGGATGATCTTCGGTGCTGTACTCATTTGGACGGAACCTGAAATGACAATTAGTAAGACCAAATCACAAGTAGAGGAGCAAGTCGATTCCGCTCACAATTTTAGGTCCGAATACCGTAGATATCCATTCTTCACCAGTACCGCCGCGGCTAACGAGCTAAGGCAGACTTGTGTTCGCCGAAGACGCCACACAGCGACCCGGCTGGGGGCTAGAGCACAACGTAGCCTGTCGACGTCGAGATGTCTATGGAAGCTGTGTGCTCCAACGTCCGTGCCCTTTTCCTCCCGTATCTTCTCACCTAATTCGTGGGCTCGTTCCTGGGTTTCTGGCATCAATGCCATTCGGATTGCCTTAGCTAGTGCTTCCGCTGTGAGTTTCTTGTAAGGGATGGGTTCAGGTCCCGCCCCGGCTCTCGCGACCATGGCTCCCCAGAACGGCTGGTCTCCGAAAAAAGGCACAACGATAGTCGGTTTACCAGCATTAATTCCGGCGGCCGTAGTTCCGGCACCTCCGTGATGGCAGACGGCGGAGACATGCTCAAATAACCAATCGTGAGGGACATTACCAAGCATAAACACGCCCTCCGGTATCCCGACAGAATCGGCTCCTAATCCGCCCCAACCCTTCGAAACGAGCGCCCGTACGCCCGTCTCCGCTACCGCATCAAAAATCGTGCGTGTTAAACCGTTCGGATCGTCAACGACAATAGAACCAAATCCTATGTAAACAGGTGGGGGACCGGCTGCAAGGAATGCTGCCAATTCGGGATCCGGAGTGTAAGATGACGCAAGATTAAGGAAATAAAACCCAGCAACATCAATATGTTGTCCCCAGTCGTTTGGTTTGGGAATGAGCGCTGGTGACCTAAGATACAATATATAAGGCTCAAGTTACATTTGAATAGGGCTCCAATTAAACTTACCAGCAATATGTGTAGGGAATCCGAAGGCGGGTCAATAAAGCAGGGGCCCAAAGCACCGAGAGAGGCTCAAGGTCAAGTATTTTTGTACGAAAGCGGTTGATAACGTCACCGAGTCCTTGCCATGTCATCATCTCGACCATTGCATAGGAAAGATAGTTGGTAGTGACGGGATCCGTATTTGATGATTGGATATTCGCGAGAGGCTGCGGAAATGCTTTTGTCGGCGACCAAGGCATGCTTATAGATCTTAGAGGATTTTCATCTGTGAGATTTTGAGAGACTTACGTGAACATCAAGTGTAAAGGGATTCCGAGCTTCTCAGCCACGTGGATATGCGCAAAGCTAGGAGGGTTCGCGATGATGGCGTCTGCGACAAATGGCTTATAACCCGAATTATCGTCTAACGGAACTGGATTTAGATCGTCTTCGTCATCTTTGCTCTTACGGCCGAATCGTGGAGCCGGTCCCAGGCCATTTCCGGTTTCGATACAAGATCTCCAGCAACCAAGTACAATTTCCTCGATACCTTTTCTTCGCTTGGTAATTTCTCCGCTCTTTAATGCATCAATACCCGGCATCAACCCCGGATTCTTCACCATAAAGGCCATGAGCTCGGCAGGATCGCCTCCGATATTGAAAAATTCAAGGCCATTGTCCTCGACGAATTTTTGAAAGGTCGAATGAGTAGCGATTCTCACACGGTGGCCATATGTGTCCTTCAAGATCTGTCCTAGAGCGATAAACGGCTGGACGTCGCCTCGTGACCCCACGATCTGTATAACAACGTTCAACCGGGGCGGGGGAGTCTGTCCTGGTAGACCACCTAAACTGGGAGGGATATAGGCAGGCGGAAGAGGACCCTCGTCTATAAATTCCTGATAACGTAAGGCGGGTGCTAACAAGTCGGCCAGGCGCCTATTCGTCTGATTGATATTGATATCAACTCGGCCGTCATCTATCATAAAACATCTTAATTAGCTACAAACACGCTAAGGCTCAATAATGAAAAGATATACCAGTGACGGCAGCCCCTGCTTCAAACCCTGATTGGTGAAGAGAGAAGCGATCGTGTACTTCGCTATAGGCCGGAAGAACATCATCTTCCGCCCCAAGTTCGAAGTCTGTAGACATAAGACCGCTATTGTAATTAGGCGCCGCGACGACCTCTGGAGCATTGCTAAAAGAGGTGCGACCTGGACGTTGAGCAGATCTACTGGCTTCGGGACGGCGAAGCGCAGCCTTCTCGTCAACTATCGTCATAGTGACAGATGTAAACTAGATAATCAATATAGCATATGAGGGAATGTATAAGATATAGTCGAATTTATTGAGGGGTATAGAAAGGAACGTGACAGTAAAGCTCGAGATATAGAAGATATGGAGGATATAGAGGATAGAGGATATAGAGGGGGAGGAATGATAAGAGGAGGGGTATCACAGATTATTCAGTCAACTTGGGTATCACGAGAAGAAAGAAGAGTTGAAGGAAGCAGAGCAATGGTATATAATTGGAATTTATCGGTGACGGTATCGTCTTGTGGAGTAGGAGGTACAATAAGATATAAGATATTGCGCAAGGTAAATGCAAGGTACTATGTACGAAGCTTTTGCGATTCGGGATGAGATAAAAAGCAACTTTTTGTGGTTGAGCATCGATGATGTATTGCCGAACAGGGATTAAAACAGGGGATCATGCTCTAGAAGCCCCACTAACTATCCACCTACTTGCGGCTAGTCGGCTGGTTCCAGAGCGGGGGCAGGGGGGGCTGTTTTATTTTTTATTTGGATGCCTGGCGGTGCGTGAGTACCCTTGTTTGATTTACACTTATTTAGTAACCTTTTTAGTATCTGTTAGACCGTAAACGTACCGCGAATTTCGCATCTGAAGCGAACATCGGATTTCCTCAGCCTCAAACAGCTTGGCTAGCGAATTACCTGATGGCCGTTTTGCGCCGTGAGATGCGAATAATAATTTCGTCTTTTGAAAAGGGGTTTGCAGTGTTTAAGGGTCGTTCGATTTACATAAGTGTCTACGTGGCCCACGATATAGATACATAGCTTTTTATGTTGTATCATGGTGCATGTGGCAGTAGTACATCAAGTACGGAATACGACGTACGAAAAAGTCATAGTCTAAGGCATCAACTTTTACATAGGTACCTACTTTTCAACGTGACATCGGCAAGGGGTCGTGGGGGCTGATGCGAAATACGAAATACGAAAGATTAAATTTCGTACAAGGTACGGAATACTTCTGTAAAAGTGGTGACAATTAGTGACGCGAGGATCGTGGCTGAGTAAAGCCAAAGTCAGCCTTATTGGATACTTAAAGTATTGTATATCGTACTATGGTGCGATAATAGGCTGCGAAGATAGCCCTGATACGATGGTCGAATTCATTGAATGTAAATATACATAATTATCATTCTCCTGTGACATTCATTAAGGAGATGCCATTGTAGTATGTTAAGAACATCAAGGGATTTGGATAATGTAACTACCAGTTAAGTATACTATAACAAAAGATCCATAGGGAGGGGCGTGTTGCAGGTGTATAAGCTTGGCTAACCTAGGAAAGTAGATAGATCAATAAAAAGAAACGAGGGGAAATACTAGTATAACGAAAGGGCTCTAAATAAATATTTTGTTATCCTTAGTATGTTGGTTATGTTAGATAGCGTACACCTTTGAAGATATGGGCCAATGTGACGAGCCGCGTGTATAGTGAGTCTCTAATGGTATGCTTAAAATTCGCTGGCGGTGAAGTAGGAAGAGAAAGAATATAGTTGGTTTGAGAAAAGGGGGATGGTGAATATATAAGGTATCATTAGGTTAAGGACTTTGCGTTGTTTCCTACACTTAACTCCGGCTGGTTTACACTTTACACTATACTCTTACTTATCTCCGTATAGTTTCACGTCATATGCAGTGCTACTAAGCGTCATTTGCATCCATAAGTTATCGAGAGTACGCGGGTTGAAGGTCTTAACCCCGCCAAAACCCCGTCTAAGATCCGGGTACTGTTGGTGACATCAAGATTATATGTAGCCAAGTTTACTATGTAGCACCATGATGGGTACGGCGTACTAACTAAAGCTATGAGTCATAGCCTATGGTGTGAACACTTGCTAAACATCAAGTATATGTGTAGATTCTAGGCCAGTGAACTATCTGAAGAAACAGATACTCAATTAGCCATGTTGTAATGAGTGGTCAAGGGACTACTTTCAGGTACAGTATGTGGTATCCTGGCATGGAATGTATATATAAGAAGGACCTCCCTCTTCACTCACACAGTTGGTAGACTAAGTCAATATATAACTATATCTTATACATTGTGTCTGTTAGCATAGCATAACATTATAATAATTCTTTAAGAGAAGAATAAAATAACACTTAACTTTTCGACATCATGTCTCCTTTTGGATTCTCCACGACCAGCGAAGAGATTGTCAAGGCCTTCGCCGACAAGATCAAGGGACGCACATTCCTCATCACCGGAACTACTGCGAAAGGTCTTGGCGCCCAATGCGCCATCGCCTTAGCCCGCGAGTCGCCAGCACACCTCATCCTCGTGAGCCGGAACAAGGCCAAGGTCGACCCCGTGTTGGAGGAGATCGCGAGGATCAACCCCAACGTCAAGACCACCTTTGTCACCTGCGAGCTGACCGACTTCGACTCCGTCCGAGCAGCTGCGGAGAAAATCAACAACGACCCTTCGATCCCTAAGATCGATGTCGTCATCAACAATGCCGGCATTATGAACGTTAAGACTTACACGCTGGATAAGCAAGGAATTGAGTTGACTTTCTCAGCGGACCACGTCGGGCACTTTCTCCTGACGAATCTAATCATGAATAAGATCATCGCCGCAGGTCCGGGCGCCCGCATCGTCAACGTGACGAGCCGGGGCTACGGTATTAGTCCCTTCCGTGGCGATGACTACAACTTCTCCGACGGCAAGGCATACGACGGCTGGAGCGCGTACGGCCAAGCCAAGACCGCCAACATCCTATACTCGCTCGAGCTATCGCGGCGTTTAGCTAACAAGGGCGTTAAGTCCTACGCGCCACACCCCGGTTCCATCTACACCACCAACTTAGCCAACCACCTGGATCAGGATGACTTCGCCGAGATCGCCGAGATAGCCAAACGGAACACCGGGAAGCATTGGGACGGTGAGGCCACATTAAAGAGAAAGGACGTGTCCCAGGGAGCCGCACCGTTACTCGCCGCAGCGCTAGACCCAGACTTCGAAGACAGACCTGGGTCGTACATCGAAGACTGCCAGATTGTCACTCCATACGAGTATGCCAGAGACCCGGAGGCTGCTCGCAAGCTGTGGGAAATTAGCGAGAAGCTGGTAGGCCAGAAGTTTGACTTTTAAGGAATGTCTCGCCCTCGTTCAGTCTAGAAGGGTATCTATGTAACCATTCGTTTGAAGGAAGCTTAGAAGATTAAGGGGTTGAATAGCTATCGGATTCGGATTCGGACTTGAATTAGATGTAGCTATATAGGCCAAATGCGATCTCTACGGCAAGCTAGGTTACTTGAAAATAAAGACAATTATAACAAACATTACTTGCCGATCTTTAGTTAACAGATGTCAGTTTCTAGTCTGACCGCATAATACGTGGAATATTATGTGGCTTATCGAGTTGAGCAGTGGCTTAGGCTACTTGATAGCAAATCACAGCAAGTTAACCATATCCCCAGTAACACGAATGTTGTGAGAGTATCATCCTTAATGTAATACACGCACTCGCTTCGTTTCATCACACGGACAAAGTTATAAACTCGTTATGGCTTGCAATAATATTTTCTTAAAATACGAGCAACTGCGCACAACGCCTGTGTAATGTCATCTCAGTTAAGGCAAAGAAACTTTTGCGCAATCCTGCCAGATTTTGATATAGTACAAGAGACTTAGTCCGGTAGAATCTGGGCACTGACTCTGGACCAATGAAGTTGGTTCAACATCACTACTGACGTGCCAATTTCCCATTTCCCGCCTGTCAATCGCCCTCTGCGCATCCAAAGAAGAGTCGCGGTTGGTCATAACCGCGCCGTCTTCGCTGGTCACACAACAACTTCATTAACGCAACCAACCGTCGTTATTCGTCTAGCTCGAGAATCGTCGAGTGATCTTCGCAATTACTGAGAAAGATGTTAGTACAAAAATGATGAGATCGAGACGTTTTGCCATACCGTGTAAAGCAACAACACTGAAGATGAAGACCAGAGAGAGAACCAAGACAACGACAGGATCGACTTTCAATCCGGGAGATTCGTCCGTGTAGAGGCCTAGACAACGTTAATACCTGGTTCCATCATGCTGGGCATGGCTTCTTTTCACATACGTAGCATTGTGCTGCTGCTACCACCGGCACCGGCGGCGCGAGTGCTACTCGGTCTCGCATTTGCAATCTTTTCCTTCTGGTCGGCGGCGGCTCTTCGTCGGATGGCAGTTCGGGCACCTCCGGGAGGAGCAGGAGAAGAGGGACGGCCGGTGCTCGAGCCAGTAGCGGCCGGCGAATTGACGGGGGAAGCTGCGCGAGGAGAAGACTACATGCGAGAAATGTTAGCGCGATTCTAATGAATGATGAATAGAAGCCGATAGATAAGTCGTTGAATTAATATATCGTTCGAGCCCTTATGTTTCGTATTACAGGCGATTTATATTATGGAACAAACATACCATTGCGAAAATTAAGAGACAGCCGAAGAATAAACTAGAAGACAAAGAACGTTTCCTTTATGCGATCGTTAAGGATTGGAAAAGTGAAGGTAGATAGAAACGTAGATAGAAGCAGAAGAAGATAGAGAGTCGCGTGTGGATCGTGGTCATTAGGAGCTGTCCCTAAAGAATCCGGGGTTCAATTGAGGCCACGATTTTAGAAAGCTCAGAGTGGATCCTGACTCATGGTAGGAGCTGGAAAATCACTTTGTCCGGCATTCTAGGCTCGGGTTTTAGAGCTTTGATTACATAACTTGTCTTAGATATCTGACATTACACTAATACCCATTCTAGCCAATAAGACTCAAGCCTCAGAAACCATATTACTGAAACAACTTACATAAGGTTAGAAGGTTAGTTACCTTAACTACCTACGGTTAGTTAATATAGATCAAGCTTAGCTTTTAGCTTTTGTGCATGTGAAGAACCGGGCAGATCCGATTAATTGAGTGAAACCCCCCCACCTTGCTTGTTAATCTTTTATGCTGCTTCTAAACACAAAAGACCCAAAACCTGAGGTTGTGATGGTGGGGTGACGACGCATCCTGCAACTTAAAAGACGCCGCCGCATTATCGTCAAGCAAACTCACAAGGCCAGCCAATGATTTGATATATTTCCATGTCTTGGTATTAAATACAAGATTCTGGATATAGCCATTATAAGAGGAAATTATTCCAAGGCCGAAGTTCCTAAGACAAGGAAATCTCACCGATCGTGTGTTGTATTTATTGCGCAGTTTATCTAACTACCTCTTGCTAACCTCTGGGAATTTAACATACATACTCTTCAAAACTTCCTTGGTCTTCATACTATTACCCTCCGACTACTATCAAGATGGATTTTGACTGGTCAACGCCGTTCCCGGAAGGTGTCATATCCTTCCTCGACACCGATTTATACAAATTGACAATGCAATGCGCCGTTTTCAAATATTACCCTGACGTGTCTGTCACATATACGTTTACCAACCGTACTCCAGATAAGAAACTTTCGCGCAAAGCCTTCTCTTGGCTTTGCGAACAGATTAGTAGTAGGTACCTAAACTCGCTTGTGTATCTGATGGTGTTTATTTATTGATCCTTGATATTCATCAGAGCTTGGCAATATCTCACTTTCGGATGACGAACTCTATTACCTGCAGACCCATTGCAAATATCTTTCGGCCCCATACCTAGACTTTTTGAAGGAATTCCGGCTCAAGCCCCGCGAACAACTAAATCCGACTTTCCACCCCGTGGGGGCGGACACGGGGGCGGAAGACGAGCTAGGCGACATCCACATTGAGATTAAGGGCAAGTGGGTTGATACTATACTGTATGAGATCCCACTTCTTGCCCTGACTTCCGAGGCGTACTTCAAGTTCATGGACACGGATTGGAATTACGACGGCCAAGAGGAGAAGGCGTATGACAAGGGTATGCGCCTCCTTGAAGCAGGATGCATCGTCTCCGAATTCGGAACCCGTAGACGGAGAGATTATCACACCCAAGCACTAGTCTTCAGAGGTCTCGTGAAAGCTAGCAAAGAGGCACAGAAGCGCGGTTTCCCGGGAAAGCTCTCGGGAACCAGTAACGTCCACCTCGCTATGCGATTCAACCTACCGCCTATCGGAACTGTTGCGCACGAGTGGTTTATGGGTATAGCAGCTATCACGAATGATTATCAAAACGCTACCGAAGAGGCGCTACGCCGATGGGTTGGTTGCTTTGGCGAGGGCGTATTGGGAATCGCATTGACAGATACATTTGGCACTCCGGAATTTTTAAAGGCGTTTAGTAAGCCTATCAGATATCTTCCAGATACTCCAAATATTCCGGTCCAGGGTGAAGGTGCCCAATCTACAACTTCACCCCGGAGCTATGCCGATGTGTACGGTGGAGTACGGCAGGATTCTGGCAACCCTGCCGATTTCGTCAAGCTGATGCGTAATTTCTACGACAGTCAGGGCATCAAGGATAAGAAGACAATCGTGTTCTCTGACTCGTTGGATATCGATAAGTGTATCGAGTACAAGCGGATATCCGAAGAATACGGTTTCCAGCCAACGTTTGGCGTCGGCACGTTTTTGACAAACGACTTCGTCGAGCTCAGCACGGGAAAGAAATCGGTTCCCCTAAATATTGTTATAAAGCTGAGTTCCGCTGCTGGAAACCCGGCGATTAAGATCAGCGACAATATCGGGAAGAACACGGGCGATTCAGCCAAGGTGGAGGAAGTTAAGCGGCTGCTAGGTTACGTAGAGAAGGAGTGGGAGGGCGGAGACGAGACGTCAAGATGGGGCAAGGCTGATGACACCACAAAGCCTTGAAGAGGCTGACTTGAGCGTTATATGCGGTTTGCTTCCACGAGCGAGTTAGTCATTATCTGGGCGGCTGCTTGTTGGACTATTTGAAAATCCGCCCTTGCACCCCCAGAGTCGTGCCTGAATCGTGCCTCCGTTGGCTAGCCAGGGCACCCAACGGCAGACCCCTAAAGAGGTGGATTAGATCTTTAAGGTATTTCTAGATGTTTACCATGTAGTGGACCAGCGACATTCAAAAGAATTCAATATAGATGCGCACCTCGTGGTCAATTTCGTAGGGGTCTAGGAAACGTGTAGGCGATGTGTGTGTGTGTATGTCATCTGTCAGAAGGCCTCAGGCTTATAAATTAGACCATCGCGAGCTCGTTGCCCAACAATAACTCGTTCGATCGAGCAAGCCATTCACGGCGAGGCGAATTGTAGCTTTCAGCCTTATAATCGTATCATTATTCGACTTTCCCTGTTTCCATTTTTACCAAACCGTCTGTTTAACAGCGTTCGCGAGCACAAAATCCATTTTGATGATCCGTTTCGCCTTCAGCCTTGCCTTGGCATCTACGTTTCTGTCTAGGTACTGCGCAAGCCGCGTTTAGCACAACATCTAAGAACAACGTCGTCGTCTATTACGTGAGCAGTCGCTTTTCCATGGTGTCTGTCGCCCCTCTAATACTCATATCCGAATGTAGGGCCAAGGACCGAATCAACCAGCGCTTAGCACCTACTACGCCGACTCGAGTATCGATGTCATCGTCTTATTTTCCGTGGACTTATTCCCAGCGCAAGCTAATGGCTTCCCCCTGGGATTAACTTCGGAAACCAATGCGGTTCCACGTATACATTACCTATTTATTTTACCCCTTTTTGACCCAGCTCGGGGATGGAAATTCGCACCTTAGCCTATCTGGACAGGGGGCTACTACTCACAAGTCAGCCTGGAGCGAAAACTAATGACCGGGTCTTGGCATTTCACCCCAAATTCAACACCGCACAATATAGTCAAAAATAAACACGAAATACGGTCATAAAAAATAGGAAAAATCATAGTCTAACTCTTTGGCTTTTACTATTGTTCAAGATAATTTTTATATTTTTATCATGATCATTATATCATGTGTTTTACTTTAATTATTCAAGGAGGTCAAATGCCAAGACCCGGCCATTAATTTTCTCTTCTGACTGCAAGTCCGGAAGGCCAAGGATTTGCATGATAAATAAAATCTAACTTACCTATTTATTATAGGGTATATCCCGGCCCGGGATATAACGGCGTGAACAACGCGACCAACAAGAAGATCCTCCTGTCCCTCGGGGGCGCCACACCGGAGTACCAACTCACAGGCGCAACTGACGGCACCAACATCGCCTCGCCGCAATGCGTCGTCCCCGATACGAACCTCATGGGCGTCCTGCAGCACAGCGTCGTCGACATGCTGTTCATTCAATACCAGAACATAAAGAGCCGGTTGAATACGTCGAGTACGGATACGAGGTTATCTTGCGTGGTGAGTTCTATTATTTCCACCAACCGCTTCCTTCCTTCCTTCCTCCCTTTACCCTTTCCCCCCGTTGTCCGTCTTGGTCTTCACCTTCCCTCCGCTGCCTCCGTTGATATGAACTTTATGTATCGACATATGACATCATCTCCACGTGTAATGGAGATCAGCTTGCTGACATAAGCCCGGTTTATTTTTAGCAGGCCCCGGTTCCGACTAGTTCCACCCACGACCTCCCACACGGAACTCCGACGCCGAGTACGAACTTCGACCGCCGCCCCGACGAAGTCACTGCCGGTTTCGACGAACAATCGCTGCGGAACAGCGTTTGGCACAATGTGTGTTCGTCTGGGCGGTGTGGTAGTCAGCATGACTATTGCGGCACTGGAAGTGCTTACTGTGTGTGGTACTGGTTGTCAGAAGGGCTTTGGTACGTGTAGCTAATGGGTTGTTATTTGACGTATAAAGAAAGATAAGGTGACAGACAGGTAATTATTTGGTTCATAATAGCGACGTATATTAACCAGCGAGGCGAATTGTGCGTTTTTAGTGACGCATATATCATATATTACTAGCGGCGTTGCCCGTCCGCGCAACCGCGGACGGGGGGATCATGCGCAAAACTGACGCCACAGCTAAAGTCTGGCCTCTGATTGGCTAGCCACACCTTAGCGCACGTCCGATGAATTTTTTGTAGAATCAATTGACCTATTCCAAGAGCGTATAAAAGTTTTAATAATTGGTATCGTTAGATAGAGCTCGTTTTGCATGACCTTTCTATACCATTTGCACCTCTTGCAGACGTTATGCGATAGAATGGCAAAGGGAAAAGTCGCAAACTGCGGGGCGATTCTAAGTATCTGATTGGTTGAAAAAATTGTGGCAGTACTAATTGAATATATAAGACTTGATTGTACGCACTCAATAGTTGAGTACCTAGATAGGATAGGAATATATTTCGAAGCATAAAAGCGTCTGGGCATGTGTACATGCGTGTTTCATGCTGGAAATGAGATTGGCGATTATAAAAATCCGCCTCTGTTCGAAGTAAGGGAAGCTTCGTAGCATACTAGATAGAGGTTACCTTTCGGTTATTATTCTAAGGTTTGCTAGTCATTCAGGTGTTAGTTGAACCTCTACAATTATCAGTCTGGTAGGGATAATTCGGTGCACTCCAAGTCGCGTAGAAAGGGAACACGTATTTATATTATATATATGGTAAAGGGATGGTGGGATAAGTAATTGATTAGCAAGACCCATGGATCCGAATGTTAGAAAGAGAATTTATTAAAATAATAAATGGATTTATTTTAAATTTATTAAAAATAAAAAAAGTGAGCTGATATTGTAATACCAAGGTCATGAGTGATCGTGATGCTTAAAGGGCCAAGAGAGTTCCCAGCGTCTCCAGTACGCCCGCAATCCTCCTTAGGATTACAGGTAGTCGTGGATCATCCAGCCAGGACCAACGGTAGATCATTTCAACTCATTGACCACCCAAGTTTGAGTTGGGGGTATAGCTCTGAGCTGAGAAAATCTGCCCCTTGTCAGGTTCGAACCATCGTCTGCAGCCGAAAGTTCAGCGGTCTAACAACTTGACCAAATAACCCTTTGAGTGACAGAAGTCCCCAGCCCGAAGGCCGGCCTTCTATGGTGACAGTTGCCCTTCTAATTGTAATTATAACCTTACTGTACTAAAGGTACGTGCATGGCAGCTTAGGTACTGTTGCCAGGTGGTCCACGTCGTCGGGGTAAAATACAGTTGCGGACAGTTGTGATACACCTGCTAGGCAACAAAGGCAGTCACATACAAACAAGGCATTAAGGGCAGGAGCGAAGCCCCAAGGTTAAATACATCCATTCTATTATATGAGGTACCTCCTACATAGGTACCTACCGAGCACGAGGTGGTTCCATAATCCGCGAGAATCAACAACGAATGTAATATAAGACAACTTCCACAGGCACCCAATATGTCGGCAACTATTATTTGGGGTCTTCAGTCATAAAATTTACTCGACTGTTAAGTAGCAGAATTTACTGGTTGCATCTAAACTTAGCGGCTTAAAGTATAGGACATAGGGTATTGATAACACTACGAGTAATTTATTCACTGCCGACTACTGAGTTATGCTATCCGTAGGAATGAAGCTGTGAGGCAAACCTCTAGCGGAAACGAAGTGAGAGAGTCATAGTATTGACAGATCCACCTTCCTCCGGGGTTTGCATCTCCAGGCCGACTTCATCAGCCCCTTCGTGGTCCATAGTCTCCTCCATCTCGTCGTCAATCTCCATCTTGTCCATATCCTCCTCCATCTCCTCCTCCATCTCCTCCTCCATCTCCTCCATTCCGTCCATTCCGTCCAACATTTCCTCGTACTCGCCTTCTAGAGCATTGCCTTGGTCCTCCGCAGTAGCGTTGGTAGAAAGATTGCGAGATCCTTCACACCTCTGGAGGAATCTCGCCTTGGTTGCTTCGGCAGTCCCCTCGTTGTCAGAGTCATCGGTCCACTTGGGATAGTACTTCTCTCTGATTTTCGGGTGGTCTTCATAGGCAGCAACCACCGCGCTGGTAAAGCTGTCTACAGCTGTATTAGCCTCATTAAAGACCTTAATGAGGTAGCTGTCTGGAATGTCCCAGGATTCCTCCACTTTCATCTCCACCCAGAAATCTCTCTGGTCGAGAAAGATACGTCTGGCTGAGATGATTCGAATCGATAGATCGTAGAGATCCTCTGGGTCGATACGTCGCGCCCACGGGACATGGCGACTAACAAATTCCCAGAAGGAAGGAGCGTCCATTTGTTCGCAACGGTGTACCATGTCCTTCGCGGTGTTGAAAAGATGGGCTATATATTCTGTACAGACTGATTTATCGAGACGTCGACCTTCCATTTGCATTGCACGAACCACTCGATGGGCTGTGTAGCTTGTGATTAGTGGAGTCCCGCTATTTGAAGACCATTGAAATCCCCCGTCAGGGAGGAATTCAACAAGGAGCTTGCGAGGCATCTATGGGAGACTCAGTAACTAAGTAACGAATAACACCCTTGACAAGGTGAGTGAGATAGGTGGGAGGGAAGGAAACTTACATTGGAACAGCTGAACGACGTAGGCTGGTGGGTATCCTTTTTAAGTCAAGCTTAGTCCTAGCCGATATGACTGTTAGCTAAGATGTACTTAGGGTAAGACTTGAAATTAAGGATGGGCGAAAATTCATGAGAGGGTGTAAGGGAGAATATGTGCATAGGCATAGAGGTAGAGAAGTAGATAACTGTGGAAAAGTAGGGTTGTAAATGTGTTGAAATGTAAAGGGGATTTTATTGAGTGTTTGTACAACCATTATGTTCGAGTTCGGAAAGATTAGATACTTACCTGGATGGCTAGAAAGGAATACTTGATCGAAATTCGAGATTCGGTTCGAGGAAATATTCGAGAACTAGGAATCCTATTGTTTCCAGCCGATTAGTCCCGATTAACTTTGTTTTGTTTTTTTGATGATATTGGGGATGTAGGGGAATGACTAGGTGGGACTTACCAATATCCGAACTTGCACTTGTAGTTTTCTTCTCGAGGCAACAGAGAAATTTGCGAGAAGTGAAGAAAACTTTGGCTACCTAGCACGTAAGGTAAAGAAATGCTTCGTTGAATCGTTGAATCGATAAATTGTAGATAGAGGACAAGTGACCAGGTGCGTCGATCAGTGAGATCTACGCAAGAGCTCAAGGAGTCACTTAGTCGAACTTCTAAAAGGAAGGAAAGAAGGAGGGGGAAGAGGAAGATTAACCAAATAATGGTAAGTCTCTGTAGATGTAGTTAGGTGGATAATTAAAATGTTTGGCCTCGACTGGTGCACCTCCTTTTGTGGTTGCCTGGGGTTATGATCTCGTCCGGTTCCTAGCAACCCTAGGAGCAACTATCACCTGGCTTGCGGTTTCCTTGTGTAATTTCCCTCAGGCTTTAACAGCTCTTAGAATATTTACATGCTCGCCTCCTCCCGTTCTTGTCTTCTTACCAAACAAACCTCAACTTCTACCTTTTGACATAAGCCAACCAACCTCTTTTTACCAAACTTTGCACATTCATCTCCCGAAGATAAAATCTTCTTTACCCGTACACCATACTTAGGTATTTTATCTGATACCTAAGCTTACGAAAGGTACCCATCGCTCCCTTTCCCTCCCCATCCTTCCTCAGGTAACGCTAGCTGTGCGATCAACATATCCTATCTCTCGTAATCTTTACTATAACCTTAGCACACTATCACATCTGCCACGCCCCGAAGCATCAAACGTACTTTTCTCTTCATACCTTGTGAACCTGTCCCTCGTTGTCGTTGTCTCTCGGAAAAGTGGATGTCGCCTGACTTCAACTGAGATAGAGACCTTCACCAAATAACCCCCTAGCCCAGAGCCACAAGCCCTTACCATAAAACCCCAGTTGATATTGCTACTTGTCCCTTACTCTACCTCGGCAACCAAAATAGAAACTTGGGAGCACAGCCCCTCCGCAATACGTGAAATCTTACTAACATATTCTGCGTCAGTCGTATCTTTACATCATCCTTCCCCATTGACACTTTCGTCACAAAATGTCTACTAAGGCTACCAAGTCTGCCACTACCCCTAACGGGGACTCTACTAAATGGAGTTCCGACGAGAATGCGCGTCTCCTCCTTCTCGTCATGCAGGAAGAGAACAAGGATCTAGCCGTCAAAGGCTGGAAGACTATTGCTGAAAAGGCCAAGGAGGTATTTGATGGCAAGTACACTCTTCCGGCTATCAAGTAAGTCTAGCTTAATCTGGCCTCTACCCTAAATACACATTTCGATATGTGTATTGCACCGACACTATATATATGGAGAGAGTTGAGGGTGATTAGCTTCTGCATCTATGTATCTATACTCGTGAGTACGAAACGTATCTGATCTTCATTTATAGGCATCAGTTTCAAAAACTCAAAAAGCAGTACCTCGACGACTGCCCCACCCCTCCAGAGGACTCACAGGCAGGTACCGAAGCTGCTAAGACTCCTACAAAGGGCCGAAAGCGTATGGCAGCTTCTATGGATAGTCCTGACGCCGACAATGATACCGGTACCAAGGCCAAGAAGGCACGAGTTGCAAAGAAGACAACCAAACGCGCCAAAGCAGCTGCGGAAGACGCTATGCAGGACGACTATCCTGGCGATTCTGATGGAGATGAGCAGAAGCCCGCCAAAGCCACCAAGCGCCGCGTGATGAAGAAGTCCAACATCAAAGCCGCGGACGACGAAAGCGATGACGATCATGAAGATATCGAGACCCCTACGAAGCCTAAGCCCAAGAATTCACATGCGTCGCGTACGCAGAAGAAGTCTCTCATTGACCCCGAGTCGGCAGAGATGACTGCCAAGCCTGCCTCCGACGCAGAGGATAACATTCAGGCTGAACATGTCGACACAGCACCCGAGAACGACTCTGAGGCTGCGCAGACTAACTTTTAAGTGATTCATGGATCTCAGGGTTGGCCTTACCTATTCCTCAAGAAGAATTATTTTAGGGTTCGCTGACTCGTGATGATAGAGACCTTCTACTCGGATATCGAGCATCGCACTGCACTCTCGGGCTACTGCGTTATTCATCTGCTGGAACCCATTGGGATTAAGGTTCTTGCGAACGGCATGAGGACGACTATTTCGAGTGAGAGGCACTGGCATGCGATGAACTGAGATTCATTCTACTTAGAAGCGGTATTCTCTCGCTTCTCGTGGTGGTAGCTTTGATAGTATTGGCCGACCAGATAGGTAGCATAGGACGCTGGGCCAGATTCGTCGGTTTTTCCATCTTTCCGCGTCTTGATTTAATTCCGAGGATACTACTCTGAATATGACTTTCCCTTAACTGGCTGCTCCCGTTACCAATCACGATCGTGTTTCGGCATTGTATTTCCCTCCTTCCGTAACGGGCCTCGAGCTTCGCCACATTCGACTACGTGATAAAAATCGTTTAGTCATGATTATCAGAAATGCCCTATAGGTAGGTGGAATTTCGTGTGACCTCCAGCCATTCCGTATCTTGTTCACAGCTCAGCTCTTGCTCTTGCTTGGCGATATCGCCCCCCTTCGCTTAGCCCAGAGTAAGCAGCACAACCGAAGACACGAACTTGTCGAACATGTCGAAGAAATCTCGCCGCATCATTTCCAAATTTGCTATGTCTCTGGTTCATGCGGCAGCTAGTGTTAGCCGCGCCTTAGCAGGGCACGACCTGTCCTGTATGAGGCTCATAGACAATGAAGAATCGTGGAGTTTTACCCCGACTAGGGAACGAGCCCGTCGATACCCCCGCTGCGGGAGTGGTATATATCGTAATCTATTATATACCAGGCGCCCACGGCCTGACGGAACCACTGGGGAAGCCCAAATAGCGCGTGGTTGATTTACCTGGCATTGTGTAAGTTTTACATTTTGTCTTTCCTATTTGGCTCAATGTTAGGTAGTTTTGCCCATCTCAGCCGATGTCGCCTCGTTTACTATGTAACTATAAATGTCTCCTGCCTGCCATATTTGTATATAGTAAGACGAGATATAACGTAGATATGGCGTATTGCGAAAGTGGGAATTTAAGGTATATGTCTCGTCTTATATGAGCCGCGAGCGTGGGGGTTGCCTTCAAGGACACCATCCTGTTGAGCCTTATGTCTCAATTAATAATTCTAGATCAATTCCAACCCACATGCTTCTATACTCGGTTGTAAGACCGATCCAGTGATAACTATACTATTCTTGGCCCCCGTTTTCATTATAGCTTTGTCTATTGCATCTCTTTACGGGAGTATTTTTATAAGAACTGAATGGAATCTCAAATTGCCTAGAGTCAGCTGAGGCCTCCTGCGTTGGATTAAGCACGTTAGGCACCTAAGGTAGTCAGTACTACGAATCGAACAATCCCTGGCTGATCTAATATACTAAATTACTCTATAAGAAATCTGTTACCACGAGAATGCTTGTGACCGGACACGTAAAAGGTAGCTTGGGAATTAATACAGCATGAACTAAGTATCTTAGGCATTATCTCCTATTGCTACAGGTAAAACATGGGAAGAATCCAAAGTATAAAAATACTCATCAAGAAATGAGTCCAGATATGAAGACACAATCCCAGCGGAAGATTTCAGCAATACGGTAGATAGGTCCCGTTCGTAGTTATTGGAGTGATCCGTCCAGTATCTAGATCTAGTGAAATACAAAGAATCTGTTTGATGAAATTGATAAGAGCTGGCCACCGCCTGATGGTGAAACATGATCTTTAAAGATAGAGAGACAGGGTCCGGAAGTTCTACAGGTGAAAATTTGCTGTACGACTACGAAAATACGAAGACGGTTAACAAAGTAACTCCGACGTTCTTCATCTCCGCTCCAATATCTTTCAAGTCCGGCTCTTTGATTCAATTTTTTTTTTTTTGGTGAAAATTTAAATTTTTTTGTTTTCCTTAACAATTATTTTCGTTACATATTTCCTGTAGTAAAAATACGATGCCCCCTTTTCAAGTATTATATGAGTACTATCCTAGTACTTTTCTAATACAGCTTGAAGGATAGAGATAAAGAGAGAGCCCTACGCAAAGTATTCGGCTCTGATCCGAGCTCGATCCCGCCAGCACCGCTGCCCAGAAGGAAGGCGAGGATCATGAATATTTAAGGCGCTTATAAGTAGAGGATCTAGGGGTAATTATATCCGACGGCCTGTCGTGTATCTAAATTTCTTACGTTCCACCCGTGAGGATCTATGCGTATCTGAGCAATTTGAAGGAAGCCCCTTTAACGAAGTATATTTACCTAGCTCTCATTCCCGAATCCTAACCTTGCGGAAGAGGATGGCTCCGATAATATGCATCCAAATAGGAGCACATTAAGGATTGAAGTCGGTCCCGGAGTGGCTGACATGCACTCAGACGGCCCGACGCCCCCCCTCCCCCCCCCGCATGGTTCCGACCTTTGGCGTTTTCGTCGCGTGGGATAAGTCACACAACTGATGTGATTGATGAGTGACACGCATCGTACATAGCTTACCTGCCGGCTCCCAATCCGACGTTGTGGCGTCGCTCGAATGATGTCTAATTTGCGAAGCTAGATGCATCTTGTCTTAACAGAGGATTATATATAGCTAAATGGTAGGTACCTGTAATACGGATTTAAATGTTCAAGTTATCGTATAACCTGGGATGCCCCTGGACCGGGAACCGAGGGAGTACCGGAACCGTGGTCCTGTCCGGGGAGTCTCCAGAGACGGACGGATTTGGCGAAGTGAATCTGTAACTACCTAGTGTATTCGGCGTCACACGTTCCCTCATGGCAAGTGACTTATGCTATCGCTTCGAGGCTTATTTCGAGGTCGTGCCAAGGACGTGGAAGGAATTGAAAGAAATGTCCCATACCTGTACCAATGAGATATATTAGGCACCTTCGATAGCTCGATCTATATTAAGCATTAATTAAAATTCCACGTGTTATTTGAATGTGTGCGTTACAGAATATACTATACTCAAGGCTTTAAGCGTGGAGGCTTAATATAAAATATAGTATCTCCACAAGCTATATCCTAGCGCGATGGGCTCGGTTAGAGACTATCGTGATCAGCTAGCTAGCTGACCAAGCTCATAAGGCGCTGCGCCTCCCGTGTCGCCTCGTGCTTAAGACCAGCTGAAGTGATGCATTGACCGTGTATCATGATATTAGGTAAGGTGAATCTGGTAAAGTGAAAGGCTTCGTAAGATCTTGACGAAGCTTGCGGGCCGTATAACCTAGTCTGCCTTGCTTTGATTATAGAAGGATCTTCATTATGTAAGTCCTTGAACTAGGCGATCCCATGCCCCGCTAGGCTGTCGAGTTCACATTAAGTAGTGCAGTTCATGATATACCTAGCGGAGATATTCTAGCTGCCTGTTACCCGAGCACGTTTTGGAGGGTTCTAGGAACTTACAAACTGGGATTCTACTTGGGTGCAGATCCTTACACCCCAACGGTTTGAAACTCGGCCGAACCACAGCATATCAAACCTAGAAACAAAACCTCATGACCTACGTTACTTATCTAACCATGAGCAATGCTTACACAACAATTAGAATATTAGAAGTCGTCGCGGAACCGGCGATTAGAATATTACTATCCGTCGGAATCGCTGAATAGCCATTGGCAGTAAATCCGAGACATACATGTGAGTAACTGGTGAAGGTAGGTAAGTGATTAGTGTATAATAAAAAGGTTGGACAGGGGGGGAAGGATGACAGCTTCTGACAGAGGGGTCCCCCCCCTTTACTGTTTTTCAGGGATCTATAGAGGTACTTAGGTACATAGACTACCTATAGGCTATGCTAGGTACATATGTACACTACTAGATAGCCCTGATAACCCTAAAAAAATGTGGGATGTGGATATGATGGTCTGTGCTAGGGGTTTCTACGTAAGTACGAAGTACCTAGGTACCTAAGGCAGTAAGGTTGTTACCCCTCCATCCCCTAGCTCCGGCAGCCATCGGGAATTTCCAATCATATCTCAACGCCAAGACAAACTTGCTCTTTTCACCTGCCACGCTCTGCGACGACACGACCCTCTGCACGATTCTCTGCACTCTGCACTCTGCACTCTGCACTCTATACTCTGTAACATCTCATGGGTTACCTGTCCCATTTGTTCATATTTGTTCACACCCTGTTTCTTCGTTACCTTCTCGTTACAGACCATATCGTATTTGTTTCTGGCACCCATGATAAAGTCACAGGCTCACAGCATTGCCTAATACCATAATACCATAATACCCATTTCCCTTCCAAATGTGGTGGTTACCGGATCAAAACCTTCTTCCGCCATCCCTCTAAGGGTCCTGCGCTTAGTCTGCCCCCGCTCGAATTCGCTTGTGTTTGCTGGTTTTGACGACTATTACCTCCAAAGTGTCTATCCTTCGACTCTTTGAGCGTCGAGTTGATGAGGTGATGAGGTGTGACACGAAGTATGCTGCTTACAAAAGTCCAAACTCGTCAAAAGTCCGTATGCCCGGATTTGCTATACTGAGCACGTCACCAACATTCGCCCGTATCTTCACCCAGAGCTCCATCACATTGGCTTCTACGAGACCTAGAGATCCGATGTCTACTCTACCCACGCCGATCATAGCGAATTCCCGCCGTAAGTTGCGCTACGGCATCGTCGCTCGCTCTTGGCTTCTCGCTCTTGGCTTCTTTAGATGGACATCGCGATTCCTTCCAGAATTGGGAAGTGCCATTCTAAGCCGTAATATTACGTATGGTGATGTATAGCTTCTAGGGATAGTTTCCTGAGACGAGTTAAAGACCCGGCGACACAACTACGTCCGGATCGCGAGGCCGACGGTCTGTCTTTTGTTCTCGAAGCTTAGGCGAGAATCCCCGGCTGATTTTAACTCGTCGCAGTGGCGATGCATTTTTCTCTTCCCCAGATAGTCCCGCTACCAGATCATCCGGTTCTTCAGAGGGGACCCTGGATTTTTCTTATATACCGACCCTATTACATCCCAGCCAAACCCTGCTGCAGATCCGCCAAACGGCTAACATGCTACCGTACAGTCGCAGCGTACAACTTTGCGTTCTGATATGTGACCAATGTCAGTACGTACAACCGCCGGCCATTCCATATGAATGGAACAGGTCGTGGGCCTATAATTTGAAAATTAATTACTTCCACGCTTCGCCGAGAGCCTAGTATCTATTTCCCAAGCTGTTGGTAACTGTCTGCCGACTAGTAGTCTAGTTAATCTATTCGAGATCTGGCGGTCGAGTGGCCAGCCAGCTATATCTCCATGTTCAGAACTCGAAAAGAAGCTGCTTCAAGCTGATCTCATATCATTGGACAGGGTACTTTAACCTTGCAGATCTTGTTGCAAGAAGCATGAGACAAGTCGTCTCATCGACAGCTGGAGCCTAGATGCGCTGCTGTCTGGGGATGCGCTTCGGGAACGCAACCGGTATATGCTCATCCATTATCCATAAGTTGGCCCCAACCCAGACCGTCCAGATAATACTTAGGCTCGCTGGCGTATGCGTTTGCTACATATGCATAACCGTCACTATTATGTATTCTTGCTCAATCCAAAGCTGAACCTTTGTTGGATCCAATGACTGTATTCGGCTGCACCCGAGTCGATCATCTCGTTACTACCCAGCGCCCGTTTCTTTTTTCAATCTAAGTTATAACTACCGGCTTGCATGTACGGTAGCTACCAAACGTCACTTTAATCCGTGCCGAGAATTAGACTTAGGGGTATCCTACTACGATGCTTAACCACGGAGGGAAACTGGGAACGGCGTAGCATTTCAATGCCGGCCCCTCTCCTCATTATCTCGAACCTCTATAGACTTGATGTTGTTTCGAACCTTCTCGATAACGTCAGTGGCTTCCTAGAAAACAAGTAGGGGTCTATATTGCCGTCACACCGGTGGCGTTTTACCACGGGAACGTGGGTCTGGGCACTTTATCTCGTCGCACCCTCGTACAGCTTCAAGTGCATACATAGATACCCAAGCCTCTGGCTGTCTGGCAGTGACCACAGCGGAAGATTTTAGCTCTCCCAGGGTATGAACAGGGGTGCATGAGACATCGTCCAATGAGACGGATAGGCTGACAACCCCCGTTTGACCCCGATACGCCTCTCCGTGGTGCCCGCACCCACTGTCTAAACTTGAAGAGGAAGGCCTGATCTCCGGGTGGCAGATGACGTGCAGAAGTCTGTGTCGGTCGATTTGAATTCTTGCGTTTTGACAAGTCGTTGGCAGCGCCACGCCCACTAGCCCGCGGGCACTACATATGTTATCAAGCCTGAGAGATCTGCTATCGCGCTGTCTCGTGTCTATCGATCAGGAACAGTAACACGGGATGACTATACAAGGCAGGTAACCAAATAACCCGATGATATGATAAAACTCTATACCATCGTGGCTAGGGTTGGTCCACATATGGCGCCAGATTCGCAAAAACTTGCGGCAATCTTGCTATTATGACAATGTTACCATTAGAAAGCCCTATCAACCTATAACGATAGCAGGATACGGTCAGGTGTAAGCTATCTTGACCTCCTACGCCTGGAACCAATGGGTTTTTTTGCGTAGGAAACGTCGGCAGCAACAGGACACACACAGAACACAGAGTAGGTTATGGAGTTGCCGTAACGGGGTTTGTGGCGGCGGATGTAGGATCGCCAAGGAAAGGGGACGTCTTCGCTGTGCCGCTGAGCCAAAGATGTGTGGAGCTCGTCACGAAGATGCACGCATTTTCTGAAGTGCACACCCAACACCCATTACACCCATTACACTTATTACACTCATTAGTCTCTGCTGGGGGCGTGTACATTCCCACTCCTCTTCGTTTCCTCTTAAGCTCTGAGGCGAAGCAAGCCACAATGGATGATGGTTATGTGTACCTTACTACCCCTGCGTATGATTGAGGTGCGCGGAGAGCTGCCCCAAATACATCACTTACATCTGCAGGGCATTTAGAATCCGAGCTAATCTTCTTTCAAGCTCATACAGCTCATTAGTCAAGGGCTGGGATGGGTCTTGGCGAGTCACATCTCCCGTGGTCTAGCCTGCAAATTTCACAGGGTATCCGTCGTGTCCGGAAGGCAGTCTTCTGGGTGCTCTCGATAACCAACTCTTATTCAACCAACCCTATCAAGCCGCGTAACAGACGAAAAAAGGCTGGCCACCTACTACCTTAATTATTACCTTGCAGTCCCAACACAAATTCATCCCTGGCCTATGCGGGTTGATCAGCTACTAGGATACCTGGTCATTTCGTCATGTTTCCTAGTCCCTGTACTGACCTATGAGCTGAACGCACCTCGAGATCAGATACATTACTGGGGGGAGGCGTCTGTCATCTCGTTACCGGGCTCGGAGGCTTCGATCAATCTTCTCTAATGCTATTTATTCCTTATTGCTGCGAGCCTTCCCAGACAAATTAGGACATAAGGGATCCATCAGCACTACCGTGTGATCCTACTGGATTTAGTACTGCTGTTAATTAAGTCCCGTGTTACTTCTGCAACTTAGGGGTCTCGACGTGCCGAGCCCCTACGCCTTAGTCGAAGATATACAAGACGTCTACGGCCTGCATCACATTTAATCTCTTCTCAATTTCTACTTTTCAACTCGCCTTCTTTACCTTTTGTCGCCATTGCTATATCCAGTACCAGCCTAGTATCTCGTCGTCTCTCGTTATGTCAGGAACAGCTTCTCCGCGCAGCGGTCGACCGCTGACAACATCTTATGTGGATCTGATGAAGCCTGATGAGGACTGGAGGAATCTACCTGATGCAGCTGAGAGGAGGAAAATTCAGAACCGTCTTGCCCAACGAGCATATAGTAAGTTCTGCTTCTAATTATGGTCCTACTCGAGGCTAATAATATCAAGGGCGAAATATGAGAGATCGAACCAAGGAAGTAGAAAGGTTGAAGAAGCAATTGCAGCAGCTCCAGCAGTCTATTAGTTCGGATCCGTCAACTACGCCACCACCCGAGCATGAGCTCCCTTCCGGTGGGAGGAGTCCATCTAGCCTAGGAGATATCCACGCTCATAATGCCGACGCGGTAACATCGGCAACGACGCCCAATGGCTCCCGGCGGATGAGCGATTACCTGCAGTCCTGGCCTCACGCGTCGGGTACGGAACAGCTGAGCGGGCTGGGTCTCACTACGGATGGAGAGAATCCGCTCGGGTTCGACGCAGCATCTTATTTCTCCCAAGTTCACGGTTCTGACGACGTCGTCTCGGATTTGCCTGTAACGGGGAGACGGGCGCGTGCTCTCACAACTAATATATCCTCCGCACCCATACAACAACAGCACCATCTCCGGAGCCATAGTATACCCCCGATCTACTCATCTACTTGTGCCAGTCCTATGTCATGGGGACAAGGAGCTGCTGCGGATAGTAGCGATGGACTTCGTGTGTCGACAAGGTAAGCTGATGCTGGGATTCTTAATATGTGAAATACTCGAAACCCCGAACCGGGCGAACTTGGGATTTTCGTCGTTTCGCGTGACTTTATATACAGCTAACTCTGAGCTAGTTTCAACGTTTACAACAACCCGGAAGAGATGTCCATGTACCACGCGGAATCGGCGTATCCCCTCGATGACAGCGTTGCGCACAGCGCCAACGCGTACGCGACATCTCCCGAGTCAGATCTTAATAGCCCTGCGGGCTGGTCTCCGTTAGACCGAAAGTCGGGCCATGCGGGGCGACCCAGCACCTCATCTCTAGCATCTGCATTCCTGACATCCGCCAGTAGCGTCGTGGACGGTATGGCAGATATACAACATCAGGGCTCATCCTTTCCGGAGACTACGGCGCCATTACTACACTTCGCCGTCGCGGGTGGCCATATCGATACATTACGGCTTCTCCTGCAGCGCTACGATGTCAACGTGAATAGCCGCGATAGCGCAGGGTATACGGCACTGCAGCGCGCTGTTATGGCAGGGCGCACTGATATGGCGGCCCTACTACTCGAGCGCGGCGCCATCGTCGACGGCGATGATAGTTGGACGGCGGAGCTTACAGGTCGCCATTCCAAGATTGAGGCCCAATAACCTCATTTACCCGTGGATCTCGTTTGGTTACTACGGATTCATGAATGCTCATACGGATTGTACGTTGTTGTGTTTTTTTTCTGATTCGATACTGGGTTTCTCCCTTTACAATTCCTGGCTGTATTTACCTAATACGGGGAGTTCGGTGTCTATCATGTCAGGGTTACGTGTGTGCCTATTTCTGGCCTGTCACGCCTAAACGATACATGCTGCATATACGCACATGGATTGGTTGTACAGCACAAGCTTTGAAGCTCCTTCTGACCCGCATGCGGTCTCGTTTTACTTAATTCTGATTGGGGTGGTTTTAATACCTGCAAGGTTGAGCTAGGTTCATTGGGGCGAGGGATGGATGGATGGATGGACGGAGGGGAGACAGGATTTAGGGGGTGTCAATAGGGATGGCGTCCTTGGATGGGTGGGTTTTATACCCGAGGCATGAACTCACGGAGTATACAAGCGATATACAAAACACATTTTCACACAGGGAATTACCCTCGGGCCCGAGAGGCTAATAGAAGAAAGAAATTTTGTCGAATTTATAAATTTACATACGAATACGTGACTACCCAAAGAGGTCGATAAAAGAAATATTCGAATGAGGATGGTGAATATCGTTAGTTAGCTGCGCAGTATCAGATTATACCGGTGACCGGTGACCGGGGGACCCCGGACATATCTCAATAGGATCTCGCAATTTCTTGTCATTTTACCCCTTTCGCGACAGGGAATCAGGGATCTTCAGGAACGTGCCGCCTCCGTACGTGATAATACAACCTGCAATAGGTATTATCGAATTTGCGACTAGGGACCCCGCCATGTTATAGACGAAAAGCATCGTCTATTAAATACATTAACCCAGGTACCTAACGTACCTAGTACCTAACCAAGTGCACGGCACTCGAGTCATTTACAACGTACAACTTTGAATAAACGCGATATGCACAGCGGCTGATTTTGGGGGTCGCCCAAAACCCTTTACTATGTAAGACATTACGAGATGATGGCAACATCTGATAGGCTGGACACTTCAGCTGTGACGGGTCCCCACTACAAATGCGAGTTGATGGTGATGGCGATGGGATGCTGCGATGTTCTTTCGGGCTTGGCTTAAGGCGCGGCGGAGTGTATCGGGGTTACTTTCCCGAGCTCGCGACCGAATTGGAGAATGGTAAAATAGGAGGTAGTCTACAGTTAGTCAGTCAGTCAGTCAGTCAGTCTAGTTACCTGTTTGAAAACTTGGAACTGTTCTATCAGCCAAGTCGTAGCTGAATATTAGTTATTAGTGAGAGTTCATCCTACCAACTTGGTCGATATCTATGACTGGCTGCTATGTATACCTATATGCATATATTCACCAATTGAAGAGGTCATCCTACAGTGGGGGGCAAAGCCGATTAAGAGATGGAACTTTAGACGAAGTCGGATTCCAAATACATGTCAAAAGTACCTAACACATTACTACCGACGATACGCCACCTCGTTATGCCATCTCGCTTCTCTCACAACGTGCATGAGAAACATATATATTACCGCGTCTGAGGAAGCGAATCCTCTACATAATACCTGTCAAAGTATTATTAGGCCCCTCGTACTATTGCTTCCACTCCCATGTCTAGGTAGTTTCATCTCTATGTAAGCAACGATGGTTAAGGTTGGCTCCCCCGGATCTGCATACTTAGGTTATCTACATACCTCATAGCTGGAGGGGAGATGAAGATGTATCTAACCTAGTGGGGTCGATCGAGGGGGGTTAGGTTGCCGGCCACCCGAAGCTGAACTTGGATCAGTCTTCCCGAGGTATTGGACGTACCCGCAACGGAGCAGACGAGTTACGAACTCATCATCATTGAAGTCGAAGTCGATGATAAATAAATAAAAATGAAATAAAATAAAACCGGAGATGAAAAGCACGAATTTTGAAATCTAAAAGCGGCTGCAACACTTCTACTTCTCTGTAGGCATATGCAGGTTATGATGTAAGAGTGATTGATTGATGCTGTCGCTACTGCTGCGAGATACGAAACCGCTGCTGTGCTCAACTCGCACCACATCCTATCTTACAGCGTAATTACATGTAATCGTGTGCTGTAACCCTCCCTGCGTGCATTTGAGTCTTTTCAGCGTCGCACTGCAGGCCAGACACAGAAACGAAGCGAGGAAATATCATCATCATCATCATCCCGTATTTTTAGACGTAGGAACGGAGCCGATCTGCTTGTAAGACAAGTTATAGCCGAACTACCATCTAAGTCGTATATTATGTAGGTAGGTATGTACATACATTAGGTAGAGATGATGGGATGTGGGATGTGGAGACCAGGGGGGTCTGAAGGATTTGCGCGCAACTTGCAAGGTATTAATTAACCTTATCCCTTGCCACGTGGGCGCCGGGCTAATCAGCGCGTTGCCCTGAGAGGGGGTGTCCAGGATACCCCTGGTACCTATCTTTTCTCCAAAACATAATTATTGATTAACGTAAACCACGGGTTAAAGGCTCATACGGGTCAAAGGCCCAGTGAAAATACATACAAAATACGTCTGTGCGTAACCGTGCACTTTACTTAAAATAAATCGTATTAAAAATCGGTTTTTAAAATTAAATATATATTTGAATTTTAATAATGATAATATTTTTTTATAAAATTTTATTGATAAATAAGGTTTAACGTTAAAACTTTTAAGATTAAAGATAAGTATATTATAATAGTAAAAAAAAGAAATGTTTATTTATAATATATATTTTTTAAGATTTAAATGTGTTATTTTTAAAAGAAATAACGTTTATATATAAACGTATATAAGTTATATAAACTATTATATAATTAATATATATCCGATATATAATTAACGTATAATTATATTTTTAATATTAATAAATTTTCTTTTTATAATTATATTATGTAATTAATATATATATTTACGTTATTAATGTTTAATTTATTTTTAAATAAAATAATTATAATAAAGTTAATGTTATAAATTTTTTTTATTTATTTAAATAAAATTATTTATAATATATTTTATTATTTTTATTTATATGTATTTAATAATGTTATATTATTTTTTATTATATTATAATTTATTAAGTATATAATAAAAGTTTTTTATTTTTTTTTATTTTTTTTTTTTTATAATAATTTATCTTTTTTTATTTTTATAATATATTTTCTTTTTATTAAAATATATTTATTTTTAATAGTATTAAGTAATTTACCGGTAATAACGTTATGTTATTTATTACGTTTATTGCGATTTTTTAAGTTATATGTTATTAATATTATTATTACGCATTAATTATTTAAAAGTTTAAATTTAAAAATTTCTTTTATTTTAATCCGTCGAATAAATTTTCTTTTATAATTATAATATAATTTTTATTAATTAAAGTAGATTTTTCTATAAAGTATATTTAATACGTTATTAATTATAAAGTTTACCTTTTAATATCTTTAAAATATTAACGTATTATTATCGTTATTAAATTTATTATACGTTTTAATTTTAAGGTTTATTTAATAAATTTAAGATAATTATTTTTTTTTATAATATAAATATTAATAAAATAATAAAAAAAATATAATAATTAACGTTTAATATAATTTTTAATAAGTATTATAAAAAATAAAAAATATAATAACGATAAATATTAAACGCATTATAAGGTTTTTTTAATCGAAAAAAGTTAATTATAAGAAAAAATTAATTTTAATTATAAAAAGTGTTAACGTACGTTTTTAAACGTTTAATAAGGTTTTTAATACGCGTTTTTATAAGTTTAAAAAGTTTTTTAATATACGTTTTTATAAATTTAAAAAGTTTTTTATTTAAATTTTTTAAATATACGTAATCGTTATTATTATAAATTAAATTTCCGTTATTAAAGTAATTACGTTAACGAAATAAATATGTTTAAAAAATATAAAATTAAAGACCGTTTTTTTTGTATTTTTTTTTAAATTTAATAAATAATTTTATTTAATTATTAAAAGGTTTAAATTTTAATAAAAAGTTTAAATTAATGGAAGATTTTATCTTTATTTTATTTAATGATATTAAAGATAATAATAATTTATTAAAGTAATTATATAATTATTATATTATTAATATTTCTTTTTTATTTTATTTAATTTCTTTTAATTTAATCTTATAATTTTATAATAAAGTAATTAATATTAATAAACATTTATAATGTCTTATTTAAATTAAATTTTATTATTAAATTTATAAAATTATTTTTATTATATATTTATTATATATTTTATATTTTATATTATTTATATAATTATTATAATAATATAATATTAATTATTAATTTTTTTTCTTTAATTATTTTTAATTTTATAAAATATTTATATAATAAAAACGAGTTAATATAAATTATTATTAAAGTTAATAATAATTTAAATTTAAATATAATAAAAAATATTATAGTTATAATTATATAATTAATGTTTATTTTATGTATTATAATATAAATTTTATTTATTAAAACGTTTTTAATAATTTATTTTAATTTTATTAAATTTTAATAAATAAAGTTTTTTTATATCTTAAATAAATTGTTTATAATTTCTTTATTTATAAGGAATATTAAGTATTTTATTTATAAATTTAAGTTTTTATTATTTATAAATAAATTATTTATGAAAATAAAGATTTTAATTTATTTAAAGTTAATTACGCGGTAATAAATGTTACGGTTAACGTTATTTATTTATTATTTAAATTATTTATTAAATTTTTTAATTGTTTCTTTATTTAACTTAAAGTGTTATATTATTTTAGTAATATTAAAGGTAATTTTTAATTAATAAGTGAATATAATGTATATGTTTTATGTTTTTTATTAAATATATTATTAAGCGATATTTTTAATATTTAACTTAATAAGTTTTAAGTTTTTATTTTAACTTTTTTAATTTAAGTAAATGTTTTTATCCCTTTTAAAAATAATCGTATATTTATTAAAAGTTAAGAATAATTTAATAATAAAATAAGTTTTAAACTTTATTATAAAGTTTACTTCTTTAAATTTATCTTATTTTTTTTAATTAAAGTATTTATTAAATAAGTTAATCGTATTATTTATTTATATCTTAATAAAGTTAAAATTATTATCTTTTTCCGAAATAAAAAAGTATAAATTATATATAAATGTAATCATTCTTAGTTTTTCTTTATAATGTTTAAAGTATATTACGTATTAATGTGTGTTTACTTTTATTATTTTATAAAAAGGTTTAATAATTATTATAATTATTTTTTTAAAATAAAAATATTTAATTTAAAAAGGTAGTTTTATTAAAATATTATAATTTAAATTTATCTTTAATTATATATATGTTTAAATAATATTTTAAATTTAAAATATTATCTTTTTTTTTATTAAAATAAATATAAAAATAAAAAGTGTTTATTAATTAAATTTTTAAATTATAAATAATTGTATTAATATAAAGATTTTCTTAATATTATTATGGTTTTATATGATAAATTGCGATTTTTTATAAAAATAGTTTATTATTTTATTTTTAATTTTATAAATAATCTTTAAATTAAAAAGTTTAAATTTATTATATTTTTACTCGTTATATTTTTTAAATTTAAAGATTTTTTTTTCGATTAAAATTTAAATTTCTTTAATATTTAATGTTTTAAAAAATGTTCTTAACGTTATAATCTTTTTTTTATTATAAAATTTAATAACGAGTTTTATATCGCTTTATTCTTTTTATAAAAAATATACGGTATAAGGTTTTAATTTATTTTTACTACTTAATAACCGTCTTTATCTTTTCGATGGTATAAGTAAATTTTTAATTAAAAATATATATAAATTATTATTATTTTTATTATTTTTATTATCTTTTTTAAGTTTTAAAATGTTAAATATTTACATTATTTCGTTATAAAAGTATAATTTAACCATTATTATATAAAATTTCATTTTACAATTATTAATTTATATTATATAAATTTTATCTTTTTTAATTATTAACTTATAAAATCTTATTTATTTTTTAAGTTTTTTATAAATTTATATTTTTAATTAAAAAAGTAAGTTAAAAATATTTAAAGTATTTAACCCGTTTTTTATTACTAACGCGTTAATAACTTAACGTTTCGCGTATAATTTTTTAATTTTAATTATTATTTTATAAATTACTTTATTTTATTACATAATTAAAAGCGTAAACGTTAAATTATCTATAAGTTTAAAATAAATTTCGAATATTAATAAAGTAAAAATTAAACCGTTTAACTTTATTATATTATTAACAATTTTTATAATTATTTAAAAGATATTTATATTTAAAATATTATTACTACGTAAATTAATAATAATTATTTTAAATATACATTAAAAAGATTTATAATAACGTTTTATTTATTTAATTAAGTTATAAACTTTTATTAAAATTTCTTTAACGTTAATAAATAACGTCTTTATTATAATTATAAATTTATTACTAATAAAATTCTTCCCGGCATTATAAATAATGGAATTAAAAAATTTTAAATAAATATTTATTTATATTATTTTTAAAATATCTTAAATATATTTAATAATTATATCTTTTAAAAATCTAATTATTTAAAATTTAATTATTTTATTAATAATATATAAGATAAGCTTATTTTTTAAATATATTATGTTAATATAAATGTTATAATTAAAATTAATATTATTTTTAATAATAAATTTAAATTTATTTAATGTTAAATTATATAATTAGTATTAATAATAATATTAATTAATTTTTCGAATAATATTTTAATTTATATTATTATATTTTATTTTAATAAAAACGTAATAAAATTACTTTATTATTAAATAATTAAATTATCGGTAAATTTATTTAAATTCCACTTTTATAAAATAAAAATATATAACGATTTTTTTATAATTACGTAAAAAAAATTATAAATATTTCCATTTTCTTATTATTAAATATTCTTTTTTATTATATATTAATATGTTTTTTACGTTATTAAAGAAAATGTCGTATATGTTTATATTATAAATATAAAAAAAAAAAAGTATATTTAATTATATGATTTTAAATAAAATGTTATCGAATGAAATAAAGACTTTTACGGTTTTAATATTTTAAAATTATATATTATCGTTAAAACATATTACGTATTTATTAATTATAAATATATTTAAAATAACTTATAAATATATCCTTTATAATACATTAAATTAAAATTTATTATTTATTAATATACTTATTACCTTAATATTTAACATAATATTTTAAAATTTATAAACATAACAGTTTTTTAAATAAAATATCGTATTTTTATTTACGTTATTTTTTTAAAATTTATAATTTTAATTTTTAAATATATTTATAAAAATAATTAAATAAAATGCGGTTTAATTAATTAATATAATA